TGCAAGTGCAATGATAAATGCAAGAAGGACCCATCTTGCAAAGATTGGGACTGGAAGCATTGCAAGTGCAACGATCACCACTGCACGAAAGATCCCTCGTGCAAGGACTGGGACTGGAAGCAGTGCAAGTGCAACGATCACCACTGCACGAAAGATCCCTCGTGCAAGGACTGGGACTGGAAGCAGTGCAAGTGCAACGATCACCACTGCAAGAAGGACCCCTCATGCAAGAATTGGGATTGGGAGAAGTGCAAGTGCAATGACAAACACTAATGTCCTATTGTTGAGAAAGTGGGTATACTAATAACCCATGACTGCTATGGTTTACTTGATCCCCTCATCTATGATAATGTTGTCTGGGATATCGTCTGTCCTATTTTTCTGTTCCCCCCAATTTCTCCTTTGACCTCTATTCCACTGCGTTGTGTTGTTCGAATTCTGATTGACTTAAAAATAATTATTTGATAGTAGTGAACCAAAGTCTATAGTGACAAGTTTTTTTCGTGACAATCCCACTAGTAAAGAGTATACTCCAGTCATCCTAGACATAATGTAAAAAATGACAATTGTAGAGCTAAAGAGGGAGCAAATAATAAAGCCATATCTTGTCAAGTAATGATGGCATGGAGAATACCAAACAATTACAAAATTATCGGTGCCCGGGCACAGACAAATTACATGGTGTTGACTAGGAGAGTAACCTCAGCCATATATCTATAGACATTTCATCATACCGAGGGCTGGGTTAAAGGGGAATTCTAGACTGGCCCTCAAAGGATTCTCGGCAAATTGGCTTCTCGATGCGCAGAAACATCTGTTGGAAACTGCTCAAATCACCCCAGGTCGCGTGACTAAGGAGCGGCATGGCCATATTCTCACCTTACAGCCACCCACCAAGGTATTGGCCGCGGAGAAGCCAGTTGTATGTGTTTTGAATTCTTTGAAGTTTTCATATTGCAGATGTTCATTATAAAAGTATGAAACAATCTAAACAGGGTTCCTTGATATAACTATACGTTCAGGTCCTGCACTCGGCTACCTCGACAGTACCTACTTTTTGGATGCACCACTCCTGCCCTCAGTTAGGAACCAACTTTTTTGTCTTTTTCTGAACCTCATGGCTACTTTTTTTGTTTGTTTGTTTTTTTTTTATCTATCTATTTATTTATTTATTTTCAGTCTCACTGATCTGTTTAGTTTCCTCAATTAAACCGATGGAAAGAGGTAAAATCTGTTATGTTGACGTGCCGAACAATCCTTGGGATGCCCCGCATCGGGTAGAATTGACGCACACTTTGATTTTGCTTAAAATGTGGGCTACCTTTACTTTTGCCACCACAAGAACCAATCGTGGTTCAAAGGTCATGCTAAGCTTCGACTCAACATAATCAGGTAGTTTTAATTTTCTGCATATCTCCGAATAAAGCCTTAGATCCTATAAAGACGTACTTGGTGTTGAGTTTAACTCCCATAATCATGCTTGCCAGTTTTAAAAATACCTTCACCCCGTCCACCATACCTTCTGCGCTTCTTGTTATGGGCAAGTTTAGTACCATGATCCACGTTCTTCATATCCTACCAGAGAACGGTACCATTGAACGCCTGGGCTTCACAACCCCATCGTCCACCACCTTCCGCCGCGGCGGAACCACAGAGCAGGGGCGCGAGCAGATCGGCACAGTCACACTTCACGTTGGAAATGGCGAGACCACCGACTCCTTGATGACGTTGAGATACGAGCCCGTAAGCTGTGTGATGATTCCCTGGGCTCGAGTCAGCTGCAAGCAGGCAGTGTTGAAGTGACCCAGCTAGTGCAAGTCGTCCTTCAGCCTGCAGCACTCGATGCGATTCACAAAGGGGCAAGACCGCTCTATGAACGCGACACAGATGTACCCCGTTTGTATTATTTACATCAAACGCTCAAGGGCAGGCTGGCTGAGCCGAGCTTTCCTTCTTAATATAGATAGCGTCATTCTAGATATGAACATCGCCAAGCAACTGGGATAACCTAGGTGGTATCTTCCTTGGTCTAGTGGTCATGATTTCCGCTTGTCATTAGCCTGATAAGCGCGGGAGACCGGGGTTCGATTCCCCGAGGGAGAGATTCTTTATCCGATGTGGTGTAGTGGTTAACATCGTCGTCTCTCACACGACAGCCCGGGGTTCGATTCCCCGTGTCGGAACTTGATTTTTTTTAACTTTTTGACTTTTGCTCCTATCATCAAATTGAGGATTGATCGGGTTTGGCATGATAACGGAGGCATCCACAGCGCCAATCTTAAACATGCTCTGTTCAGATGAAACAACTTTCTATATCACAACTACAGTAGCTGCACTACCTGTTCCAATGAGCCGATGTATCGTTTCGAATCTAGACTGTGAAGCTCTGTGTTTTCTATATTTAGTATCATTGACAGGCAGGCCTCTGTGGCTCGGAACGATGTTCCGAGAAGTTTTTAAGCAGAATATTGCCACTATCTATATTCCCTTGATGAAAGTTACACGTCATTGATTCTAGTAGATTCAAGCTTGCTTCACGCAAACCTACCTTTTTCCTTCGAAATCTTATCGCCACAAGTAAAGTAAAAGATATATAAGAAATGCTTTCCCTTGGCTAATCTATTGAACGAACGAAATATATTTCATACTTTAACTCAAGATCAGTATTCGTTTATAGATTCCCAGTAAGCTTCCTTCCACATTTTTTTCCCTTACTAGCTAAAATTCAATCCTATCAGGCAGAAGAGGAATCACAAGATGGCCACAGAAATCAGGCACTACCAAACAGATTCCGAAGGAGGCTATATTGGGCGTATCAAGCATAACTGGAACGCAGTATTTGGGCAAGCCTATGAAAGAGCCAAGCAGGATATATTTGATAGTCTAGTCGCAGAGCCAGATGCTGCGTCTGTTTAAGTGGATCAATTTACAAAGGACCAGGAAGTCAGCGGCACCAAGAGGATCTATAGATGGAATGGTAAGCGTACGGAGAATGTCACTGGAGGCCATGAGTTCTTTGAGAGAAATGCCTTTAAAAGATTCAAGGACTGGCAGGGTATCCGCGACTACCATTGGGATTTTGAGATTGAGGTCATTCCCATGGACTGAGGCTTTTGGGGCTCATTTGGGCTCATGTTTTTTTTTTTTTTTTCTTGTATTTCCTTTTTGTATTTATCTTTAGCCACTAGCCACGGTATATTCATATGATGGACTGCTTATTTCAAATCGAATTGGGCCAGAAACTCTGACAGGTTGCATGAATACCCTAATCTAGTTGTTGTTCCTCCTCCACAGCATTCATGGCTTCGAGACTTGCCCGAACTGAATCTGCTCCCATGAGTCCCTCTGTGACATACGCCTCCAAACGACTCTTCCACCACTGCCATCGCTCCACTGTCATGATATCTCCACCTTTCCACAGATCTAGATAGTCTCTCCTCAAAGGCCAGTCCTCTTCTCGCTTCAATGCGCCCTCGTAGAACCGTCTCGGCAATAACTTGAGCCACTCTGCCGCCATGGGAATTTGGATATCACGAACAGCGTTACTCCGTTCCAACGCATCCGTGATGCACTCATACCCCCAATCCAGGCGAATTCCCGCTATCCGCTGATCGTAGAATGTCGCCTCAAGGCTTGCTATAAATATGTATTTGTCGTGCATCTCCCTGCGCACATCATCATCACCCGGTCTGCCATCAATCGCATCTCTCCATTCTTCCCGCTGAAACTGGTCAGCCCACATGTGTCCGAACCCCGGCAGTTCATCCCAGAATGGGCCATCCTCCACCGAATGTTTAGCTTCTTCTCGTATATTAGGCTCCGGAGCCTGCTGGATGGCTTTGAGGAGCTGGAGAAGTCCTGGGGCTTCAGACCGCGGCCATTCTGTTATTGCGGTTATCAACACACTCCAAAGTCCGTTCCTGTCGAAACCAAGATCGTCGGAGGAAGAGTTGGCTAGTGGGCGGGTGATGGCGTATGCGGCCTCATGGGCGGTGGTCTTGCCTTGGTAGTACTCCTTCAAGGCCTGTGCTTCGTCTGGGTGACAGTCCTCGTTTTCTGGTAAGCTGACTGCCTCAAACCAGGAGAGGGGTACCATGTTCAAGTAATGTTGAGGTGGCGTGATCTATGCTGAATGGTATTTTGTGATGATAGAGGATAGAGTGTCAAGTAGAATAACTTGTACTTTGTCACTCATATATGATTAAATTGCAGGGTTACATCATTGATTACAGCTTCATTTGCTGTTTAAAGGATAGGCAAATCTCAAGGAGGCGGTGATGGTATAAAGGGGGCTGTAAACGGGCTGTGGAGGATTGACTCATAGTCTGGTCTCACAAGGCTATGCTATATTGTTTAGCTTCATATAATAAGCTACGCATGACTACTTAACCAAGCTTGTACAAAGAGAGCGATTCTAGTTTCATAACCTCACCACTAGGAGCATTGTAATCCTAATACCCCTGTGTCATTAGTAAGAGACTAATATTCTAGGATGCTGGTCCTAGAATCGCTCTTATTATATGGTTCAGTTTAGTAGCCATAACAACAGTCCTTTTTAATGTGATCTCTTGGTGTATATCTGTGTTTTAATCTTTCTTTTTTCCTCTCACCACACCCAGTGACCCTGATCTGCCGCTTCCGGCCCCAATCCCCCGCACTCAAGTCTGTACATTTGGCCCCCTTGGTCAATGCTTTGCGACTACTTGCGGATCCTAAGTAAAAGCATAGACTAATAGCTTTAGTGTAGCAACCCTGAATCCTCCCCAAGTCAGCCCCAACTGGGGAAGAGCTCCTGTGTACATACATCTCACCTCAGAAAAAGCTCTAGATTCCCTAGAACAGCCTCAAACCATTCACGTAGAACCAAAAATCTGCCTCAAAGGATCATCTTAGAGATGAAAGTCATAATGGATAGACCTCATCATTAACGTAGCCTCAAGGCATGCAATATTTAAGAAGTTGAGTATCCCTCAAGACAGAAAATAACCAAGCATTGCATTGCAAATACCCACATTACTCTCATACTCTCTGGGGGGTGTTTACACATAGTAACATACAGTAGTCACTATCTTTGTATCTTTGACAAAGTGGCTCTATATTTGAACCTAATGACTCCGGGCTGACTGATCCGTGCAAGAAGGTTCTCGTTCTGGTAAAAAATGGCTTAATAAAATGTTATGACATTTCTACTATATGTGGAAGATGGTTGATGACTGCTCAACTTCTTCTCTCCGTCTATATAGGAGTCCAGTTTACAGCACGCTCGCAGCCTCGTAGACCTCCCATTAGATAACCGCCCGCTCCGTCAGAGGCCGACCTAGAGGAATTCGCGAATATGATAACACTCCCAGATCCAAGGTCATGAACTTGCCATGGACGATCAGCTCAGAAATTGCCCGTCCGCATGCGGGGGCCTGCTGACTGCCATGTCCCGAGAATCCAGCACAGAAGAACAGGTTGCTGATATTATCGTGAGGCCCAACAATGGCGTTGCAGTCGAACGTGTTGAACTCGTAGTGACCCATCCATGAATCAGTGACCCGAGCCGACTTGAACCCGGGAACACGGTTGGAAATGATGGGGAAGATCTTGTCCTTCCAGGCATCTTCGGCAAAGCTGAAGTCATCCACATCCACCGCATGGTCGGGACCAATTGGCGGGCAGCCCACCAGGTAGTTCTTCGCAGCATAAGAGCGGAAATGCACGCCCGACGGATCAATCGTCAGCGGCAGGTCGTGAGGCAGTGGCTCATCGACTTCGAAGATGTACGTATACCGCGGGCGCGCTTCGATGGGGAGCCGAACGCCAGCCAGCCCGGCGACCTGAGCAGCACGGGTTCCCGCGGCGTTGACGACATTGCTAGTCGTAATCTCCTCTCCACTGCGTAAGGTGATGGAATTGATCCGACCTTGATCAACAGCCATAGCGACCACTTCATTGTCGATGTATTCGACCCAGGTGGCCTCGCGAGTACTCTCGCAGGCCGTTCGCCGCATCCATTCCACCATGCCAAACGCGTTGAAACAGCCCTCGTCTTTGGTGTTGAGGCTACCAGAGTGGATATCCTCGATGTTGAACCACCCGTACTTGCTTTTCACATCGGCAGCTGAGAGGATCGCAGTGGCTGCACCACAACTCTCTTGGAGCTGTTGGTCCTTCTTCAGAATCTCTGTGAATGCAGGCGAATCAGACAAGTAGAGATAGCCAAACTGGCGGATCGGAGGATTGGGAACGCAAGGATCGGGACCGAACTCGTCACCGTATCTTTTCACGAAATCGGCGGCATATTGGGCGATTTGCACGTTGATCGGGGTCGCAAATTGCTGTCGCATGCAGTTGTTGCTCGCCTTGGTGGCGGAATATTGCAGAGAAGGGTCCCGTTCGACCACCAGCACGGAGCCTTTGAAGTCTGGGTTTTGACTGAGATGCCAGGCAATGGAAGATCCACTGGTAGCACCTCCTACGATGACCACATCGTAATGTTGCCGGGTTGGCGAGGTGGTGAACTGGGTGACGGCCATGGTGCTTGTCAGAGGGTTTGGGAGAATGGAAAATTGACCTGAATGCAGAGAGATTGGAGGTGAGAATGCGAGACCAAACACCGTCTTTTATACATCTACATCCTGCCCTGATCCTATCTGCATGCATCGACGTACTTCCAAAGGTTGGTAAGCCGTCTACTTCGCGATAAATTTCTATATCCGAGTTGGGTGGCAAGCGGCACAGACCGTTGTGGAGACGCTTCGGCGTTTCTTGCTTGCCTCTCGCTTAGCAACTCCAGATCGGGTGATCAATCATTATGCTCAAGCAGGTGATGCCGATTACGTACTCCTTCAACTGTTGTATATGAATGCCGGGGAAAGCCCAGAAGAGATCAATCATATCAGTGAAGACTTCGTGCCGCACATACGACCACCTTCCATCGCAATTTCTCTCTGCCTCGACCCCAATATTGCCTCAAAATGAGTCGCATCTTGATGTAAGACCCCGTGGGAATGGACTGGCCAAGTGGAACTAACCAGTGACAGAACCGGTGTTACCGGCTTCATCGGAGGAGACGTCTTGTACGGTCTGACTCAGTCGCTTGCTTCGTCTCGCATTACGGCGCTGGTGAGAAACCAGGGTCAGGCAGCCGCAGTCACGGGCAGATTTCCCACGGTGACTCCGTTAATTGGAGACTTGGACTCGAGCGCGGAGATCCAGCAGGCAGCGTCCGAGGCAGACGTCGTTCTGCGTACGTTGAACGTCTGATTACTGAGCAAGAAGCCGTACTGATACACCGATGAACCGAAAAGATCTAGCAAGCTCGAGTCATGTGCCCAGTGCTAAGGCCATTGCCGATGGGTTGTTGAAGAGTGAACGGGAAAACCCAAGTAAGACCTTCTGTTCTCAAGGAGATAACAGGGACTGATGAACGAATAGCCTGGATCCAGATTGCAGGCGCTAGTTTCCTGGCCGGGGGAGAAATCCAGTCCAAGGCGTTTGGTCAACCCGGATCGAAGATCTACAACGATCTTCCAGGCGTGTCAGAGATCCATGACATCCTCGCCGCGTCTCCCAAGAGGACTGTAGATCATCTAGTCCGTGATCTCCCTTCCAGTAATCCCCGGGCCCGGACAGCAATCGTCTACGGCCCGCTCATTTACGGCAAGGGCCGAGGACCTGTCAATCAACGGAGTATTCAAATCCCAGACCTCGCCAAAGCCGCTCTGCAGCACGGCCGTTGCCCTCATGTCGGCCGGGGTCTGAACACCTGGAACACCATCCACATTGCCGATTTGACCTCTCTTTTCGTGCGGCTGGCCGTGGCATCCTCACGCGGCTCGAACCCATTGTTGTGGAACGAGAACGGCGTCTACTTTGCCGAATCCGGGAAGATAGTGAGATTCTCTTTTTGTCTTGTTGGTAATATATTTGTGTTTAGGCTAATCTACTACTTTTACAGTCATTTGGGGACATCGCGAAGAAGATATCCACCTTTGCCCACTCCCGAGGCTTCATCAAATCACCCGAGGTGGTGGAAATGGACTCGGAAACCGCCGACAGACTCACCCCTCATGGATCGGTGATTTGGGGCACCAATGCCCAGTATCAAGCGATTCGAGCCCGGGAGCTTCTTGGATGGCTTCCACAGGCACACGGAATTGAGGAGGAGATCCCACGGGCAGTTCTGGCCGAAGCGTTGATGCACCACCCACGACCGGCTGAGAAGCTCGTTTGATTTGGCCATAGTTCTGAGCATTACATCATCTGAGGATCCTCACATTTACATGTTCATAATTGTATTGCTCTGTATATTTAGACTTGTAACTCGGCTTCATCGATAGTTTAGTAGTGGCGGTTAGACTTGCCACCTGCGTGGTGTCCACTTCCGGATGACAAATCGCTATCCTTCCCCCGCCCTCCTCGTGGCTGCAACTGCGCACTCTTCCCTCCTTTTTATATCTTGCTCGACACCCCGGAATAATAAACATAGAGGGTGTTCATGAGGAAATGGTGCACCACGCCCGTTCCTTGACAGGTTGCAACACCTGCCGTGCCCGTCATCTCAAATGTGACGAAACTCGACCAAGGTGCGAGATGTGCCAGGCCACTGGGCTTGCATGTCCCGGCTACAGCCCTCAGGTCAAATGGCCTGGCGACGCGGCGAACATGAAGAGTCCCGAAAGCGTAGATCGTGTCTTTCGTCGGCCGCTATATCAAGGTTCGATGCCCACATCCGGCAATGAGAATGCGGTCTATTGACGGATGACCAGTGGTTGAACAAGAATCCATGACACGGATCACAGTCAGAAGCCTGGGAAAGCAATCGGTCAATGCCGCATTGGACAGTCTTGATCACACCCGCTCTGGTCCCGGTCTGTTTCACGGACCGTTTGGGGTTCTGGATTTGATGCAAGACAACCGGCCTCCCACTCCGCAGCACGAAGCCTTGGAGCACGGTCATTCTCCACGTCGTGAAGATGTAGAGGATTGTTTGGCAGCTGGAATCGATCTGGCCGGCCCAGAGGCTGACTTGGGATATATGCCAGTCAACCGACAACCTCTTGGGCTCACGCCACCAGCTACGGAGAGGACAGATGAAGATGAAGATATCCGCCCGTTGCAACCGAGACTCTCGCCCACGCTGTCCGCTCCACCACCACATCCTCGCCTGTCCCCGCCAGATGTTCCACCACAGGCGCCCGAGCTCCTTCGTCACTTCAAAGACCATGTCATTTCGTTTTCTTATCCGTTACGGGGCAACCCAAACTGCCCATGGCACAATATCCATCTTCCTACCGCCATGGCAACTTACGCCGAGTTACTCGTCAGCCAAAGGGCCAGCCATACAGGTCTGTCTCTTTTCCACTCGCTTCTGGCCGCGAGCTGTCTTCATCGCTCAATGCGATCTCGAGATTCATCCGATTATGACACGCTGCGGGCGTCAACCCAGCGAATTGCTAGCCAGCACCTTTATGTTGCCTTGGAAGAAGAGGCCACGGGTAGAAACCCGGTGGAATATAAGGAACTACTAATGGCCATCTTGTCGATGGTTTTTCTCGAGGTATCTCAATATTTGCTCTGTCCTGCTGTGCACATGCTAATCTTGTAAAAAAAGATTTCCTCAGGGCTCTACAACAATGCTCAAAAGCTCTTGTTAGAAGCCGAATGTTTGATTCGACGACGGGGACTCCCCGAGTCTCGCAAATCATCTAGAGTTCGGGCTCTACACCATGTGTATACCTGGACTCGCATCATGTCAGAAAGCACCTGTGGATGCGCGCTCGTCAGCGTTTGTCCGGCGCGGCCAAGCTCCAGTCTCTTATCTGACGGAGCGTCAAAGCGGACCCTGCGAAGTTTTCGGTTGTCTGACGCTGCGTCGTTGACCGATCTTGACACGCGTATTGAAAAGAACAATGCAGTCGGCCATCAGGACATACATCTAGAGGTGATGGGGCTTTGGAATGATACTCTGTTCCCGGATATGTACGGGGTGCCGGAATCTTTGATAGGTCTCTTGTCGCAGGCCATCCGTCTAGCCAATGAACAGGAGCTTTTGTATCGGGACCCCGTCGCCGACCCCGACCTAGTTGTCAATCTCAGCAAACGGACAAAGACTCTAGAGTACCAGATACTTTCCTGGGATAAGAGGCAGCCTTCGCTACCTTTTTCGCCCTGCTCGAGCGGCGCGGAAAGCGACAGCGGAAGTCGACTAACAGCATGCTACAATTCGTTTGCCATGCATCAAAGTCTGATCCTTTTCTACTATCGACGTGTCCACAACGTCAACGCTTTCATCCTCCAGGAAACTGTGCAAAAGGCCATTCGATTCATAGAGCAAGCATGCAGCTCCAACCAAAAAGAGGAGTACAACTCGTCGTTAATTTGGCCCTGTTTTATCGCAGCATGTGAGGCTATTGACAGCACACTGCAGGCCCGTTTTCTACATTGGCTGTATGACATGTTGGACCGAACCGCTGTCAATACTTTTGCTACTGCTGCCAAGGTCGCCCAACAGGTGTGGAAAGCCCGGCAAGAGACAGAAGACTATACAATCAGTTGGTTTGACGTCCTAGGACATGACCGATGCCCAATCATTGTAGTATAGAGAGTGACTTTTACCTGGTAGATCCTCGACCTTCTATTCAGTGTGAATGCATGACGTCAAGGATCTTCATCGGGTCGATAACACGGGCGATTGCATCTGGAGACGGGGATACTGGATTTCAAGTACCTGTGATTTCACCCGCGTTAAGAATCAAACCCTAAATACTCCCCAGCAACGCATGTATTTGCGCTGTCAATAGCCTGGAAAGGAGCTTCTGTTCTGGCAGAGCCCAGAAGATCTTCAGTGCAAAACAGACTGGAAGTCATTATTGGAAACGTGGAGGTCTCTTGATAATATGATTCAAGACGCACATGCACTTCAAGTGCCGGTAACTATAGGAGATAGGTTTCCCTCAGAGCATGCTGCGACAGCCATATCTCAGCCAGGGGGAATGCTTACTTACACCCAGTCTATGCGCCTTCGCGTAGTACCTCCTGGACTAGACACACACCTGGGTCTAGATAGGTACATCAAACTTTGCACAGAGACTGCGAAGCCAGTGGCCAGCATAGATCCATGGCCTATGGACAAAGATGGATTTCTCTTCAAGTTCAGCAATCAATACTTGAATGTCTTGGCTCTCTCCCTTGGTGTCCACGATAATTGGGCCCGAATGTCGGACCACTTATATTGGAGCAACCTGGATCTTACTATCAGAGATACAGACTGGGAGACCTCTAGGAAGGCCCAAACCAGACGAGAGATTTATTTTTCATCTTATGATTGTCGATTACCTATGAGGGAATAAGCAGACGGGTTGCACTTGCCCAGACCTATCTTCAGACTTGGATTGAGGCCGAACTAGAATTCGGCACTTTTGTTCTTGCATGAGCATGCTTTACATTAGAAAATAATGGAAATCCATGAGTGATGATGTCATTAAGTTTACAAAAATCATCTTTGGCTTTGACTGAACTATTTTTTCCCAGTAGCCTATGTGTTGGGTTTCCCGTATTATATTGTCAATATTTGCCAGGCGGAGCCAGTATGGACATGTTGAAGGTCTTTATTTCACGTATTCTTGGTAGACTGTAAAACAAACATGATGGTTGTATTTCCAATCGAGCACCAGGCTCCTATTTACATGCTCTCGTGGCCACATCGTCACTCCCGCTAGCTCCCCTTCCCCTCTTGGTCACAGTGATCCAACCCGAACCCTCTATAGCACTTCCGCACTGGAAGCTGTGGAATAAATCAATCCCTTCCGCTTAGCATCTGCACTGGTGGAGGGGACCCAGGGCGATAACATGGCAGCTTCCTTTGGCGCAGTTGGCGACGCAAGTCTTCGCGCCATTGAAGTCCTGGCCACACTCACTGATTTTGCGTGTTAGCATGGTGTACATCCTAACATTCGAGTCTATCTCCAATGATAAAGGAGTCTTTGATTGAGCTGGGATTGTACTCACGTGTTTCCACGGGCAACCTGCTCAGATGGGGCAGCAGCGGCAGATCCAACGACTGCAAGGAAGAGACCGAGAGAGGCGATAGAGAAACGCATTTTGTCTTGAGGTTTGATGGGCTTTTTGAAAAGCGAAAAGAGGATGTAATAGTGTGAAGATTTGTTGAGACGCTTTGATGATTGAGTGATAGAGAGAAGCAAAGGGTGAGGATGAACGCACCTTTAAATATCCTCGCTGACTCTGGTATCTCGGTCATCAACAAGGTCCATCCGAAGATGAATGGCTTTGCCTCCAATCCATGCTCTTCTCACATCATCTTTGCGAAACAAAGATGCGGGCCACATCAACCAGTGACGTAGTATAGCGAGAGATCCACAAAGATATAGCGAGCTGTCGATACCACATCGCTGACTGACTTCGCCTCCCATCCACACTCTTCTTGATTTGGAAGGCTATGCGATCCACTCAAATCTATCCATGGAACCAACAGTAGTTCAAACCATTACGGTTTAGTCGGCATTTTTTTTATATGAAGATACGATTTCTACAAAGCTCGATTGGGGTTCTTTAAGCCACTAAACAGGCCATACATGATTACTCCAATACAGGACTGCATCTCCTTCAATTCATAAATGAAGCCATATACTCTATAATGCAAAATGCAGGCTTCTTGTACGTACAGGCGCACTCAACATATGATCAGGTTGATGCTGACTTCGGGGACATGACCTAAATCAACTTCAGGCGGCCAGGATTCGAATGCTTGGTATCTTGTGGGGCCGCAGAGTATACCCTATCCAGTTAAGCACAATGCTTGTCTCAGCCACTGGCCCAGTATCAAGAGATCTTTGTGGGGCTATAGTGGGAATCGCGCAGTTTATAAGCCTCAGCCATGAGAATTTCCTGTTGGCCCCGGAATGAGTGTCTCAGCCTACCTCTACATCTGCAGGAGTGGCGAGAACAAGCATTTGGAAGTTTGGGGATAAGCATTTCGGAAGTTCAGGGCATCTTCTAATCTCCTTATGCATAGATCCACCCCTAATACTTCTCATGAAATAATTAGTGTCCCTCACTTCCAATATAGAAAATGGATGAGCTCTTCATATTATTTGCACTATGTATGCACTTTAAGAACCAGACCAAGAATTGAGGTTGCACTGAAAAAAAGTGGAGAAGGATTATCAGTATTCTTACTATCCAAGATAATACAGATGCTAGATGCACTACCTCATAAGGCACTCATCTCGCCCCTATATGACTGGCCCCCAGAATATGAGACTGATAACAATATACTATTGGTTATAGGACGATGAGAATAGTATGATGGTTAACAGCTGTTACATCTTCATAATGTTGTGCTAATTTAAGAAAGATCGTCGCATCTCCACACATTAAATGTGGGGGGCAGGTTAAAGCCCCCAAATCGTTGCCCAGCTGGGCCTTGGTGGATATTAATTCTCACATCAGATCAATTTCATCTTTACAACACACCTTGGGAGAGATTCATTCAGCAGAGCGTCATTGGTTCAATGGTGCAGATAAGGCCCTACATATACATAAATACATGGAGTATGGCGGTTGCCCTAGGAATTCATTTTGCTTGTTCAGAGCTGGCGGGGTACTACAAGCGTTTTCATTTGCGACAATATTCTTAGAAAAAAGATCTGGTTCCAAGGCTGGGGTCCGGCTCAGATCTAAAAACCTTCGCTGCTTTGAATATAAGGCATGTAGGGCTGAGCAGAAGCTGGAGACCGACCCTCAGAGGATTAGCAGCTGCATGTGAAAGGCGAGTTAGTGGAGAAAACGTTGTCTCGGGCGGCTCTCGGTGAATCCTTGGCCCCTTCTTTTGACCACTCCATCCACATTTTCGCCTCTTTGGGGCGGTTTCCTCACTGTATTTATCCCAATTATATTGCACAATGGACGGAGGCAAAGATTTTGGCCCCATTCTATCAGGTGGCTATGTGCAGATGCTAAAGACTGAGTGTTTGAGGGACACAATATGTTCTAATTATTATTATTATATCTCCCTTAAACTGGATACGTTAAGCTGCAAGCTTGCTCTATGGCTTGTTTACCGCGGGTTGACACTTGGCCGTTGTTAGTACTGACCTGGTATGTCACTGATAGGGCTTTGAATTGGCTGAGGAGCCCAGTATTCAATATGAAATTGGCTGCGGATTAGACTAGATCGGGCTGGCTAAGGTAGTCCTGATAGTCTCTTATCTGCGAGGATCGCCGCGGGCTTCGGCATGCCAGGTGTCCTGACGGAGATGTCTCAACTGCGCGGCGGTAGATACCGCTATCCGGCTTTCCGCCATTGGTGGTTGGAATTGAAGCAATTGCCTCTATCTCACAGGTCCTATATGAGGCGCAGTGATATGACCTTATCTCTTCATATTACACGCAAAGCCTCCTTTTTGAATACAAGGTACGGTGAGATTCTCTTATCATCGCATATTTTTGCCGTATTCGGTTAGTTAAATAGCTCCATTTTCAGTTGAAATGCGACCTGTCTTCTCAACTCATTCAGAGAAGCAGGCCTTTCTCAATTACCAATTTAGTCGATCGCATCGCTTTATTCAAAATAGCTTCGTATTCTTCTTTCAGTATCATATAGCTTTGACGCCTTCTCATTCCTGGTCATGTAATACTAAAGCAGCTCTCATTCATTCTTCACCTAGGCGGCACCCACCCAACTACTGACTGTTTAAGCACGCCCTGCTGTCGTATGTTTTTCTATATAGGTATATTGAGATACTATCAAAGAGAGATACCCTCTGGGAAACGTTCTCACTTGGTTGGCCAGTTCTTGCGGGGAATTCCATATTTTATGATATATCCAAGGTACAATGACAAGCCAGTTCACAGTATTCTCATGATTCCTCATTCCTTTTAATGCAATTCTAGCCTACTCTTTATATGCCTCCTCTTGCTTTTCACCTTCCTCACCCTGTGCCCGAACTCGAGACAGCCAGAATCTCGTAATCAACCCTCCCAAGAACAGCTCATCCACCCACTTGACCAACCCATACAAAACCCACCCCCACCCCCACAAAGAAATCCCCATCAAACTCGACACCAGCAAGATCGGTCCAAGAATAAGAAACGACAGCAGCGCCCATAGCAGTATCGCCACCGCAGCGAAAACCAACGCCCCCGCTACAAACACCAGCAGCGGAACCCCACAGCAAACAAGCTGGCATGTAATGAACGTTGTAGCGATAGGTCGAGAAACCGCAGCCTCGTATACTTGCACCCGTCGAGGAGGGGGGAGTATCCGACCGACTAGCCCGGCAACGCCGGACTCGAAGCTATCCATACATCTGACGACCAGGCCTTTCGTCCAATCTGTGAACGAGAAGGAGGGGATGTCTTGGTCTGGGCTGTCTTTGTCTCCCTCGGGGAATTCACCTGGAACCACAGAGTGTGTTAGATGCGCTGTTGCCGCTGTCACATCTTCAGTCTGCTGTTCCGCGGCGGAGTTGATGTCGCCTGTTGGCAATGCGTTTACTGCGTCAGTGGGCAGAGCGGTGCTGACGGCGCTGGGAATCATTTCGACGGAGTATGGCGAGGTTGAAGAGAAGTACGTCGATTTTCAATTACAGCTTAATTCTATGAAGTACAAGGCATGTAGATATATCATGTGGGGGAATGCGTATATATGACGTAGAAGGCGCCGGGTACAGTGTATATCAAATTAATCAAGTTTCGGCTGACCAGATAAAGGGGATCGGATAATCGATCGGATAAAATAAAATATGCCATGAAGGTCTAGTTATGCTTGGTTTTTGTGCTGTTATTTTGGCTATGTAGATAGTGTTACGTTGCAGCTGTAGCTGTACCTGTCTATATATATATAACCAATAGGGTAGGGCTGGGTGGGTAGACATGACTGAATACCTGCTGTTATATGGTTATTCTTCTTACTCTCCCTTCTTCTTTTTTCATTTCTTCTTTCCTTTTCTATTATTTTCTTTTTTGTTCGAAAAAAATCATATCAATCAGATAGAGATCATGTGGAGTTGACTGCTGTTTACAATTGGCTGCGGGGAATTCATATTGACTTTCTACAACTCTATCCAAGACCCACTCTCCTGCACTGTCATCAACTAACGTCTCATGTCATCTGCATGGTCACATCCATGTTGATGTCAATCCTAAAACTGTCTAATTATACAGTGAAATAGACTGGCTCCCCCATGCAAGACATTTAATCTCACACACCTCATCTAGCCCAAGTCCCGTTCAACACATACACATCCATCCCTCTTTATACTACAACCATGTCCGATCCCAAATTCAACGACCTCCACGCCCACTTCCTCACTGAAGGTCTCCAAGTCCGACGAGAAGTTCTCGGCAACGAATACGTGAACAACGCATGGAACAACGCCAGCGAGTTCTCACGCCCGGGACAGCAGCTCATCACGGAATATGCGTGGGGTAATGTCTGGCAGCGGCCGGGGCTGGATCGGAAGCAGCGGAGTCTTCTCAGTGCGTATACACATTGCACTCAAATACAACATGCTGGAATATGGTGTGAAGATGGTTGCTGACAGATGCGACAGCGCTGGGAATAATCATCGCGCAGAAAGCGTGGCTGGAGTTGGCGTTGCATACGCGGGGTGCGATCAATAATGGGGTATCGGAGGTGGAGATTAGAGAGACCGTGCTACATGCGACGGTGTATTGTGGGACGCCGGCTGGGGTGGAGGCGATGATGGTTACGGAGAAGACGATCAACGAGATGGTGGAGAAGGGGGAGTATAAGCGGGTCGAGGCCTGATGTTTCATTTGATGGCTATTATGAAGTAGAATTTTGATGTTTTGGAATTTCTATTTTTCTATTGTTAATAGAGTTCTGGTCTTGAGTTGTGCAGAATATTGGATAAAATGTAGTACTCGTGTAGGTATATTCCAAGATTATGTAGTGAGGTAGAGATATATAATTCTGTTTTGTGTATAGTAGAAAACTCTGATGATGAACTTATTGCTGCTATAGTAGATAAAGAAAAAGTAAGTTCTAAATTCTCAATAAACCCTTTTAGATATAAGTAATTCTAACAATATAAGTCTTTTTATATTGCTTTTATCGACTGCCTCAAACCTCCAGGTGTACGGCTCATTTTCTTTTTACCACGGACAAGGAGAGTCTGATTGTCTAATTAATAAATAGCATTGCGATGGCCAGAAAGTGGTAAAAGAAGTGCAATTTTCCATAAAAATCAATGCATTATCATTCTAAACCTGAATACAAATCATATACTAACATTCTATACAAAACAGTCTTTCAATCTTCCAAAGCAGAAACCTCTGCCACCTCAACATTCGCCCACGTCTTGACATCCGTCAACTGCTGCACCGGTGGCTGCACTGGTGGCTGTGCCAATACCCTTTCAGTCATAGCTGCACTCAGCGCTCCCCGCGCCACCGCATCTGTATCTGATAGAGTGACCGAGTTAACACCCGGTCTGGCACCAGCCGCAGTGACCCAGTGTACACCTTCAGTAGGAACACCAACAGCAAATCGCCGCTCATGAGCCCGACCCTTGGAGTCAATAAGCTGGTACGGGGCGTTCGTCACGTCCAGACCACCAGTTTCATACCCGTCCACGAGATGCGGGCGGCATTGGCCTGACTTGAGGAGGTGGGCGAGCAGGTCATCAGCTGTGTTTCGCAGGTTGGGCTCTGGCAGACGCGCTTCAATGAGAGTCGTAACTCGGACGGTCAAGCCGGGGACCTGTGGGGAGTTGACGATCCATGCCCCGTCTTCGGGGCGGACTTCTGGGCGAGGACCGAGGACGTCGAGGATGCCTGCTTCGATGAGGGCGATCATCTGCTCGATGCGCTGGCGAGGGGGTCCGATGGATAGGTAGGCGTTGAGAGGCGTGTACCACCGGTCGAGGTGGTCGCGGTGTGAGGTGCCAGACAACCCGGCATGGTCGACGATGAGACGCACTTCGTTGCGTAGATCCCGCAGGACATCCAGAGCGGCCTTGAGTGGACCATCGGCGTTACCGAGTGAAGCTTCATTGGCGTCCTCGCGCAGATAGTCGAGAAGCCAGTCGCGCCAGACGCCGGCCGTGAAGGTCTGCTCGCCGTATGGCCGGACAATACGTTCCCACGACCAGCGGTTTTCTTCTGAAATGCCAAACTCCTCAAGGATCTGTGCCTCTTCTGCACTTTCTCGCGGGGTGGCCAGGAATCTAGCCTGGAAATCGGGAGCCTCCTTTCCGTGTTGTTTCAACAGAGCTTCGTAGAAGACTGTTTCCACCTCCTTTGCGACGAGTGGCCAGATCTCAGTCAGAAAATCTGGTGCATTTCCAGACTCGGAGCGCTTGCGGAAGTCGTTGATCACTTGGTCGGTGATGATGAGGGGATAGTGACGGCCGTATGCGCCCTTTGCGTTGTCACCGCGTGCTTGATATGGGATACCGCGACGGGAGCCAGCATATAGTCGGGGCTCATTGCCAGAGGGATGATAGCGCAGACCGTGGGATGTGCGGGTGAAACGACCACCACGGCCGATGGTCAACAGGGCCATGTAGTCGAAGAAGTTGAGGCCGAGTCCACGCAGGAAAACAGGCTCACCGGGCTGCAAGGAGGAAAGGTCGACATCCGCTGGGTTGGAGGGCGACAAATGACGGAGATTGTTTCGTGCAGCGTAGATGGCGAGCTGCTGCTGCTCGGGGTCAAGAAGCAGAGGCAGATGGCCCTGGGACAGAATCACCGCAGCAAGACCGGGAATGCTGCGGCCAGTTGAGAGAGTGAGCGTCTGGCGGCCATCACTGGCATTGTCCAGACGAACAGCACGGGCAGAGTGCACCTCCACCTCAACCTCGGGGGGAGCCTCGCGAACGACCTTGTTGAACACCCATTCGAGATAGTGGCCGTACTGAGCACGGGTTGGGTAGTCGTCCGGTCCCAGCCCGAGTTTGGCAGCAGCAGCCCATTTGTACAGACTTGGTCCCTCGCGGATGGGGCCTGAGCAGACAACACTTTCATCGGTGAAGAGTGTCACCTGGGATGTAACTGTGTTCATCAGCAGCTCGGACGACTGCTCAGTGCGCCAGACACGGCCAGCGCCTGGGTTTGAGGGATCGACGACGTGGACTGTGAGGCGTGTGCCTGGATTGAGGAAGTCTGGAGCAGAAGCGCAGAGACGTTCGAGAGTGCTGGTTCCACGGGGTCCCATGCCAACAATGGCAATGTGGGCGTGGGTGGTGCCGGAAGGGATGGCTGGGATGGTGTACTTCATGATGTCTAGAATGTAGGATGTCTGAATATTGATGTTGCTGTGTTGGATTTCATTCTATTCTGATCTATGGGGAGTTAGGCCATATATACATCTATCCTGAGCATGAAGTTGACATCTAGATCAAAAATATCGTGATGTATAGAATGACAGACTGACTGTACAGTGTCATCTTACATGCGCTGTCAGTAGAATTAGGGCTAGCAGATCTATAAAACACCTGCATACTGCATTACACTGCATACTGACAGTGCATACGTGACAGGACATTATAATGCAGATCTTATATGACCATCAGAATTCAAGACTTCTAGACTTAATGTGGAGCCATGCAGTAATGCTTATTATTCAAGTATTATTGTATTGTGCCGAAGTATTACCGTGGCAATTGGCTGTATAGCACAAGTGGCGTTGTGTTTTGAGAGAGTAAGTCATGCCATTCACAATATCTGTTTCTAGCATGACAGCTCTATTTACTATCTGGCTCCATAGTAGGACTTAGCCAACTTGATCGAAAAATCCGACCAAAAAGCCGCCGTCGGCTATTGCGGGATTCCAGCATTGCATGCCTCTATTCAGACTGTCCGATGTCCGCAATACCCGACTTCCGCGCGAGATGACTTTTTACCGAGTCACACAATCCAGTGATATTATACACCTTTTATCCAGTCATCCTCAGCCTTACAACAAATTTTATTGTCAACTTGAGAAACACACAACATGAGCCCCTCCCTATGGAGTCAAAGCGATCCTGAGGCTCAGGCGCAGACTCAGGATGAAAAGAACTACCTTTCTATGGGAGAAGGAAAATCGTTCCCCCCGGCTTTACCAGAATTGGAAGAATATGAGGTCACGTTCGACGGCCCAGAGGACCCCGAACATCCATACAATTGGAGTCTTTCTGTCAAGTATGCACGGCCAATTGCAATTGCCCGATCCGTATTAACCTTGCTCGTTCCAGACTATACATCTCCGTCATTGTCTGCTTCGGAACGTTTGTCGCATCATTCGCCAGTGCCATCTTTGCCCCGGGAACCGTTGACGTCGCTGAAACGTTTGGAGTGAGTTCTGAAGTTGGAATTCTAGGTACAACACTGTTTGTGCTGGGCTTTGCTTCTGGCCCGTTAGTCTGGGCACCCTCTTCTGAGCTGATCGGCAGACGATGGCCATTGGCTGTAGGCATGTTTGGCGTGGGGGTGTTTAGCATTGGATCTGCGGTTGCGAAAGACATCCAGACAGCCATCATCTGTCGCTTCTTTGCTGGCCTCTTTGGAGCCAGTCAGCTCTCTGTCGTGCCCGCTGTGCTTTCCGACCTGTTTAATAACATCCACCGTGGACCAGCTATTACAGTATACTCGCTTGCGGTGTTTGTCGGCCCATTCAGCGGTCCGTTTATTGGGGGGTTTATCTCGTCTAGCTATCTCGGCTGGCGATGGACGCTCTACATTCCTGCTTTCATGGCCTTTGCAATGACAGTCTCGGATATACTATTCGTCAAGGAAACCTATGCCCCGTGTCTACTCATCGCCAAAGCCGAAGCGTTACGACAGCAAACCTCCAACTGGGGCATTCACGCGAAGCAGGAAAAGGTCAAGATTGACTTTCAGCAGCTATTGGAAAAGTACTTTACACGGCCTCTGAGATTGCTCTTTACCGAGCCGATTATCCTCGTTATATCGCTCTACATGTCCTTTATCTACGGCCTCGTCTACGCTCTCCTCGTCGCATATCCGTATGTCTTTGAGTCGGTGTATGGAATGAATCCCGGAGAGGCCGGTCTCACCTTTATCGGCCTTATAATCGGCCAAGCGTGTGGTTGCGGCTTGGTCCTCTCACAGCAGTCTGCATATGTGCGCAAGTTGATCGAGAATAAAAATGTGCCTGTGCCTGAATGGCGACTTCCTTCGGCTGTTATCGGTGCTCCAGTCTTTACTGTAGGAGTTTTCTGGTAAGAAGCCCGAAAGAAAGAAAGGACGAACGAATGAACTAAGACAAAACAGGTTCAGCTGGACCAGCTACACCAGCATCCACTGGATGGTCCCAACTGCGTCAGGCGTTCTCATCGGCTTTGGCATTATATGCATTTTCCTCCCGTGCTTCAATTATCTAGTCGACTCCTACCTACCTCTGTATGTTGCCACCACTATAATCAGATATATATACTAACAGCTTGCAGAGCAGCATCCACCGTCGCCGCAAACATCATCCTCCGCTCCACCGTGGCAGCCGGATTCCCACTCTTCGCCAAGCAGATGTTCAAGAATCTGGGGGTGCAGTGGGCAGGCACGCTGATTGGGTGTTTGGCGGCTGTGATGATTCCGATTCCAGTGCTGTTTATGAAATATGGACCGTGGTTGCGGGGGAAGTCGAGGATTGAGCCATAGGGGTATCTTGTATGTGTCACAAAATATATGAGGCCATGTCGTGCTTTCAATGGGAAGTAGGTAGTGTTCTTATACTTTGCAGCGTATACCCTATCTTCTAGCCAACTTGTTGTTAATATAATGCTGTCAGAACGCTTCATCTCTGGTGCATAAAATGTTTCATAATACACGGATGCAATTATGAATTATGATCTCCAGACAAACTCTGCAGTCCAGAACGACCTATTGAATTCTCTGATCCTGGTAAGTTGGAGAAGAAACCGCCACTTTTTAATTAAAAACTGACACTTTGTTTCAGCCATGCAGATTAGCACTTTAACTTGACCAGGGTTTGATTTTCTCTGGCAGGGATTAAATAGCGCCACTCTAGGCTGCAGATCAGCGTGCAGAAGGGGAAGTATCTTGGCCTATCACTCAGGTTAAACTTAGGTAAGAGAAAACACTAAACGGTCGTATTTCTGCAAACCAGCTACTTGTTAATAACATCGTCTGATATTGGTCTAGGAACACGTCAGATCATTCAACGCTTAACGCATCTTGGCATGGCTTCTAGACACCAATGATGGATGCCTACAGGCCCATGTTGCCAGCTGTGCACAATGCAATAATGCCATTTTGCTCATTGGTGTGTCATTTAGAGTCATTTAGTCATTCCCGGATGAACGCCATGCTGATCCGACAGAGTTCACCCGAAATTACGCCGGCAAGCCGTTTTGCCTCCAGACGATTTGGGCAGTCTCATAGGTGTTGGGGTGATAGGTATGGGTTTCATGATGTACACACTAGCCTGCTGAGTCTACATGCTTCAACTGTCAGGAAAGGCAGTTCCTCTGATCCGAAGTGAGTAAAGTGATCTAATCTATACCCACTTCTGCAGGTTGGATATGCCGCAATTTGGAATATGGTGAGGAATTTTGCCTACCGGCCCGGTAGATCAGCTGCCATATAATGAGGTTCATATCGCCGTGTACATGTCATATCCTTTTCATATCTTATCTGTTATCATTAAGGCAAATAATTCATGATGAGTTCGTCTACACCGCCTGGCATGTTCATACTGGAAGACACAATGGCGCTGGAACGGCGAAGGGAGAGGAATAGACTTGCTCAGCGAAAACATCGTAAGTCTATACTCGTCGCTACTGTTATATTCTATCTCACTAACAGATAAGGCCAAAACGCCAAGGGTACAAAGGGAACGAGATCAAGGGCGCAGAGCAGCGAGTCCAATAGTGCAACAGAGCAGAACAACCTGGCAGACAATCATAATACCGATGCCAGCATAAGCCAGGATTATACCATGGATGCATCACATAACCTGGACATGCTTGCCCCTGGATACAGCCATATCGACATCGACCTGGCATCAACAACGATGCCATTGGACCTCTCCCTGCTATATACAGATACCGTGTTCCCCGACCCAAACAAACGTGAGTATCCTCCCACAACGACATGTCTCAAGCTAACAGGTATAGCCACCGTTTGCGCTACCTGCCACGCCTGCGCCCAGCCACACTACCTATCACCAGTAAACACACCCACCCAACCCATCCAACCTACAGATGCAGAAATTACACCGAGTACGAACACCACCTGGACAACCCCCCTGCACATCTCCGTCACCCGCGGCCACCTCTCCGCCGTTCGCCTCCTCCTTGACCGCGGCGCCGATCCCAACGCCCTCGACGGCGAGGGCTCCTCCGTTCTGCACACGGCTGTCCGCTGCGGCCACTATACGATCGTGCGCGAGCTCCTTCGGCATCACGCAAACCCGGGCGCCGTTGACGCGGCTGGCTGGCTGCCGCTACATTACGCCGCGGAGGCGGGGGATGAAGATTGCCTACGGGCGTTGCTGCAGAGTGGGGGAAGCAGTTAGTGTAGAGGGTTGGAGTCGCATAGAGCCATAAGCGCCATTTGGAGTGTAGATCAGCGGGCTGTTTTTTCTTCCTTAATGAAATGATGAGTTGTTATTTGTCTTGGTTATTGTGGAGTCGTATAAGCACTAGACTAAGTCAAGATGAAAGATCTAGCTTCGGATATTGTCCTCAAAGTAGACTAGCCACAAACACCCCAGTTCAGATGAAACGCAGCAGTAGACAGAATCTTGGCAAGAAGAAACATGGTGAAGTCCTCGCTAGGGCTCGGAATCGGAATGAAGCATTCCTAGTGCCGGGCGGGCCGCCGGAACCAGCTGATCTGTGCGCTGTGATTGGTGCGCGTGCGAGTGGACGCCACCGCCAAGACGGAATTGCAAGTATATAAGAAGCCGATCGATACTATATTCTCCGGCGGCCTCGTATTGGATCACGTCATGGTGCTTAAAGGGGTTAATGGAGTCGTGCATGCTTGAATTAAGCTTTGTCTAATGCAGACAGATTCCTGGTTATTAGTGCGAGATATATGTACATATATCCCTCAGATGTTTCGACTACATATCGCCACAGGATCCACTGGATAAGTGTTCTGCAGTACGAGGTCGTACTCGGTAGATCGTCACGAAGCCAGCAAGATGGCTAGATCGGCCCACGGGGTGCGTGTGTCGGCATAGAACCTGCATTCTGTGACACCGAAGTTCTCTAGAAGCGGCTTTTGTATGAGAATCGGCATGGGACATACTGGGATCGGCATCTGTTGGGTAGGCCGATCTCAGATGCCCAAGGCCGTGCAGATATCGGAGAACTGCCGACAAAAAGGGTCGGCCTACTATATCGGTCAAATACGGTCATGCCGGTCCTCACCTGAAGCATCCGGACGGGCTGAATTATGTCGTGCTGCTGGCGTTGATAAAGTTTAGTTAGACGGCAATTATCTAAATAGCCTTTCAAGCCAGGAAGCATTCCCCCTCTGTTGAACTGGTGACTGGGCAATGATCGTCCTATATCCGGTGAAGCAGTCTGAAACGTGGCCTGATATTGATGGCGCATAAGCCAGACGCCGGTAGGTCATGTGTTGGAATTGCGAACCCTGCTTGATTTTTATATTGATTTGCCTGCAAGGGTTCCTATCATGGACAGTAATCCACATCTCCGACACTCCCCGTCCACTCAAAATGCACCACATCAACAATCCTCCTCAGCGTGGCTGGTTTCAATAGACTCCGCGTGATGTCCGCCATCCACGCCAGATGCTGCTTCTCCGATAATCGACATATCGCATATCCAACGTCCAGCTGAGCTCGTGTTCGGCCAACATGCGGTCCGTCTGGCCCGAGCGTTCCGTATGGTTCCAACGCGTCAAGCAGATTCTGGTATAGATAGCCGTCCTCGACGGCGTGGTAGGTGCAGGCCTCGTACTGCGTTACGGAGGATACCTGCGTGCTCACTTCGTATACTTTGTGATGCGAGCTCATCACGGACCAGTTGCAGAATGCCATTACGACCAGTGCGCAGGTCTTGTTGGTGAGGATTGCTGTGGCTGCTCGTTCCAGGCATGATCCGACGAGGTAGTCGAGGTATTCGCACAGGTTCCCCCGTACGCCGCGTAAGACGACATTCTCGCGCTGACGCCGTGCAGTGTCGCTGCGCAGGTCGATCAGGTCGTTGATGAGCGCGCATGCCTGGCTTAGCACCGTCTTCTCCTCCACGTCTATCGTCTCCCCCGTATCCAACGACGCAGCAGCGACTGCGAAAAACAGCCCCAGATCCACGAACCGGTGCACTGTCAGCCCGTTCATCCGACTCCCGTACACCCCGGCCGGGATGAGATCATGCTCCCGCGCATGGTCACGGTAGTACCCCAGGACGCGAAAATGCAGCATCGACGACATCATATTGTCAAATGCCCACTCGGGGAATAAACCCGACAGCACGCAGAGTTTCAGAAACGCAACCGCCGCCGCCCCGTTCTGCTGGAGCAGCTGCAGCGTCCTGTCATCTGCGACCTCGCAGTAATCGCCGATAAGGATGTCGTTGCCGGCGTCGGCAATTGCGCGAATGAGACCATCCCGTGCTGGATCGCTGGGCACAGCCCCGAGGACAAAGTAGTATTTTGCATCGACGCAGAACTTCACATCCTCGGCGATGGGATAGATCTGGCGGTGGATGTCTTTGTGGGTGTCTGTTTTCAGGTTCGGGCGGCGATCCGGTGCGCGAATGGGTGGGATTGGTGTGAGCGATGCTGGTCCTTGACAGGTGTCCGGGGGTGGTTGGATATTCGAATTGGCGAGGATGAGCTCGTCGACGGCTTGTTTGAGGGTGGTGGGTGTGTACAGCGAGGTCGAGTTCCATTCGTTATCTCGCTCGAGGACGGCCAGGAGGGCATTGATGGTGTTGCGGATGGCGGTGCAGTTGGTCTGCGCCAGAACGGCAAGAATGTCTGCATTTTCTGGTACGGGGAAGAGGCCACGGCAGGAACATTCCGAGATGGGCTTATATGTTCCTGAAGCAAGATTCGTCTCCGCGCATGAGGGCGCAGATGTCCCGCCGAGAGGAATCTCGCCGTTGCGCAGGGAGTGTTGGAAGGACGAGGCCACGCGCTTGAGGGTTTCATATTCTGGGACTGGCGAGGAGATCGCCTGGAGAAAGAGTCTGGTCTGCTCGTCTAGACTGAGTGTGCTGTCTTGCTTTAGATGAGACAGGGACTCCATCCAGGCATTGATCCATGCCAGGTAGACGGCGACGGTGATGCTTCTCGTCGGTTGCGCAAGTGAATTCCCCATGATGGGCTACTGTGACAAGACGTATGCTAACGGACCCCTGCTTCCTATATACTCGAGGCGATCGGCGAATACGAACATTCTAGTTTTATCCAAATGAATCGCAACCATGGTCGAGCAGATTACGGTCGCAGGTGGAGAGGGCAGCAAACCAACCAGGCAAAACGACCTATCCAATGGGACTATCGAAGAGGGAAACCACACGCACACAGACTGTCTCCAAGTTTTCTGCAGTCTGAGGCGAGTAAAAGCGGGCTGGATTTAAAATCCAGCCGCGTTGGCTGACCTCATAATGTCGGTCAGGCTCCCAACAGGGCGGTTCTGGGCGATCATTCGTCTGCGGCAGTGGATCCTCAGCTGCAGAAAACTCTGCCTTGTGCGACTGCGAGGGATGGTTCCTGACCATCTCCCTAGTAGCGGTGTCGCCGAGTGACGAATCAGACGGCAGGTTGGCACTATTGCAGAACTAGGGTGCGATCTGTGCGATCGATCAAACAGGTCATACAAACTGATCGATCGCTGATTCGACCGCCTTTTCAGGGCACGATGCGGGCTACGGAGTCTTGGAAGCTGAAACATGTTGACAAACCGGCGGCCCTGCATGCAGATGATAGCTGATGGCATGGATGGCAGCTGAAATGCAGGTGGACGATGGCCATGTTTCTCGGTTTCTTCATGCTGATTAGGGTTCTGGTCTGTGTGCCCCTGGCCCCACCCGGATTTTATCTCCTTATCTAAACCACGTACTCTGATTGGCGGTGCTAACACCACTAGGCGTGCCGATCACTACACCCATCATTCTCCATATGTGATGATGCAGATGGAGTCAGCGGCGCAGATTCTCGCGTTTGGTTTAAAATACGGTCTCGCTCTTTTCCACATCATCCATCATGGCTAACCACACCATCACCATGGCTCTCCCTGAGTTTTCCCAATCTGTTAGCCTCGACTCACCGTCGATTGCTGTTGTTTTCCTTGGCCTCTGGTCTCTGTGGTATCTCTTCACCACCCTCCATGCCAGTGTTACCGGCGTCAAGGCCCCCTTTGTTGGCTATCGCGGCTTCTGGGAGCCGACCTGGCTGCTCCGGCTGCGGTTTATCCGTGGCAGTCGAGGGATCCTAGCCGAGGGTTACGCAAAGGTATGTCATCTCCCGCAAGAAATGATGCTAGATGGTTGATGATAGATGATATCCAGTTCAAAGATTCTATGTTCCAAATCCGCCGCGTGGGCACCGACGTCCTGGTCGTCTCGAGCAAGTACATGGATGAGATCCGCACTCTCACTCGCGATGCCACTGGTTCTGTGCCTCCGCTGGTCCAGGACTTGCCGGGCGAATACACGCACGGCATGCCGTTCTTGCGCAGCGACTTGCAGAATCGAGTATTGCAGCAGAAGCTCACACCGAATCTGCCGGCTTTGATTCGTGAAATGATTGATGAGCTGGATTTTTCGGTACGGACCGAAATGCCAGATACAGATGGTGAGCAGTTTCTTTTTCCTATCTTAATGGTCTCATCTAACATATGACCCATGTATAGATGAATGGTCAGAAGTCAACATCATGCCGATCCTCTCCCGCATCATCACCCGCATCACGTCTCGCGTCTTCCTCGGCCCAGAACACGGCCGCAACGAAGAATGGCTCAAGACAACAGTCGAGTATACAGAGAACCTCTTCCTCACGGGCATGGCACTGCGCTTCTTCCCCCGCTTCCTCCGGCCGGTCATCGCCCCTCTCCTCCCCTTCAAACACCACCTGAACAAGAATGTCGAGACAGCCCGTCGCATCGTGGGTCAGATCGTACGCGAGCGCAGAACCCTCCAGGCGGAACGACCAATGCAGTATACCAAACCCATGGATATTCTGCAGTGGATGATGGATTTGGCTACGGGCGATGAGACCTCGCCTGAGGATTTGGCGCAGCGGATGCTGATTCTCAGCGTGACGTCTATCCATACGACGACGTTGACCATGACGCAGCCGATTTACGATCTCTGTGCGCATCCGGAATTCTGGGATCCGCTGAGACAAGAGGTGGTTGATGTACTCCGTGCTCATGGTGGATGGACAAAGGGGACGCTGAGTGATCTCCGCAAAATGGACAGTCTGTTGAAAGAGTCGCAGCGCTTTGGGCCTGTCTTCCTACGTACGTCTTCTTTCCCAATACACATATGATACTAACAGAATAGTAACCTTCAACCGCATCCTCCCCAAACCAATCACCCTCTCCAACGGCCTCTCCCTCCCCGCCGGCATGCGCGTCGCCGTCCCCTCCAACGCCATGCTCAACGACCCCTCCAAAGTCCCCGGCGACAACGACCCCTCCACCTTCGACCCATTCCGCTACTCCCGTCTCCGCGAGAATAACCCAGAAAACAGCAACCGTCACCTCCTCGCCATGGCTGACTACAACAATCTCGCGTTCGGGTACGGCAAGTTCGCCTGTCCGGGCCGGTTCTACGCCGCGTACGAGATGAAGATGATGCTTGCGCATATGCTTGTGTGCTATGAGTTTCGGTTCCGCGATGGGGAGTCGGCACGGCCGAGGAATTTTACGATCGACTCGGATATGTATCCGGATCAGTCGGCGAGGTTGTTGATTCGGAAGAGGAGGCCTGAAGAGGGGATGGGGGCGCTTTTGAGTACTGTTCCGGCTTGAGATGTTCAATGCCTGCTGGCTCTGAAGATTTGACGATTATGATGGTTCTGTGTTTATTTACATCAGACAGATGTGTCTATTTCGGATACTCATCGGTAAACAAATCCATCCAGTATGCAATTGCCTCACTCCGAAAGTCATCCGTCTCAGTTCGCATCAGCCGAGTGGCATTGACGTCAAACACGACAGCACTGCGGTCTTCCAGGCTATACCTGGGCCACGTTTTGGTGCCATTGACTGCATCTGTCAGCATTATATCTATATGAACCCGTCAAAATCACTTACTCGGGATGTTATTCGGGCTGAGAGTATTCACAAAACTAATCACCATACTACTCATCAAATAGCTCAATGGCTCAAACGTCTCCTTCTGATCAGCCTGGTCTTCAGGACTAAGTGACTCGGACAGCGTAACGTTGTGGAAGAAGAATGCAAGGTCATCCTGTTGCTGTGCGCCGTACTCCCACCATTTCGCGTGGAAGAGCACGTCGTAGATGTATGTGTAGACGTCGACGCCATGCTTCGCCCACTGTACCAGTTAGACATGTCTATACTTGTCCAGAGATACTTACTGCATGGCTTGCCAGTCGCCGTCCGGCCTGCATGACCTTGTCTCCGTTATACGCGCTGGAGCGCTTCCACTGCCATCCCAGTCCTGTGTTATTTTCTGGTCGTCCGTCTAGGGTTGATGGGATGCCTTGTGCTGGGTCATCAGGGTAGAGCTGTGCGATTTTATGTGCGGTTTCATTGCTCAACCCGTCATGGGCGACCATATCCATGAATTGGGCTGTTGTGTTGATCCCCCCCACGCCGTAGTACTGCCATGTACCCTCGTCCTGGGTCGTGCCGAGGAGAATGGGCACCTTGACAAAGTGTCCTGCATTGAGCTCTCTTGAACCTAAGTCTTGGAGAAAGTCCCCGTCGACAACGGGGTTAGGACGGTTGAATGCCGTGATATCACTGTCAAAGACGGCGGAGAGGGTATCTGCGTCCACTCCCCGCAGACACGCAAGGGTATCAACCCCACCCGTACAGTTGGTCGCATTGACAAAGCCATCATATACCGGCTGCCACTCATCAGCCGCGACAGACGGCCACATGAGCGTCGGACTCCCACTCTGCATCATCGCCGCGCGAAACAGGCCCTCGTCACGCCCACCATACGCAACAAGCTGCATCCCAACACTGGCCGCCCCCGCCTCCTGACCCCAGACGGTAACCCTGTCCGGATCCCCCCCAAAGGCGTAGATATTTTCCCGTATCCAACGAAGCGCGAGTCTCTGATCCTTCAGACCCAGATTCGCGGCGCCTTCCTGCGCGACTTCGTTCCCGTACAGAAAGCCCCAGTAACTAAGACGGTAGTTCAGCGTGACGCCGATAAACTCCTGTCCGTTCTGCACGCCAACCTGGACAAGGGACGTCATGTTGAGACGCGGGTCCCGCGAGCCTCCATGCTTGAAGAGACCGCCGTGGATGTACACGACGACAGGAAGCGGTTCTTTCGAGACCGACACGTTGGATGCCCGGTAGATGTTGAGAGTCAGGCAGTCTTCCGATACGTACTCTCCTAGCACCTGCTGTGTGGGACCGTAGCCATAGCACATGTAGCCCATTTCCGTGGCGTTTCGCGGCTCACTCCATGATGTGTTTAGGGGCTGGGGATCGCGGAAGCGGAGGTTGCCTACTGGTGGCTGGGCGTATGGGATGCCTTGGAAGTAGTCCTGGTGCCATTTGGATGTGTGGGCTGTTTGTTAGTATCTAGTTTTAAGGGGATGTATAGGACATACTGCCGTAGTAGGTTCCATTCTTGGTTATAGCTGTTGGGACGTTATTGGTAGTATTCAGGGTCAACGCAGAGACTGCGCTGGCCAGAAGGACACTGAGAGTACAGACAGTGTGCATGCTGACTGTTGAAGAATAGTTGATCAATGCTACATAGATCATACTATTTATACGACCATTCCCTTTGTATTATAGCCCCACTATTACCTACAAGGAATAGAGTAACTACTGCGGCTGTGCTGCTTGCACAAGTATGCATACGTATATCACACACTGCAAGTAACAAGCGCCTTTATTAACAATACCCAGTCATGGTAGAAAGAAAGTGGAGGTGATATTGAGTTAAGAAGAGAAAGCCGCGTGGCCCTCATACTACCGGCTACCGAACCTTGTTGCCGATAGACTTTATAGTTCTTTTTGGCTAATCATTTTGAGTTATGAAGTGAGTAAGCGGTGTTTCAATTACCCTATTGGGTTAGGGTCTTTTGCATAGATCTTGGCACGGTTTAGATATTTACCTTTGGGGGTGATTTGGACGCTCCCCTTTTAGAGCAGGTAAATACAAGATAAGGAATATCAACTATAGGTAGCTATGGTGAGAGGAAGAATATGTTCTGTCTGTAATGGGGGGATAGATGGCATCTATGACCCTGTCTATCTGTCGGAGTGGTGAGGAAGCCAGGCACACTTCATCAAAGTGGATACTGCTGATCTTTCCACAGCCTTGGATCTTGAATTCATGCTGCCTGATCGGTTGATATCCGGTGTCAGTACTATGCATGCAGGGTAATAAAGTAGACGCTCATTGGTTGCACTGTCTATCCAAGTGCTACGCGTTGTATTGCGTTGTCGATGTAGATATATTTGGCAGAAGTGGGTTTTAATTTATGTCGAAGATACATATATGAAGGAGCTCCTGTTTAAGGTTGTCATTTCTCAACTGCAACTGACATGGCTTCTTCATTGCTGAAATCTGCCCTTTTGGGTCTTGCTGCTGCATTCGTGGTTGACGCTTCCAGCCCTGCCGTGCAGAATACCTGCGACCAGATCAACTATCGAAAGTCGGTATGCATCATCATCCTGATAGTCTATCTCTTCTGACCTGTTCAGTGGAATGTGCTTAGCGACGATGAGAAGCACGAGTTCATTCAAGCCGAGCTGTGTCTGATGCACCATCCACCTGTTACTGGCCTTGTCGAGAATGCCACCAGTGTCTGGGATGAGTTTGCCAATATCCACATCACCCAGGGAAACAACATCCGTATGTCCCTTTCTTTCAATCTGTAAACATAATCTAACTATATCAGACTACGTCGGCCACTTCCTCCCCTGGCACCGCTACTACGTGCGCGCCCACGAACTCGCCCTCCAGAACCTATGCAACTACACCGGCGCCCACCCCTACTGGGACGAACTCACTGATGTCAGTAATGCCAACGTCGCCGCTTCGTCCATCTTCGATCCAGACACCGGATTCGGCGGAAACGGCACAGCCAGCAACAACAGCTGCGTGGCAGACGGCCCATTCAAGGATATCGTCCTACACATGAGCAACCACCACGCACGGGGCAATAACTTCTGCCTCTCCCGCGGTCTCTCCCAAACCAGCCTCGAGATGGAAGTCGCATCCAACGTGGAGAAATGCTTCGGATACAAGAACTACACGGACGCCTGGTCCTGCTATAACAGCAATGGACCCCACGGCGGTGGCCACGGCGCGGTCGGCGGGCTGATGGCTGATCCGATTGATAGCTGCAATGATCCGCTATTCTTCCTACACCATGCCTATCTTGATAAGCTCTGGTGGGAATGGCAGATGGCAGACTACCCGTGTCGTCTGTATGATATGGGTGGGAATAATACCGCGCCGGACTCGATTCTCGATCAAGCGGGTCTGTCGCAGCCCGGGGCGGATATTCTGGATTATAATGGTGATCCGGGGAGTGTGACGACTCTGCATCATAATTTGTGGATGAATTCGATTGTGGCGAATACGACTGTTGGGCAGATTATGCAGCTGAATGGGTCGGTGGTTTGTGCCGAGTATGTGGTTGATGAGAGTGCGAGGGTGTATAACACGAGTGTGCGGACGTCGGGGCATTATGTGGATCCTACTGTTTAGTTTGACAGGAAGTGTATATAAGGGAACCGGTGATTATCCTTCATGACATCCCTAAGCAGGTCTCAGCCCCATCCGGCTCAAATTGCCACTGGCATGTATGCGCAGAATGTCGACATCCAATTCAAACACATCTCGCGGGTTCTGACCAGGACTCGGTCTTCTGCCAAAGACCATCCGTCGGGTCAGTCGGATTTTCTGCGTTCCTGGCAGCGTCCCGGCTGGAATGGGGAAGACTTGCTGTTTCGCTTTCAGATAAATGTCCTAAACTACCATTATGTATGGACGTACCTCTCTCTGTCCAAACCGGGGCGTCCCATCTCTGCCCAACGTATACGATTCGACAAAACCATTAACCTGGTTTGTCCCGGCAACCTGGCTCCACTTGGTGATGATAACTGCGTGAACGTCACCAGCGCCCCCCACAATCCAAAGATTCATGTCATCACGAAGACGTCGAAGAGGTTCCCTCCCTGATTCAAAGACCAAGGGTGGCATTAAGGCACCCGGTTGTTGGATCATGAAATGAGCCACTTTTTTTGATCCAACATATGGACCAGAGGTAAACTCAATCACTAATAAACCATTTCGTTAGCCATATAACAAGGGATCTAATGAGATATGAAAGCTCACGAGTATTTCCCAGCCCAGCAAGTTGAAAATGCTCATCTATGGTAATGAGCCCCGATGTCACCCATTTGGCTAAAGCAGAGTAGCACCATTTTTGATCGCTGCATTCGATGGCCGTTGTCATGGTTCTCAGTTGAAAGACTTTTGTACTTGAGTTGTACGAAAAGCTAGTTTTAAGATCTCCATCTTGTAGAGTTTTGACTATTTCATCTACCCATTCAGAGCTAATCTCAGTGAAAATGAGTATTTGAGGTGTTGCTGTAGATTGGGACTGAGATATTTGCCGTATGGTATAGGCGCAAAAGGCAGCAGCATTATTGAATTCAGAGGCTTGCTGGTCAATATCTTCTGCCTGTGCGTCCATTTGGCAAGTGAATACAATAGAACGATATCCTGTCGGAATCCTTTGGGCTATCGATAGGCTGGCAGTATTGTCGAGAGATCCCGATTTCCATCTGGATATGCATCACATGATGATTATCTCGGGTCTGCGTCATCCATACGCATTCTATATACACTTAAATGTCCTATTCTGGAATCTCCCCATTGATAATCCTCCTCGCAATATTCACATCATAAACTCCATCCACATACCCTTCCGGTCGTGTATACCAACTCATAACCCTACAGTCCCCATGCCCCCCATCAACACTCATAAACAACTGAAACGCATCCGTAAACTTCACCCTCCACTTCCACCAGATTTCAGTCTCATCTACATCCGCTTCCCCGGGCACGTGGTACTCCACTTCTGCATCTTGCAACGCTATAGCCCAGCTTGATTTAGCCAAGCAGTGTTGCAGAATCACAGTCGAGTCGTGGATGGACCGCTCGTCGAGAATGGCGATCCAGTTGGGTGAAAGCTGGCCTTCGGAGTTTGTCTTTTTGAGTTCCTCGATGCGGGTGCGTGTATAGCTGCGGAGATCTCTATCGGAGGTGCTTTTGAAGCCGGTGGTGAAGGGTGCGATGGGCGGGGTGGTGCCCCATTCGTCGATATGCTCTTGGTCTGGGGTGCAGATTAGAGTGAAGATGGGAAGGTTGTCAAAGGCAGTGGTTATTGTTGTTAGGAAGTTGTTGATTGTCTGGTAGGTCAGTATGGGTTGTTTATGGTGGTGTTGTGGGAATACCTTGGCTGGGATGTCAGCAGTGCAAAACAAGAATACTGAAGTCATGTTGATGGTATAAAGAATTGAAGATAGAAGGTGGAATTGAGTAAGTATTCTTAAATACATGACACCCCACTGCACAGCCATGGTACAGCCACACAGCCTATCTATAGTTCGTCATGGGCATAAAGATCAGGACAACAGTCACATAAATGCACCTCCTCGAATCCATATGGATTCTGCAAAAACTAGCGATCTCGAGCCGTCCCAATTGCACTCACAAACATCGGATCCAGCGGTCTTTGATCAATTCTTTTGAATCAGCTGGAATGAATTCATTTAGAAACCGGCGCATCTCATCCATCACAGCAGATGATGCCTCTCTGCTTGGAATAACACCCTCTACATCTTGTATTCTTTCTAGGAATTTATGCTCAATTAAAGAAGTCTCTTGTCACATTTTTCTGTCTGTTATTGGCAGTGGCAGTGGTGCTGCGTTGCCATCGGATAATCAGCTAGATATGCATGTAGATGTAACATGTTCAACAGAAGCTGCAACATGATTCAGCTGCTGAGACAACATCAGTGACAGGTGATCTGATTATTAATATTCTAGCTGCCACGGTGAAGAATAAGAACAGTTTGGCTGCTATGAATGTAGGAAAGGATAAGCTGTGATACATCTTCCATTATCGGATGGACTGCGATCCACTACTATTTGTGACATCAGACAGAAGTCCATCTCGTGTCTGCATGAAAGTGGATACAGTCATGCAAGCAACATATTCAGTTATGGATCTACACTGCCAATCCTCGATAATTTTACTAACTCTAAGTCCATGCATGCTGCATACTAATGCAGTCGTTCGTCACCATCACATCGCTACATTCTTTCTTATATGCCCCGTACCCCAGATAAAATTGCAGAATCTGTTACCACCCCACGCCTCACATCTCATATCGCCGGCGCATCATGGGAGTTCCCGCCCACGCAATGCTGCGGGGTCCGACTGACAGACCAAGAGATCAGCGAGGACAACTTCAAAACGGTGCAGAAATGGGCACTGGAGAGTTATGCTGTATATGAGAAGTTGGCGGGGAATGATGGGTTAGCAAGGGCGCTCAGTGTGCGGATGCCGCTGTGTGCGTCGTTTCATACGTATCGTATTAGAGATGATAAGCCTACGTTTGCCAAGATGGAGGTGACGAGGGGGTTGAGTCCGGGGTTTTTCCGGCGGGGAGTGAAAGAGCTGGCGGAGAAGTATGCGATTAATGTTAGGTCGAATGGAGGGCTGAAGGATGCGTATGAGCATCCTGCGCCGGTAATCGATACAGACGCTGCCATGGGGCCACTGATGCGGTTAGTGAGGATTAAAGGGGCGAGAATGTATACGGACGCCATTGCGGGGGATCTATGCACGCAGGAAGCGCATTTGTTGAGAATGTACCGTGCCGATGCAATCGTGAATGCGACAGGCCTTGGAGCGAGAGACATCACCTCTAAGAAACATTACCTACGAGGAGCCCTGCTGAGAGTCTTCAGCAATGACTCAGGCTTTGCAAAGATCGAAAACTCCATCATCGTTGCGGCTGATGCTGGCGCAGACGGGAATACAGCAACATTGCATTCATCATACCTACCAGCCCCTGCCATATTAGGTTTAGCGTATACTACGAGGATTACATGACACCATGCAGGGTCTGAGGTCACTGAGGTAGGCAGTAACATGCCTTGACTATTCTAGCTCTGTAGGCCCAATTGAATCATCAACTGTAGATGGAGTGTCATCTTAGGCCCGTTCTACTCCATGAAAACAGATGTTCAAATTCCATTTCCAAGAGAGAACTGACTAATTCCCTTGCCTTGATCGGAATTCTCATCTACAACACTAGTCAGCCAGCCAAGGAGGTTTCCCGATTTCCGCTGTGGGGTAGACCCACTGTGTGAGCGAGTCATGTAGCACCGACATCTCCGAGCTAATCCGGCGCTTGTCATTGGTCTATGTTACTCTCTGTTTGCAGGTTGCGGTACTCTCCTCTGTAACCTGAGACTGTAGACACTTGCACCATTAACTACGTATAGTAAATGGTGAGGTAATGAGGCAGATCACGTTCGCAAAACTTCGTTTCCAGCATCCATTTGCGCCCGGAAAGATGTTATAGAAACAGTGACATCCAACCAACGTTGGTTTTTTACTGTAACTTCGAATAAAGTTTTCAAGAGCAGATTCTGTTACTGAGATACCTTTCTAAGGTAGACGATTGCTATAAGAAGGGTCGGAGGACTTCTCTGCTGAACTGGCTGGACAAGATCATAATCTATCTGCGATAAAGTACATTCAGACAAGTGAACATCATCCACCATGGCGGGTATCAACACAGCAGGGCGGCACCCAGGTATTCTCTCCAAGGCATTTTGCTTTTGAAATATCATACTTACTCCTACTAGCCCCCCAGAAAACTGCGGACTGGTATACCAAGTCATTTACAATGCCAAATGGTTGGTTTGCCCTGGAATATCCTTGGGTTGCTATGAGTACTCATGATTACCCTAGGATGTCCGATTGACAACCCATTGCATTCCAACAAGATCCAGCAGAAAAATGGCAACACATACAAAATATCACAGATCCTGCAGGATAACTATGTGATGGACCAGATTGCTCATCTGGACCGTGAGCGTATCCCTGAAAGGTCAATTTCTATCCACCCGACTTGGAACAAAGCAGAGGCTGATACTTGGATATAGATTCGGGCATGCTAATGGATGCGGCGCCTACGGAGAGTTCACGGTGACCAGTGACGAGATCCAGAAGTATACCTGCGCCGACTTCCTCTCCGAAAAGGGTAAGAAGACACCCTTGTTCGCTCGTCTGTCCACCACGTCGGCATTCCGGGGCTCTGCCGACACGGTCAGAGACACCAGAGGATTTGCGTTCAAGTTTTACACCGACGAAGGCAATCTGGACTGGGCCTTCTTTTGGCCGGTATGTAAATGAAGCCCACGCATCCTGTTTACAACAGCTTCTTATGCAATACCAGGGCGTGTTCTCTATCTGGGACAATGGAAAAATCATCACCAACAACCACGTGACCAAAAAGTGTCCGTGGAGTGGTCTTTCAGACCCCAACATGCACTTTGACTTCATCACGAAGAACCAGGAGGCGCTTAATTCGTCAATTCGACTCCACAGTGATGATGGAACCCCGAGGAGATACAATGATATCACAATCCGCAGTCTGAACACGTACATGTTTGTCAAGGATGTATGCAACGCCCCTAAACCACTGCCTATCTGATATCCGCTGACATCGTACCTCCCTAAGTGCCAAACATACTCCTATGTGCGAATCACTTTGGAGCCGGCGCATGAAATCCACACGCCCTTCACCAACGCCGAAGCTGCTTCTCAGGCTGGCCTTGACCCTGACTACCACACTCGCAGACTGTACAAACAGATCTCAAACAACAACGATAAGGTGGACGAGTACAAAGGTCGACAGGCGGAGCTGAATGCAAAACTCCAGGGTGGCAAGCTCTCAAAGGCAGAGCAGGATAAAGCCAAGGAAGAGATCAAGAAACTTGACGATGCTATCAAAGGCATCCATTGGCCCGAGTGGATTGTCAAGGCGCATATCATCCAACCAGAGGATGTGCCGAAGGTGAAGGTCAATATTCTGGATGCCAGCAAAGTCTTCCCCAAAGACCAAGACGATATCATCAAAACGATCGAGGTCGGCCGGCTCCAGCTGAACCGGCTCCCGCTCAACCAGTTCGCCGAAGTTGAACAGGCGGCCTTCTGTGCGGCCAACGTCGTTCCGGGTTGGGATATTGCCCCTGATCCGAGTACGTGAAATCTGCATTCTCTCTCTCTTTTTTATCTCAGTCAATTGCTGACAAAGGACAGTCCTCCAAGCCCGTATCTTTGCTTACCCTGACACCCAGCGCCATCGCCTGGGTGTCAACGCCGAGCACTTGCCCGTGAACCGCCCCAAGCATGCATGGAACCCGCTCCGACGCGATGGGCCTGCTGCTCTGTTCAACTACGACGATGTCCCTACCTATGTGGCGGATTACAATGGCGCCAAGGCAAAGGAGGGGACAAACACCGCCGATATGATCACCAACCCGGAGCCGTGGCTGGACGCAAAGGACCAACACCCCACTCCAGTAGTGCCACTGTGGGACAAGAATGGGAGCTTTGACGTCACCAGAGGCTTAAACGAGTGGGCGGAACAGGATCCCCTCGAGCAGCCATGGGACTACTACATCAATGACCTTGCCGGTCCTCCACCCAAAAAGCATGCTAACCAGAAGTACGCGCACATGGCGAGGACAAAGGGAATCCACTACCGTCAGTGGGCGCTGGTGGAGAATTACGCCCAGCACTTGTCTGCGGTCCGGGAAGAGCTTCGGGAGGCCACCTATGGTAAGAATCTTAAATGAGGCGCATGGATCGCAACAGTTGCTGACAATGTTGAAAGCTATGTTTCGGACGATGGATGATCAATACCGGACAGATAAGAGTCGCAAGTATCACAACCTGGGCGACTTAATTCAAGAGCGCACCAATGAGGTGATAAGCGAAAAGAACAAGGTCAAAGACAGTGACTCTGAGGGCGACGATGTCCCCGTCGGCCCTCGCAAAGCCACCCTTCCGTTGCTGGGAATCTCCCCCGCATCGGTGCGGCCAAACGAATCGGAGCTGCCAAACTAGATTGGATTCAAGGGCTATACTGCTTTTTGCTTTCGTTCGGTATTGTTTGCTTTGTGTCGAGGAACTAATATAATGTCTAATTTAACCTGCACGGATGGAACGTTGGATACATTCGATGACTCTGACGGTTGCCTTTCTGGCTGTGCTTTTATGAAAGGATCCAGATGGTCACAAGATATGATATTAATCGAATTCAGCATGGCTTTATCCATCAATCATAGTACATATGAAGGTAGAACCTCGGTGTATCACGCTGAAAGAATAGTACTTGTATTTGAATATGGACACTGCCACCCATATCCTTGGCTAGTAGACTGTCCTTCCTATTCAGTTTTATATACTCTACGAGAGGGGTAAGGCTCTACTATTACCGATATATAGGTTGGCCAGCATGGTTTTGTTCGTCGATAGTCGCCCGTAATAACATCGACAGGGCCGTACTTGGCCTGGTTGTACATGTGGATGCCCAGGCCGCTTATATCGATTAGCATCAGTCTTGTATGGAGAGGCACTTTATATACTAGCTGCGCCTTAGCAGTTGGCGATTCTCACTGCTCTCTTAGGTTGCATGTCCGTGATAAATATTGCTGGCTGTTAATTTGAATATCTGAAGAGTAAATAGATGTTTGTCATTCCAGACACCCTTGATTTATACCTCCTGATTGACTGTTACACCATCATTCATAGCATACATAAATGCACGACATAAGTGCACGACATAAGTGGAGACGGCAGTGCAGTATAAAAAGCGTATCCCCCTTCTATTTAATAATGTTTAACACCCCGTTAGAATAGTTCACTCTTTGTATCATGGCAGTCAATTACTGCGTCCCCGATGAGGCGCGTCAACTCTTTAAACAGGGGTCTGCCATACGAACTGCAATCGCTGATGCCAATCAACCGGCACCTGCAGAGTATCTCCGCCATCGAGGCCTTGGGGGCGACAATACTGAATTATCGTCTGACGAAGAGACATGGGATCTCAACTACTGCTCCCAATGACTCGTCCGCTCCTGCGGGACTTATAACAGCCAGGTCTAGAATGAGCTGTGGAAAAGACACAAGCCGCTGACTTTGCGTCATTGCCACGCCATGCTGCCCAATCTATACGAGAATGACCAGTGGGATTTGTCTAATCCTGCGTTTCTTAAACCCCACTTGGCGAAGAACCTCGGTGCGGAGTTTATCTTAGTAAAGACAGTGACGCAATTCCCTGGCAAGCAGGTTCATCTGGGGTATCTAATGGTGCTGACCAGCCTGTGTGGTCGGACGAACTCTCGGTTGAAACTGTGATGCGCTCGAACTATATAAGACCGTCTTGTGTTGAAATCTTGTTTTAAAAGGGAGAGATCTACTATTTAACCCGCCATCATGCTGACTTTAGTACATATGACCACAAGGTTCCGGACTTCTTTCTTTGGTGACTATTGCATGTGAATGCAGCGTCTCACTTTACAAGACAAAAAACAGGTTCCGTTCGCATCAGGTGGTGGTTGGCTCATCTTCTATGCTGATTGGGAGTCGCAGCCTAAGGGAGAATTGATTATCCTCAATACCAGCGATTTCTCGGGGCCTATTGCCATTGCGCAGCTGCCCTACGTGCTGCATAGTCAGGTCCATGACAATTGGGCCCAAAGCCTAAGCCTCACACGGCCTCTGCCCCCATTGACTGGCCCGATTAAGGATGCTGTGTCATCCAATATTCACAGCTACACAAGCTTGCATGGGACATGGGCGGCAATCATGTCTAATCAGAGTCGACCGGCTATTCTACAAGCTGAGCAGCTGTACAAAACCATGTTTACCTAGTACGAAATGCATTCCTCATTATCGATACGTGTCCTATTTACAGCATTCACCAAAGCGGCAGATCCGCAGTGTTGACGTAGTCAATATTCTCCCCAGTTGTCTCAATGCGAGACAGGCAAGTTCCAAACAGGCGATCCCAGACGCGAGTCTGTTTCCCATAGTTATAACTCGACTTCCAACCCCGGCGATGGTGTAGATCGTGGTCCTCCAGCATTAACTCCATCCCAAACAATCTGAGAAACCAGGTCCATGGATTTATGGCAGTGACGGCGATGCGCAGCCCACTATGGCCGAGGATCTCAGTGAAGACGATATATTCCTGACACACCCACCATTCATAGAATCCCAGAGGGAAGCCCATGAGTTTCATGGTGCCGTAGGTCATCATGGGAACCCCGACGATATCGAAGAACTCCTGCACCCGGTCGGCATACGCTGTCAGCAGCGGGTTGGGGTGTTTGGTGAGGTGGTGCGTGCGATGGAACTGCCAGAGGCTGTCGGTCTCGTGCATCGATCGATGGAAGAGATAGTACCAAAAGTCCAGCACCACGGCGTAAACCCCCGTCTCGAAAAAGAGCCATCCCCACCGGATAGAGGAGGGTGCCTCCTCAGGCCGATATGCCAGGAGCACAGTCATGATCGGACGGAAGATCATGACGGATAGTACAGACTGGACGGTTTCTGAGACGCCCACGTCGGGCACACCATCCCGGGGATGCTTATCACCGTCCAAAAAGCCGTGCAGGTGACCCAGGCGACGAAGGATATGCACTTCATGGACGGAGTTGAATGTCAACGCCACATGGTAGAACAGAAAGACCATCCATGGCGAGAGGTTCGAGGCAGTGTAGTTGACGTAGAGTTGGTGTAGTATAAGTGGTAGGAAAGCATGGACGATGACGTATCGATGGAAGTGCCATTCTTTGGCATAGGGGACTTTGTCTGTCTTTTCATGAACGGGAACAGCTTTATCCTCTTCGACATGGTGAACATTCAGGATCTCCAGCATCCAATGGCCTCGATTCCACGACTTTCGATCCCAGGACCGCCATGTCGACTTCATAGAGTCTTTGGGGTTACGTGCTGGAATTGCCATCTTTAGGTGCAGAAAATTGATAAAGAGGAGGGCTGGTAGAGAAAGGGTAAAGAAGATAGATCTATCGGTGTTTCGTGTGGAATCCCGCCTCTACATATATCTCCAGTATCCTAGGTAGCATGTGAAGTCTCGGTTGGCTTGCCACTTGGAACTACTATAATGTCTGAGGCGATGCGATCAACCTGATGACTTGTGGATCTACGCTCTGTGTTTCTACAATTCTCCAGTTTTATTCCAGAGATAGCTATACCAGTCTCCTGCAACCATCACAATCGATCTGTGATTCACATTCATTGATATTGTTTAGAAGGGTACAATATTGGTTTTAAGAAATATAGCAGATTATTCACTGCCTGTAGACCTTATAAAGATGCCTAATCAATCGGCTAAGACAGTTGGGCGGGGATATTCCCCCCACTCCACACATCCGGCCATGGGAGATCATCAGAAAGGATACCAAATTTAGTAAACGTTGCGAACCAAACTTCGGCCGTAAGATGAATAATCAAACTACTCTACTTACTGTACTCTACTGGATATGTACACTATCAATGAATCAGACTTATGTTCCGGTCTACCTTTACTGTGTTGAGCAGGTATTTATGACAGCCGAGTAGTAGGTAGATTAGATCTCCTGTGGTAATGGTCATCCACCTAAGACCTCAGCAGCCCATTTCAAACAATCTCAAATTTGAGGTATAACTAGGTCATGCAGGGGCCATCTTAAGTACACCCAGCACCCACCCAACCATCAAGTCCATAAGCCACACGCCAGCTGGTTAGTAATTCGGTGGGTGACTATCCCTGCTGTTGTATGTTTTTCTTTCTTAATCTTTTTAGATTATGTTTGGTGTTTCTTCGATCTAGTCAGTAATCGAAGATTGTTGAGACGAGTCATGGTTCATAATCTGCAGCATGTGAAGTCAAGAACGGCATTTTCGCATAGAACACCTTAAACCGCACTGAAAGTATCAGCCTATGTACATGGTCACTTTTTCCCATGAATCCATCGCCCCATCCATCGGTCATTCAACTCCTTGGCCTCATTCACCAGTCCCAACTCCAACAACAGCTGGATCGATCCTCGAGCGGCGGAGTGCAACGATGAGCTCACCCACGCGTGCGTGGGTGCAGTATGCTCGCCAATAAAGATGGTATTGTGTTCTGTCTGGTGGTAGGCGGGGATATAAAGCTTGTGCTGCGCGACATCCGGTCGACACCAGGCTGTAGCAGTATGCTCATCCTGCAACCAACACAAACGCTCATAATGACCGGTATACAGATCCCTCACATGTTCACCATGCAAATCAACAATCGAATCGAGCACCGTCTGGACGTGCTCTTCGTCGGAGAAACTCACAAGTCGATCACTCCAGTCTCCTCCGCGGTAGTGCATGATCAATCCGGGACGAGACTCGTTCAAGCCATATACAGGATAGTACAATGCTCCGACGGGCTCGCTGGGTGGTTTTGAATAGCCACCAAAAATGGGCTTCTCGCCCTTCTCCCAGAATCTCTCGGAGAATAGCAGGGCAACCTTGCAGGCGGACTTGAACCGCAGTCCGGCCTCGCTGATGGCACGACCCAGAACGGAGGAAAAGGTGGGCAGGTCCATGAAGCGGGTCATGGTGAATGGAACCGCCATGATGGTGTAGTCGTATTGTTTCGATTCCGCCGTTCGGTTGCTGACACTCGGATACCAGGACAGCTGGGTCTTGGTGCGATTCAGATGATCCTTCACAGGTTGGAGCTTGCGAATCTTGCGATTGAGGGAGAGTCGATCCCGAACATGGGGAAGGAATGCGTCGGCCAGCCGGTTGAAGCCGCGATCAATGCACTTCCACTCCGTCTTGCCCAACGAGTCTTTACTGCCATCCAGCCCGAGATTGGAGTTGTGGTGCAGTTCATCCCAGAAGACGTCGTAGTCGCTGGAGGTCCAGATCTGGTCGGTGATGTTCTCGCTCGCGTTGAAAACGTGTCGCATCATGGCTTGTTCGCTCCAGTCATCGAGGCCTTGGTCCATCGCCCGACGATGAGCGCGCCAGACGTCGCGTTGAAGTGATTGGAGCGTCGACTTTTGCTCCAGAATCTGATCCATCTGGTCTTGCGTGTCATTGAACTGTTCGGTTGTGATCGCTTCCGGCTCTTCCAGACTGGGATCCGCCTCGATTTCCGCACGGGTGGGAATCCGTCCATCGGGATGGCGTCTCGTGTCGAGAGCAATCAATTCGTTCGGGTGATGTTGCACCCAGGGAATGAAATCAATCTTCCACTGCGGGTCGTTGTCGTTCATCTGATTGAGCATCTCCGCCAGCTGAAACACCATGGCATGGTCTGTATACTCGACCGTCTCGCCGTCGTTGTAGGTGACACTGTGGGGAAGCCTCATCGGGCCCATTTCCGCCCATTCCTGCGTGCCGCCAACAAAGATGGTGCGGAAGCGCCCCCCAACCCGATCACTGGCCTCGATGATCTCCCAATTATGCACGCCCACGCTGTCGAGCATGAGAGCGGTGGCGAGGCCGGAAATCCCGCCACCAACAATGGCAATCGAGGCATTCTTGTCGTTGGGCGTGTTGGCTGTTCTATTCGAAGTCTCGATAGATGACACACCTTGAAACCATGCTCCAAGCGCATCAAAGTCCTTCAAGAGAGGCTTCTTCTCTTCTCTTGCCACATGCGTCCCGAACACAGGGAGGCCGAACAGCGCCAAACAAGCGACTGTCAATTGGATTGCCATTGTCGCGGTTGCTCTCCCTCCCTGTCCATGAGATTTTTGTTTGATTAAATAGAACCGACCCCGCGGGTCCTCTAGAGTCTTTATAACGATCTTCACGTCGTTTGTATAGCGGTGTTGTTTTGCATCTTGGCGGTCTCCTTGGCGGGGACCTTGAGAATTGTATACAATGCTTCCCGCTGTCGTCGGAATGAATGGTCCAATCAAGCCGCCCAATTGATCCGGATGATGATTTTGCAGGTATGAAGTATCTTGGCTTGGCTTTGCAGCCAGCAAGGTACCCTTGGCAGTTGGGTCCAGCGAATCCGTGCTGTTGTATGCTTCCGTATCATTTTTGGTGTTTTGTTTACAACAATCGATGATATTCTGATGGGCAGTTGGATTCGGCAGATTTCAGGGCAATTGAGAACGGTTGTAGAATGCCTGAGAGGTCAAAGGTTGGGTCGATCAGCGGGTACTGATTGCAAGCTGAGGAAGAGCCTTTATCAGTGCATCGTCAAATTGGGCTGTAATTGATGAGGACAACTCTTGCGGGTGTGATAGTTTTGTATTTCCGGAATGGGAGATTTCAGAAAGTCATTCTGTGCGTCATATCGGCAGTAGAAATGCTCACCATGATTAAAAGCGGTTGGAGAAGTTCCCACTAGATGATATCAGCTAAATGCTCGTATATAACCAGTCATGGGTGGTTGGCTAACAGGGTTTTTTAGAGGCGCCCAAATGCTCCTCAGACGGGGGAGCAAAAGGATACTCGATAGTAGTTTGAGGCGCAACAAACTGGACCTTTTCTCTGGGCCCAGATCCTTCCCATATAGTTCAGATAGAGCGAGGAAACCATATGAAACCAACGGGGGAAATCGAAAATTCCTCAACTGGCGGATCGGGTTTCTGCATGAAGCAGGTCATCCCCAAGGAAGAATGCAGCACATGTGGTATAAGGCCGGCACCTCACCACTTTCTCGATGATCCAGTTCGGTGACATGGGCAAGGGACTCATAACAGCTGCTAATTAGGGTTAGGACTGCTGTTGCTGATAACCAGAGGTACCCTTTCCAAGCTTTAGTAGGGAGGAATTATGATATTAATGATATCCCTCTCGCATGCGGCGCACACTACCAGCTTTTCTACTGTGGCGCTGATGCAAGTTGATAGGAAAGCTTCAATTTTGCAGACTTCTATACGTTTTAACAGATTAACCACGAAGAGGAGAGTCGGGCCGAATAACCATTTGTACCAAATAATTGTCTATATATTGACCCTTTTCTCTTGGATCAAGACATCATAGGTTTACCATGGATAGCTAGCGTCATATCCGATAAATCACCTCCGGTTGCTTCTCTTGAGGATGCTCGGATCTAAAAGCAAATTAGCTTTGCAGTCTCCGGAAGGGAATAAAGACTTCTTACCCCACAGGCACTGGCTTCAAGCGTAACTGGAGCTTCTGTCTGCCAATAGCAGTCGCAATAGAGTTTCCCAATTCAGTCTTGACCCAGCCCGGATGGATAGGGAATGCAATCAACCGCGGATTCTCGTGATGGATCTTGGCCGTGAAGAAGTTAACCGCTGCCTTTGACATGCCATACGCGACGTTGGGGACTGTCAGGTCCTTCTGAAGCGCAATACTACCAAAGACTGTTGAGATCACCACAAATATGGGGACGGTGGCTTCAAAAAGCAGACGGGGCCAGCTGCGTTGATGTCGAAATGCTCTTCTACCTCTGCAATAGGGGTGTTGATGGCTAGCCCCTAGTATTTCCCAATTCTATATTTATAATGATGGCGTTGAGTTTAGTGATGCAGAGCTCAGATTTAAGCCATCTGACTGTATCTGTGGCGTCTGTTGGAGAGCTGCTATCTAGTAAAGTATGATGAGGCAAGACTCTGGCCCAGTAGGCAACTTTTGTAACTCAGTCACTGAAAAAGTCAAATGCTATAAGTTTAACAGAAAGTAAGCGTCAATGCTAAAGTATCAAGTTCTGTAAACAAATGCCATGCTCACTTCCACTAACACCTTTATAGGTCTGGTTGTGGTACTGGTATTTTAGCAAATAATAGTCAATCCAGATCAATGAATAATAACAAAATGTAAGTCTTATGCAGGAGACGTTATGTTAGATTAAAATTAATAAACACCTGACCCAGCACTCTGGATCAAAATGTAGGGGGTGACTCCAAATCTTCGGATTGTTATGGATGTGCTGTAATTCTGCTGTGATAACCAAATTCTTAGAAAGACGGTGTCCGGTGGGCAGAATTAAATCGACCTTTGCGGTTCTAGCGGGATGAAACGCTGTGCTATGTCGTGCCAATGGATATTAGGCCCTGTATGAGAGTCTCCTGGGGAGTTTGGCCCCTTTTTTATCGGTTGCCTAGTAACATATCAGCAGATGACAGTCTTCCTCGAGTGATAAAAGCTACCATTAGCGTGATTTTTTTTTATTAAGTGTGGAGCAGGCTATATAATGGGGGCAGAAAGCAATCTCATGCTGCCTTGCTTTTGATTCTACTAGTACACAAGGACAGTAATACCTACTACCAATACATGTAATCAGCCCTTGATCAGGTCTATTATGTTATTGGGTAAGATATCTCAATACTATCTCACCTATTCTAGTGTTGCCTGGTATCTCTTGGCCGATGCACACCACTTCAAATGGGTTTCCGCAAAGGCCAGCGCCGTAGTGGGCAGAACCTCCTCGTACCTCTTCCCACTAACCTCCACCTTCAGCCTCTGATATATTTCCATAGCAGTACATAGACTGGCGTTGTGGATCCGACATATCTCCCCAACAACCTCGGGAAATATCTCGTCCCCACCTGCCTGTTCGCGCAGCGAAACCAAAACTGCGTTCATCATCTCCCCATTTCGACAATCCTTTTCAAGCCCAATGAGGTCATTTTGAAGGCCGACGACCAAGCCGACCATGCTTTGAAGTTGTTGGACTCTGGAGACGAATTCCGGATCAACTCCCGGGTACGGGCTGCAGATGAGCGTAAAGAACGGATCAATCCCCATTGTCCGCCCACGAATGTGCAGGTAGGTTTCCAGGTTGTTGGGGAGCTTTTCTTGACGAAATAAAAGCTCGTCACGGTGTCCCTGGCACATACGGCAAATGTCGTTGGTGAGGTTGTGGAAAGCTGTGCCGGAGAGACCGAGGTTCTCGCTGCAGTAGTCACGGAAAGTGAATAGGACAAATGGGACTGCACCCGCTGGGTATTCTATGAATATAGTGAGTTAAGGTTTGTAAGAATGCTACAATACCGGAGCGACTTACGATTCGATCTGTCTGCCTGGAGCATAGCAATGCTCTCTTCCAAGACACGAACCCCGTCAGCCGGGTGCATCTCTTCCAGCTCATCATCCACCGCGCAATTGGCTGCGAGCCATGCAGCCATACAAATTCGAACCGACTCGGATTTGATGTCCGGGAAGAAGAGGTTGACGGCGCCCACTTCAGCTTTACACGACTCGAGTATTCTGTTGGTATCCTTGGCCTTTTCGGGCTGGATTGAGGTCTTGAATGCCAAATGGGCACTTATGACGTACACGCAGCGCGATGGAGGACCATTCACAATATCATAGTGAGGAAGTTGTAACTATATGGTTTGACTTGTCAGCGGCAATCACAAAGTACCAGAAGATCAATCAAACCTGAAGGGATAGGTCTCGCATTTTCAAAGGAATTGCGCATGACCTGGTCACTGGTTCCTGGTGAAGGCGTTCATATTCAGGAAGATTCTGCATCACTGCCATTGTGGCGTTTTCAATAGGGGCAGTATTAAACAAACTGCAAGATTTGGGGGCGGCTTTTAACTCAATGACTTGCACCTCAATGTGGCCCAGGACATATATAATATATATATACATCTCTCCTGTGGCTTTAAAAGTGATACACGGCCCCCATCTGCTAACGTCGTGAAGGAAGAATCCTTCGACTTGGCTCACGCGACGTATGCTTTAGTGTCCTGATAATCAACTAGCCATCAGTTGACATCCGCAATAAGCCGGCACGCCGTTGTTCTTTCCAGCTCAGGCCAACCGCGATGAGGCATTCGGCTTCTGAATACCTGTTTTCCGAGCTGGAGAGGACGATCCCAACTTCAAGCCCGTTGACGACCTCCTGCTGTGCGGTAGCGCCGCCGTCGACTATGCCTCGTACGTCTCTAACGCTCATCTATCAAATGCTCATCCTAACCCTCCGGCCTCATCCCCTACTGGAAGTTCGCGGTTCGATCTATCCTCTAACCGTTGACTTCGCCCCCACGCTAGTGTCTCTTCGAGCCATGAATTTCAAGGGTGTCGGCATTCAAGGTCCGCTAGTTGCCTTGCGCAACAGTCTACACAGCTTGATGAAATTTGCGGCCGAGAAGATTGTCCTGACGACGATGGCTTTCCCGTTGATCGAGGGTGGCGTTGATGCCATGGAGACGCTTCAGAATGGAAAGATGAGGTATCGTGGGGTGTTGGTTCGTTAGAATTATGGGTCATGCTTGACAAAGAGTAATACAACTCTGCATGATTTTCTAGGAGCCATTGCTTGATTAAAGAGACCCAAGTCAAAGAATATAAATGTCTGGGGTAATGTGAAGAGGGCAAGTCGTCTTTCTGTCTTTCTGCCGATATCTGAAATGCAAGTGTCGACTAGATTGGGCCACTGTTTGAGAACACTCATATATACAATACACCCAGCATTTATCAAGTGAGAGTGATCTCAGACCTGAAACTCCTTCACCCACTGCTCAAAGTATCCAGGCTGGAGCACCACATTAACAATCCTTCTATACAGCTAGTCAGGAAGAAAGAAAGAAAACCCACTAAAGATGAAACCCCCTCTACGTAATTTGTTGCTTGGGAAATTCCTATCACATATTGACTTTAAACCAACTGATCATGCCCCAAGATACCCAGTCAGACCTGGCGCCGCGTCCTTGCCACGAATGTCAATCCCGCAAAAGACGCTGTGGCCGGGATTTGCCCGAATGCCTGCGATAATAGTGGTTCAATCACCTTTCTACACTTTCTAACTATACTAGAACAGGTCGACGATGCAGATACGCAGCAAATTCAGAGCCCCCAAAGGATGTGGATCCCCAGCGTGCACAGAATTGGACGGTGAACCAGTTTCCTGCCGCCTACTTCCTAGACCACCAAGTCTTTCGCCACTGTCGATCTGGAGGCTCTGGTGGCGTCGATGCAGATATAGGGGGCCGGAATCGCGTCTTCTCATCGACAAATGTATGCCTTGCTGAAACACCAGCTTGTCTCACTGAAAGTAGCTGGTGCTTTCAATATCACTGTCCTTCAATCGATGATCTTGGATACATCGTATGAGCTTGATAAATCAGCGTCATTATCAAATAGCTTGAGTGGGATATTTTTGAAACAGGTATACATTAACCACGAAGAGGATAGTCTGAATAATATTTGTACTAATCGCCCTATCTACTGAACCTTTCCTCTTGAATCCACAGCCCAGATCTCCTCAATAACCCCGTTCCGATAAGCATAGTAAAAGTCATGCAGGTTGACAGTCGGGTCGATATGGCTTGGAATCATCTCGACACGGTCCCCCACCACCAAGGCAGGAGTTCCCTCCTCCCAGCTCAACGAGCCATGTTCATCTCCCAGATTGTTGTGCTTGTACCTATCGTCCTTACACTCTGCCAACCCACTATCTGTCGTCAACGACTTCAACCCCGTGTCGATGGTAACCTGCCGCTCACCCTGCTTGCTAATCACGGTAGCCAGCAACGTCAAGCTGTTGGAGTAGAATGTCCCCACGGCATTGCGGTAGTCCGTGTCCATGAAGATAAACGACCCAGGCTGCAATTCCGTCATGCCAGGGACTGTAGCGCAGAATTCAGCCGTGCCCGTGCCGCCTCCCGTGACGACCTGGATGTCATGGCCTGCGTGACGGAATGCGTCCGCCGTGTCGGTTAATATCTTCATTGACGCGAGACATTCCCTCTGACGATCTTCTCGATCATGAAGGTGCTGTACGTGGCCCTCGTAGCCCTGAACTCCGATTAAACGCAGGTGCTTCAGCGTGCTAACATGCCTCGCCAGAGCCAGCGCCGGCTCCCCCGCCCTCACACCCGTCCGACTTAATCCCACATCCACATCCACCAACACAGCAATAGGCTCCTCAATCCCAGACCCTGCCAGCGCATCATTAATCGCCGTCGCGCCCACCTCACTATCCACCACGATCCGAATATTCCTGTGCCTTCGAAACAACTCAACCAGCCTCTTCACCTTGGGTGCGCCGATAATCTCGCATGTGATGAGGATATCGTCGAACCCCGCACCCGCAATGGCCTCCGCCTCCGACACCTTGGCAACACAGCAGCCTTTTGCTCCTGCGGCGGCGAGTTTGTGAGCGAGGGTGGCGCTTTTGGTTGTTTTTAGATGAGGGCGGATATTCAGGCCGGTGGGGAGGAGACGGTCGAAGAGTTTCTGGATGTTGGCTTCCATCAGGTCTAGGTCGACGATCATGGAAGGGGTGTCGAGAGTGGCTAGCGAGTCGCCGATGCGTGGGGAGTACATGTTGGCAGTCGTGGATAGAGAATGGAAAATCCAAGGAGAGAAGAGGGATTTGGAAATTGTTGTCTGTCAGACCAACGGCGGCTTTATAATGAATCTGACCCTTGTCGATGGCATCTATCTACTTATATGTTTATCTATTACTTAACAAATTCCTACCAAAGACAAGTTCCACGCCATTCCATTCCGGTGTTGTACCCCTCTGTCATCCCTGCATATCTCCCCCCTTGACCGTCATTTTTCCGTTTTACTCTTTATGATGATAAATCAATCACTTTCCTCGCCGCAGGGAAAAATGGATTGGAGGCCGCCGTCCGGTCCGCCAACGCCAGATCTTCGTCCAAGCCGAATTCTATAAACTGCGTCATGGCTTTCTCTTTCTCGGCAACAGCAGCGCGCACCGCCTTTGCCTTGTCGTCGTCGAGAGTCAATGCCACCCGTTCATACTTCTTCTTCTCTTGCTCCCAGCTACCAAAAAATAGTTGTTTGCGTCGCTCGACTTCCGTGTCATGGGCCGCAGCAAGTGATTTCAGCGCTTCGGCCCGTTTGGCTTCGTCCACTTTGGCCTTGACCTCCTCCTCGTCTTCTTTCTTCTTTTTTGCGGCCAGTGCCTCTGCTGCCATGTGCTGTCTTGCGAGGATTTTTTCATTCTCGGTGTTGTGGTAGTTTATCTCAAAGACCATGTCTTCGACGGCCAGAACGGAATTCATCCGAGCTGTATACTGCCTCATTGCCTTTTGATAAGCTCCGTGGGGATCAGCTTGGGCTTGCTTCATTTTAACCTTCCACTCTCGAACGTCAGCGTCATATTTCTCCTGAGCCTCACTTGACATCTGATATTCTTCCTCCATCCGGTACACAAAAGCGGCCTGCTCCCGAATTTCAGGTGGAAGAGAACAATGGTCAACTGCATAGGGATCCTTTCCTGTCGTCCCCAACGCTGAACAATCGATTTCGACTGACATTGTACGATCTGAGTCATCAAAATCCGGTGCAAGCGGACGTTCAGGCTTCGGGACGATATCGTCGAGCGTTGGGGCGTCCTCGTAATGGACATCTTTGAAGTAGAGATTCGAAAATCCAGACACCGAGGCGTTTCCCTTCAAATGGATAAATCTTAGCTTGATCTGGGATCCCTCCTCAATCCACGTTTTCTTGGTCCTCTTCACTGGGAGAAATTCAACCACAATGTTCGAGGCTTGATTGTGTTTTCCATAGAGATGCCCAGGGGTCTTGTTATCATCAAGCTGAAGACACTGTAAAAGAGGATCATTCCCCTCATCCTCAGCAGTCATGAAGGAAACAGGGTATCGGACGCCGTATTTGAACTTTCTCGGAGTTAGCTGCCATTGTCATCATCGTCCATCTGTGCTCACCTTGGGATGATACGTCTTGTTCTTGTTATCTGGTGCAGTCTTCTCTTCGATGACCACATTCGTTCTCTGATTATTCATCGCAATTTGAAACAAGGTAAGAGGTTTCCCTGACTCTTCTTTGGACAATGAGATGTTCGAAATGAGCTCTTCGTGACCCGTTTCTGTCGAATCCCATGTTAGTTTGGGTCACTGTATCCTTGACAGGAAACTCACCCTGAAGTGCACCAAACGCGAGACGTCTGTGAGTCACGATGCCCTGATACGTTTTCAAGTCCAGAGAAAACTTGATGTAGCTTAACGGGTCCGGATCGAGATGGGTGATCTCGTCAACCAACTGGGGAATGTCTTCATATCCTTTGAGTTTGCCAATTAACTGGTACATATTGATCACATCATCTTGCTGAAGTGAACGGTCAGTACGTCCTTAGATGAATGTAGAAAAATATCAAACTTACCTTCATAACTCGCCAGTTGTAAAAGGAGTTCACTGTAGGGCACCATTTTGGTGGGCTAATAGAAGATCGTGGTTAATCTCCTTGAAACCTTACTTTTAGCAATTGACTTACTTGTTGCACAGCGTAGTGTCACCTCCATTTGCAGACCAGGACATGTTATGTGTGAACTTCTTTTCCGTCTTGGTTGATTTATCACCCGAGTTGTCTGTATGGCTGTAATTGACCTCTGCCTGGGCCCCGTAACCAGACAACGAGGCACCAGCCGATGCCTTGAGAATGCGGATTTTTTCCTCGACAGTAGAGCCCGAGATAGAGTCAGATTCATCAATCGACACCAATCGGCCGCCTAGGTGAATGCTGCGCGCGAAGAGGATGCCTATTCCTTATCTTAGACCTGTGATTACAGCAGTGGCAGTATTGAGCCATACCATATTTATCTTCAAAGCGCTTTAATTCCTCAACGGACCGTTTTTCGCGCAGTATCGTAACATCAGCTTTGCACTCATCGCTCAGTTCAAGAGTCTCTTCATTGAGAATCAATTCCACACGAGGAAACTACTCAAGTCAGCATATATTACCAAGGCAGTCTTCGATTGTCCATGGGATGGATTACCTCATACACAGCATGCATGTATTTGGTGTCTCTGAAATGAGAACTCGCGCTTTTTTTATCATTGCTCCAGTTTGCACCCCCATGCACAGCAGCGCTGATGCCAAATCCTGACCCCCCTCTTTACAACAGATTAGCCCAGTCTTTCAGCATGAACGAAAAGGTGATACTAACAAGGCTGCACTAATCGAGTTTTGCGTAAAGCTACTATTGGCCATTGTGGTTTCCATCACTCCATTCGTCTCGAAAATCTTGACATTCGATGAATCTGCGGTATAAAACCGGGGGATACGAAAGGTGTGCTAGTTGGAAGTCAGTATATATTATACTTGTGCTGATTTGCAGGGGCTTAGACACTGACATCCGGAACGTCCACTCCGTGTTCCTGAATCTGGCTTTTGGTCTTTTCATCCATTTGAAATGTGATGTCCCAATTGGGGAGCTTTCTCGGCTTCAAGGCAAACGCTGCGGGATTGGTGAGCATGGAACATATGAGTGGCGTGATTCAACATACCCGAGTAATACGACCTTTTGACGTCGACAACTTCATTCCTCGGCTTGGTGATTTCGGGATGGTCCAGGACTTTGATGACCTTTTGCACAGGGCCAGTGAGTAGGGTTTGCCCGGAAAGGAGGTTGTTCTCTCGCATGACAGTCCCCCATTCTTTCTCCGTCATATCGGACGCGTGGCTGCGAATGTGTCACTAAATAGCAGCTGCATGGTTTAGCGGCGACTTACATGATGGTGTCGGAACTGGAATCGGCTGCCCAGTCGTTGTGATTGTATCTACTAGTCAAAAGCGACGCAGCAGGTGCATCTGCAAACTTGATGGCTTCCTTCTGTGTTGTGTCAGTAAATCCAATGCTAGAGGGTAGACTTATGGATCTTACGTTGGTCAAATCCACCCCCTTTTTCAAAAAGTCCTGGGCAATCGAGTCCATTTTCGTGAGTCTCTTGCGCATGGAGATGTATACCTCGTGTGTCTGCAGCAATCAGCATCGATAAATAACACCAAACGAGACAAGTCCATGGAGACAGGACTCACATCCTCTGCTTTTGTTCCATTCAAGCCGAGGTATTTTGTAAAACCAGTGCTCTCAGGCACCAAAACACCATCTTTAGTGCAGAAATTTCCACTTCATCATGTTAGCTCCAGCTTGAACTCACATACACCGTTGGATGTTTTATCTCACTCATTCTTGCTTAAAAGACCTTCACTCAAAAGGGATGCTCTCAGCACGCTCAAGGGCTTTTCTTTGAGGCCCAAATCAGCCTGGGCAAATTGCCCGCCGGGCCTTGCTTTACCGTCTCGTTGATCGTACTTGAGGATTATCAAATGAAGCTTGCCGCCATCTTCAACCTTGGTTCCATTGTTCCTGAGCGTAGTTTGGCTATCAAGCTTTTCCGGGTCATCTTCAGCCTTGGTTTGGCCATCCACGAGCTTGAGTTTGTCAGCGTCGGGGTCATCTTCTTCGACACGGTCTTCCTTGTCATCTTGCGCCACCACCTCGGGCTCTACTGTGCTGTTGAGTTTGGGATCATTTTCAGCTGGGGAATCTGAATCTTAGTCAGATTAATCAGCAGCGTGATGAGATGATAACGTGAATACTAGAGGAATCTTACCACTAGACATATTGGGCTACTGGTTTTGAATGACCGAAAAGTCCTTTGGCACAGCAAAAGAAAAACCTCCTGAAAAAGATATTCTTATTTTAAATTTTCCGCAAAGTGTGCTGGGAGGGGCATGATTTATTTATATTCCTAAATGCAGCTGAAAAGGCAGCTGAGAGTGAATGGACCCGCTCCCCTCAAAGTAGACCCTGTTCGAGTAGTGATCTACAGATTTTGTTCAGCTGGAGGATATTATCACCCAACCCATCATCTAAGCCCCGCAGGTATCTAAAGACATTTTAAGGCCACGCCATTCTAGAGGAAAAAGCTGCTCGGCAGATTATCAGCGACAGAGAGGAAGACAGATCATGGCGCCGGGACTGCAGGGGAGTCGAAGAGCTGGCCAGTGTCTAATATTCCTTTTGATTATTATGAATCTATCAATCTAACTTTCTCTTCTTCGCAGCCAGTGACAGTGATCAAATCCGCAGTTTTATACACTCAAATGCCCTGCAAAGTCCACCCAGGCTGTCTTTCTGTAAAGTCCGCGCCTTGAGCTCCAAGCCGATCACATACAGGGCATATCCTATACTTTTCACATCCAGAACCATACTCACGGCCTGGATTCTCCCGATAAAGTGGAAGAGTACAGACATCGCAGCTCTGTCCTGGATTTCCTGGCTCTGGCTTAGGATACCTTTCGTCTTCTCTCACCTGTGCATCTCCTAGCTGCATACCATACTCGAGCAGCAGTTCTCGAACCCACGTGTTGCCCGTCACCTCCATCCACCACGAGAGATTACGTCCAAAGCAATCCCGAGGCTCCTGTGGCAGCGGGTCATGGCGGAGTATCTGCCGGATTATATCGCCATGGCCATGTTGGACGGCTATCATCAAGGGTGTAAGGCCGAATCGATCCGGGCGATGCACATCACTGCCCAGCAAGGTGAGCTGTTTAAAGAATCCTTCATTGCCGGCCAGAGCTGCATAGAAGAGGGGGGTCCTGCCGATTCGGTCTGCCTTGTTCCATCCCATTTCTGGCGTCTGCAGGAGCAGGTCGAATATGACTTGATTCCCACGAGACGCAGCCCAGGAGATAGCATTCCGCCCAAACCGGGCATCTGTTCCGAAAATGGATACGCCACGCTTGGTGAGGAGCTGAACTGCGTCTTCTTTACGTTGGAACGCGGCAAAGCACAGAAGAGGTTGGAGGATAGCACCTTGCTCATGGTCGCCGTCGCCTGCATGATCAAGAAGCAGATTCAGTATTTCCATGTCGCCCAGCCACACGGCTTGCCCTAAAGTACTCAATTGGTGCGGTCCTCTTCGCTCATGCATGTCTGCCCCATGCTCCAGCAACAGTTCCATGATACGTCGCCTATCAGGGCTTCTCCCAGATAACGCTATTGACTGCAGTATTAAATCAAGCGGTGTGGACTGGTGCGGACCGGAAACATTGACTTTTGCGTGATGAGCCAGGAGGAGTTGTGTCATTGGCACGTTGCCCTGAATTACGGCATCAATTAGTGCTGTTATGCCGGTTTGACCTTGAGCGTCAATGTCAGCCCCGTGATTCAGCAGCAGCTCCATCAAGTCGACGTGCCCTTTCCTCGCAGCAGCGAGCAGTGGGTAGCTTCTTTTCTCGTTGGCGTTCACGTTGGCGTTGTATTTCAGCAGCAAATCCACTGCCACGGCTTGACCTTCGAGTGCGGCCAGAAATAACGGGGTTCTCCCGTGGGCATCAGCCACCTCGACATCCGCACCCGACTGCAAGAGTAACTTGATTGTCTCTTCCTGGCAAGGGTCTTCCATAGTCCTGTGTAGCGCCGTCATGCCCCCATCCTCGTCTCTCTCATTAATATCCTCGTTGTACTGCAGCAACAGTTGAATCACCCCGGTATGGCCCATCTCCGCAGCGCAAGTCAATGGCGTCCGTCCATTCACTAACGACAGCATCTTGACTCGGCGGTGCCCATCCGGCGGCAAAACACTCATTAAATCCTTTTGATTGGCAATTACCGTGAACACTTCGTGTATATTTTGCGATTCGTCCATGGGTTTCATGGAGGCTCTTCTCTCCAGGAACTGTTGCACTTGGGATTCATTTCCAAGAATGGCAGCTATCTTCAACGCGGTGCGGCCGTCCTTGTCGTCGCAGTCGGTCTGTAGCTGGCCGTTCACGGAACCGAATACTGTGACTCTGTCGTCACCATTGGGTTGAGTTATTTTCTTGGAGAATGACATTGTGATGTTGATGGGATTCAAGGCTGGTTGAGAAGTTAGAATGATGGATTAGATGTTGAGACTGATGCTCCTCTAGCGGTTGCCTTCTCTCCTATATAGAGCACTAGAGAAGCAAGGGATATTACCGGTTAGGCTACACCGTGTTGTTGCCTGTATCGTGCAGCTCGATCACTTACCTACATAGGATATGAGACATGTATCGAGGGGCTTCTGCCTGGTGGCTACATACAGGAAACCTGAATCACGTATAATTAGGCATTCTCTGAACTAAAGCTGCAGTGCACATACTGACCATCTGCATAGCCCCATATTTTGACCGGAAGACCTGAAAATAAAACAGCAGTTGAAATTGATGAATCCAGCCAGACGAAAGCTCACGGCCTAATAGAGGGTGTACTAATAATGCCAGTTCTTGTAGACCCCTAGTCGTATGTTCAATGGGACATGAGGGCTTCATAGAAGAGTCCAAAGTCCCCATCGATGGTAAACCTCATCCAGACCCATCCCATCCATTCCCTTCGCCTGGATAAATAACAGAGTTGGCAGGAATTTGGTCCAAGCTCTCGACAACGCCGAAGCCTTGTCTTGGCTTTTTGGGATGGCCTTGCTTCTATTGCCAGCTGTACCCCGCTTTTGTTGAGCCACGATGATCCCAGGCTGGTATACATTAGGATGGGTATAAGAACTAGCTTAAAGTAAAGGCTGATAATGATCTGGTAGAATTTACAATTGCAGAGCGTAGTGATGCTTTATGCTATGTCAATTGACACAAATTAACCGACTCATTGGTCAGCTCCTATCAGTCAAAGACTAACCTATATACGTTAGCGCTGTACCCTATCCGAATGATCAGGATTCTAATCACATGACTTTCACTATTATCTTTGTCAAGCATTTGATTAAGCAGTCGATCAAGCAGTTAATCTAAATATACGCCCATTCTAGGTAGTGAGGGTGTAAGTCTAAGCACTCTAAAAGAATAATCTATATAGATAAATATATAAGGTAGAGTGAAGCTCTGCTAATAATAGAATAGTATACTATATACCTACGCTCTGCATGCCTTCGTGGTTCCTACTCCGCTTACGAAGAAAAATGGCTGTGCTCCCTAGTATTATCGATTATTTAAACCTTCCCTATCATTAAATCATGTAAAATTGTTTTCTATGTGAAGAATATCCCAGTGGGTAAAGGGCTTGAATCTTCCTGAAGGGTGAACTGAATAGGGCGGTGAACCACTCACAACAGAATAAGTGGAGGTAGGTGACCATCACTATACATCCTACTGCTATATGCTTTTTTATGTTATTATAGGTATCTTTTAGTTTAGCTTTTATATTCATTCAACAGTGGAGTCAAAAGTTTCACGTTGGTGTTGATAAACACGAAATTTCTTGGGTTGCCTCGAACGATGTTATCATCACGGGATCTGCCGGTATCACGTGTCACTCCGCCTCCGCTCCTGTTGATCTGGAATCATCGATTCAATCTATCCAACTTCTCCAACTCCCCGATCAATTCTATCTCCTTGGTCTTGATCTAGTCTGCTACACTCTGCAGTCTAGATATCTATTTTATCCATGCTCTATGGGCTAGGGTTCTAAGCCAAGATTGCATCAACATATCCCTGTCCTGAACCATATAACAACATGTGCCTTTGAGATCTCCCTCTTCTCGACCCATTCTTTCGATTCCTAGGAAACCATTCTAACCCCGAGTCCTCAACACCACCAAACCGCTATCATGCCCTCCGCGAACAAAGGCAAAGGCAAGGGCCGCGAAGCCCGCCCGTCTCGAAGCCGCAACACAACCCCCAATTCCAGCTTCAGCTCGGGCCCCGCCTCACTGCCTTCGAGCTATCTCGACAACGAACCCTCCAAGATTATGGTCCCGACAACTGTGCAATACTCCGAAATTCTCGAGCGCATGGGCGGCGCCGGTCCTATCCCCGATTCCAAATCCCTCGAGTCGCTGATGGAGCACCTCAAGACCCTCAGTGAACTGGCCGATGCGCGCGGCGATGCATGCAATGCGGGTATCCGAGAATTGTCTCAGAAGCGGAAGGAAGTGGCGGAGGAGGCCGAGCCGGTTGATCGCGAAGCATCAGAACGCCCGAAGATGAAGCGCGAGGCTGACGATGAGGAGGAATCCAATAAGGCGCTAAAAGGGAAATTGAAGAAGCGGAAGGAGCGCGGTGGTAGTACAAAAGAGGACCGTCCGTTGAATCATGGTGCGCATGAGGTTTCCCGGCAGGATGGAGCGGAGACTAAGATTGAAGGCGGTATGTTGAGTCCTGCCCCAGACTCCCAGTACTGTTGGTTCCCTCTTTTTACGAGGGTCGCAATTCTTCCTTTTATTTCTACATGAACTTTGCTCTCAGACAGCTTTGCTAATTCAACTCGCTCAGCCGCTTCTCCTGCATCGAAAAAGTCGAAAAACGCAGCTTCAGAGGGTACCTCGTCGCTTTCTCCTCCCTCGCTGGCATCCCCCAAAGCTCCGGCGGCAGGAGCTGCTGCTGCCCCTCCTGATGGTGAAGGCCCCGAGGCCGCTGGATCGCCAGGATCGGAGGACAGTGGGGACTCTCACCAACCTGAACCCGCGCCCGCCGTTCCCCAAGTCCAAGTGTTTGGACCGAATCCGCTCAAGTTCGATGATCCGACCATCTACAATATCCGTGAAATTACGCCTGACATGACCGATGATGAAAAGAAAGAAATATACTCCGTTAATGTTTTCCCCAGTAGTGACTTGAGCCATATGATGGCTGGTGTTGCTCCAGATAAGGATTTCAGCAATGCCAAACCCACGAACCAAGTCAGCGCCAACACGTTTCTTGCCTATATTGAACCCCATGTTCGTCCATTGATGGAGGAGGATATTGCTTTTCTTAAAGAGAGGGTTAGTTTCCCATTGTTGCATCGGTATAGCATTCCACTGACAAATATAGGGCGATCGAACCACTCCATTTATCATGCCAAGACGCGGAAAGAAGCATTATACAGAAATATGGGCTGAAGATGACGGTGCTTTGAGTGTCGATCAAGCTAACGGCGATCGCCTACCGTTGAACCAAGGCCGCGGAAACATCGACTCGGTGACCGACGACACTGCCGAAACAGACAAGGTTTCCGTCGGACCTCTGGTTAGCCGCCTATACTCGCTGCTTCGATATGAACATCGTGATCCCTCAGATGAGAACGCCCCGAATGGAACTGCTAACGGGGAGACTTCAGCAAACGGAAATCTCAATGCGGATTCCATGGATATTGACCAACCCCAACCCACCGGGGAATCGGAAAACAAGGCACATGCTTCTGCGACATCTTTCCGGGATGCCTCTCCGAGTGGGTTCAAGGTTCCTGCGGCCAAGCTCGACCACGCTCAGCTCGACGAGCGTCTCAAAGCTGAACTCCGCCATGTGGGCTTCCTCGGGTCCGACGACAACCCAGACTACGATGCACACTACGACGATGACATTGCACAGCGTTTACGACTTTTGCAGAGCGAGCTGAAGAAGCAGATGATCATCAATAGCGCGCGAAAAGCCCGAATGCTCGAGATTGCCCGTGAACGCATGGCCTATCAAGAATACACGACCATCCACGATGACCTCGACTCGCAGGTGCAACAAGCCTATCTGAAACGTACACGTACCCTCGGCAAAAGCAAAAAAGGATCGCAGGCCAAACACCGCCCCGGCGGGGCTGGAGGCGGTAGCCACGTTGTCAGTGCTGCCGGTGTCAGCCGCCCTGCCATTGGAGACGTGGCCAGAACACTCATGGATCGTCGCAAGCGCTGGGACGACTGCATTGGTCCGGTCTTCAAAGACTGCAAGACCACTGTCCCTGGCAAGGGAGAAACGGTCTTTGACCCGTCGGTTATGGCTGAGTACGAGAAAGCGGAACTTGAAGGCTGGGACGAGGAGCAGGAGTAATATGATAGCTCTGATGTATGCGTCCTTCTGTGCAAATTCTCCTCTATTTTTCGTTTCTCGGGGACTTTTTCTCTGTACATTTTCGGTACTACTTGGGTGAAGGTATAGAGCCGGGTTGGCTCCCTTCGTGTGACATTGTTTTCTTGCCAACTACAATGATTGACCTGGTCTATATAGACCAGAACGGGGCATGGGTGATAATTTATGGATCTTAGCGGCGTCAAGCGAAGAAATAAGGTGTTTGGGGTTGCAGGCAGGTTTATTATAAGGGTTATTTATTAAATACCATTTTGCAAGTTTGCTATACCTTCAATTGGAATCATATTCATTTCTTCATAGTTAATGGGTATCGTATATAAAATTAAATCCTAACGATGAATGATCAAAACCTCACCCGGGAACCGTTTCAACCTCGCCGTCAGATCCCGCTCACTAACCTCCAGCTCGGTACAGATCTGATCGAAACAGTGCATTCCATCCAGATACTTGGAAAGTGACTTATCATCGATGAAATCCTCCTCGTCTACATCTCCCAACCCAGCGCCAAAACCGCTGCGACTCCCACTCTGGAACGAAGTCGAGTGCTGCTCGCGCCCATCATCGCTTCGCTGGCTATGTATCGGGGCCGCGTCATCGCCGATACTCGAGGCGTAGGGGCTATTCGCGCCCGTGCCGGGCCCTCGCGACGTGATCCCGCCATGGGAACCGGGCAGTTGGGAATGGGCGGACTTGAGCGGCGGGGCGGGTAGGCCCGTTGCATAGGCGTATTTGTGCACGCGGTACAGGAAGCCCTTGATGATGCCGAAGGTGATGAAACGGCGGATGTCGATGTGGGAGAGTTGGCGGCTGTGGTGGAGGTACCATTGTTTTAGGCTCTGGCCCTGTTTCAGGCTGGCGTAGAGCTCGACGATTCCGGTGCCGTCGACGACTTCGCGCTGGTGGGGGTCGTCGAGGGCTAAAATGGCCGTGCTGGGACTGCTGCCTTTATTGTTGTTGTTGGCGTTGGCGGTGGTGTTATTGGTGGTTGGTTCGATGGGGCTCTCGACCGGGGGCCAGACTTCATCCGGGTCGAGGTGCGAGGTGCCTGTGCTGGCGATGGGAAGCTCGGTTCGGGGGCTTGATAGGGGGTGTCCGGGGGTGGGGGCTGGCGCGGCCGGGTTGGCTAAGGGGGGTGCGAAGAGGGTGTTCACGTAGCGGGCGCACTCTCGCTGCATGTCTTCATCGGAGGCGACGGTTGAGCTGAATTGGGCTGTTGGGGCGTATATCGCTGAGAATGAGAAGATGTCAAGCAGGAAGAGGCACCCATAGTAGAGGAGATGGCGGATGGCGCGGCAGGTGAGGGAGAAGTCTGTATCGGCTAAGATGGAGATGATACGGAGGCTGTTAACACCGTTGATATGTGGGACGATCTGGACAGGGTTAGAAAGACGGTGAAGGATATGAGCAACTTGACGTCCGACCTACCCGTTGCATCGTAAGATCCCAGTTCTCATCCATGAACGCTTGATAACGAACGGTAAATAGGGGAACCTGCCATGCCTTGACCGGTGGAGGTGCAGGGTAAATCGGAAACAGCTTAATGTTCAGCGTATTCAATTCATCTGTTTTCAATCAGCGACTGAATTCCAAGGGTATTCCATCAAAAGCAGAAAGAGCAGTCCTTACCAACAGGAATCATAGATTCACAATAATTATTCAAATCCTCCATCAAAGTCTCACACAAACTATACACCTTTCCCTCACCACTCTTCGAGTGATCCCGAGACAAAAACCCACTCTGTTCTTCCAATCCGCGCATGAGATCCGCCAATCGCTGCACTACACTTTTGTACGTGCTGAAATCCTCGTCCTCCGCCAGGACCAGGCAGAAGTTGAAGATGAACTCATTGCGGTCGTATCGGGGCGATTTCATGCAAATCGGGTATCCCAGAATGCGGAAGCCATTTGTGCATACTTGGATCAGGTTTCCGCACAGTTCCTGACGTGGAATCACGAAAAAAGAGACATCGGAGAAGGTGAGGATGAGGGGTTGCGAAGGTGCGGTGGTGGAGGGGACGATCGCACCGTCGGGCACTTGGTGGACGACTTTGGGACCTAATAGAGAGATGGGTCAGCATTGGGTTTCAAAAGCAATGTTTTGTAGTCAGTAGATTGTTTTCCTCACCCTCCTTGATGTCGAATTTGCTGTAGAAGATGGCTTTGATCATGGTGGTATTGAGGATGAGCAATCGGAAGCAATTCGAATGCCGTAAAAGATCGCGTTACGGCGCATTGGCGGGTTGATGGTTGGTCAAGATAAGCTAAAGCTGTAGCTCAGCTCTCCAAGGCATTTTTTTATAGATTACTTGAGGGGATGATGCAGAAAAGCATTGCACCCTTGCGTTGAAGTCGAAGTGATGGTTTTTGGGTGAAAATCGCGGGGAGCTTTGGGCGTGGAGAAGCTGTCGCTTGTTACCCCAAATCGGTGGATTTCTGACTGACACCATGCCAGCAATTCATCGACGATCTAGCATTCTTCTAGCTAATGTACGAAAGATAATATCTTCTTTTTAAATTATACAAGGTTGGAAATTATTTGCATTAAATTGAATTGTGTATGTATTTCTGCTAGAACTAGAAAGAAAACACCGCCAGGACTTAGTATTTATGCAGTGCTCAAACAGAATCAACTCATTTTGGGAACAGTTAAATCAGAAACAAAAGTTCAAAAGGGTATTGTGTGTAAAACAACAGCAGTAACAACGGAATGAATGCAAAGAGTCATATCTATCAGCGGTCGGCAGGCCAAATCCAGGCAATGAGACGGAAGTTGTGAAATGTGAGACTGAGCGCTGCGCATGCATGCATGAATAAAAAACAGGCCCGCCCGCTGGAGGCTAGTTAGAGATGCAAAGGAGTGCAGTGGTATGAGAAGATAAGGAAGAAAGGAATGGAATAGAGGAAATTCAAGGTTCAGACTCGCAACCTGTCGATGGTTGCTCTCGGAAAATGAACTTTCGGAAGGCTGGCAAACTGAGCGAGGGCATGGGATTTCGGAGCTGTCATGAGTGAAGGAGCTGAAGGATGTGGATTTAGACACTGCTATCGTGCTGCGCTAGAGGGCTGGTGAGAGGAGCGTCGGATGGTGCCTGAAGAGAGCGGATGAGATGTTGGAAGAAAGTAATTCTCTCGAAGTGACCCTGGCATCTGTGTACTTGTTCTTGTCCTACCGAGATGAGACAATGGAGTGGACATTTCCGCCAGGAAGCTTAACGGCTGGCTCGATCTAATGGCACTGATGAGGTCTGCGTAACTTCCTCGCTCCCTGGCTTCTTTCAGCCACTGCTCCCAGTCCTCATCGAGTGGTACATCAACGCCCTGTTCTCGAGCCGCTGTCGCTGCTAGAAGACGGTAATTTAGTTCGACACCACAACTTTCTAAATCGTCGTCGCCTGAATCTTCTTCCTCCTCTGCTTGCTCCTTTTTGTTGCCACGAGGCTCTGGAGTACAGTCAACACCTCGGTCGTCAACCACGCTGTCGACGACATCTTCAAATGTTTCTTCTACCACTGATCCCGGGCCAATGTCGACCCCGGGACCGTCGTCGAAATGCACCTCCACGGATGGAAGCGGGGACGGTGCTGCTGGTTGTATGCCTTGGGCGGTTGTGTCTCCTACAGTGACACCATGTTCCTTCTCGTAACGCTGACGAGCCGACTTGGTCCCCTCCCATCGACAAAGAGAGGAGATCTCCTCCTCTGTCAGACCAAGGTCATCAAAGACCTTGAACAGCTTGCGATGCCAGGGAAATCGACCGAGTCTCATGCGATGGGGTCCATAGGAATAATCGAGGCCAGGATATTGGGCCTCAATGCAATCGAGAGACCCATAGAAAGTAGAGGTTTCCACCCGGACCTCTGGAACTAAATGGCGGGCAAGGTGAGCAGAGAAAGTAGCCGGGTCGCTTGTCCGTGGTCGTGGGAAGGTTGCATTGTACACAATCTGAGCAAGGGACGGTTTATGCATGATGAAGCGAAATGACGGAAGTGGAGGTGATACGAAAGGGTGGATATACTCCGTAGAAAGCGCAGGGAAGTAAGAAACGACCGGGAAGCCGAGGAAGGTTAGGCAAGTGAGAGGCAGGAATGCGCGTGGTAGAAATAGAGAACGAAGCGATCCTTCCACGTCGTTGTTGCTAAAAAAGGCCAGAGGTGATCAAGAGATAAATAAAACAAAGACAGAAGTAGAAATACGACTCCACCAGTGTCGAATGGATATGAAATCAGCAAGAATAAATAGATAATAATAAGGAGGATCGAGAGAAAGGAGCCAGCCTAGACCGATTCCAGTGGGGCGCAAATGAACCGAATGGAGATAGATGTGCAGAAGAGATCAAATGACTCGAGGTCGGGATGGCGATATTAAAATAAGGAATAAATAGCAGGAATGAGGCGATCTTCAGCCGCAAAGGAGAGCGAGAGATGATCAGAGTGAATCAGGACGATGGACGTGGATTATGTGACACGCCAACCAGAGAGGCGTCGTTGGTTTCGCCTGGGCCGCAGGAACAGGACAACAACAACCCCCAAAGCTGCTAGCAGATCCCCCCAAAGTCTAGGCTTTAAACACCGCAGTCCATCGCGCGATGATCAGAATTGCTTTTGTCGAGATAGATAGTCGATAGATATAGACGGGGAATAAAATCAAGAGGATTCAGAAGAAGAATGAGGGCCGCCAACCTTTTATAACGGTCACTGAATCAACACCGCTCTGACACGCATGCAACTGACCAGCGCATTCGTCCGTCAAACCCCAGTGAGTTTGCCAACTTAACCATATTATTATTATCCCCCCTCCTTTTTTTATTTTATTTTATTTTATTTTTCTCCCCGAGAGTCTTGTCAACGCACCCAGATGCAATCCAGATCCTTCTTTTTCTCCCTTTCGTTTTTTCTCTGCTGTAACTAGCATTTCCCCCCCCCTAGTCCCCTCAGATCCAGAGTGGCCGTGTGGAGTAACCCATTCGCGGGCTGAAGTGTTGGCTGGCGGGTCTTCCAAATCCACTTAGCAGCTCTGTTGTTTCCTGCAAGGCCACTTGGTCGATGGGCTGGCTACTGCTTCTGGCCTCATACTTGTAACTAGTCCGGAGTAGTTCTGAAATGACGGCGGTGTTGTTGCTGATCGCGAGAGAACCGAGGGCTCCGAATACTGTTTTCTTTCTGCAGTCCAGCCTGTCAGTCATCGTGCATTAGTAAGAGAGGCAAAGGAAGAAGGTGGTGTCATTTTTTTTGTTTTTTTGCTTGCCAGCCACCAGTCATCGACTATGATAGTCACGTATCCGTAGATAGAAGCATGTTAATTGGGATAAATCTCTGATGGTTTATCGCCTCGAGGATGGTTGGCTGCGTTTCTTCAACACTTAAATTCTACTCTAAATCCGTTCGACTGTCGATGCCCTCCTCATAGGTCACGTGCTCAGTCGCATATCCAAATGGGGATACCCTCGACTTCTCCCCAACACAGTCATCCCTCGTCTCATCCACACGATCCATCTCACTGACGACCAGTCATGCATCCAGTCAGTCTCACGTAGACTGGTTTTCAATAAGGCCAGATGTCGACTTTTGATGGGATCATCGAAGGCAAGTGATACAGACCAGGCTGAGTTCAGCAGCTTCTAACGTTCTTTAGAATTTCCTTACATCAAAAGTAAGCTTAAAGAGACTATCCTCACGTGCATCGACAAGGCTAAGTAAAACAAGTCGATCAGTTCCGTAAATTCCCGGGCAGACCTCTTCCTCTTGCATACTTCCTCAGCCATGTCCACAGTGACCACCTTCAGGGACTGGAGTCCTTCAGGGCTCCTTTTATCTACTGTTCAGCGGCGACCAGAGAGGTGTGTCTTCTTAGCTGCTGTCATACATCCAGGCTAATACTGTCAGCTGCTTCTGCGCATTGAAAAATACCCCCACCGCATGAACTTTAGTAAAGGCATCTTGGAATCACGAAGGCTTCACTATAAACACTTGGCAAAACTTTTGGTTGGTCGATCTTGTCAGAAATGGATCATGGTATCATCTAACATCAACAGAGACCAATTCCATTGAATACGCCCACTGATATCGAACTAACTCCACGGTTGTCCATTCGAGTGACTCTTTTCGACGCAAATCATTGTGCGGGCGCAGTAATGTTCCTTATCGAAGGAAATGGAAAGGCTATCCTCTATACTGGTGATATTCGCTGTAGGTCATCAAATATGGAGTACTCGCTTTACATTAGCTAATAGTCTCAGCTGAATCCTGGTGGGTCAATAGTCTTGTCAGGCATCCAATCCTGCTTCCATATACACTTGGAAATAAACGTCTCGACAAGATCTATCTTGACACGACATTTGCCCGCGCATCCAAAATCTACCACGCTTTTCCGCCCAAGGCAGAGGGACTATCGGAGCTTTTGCAAAAAGTCGAACAATATCCAAGTGACACAATATTCTACTTTCGGGCATGGACATTTGGATATGAAGAAGTTTGGATGGCGCTTGCTGCTGCCCTGAACACCAAAGTAGGTGATACGTTTCTACAGATGTCTCCATAACTAACAATCTTAGGTCCATGCGGATAGATATCAAATGGGCTTATATCGATCACTTGTCACGCATGTGAAAAACGGCAACAATTTCAACGAGGCGCCTGCTCTATGTGGCTTCGAATTGGGAAACAAGTTCGTCCCTGGATGCCTAAGCGACGATGAAAGCTCTCGCATTCATAGCTGCGAACCGGGTTTACCCTGCTCGGTGGTCAAGTCCAAGAAAACAGTCGAAATCCTTCCTATCGTCAGTCGAACGCAAGACGGTTTGGAAATGCCCGAGGTAGGTGCTGGAGGTGGAGGTGGTGATCTATATCAGATGCACGAACTCCTACTGCCGGATCAATTCTCACTGGAGGAGCTGGAGAAGCTGTGTCTCGAGCGCATACATGATGCGAAGGTGCTTTCTCAGACACGAGAGGCACTCCTCGAGGCATTTAAATCGAAGAACAAATCTCTCTCGCTTGATAGCTATGGTCTAAAGGATGAGCATGACATGCCACTGGAAAAGCTGGTTGCTATCCTCAGCCGTGGCCATTCCGGAAACAACCCTTTGTCAAACGATATTGAAGAATTACCTACAGCACGAGCAAATCCAAACAAACCACTCCCCAACACAATCGTACGTCTCCATCACCTCTATCCATCGTCCCTTCTAATGATACGTCTAGCACTTCCCCTACTCACGACACTCATCCTATATGGAATTATGCGAGCTGGTCTCCGCATTCCAACCAAAAGATATCTACCCCTGCACCGTCGATCTTCAAACTTGGGACGAAGACGTTTCCATGCAAAGTCTCTTCGGGCACCTATGTTCTGGGGATGAATTTTCCCACGACGCTCGCATGCGGGAAACACTAGGAAATGATGAATATTCTCGATCTCGAAAGAGGGCTTGTCTTGACGATGCGATCTCATCACAATCTACTCAATACTCATCCAGTCTGAGGGATAGCAGTCTCACTGGCATATGGTTTAATCTGGACCAATCCAGTCAGGGGGTTAACGCAGACCAACGTGCTCTAGCACCAAATCCAACATCACCCTCCAAAGAAACACCCCTCTCCTCTTCATCCTCAAGAATTCACCTTCCCTCGTCACTAGAAACAATTAAATCAACAATCCAGCAGACTGAACCTCTCCATATTCCCCCTTCAATGCCAGCAACACAAAAGTTCAAGCGTAACGAAATACGTCAAGCACGAGAGTTTCTCAAAGCCGCCAACCTTGGCATTCAAATCGGACCTCTGCCATCCTCATGGCCAACAGAGGAAGAAGATGAATTTAACATAAAGAAACCCGAGCCCGCGACGGGCAAAAAAGACGAACATGAACATGAAGATGTGGATATTGACGATGCCATCAATGATAATAACGATGATGATACTCACACCATTCACCCAGACAGTCAACTAACCAACCCCCTCTCTATCCCTGATTCGGCCTTCGCTTCTGACGAGGAACAAGTGATTGAGATAGATTCTCCTTCTACCAACAAGACTATATCACCCGGTTCATCTACCGGTGACAATGACACCATGCATAAATCCACGTTGACGAAATCTTCTTCCTCGCGACGGAGAGCAGCGTATCTAGCTGCCCGAGCTGATAGTTTCGAAGCCTGGTCTTCTGTATCGCTTGTTTCGGCGGGGAATAATCATACTGAAGAGGAGATTGAATTATAATTACCTACCTACTTATCACAAGGGATTAATTTATTGTATAAGATCCTGTATTATCATAAGTGAATACAGAAAATGAATGTATCATACATCACTACCCTTCTTTTTCATTCAGATAGACTCCTATAAAGACTTCACTTTATCTACCTGCAGCGACTCCTTTATTAACTAGGTCTAGGCAGACAGATAGTATACCATATATAAAGGCCACCATCATCCGAATTTCATCTCAGCTCTCTAGAATCTACGCTTCTCTTCAATCCGACAGTCCTCTGCACTTTTGAACAAGGCAGCTTCCACAAAACAGACATGGAAGAATGATATCATGCAGAATGCATCTTCTAAGACCAACAAACTTCCGCCCCATCAGCCAACGAGACATCGAGACCTCGCAGCATTGCCAACTCTTATCAACATCCATGTTCTGCCGGTCAAAGAATGGGTCACTGCTGCCTGAAACAGACACAGAAAGAAAGAGTATGCGCATTCTTCTTGTCAAAATCGCCTGTCAAACAGAGATGTTTCATGGAGATACCCACGCTACCGGTCTCCGAATCTGAGGGGAGAACATTCTCAAGAATGATCAGGGTAGAATTGCTTTGCTTCGCAAGGCGCCTGAAAGCGTCGGCGAGCTGTCCAAATATTGGGATGAAGGTTGTCGAGGTCAGAGTGAATGCTGTGGCGATCCAGTTGAGCTAGTCGAATTTGTCTTTGTTAAAATCCTTTTTTTCTCTCAATCCTAAGCGAGGCAAATGGGATTATATCCACGATTATACCTTGTGGTATGAGCCAAAAGACTTACAGGGTACGAACTTTGTCATGGAGGTCAAGTAGGGGCGAGGCAAGCGCAGGAGTGTCGCATTGTCTAGGCTAGGATACAATTCATTAAGCTTTACTGGGCTGTGTCGAGGACCGCAAACTATGACTAAAGCCTTTTCTGGGTCAAATATTGGAATGGATGTAATTTAGTTATTCAAAATATTTCATGAAGTGATACCCAACAACAAATCGTCACATTCGTATGAACGTCGCTCGTAGCCACAAGACAAAACCAAATCAATCAACCAACCAACCCCCTAAGAGAAAGTCCCAGGGTATATAAACAAACAAGAAAGTAAGTAGAAAAAAGAAAAAAGAAAAGAAAACCACGAATAAGACAAGCTGACTCCCAAGCGTGCTATACAATAGAACCAACAAGTAGCATGTCAGGTCAGGATTAGAAAACGAAAAAGTTCTGGGCAAGAGGCATTTCTTCCGCTGGTTCTGCGTCGCAGAGCATACCGTCTGCTTCGACTACGTAGCTTTCTGGGTCGACTCGCATCTTGGGCATGATGTCGTTGAATTTCATGTCTGGTTTGCCGATGTTGCGGCAGTTTTTGACTGCTTCGACGCGTTTCTTGAGGCCGTATGATTGGACGACGCCTTCGTCGATGGAGGCTTGGGAGACGAACATGATGGATGTGCTGGGGACACGGTACTGTTGTTTATTAGCTATTTGTGCTTTGTGGTGGATAAAAGTGTGCTTACAGCGAATTGAGGTCTAATGATAACAGGCTCGATGGTAGGAATAGATCCGTTGGGATCGCCCTGTGAGATCGCGTTAGTTATTATTCAAATATCTTGAAGTCCGAGAAACTTACCATCTGAGCAGCGGCAATCATTCCACTCTTTAAAATCTGCAACGGCTTGGTACCAAACGAGCTAGGGCTCCAAAGCACCAAATCCGCCACCTTGCCGACTTCCACACTTCCGATCAGGTGAGACATTCCTTGGGCAATGGCCGGGTTGATCGTGTACTTGCTAATGTACCGCTTGACTCGGAAGTTGTCTGCACCGGTGCCCTCGTCCTCCGCCAAGGTACCCCGCTGCACCTTGTTCTTGTGCGCGGTGTGCCAGGTTCGAAGAATAACTTCACCACAGCGGCCCATAGCTTGGGAATCAGAAGACATCATACTGATGGCTCCAAGATCGTGGAGCACATCTTCGGCGGCAATTGTTTCGGCTCGGATACGACTTTCCGCAAAGGCAATGTCCTCGGGAATATTCTTCGACAAGTGGTGACACACCATCAACATATCCAGATGCTCATCCAGGGTGTTTAGCGTGAAAGGTCGGGTCGGGTTTGTGCTACTGGGTAGCACATTTGCATGTTCAACGACTGAAATAATATCTGGTGCATGACCACCACCAGCACCTTCGGTGTGGTAGGTGTGGATGGTACGGTTCTTGAACGATTTGATGGTCTGTTCCACGAAGCCAGACTCGTTCAGAGTATCGGAGTGAATCATGCACTGCACATCGTACTCCTCACAGACATCCAGACAAGTATCGATAGCAGCAGGCGTAGAGCCCCAATCTTCATGCAGCTTCAAACCGCAAGCTCCCGCGCGGATCTGCTCTTCAATGCTGATCTTGCCACTGTCGTTTCCTTTACCGGTAATACCAACGTTCATCGGGAGACTGTCCCATGCCTGAATCATTCGACGCATGTGATTAGGTCCTGGTGTGCAAGTAGTCGCGTTTGTACCAGTCGACGGGCCAGTTCCTCCTCCCAGGAAAGTGGTAATACCAGAAGCCAGCGCTTCATCCACCTGTTGCGGGCAGATGAAATGAATGTGAGTATCGAATCCTCCGGCCGTCACGATCTTGTTTTCACCAGCAATCACATCGGTCGCGGAGCCCACAACCAGGTCCGGGTGAACGCCGTCCATTACATCAGGGTTTCCAGCCTTGCCAATTCCAACAATGATTCCATTCGTGATACCAATGTCAGCCTTGTAGATTCCAGTCCAGTCGATAATCAACGCATTCGTAATAACCGTGTCGACGCATTCCGCTGCCGATCTTCCAGATGCTTGTCCCATACCCTCGCGAAGAGTCTTGCCACCACCGACCGTGCACTCGTCACCGTGAGCTGTGTAATCGTTCTCCACCTTAATCCAAAGGTCAGTCAGACCCAGCCTAACCAAGTCACCAGTCGTAGGTCCAAACATCCGAGCATAAGCCTCTCGCTCCATCGAGAAACCGGTGATAAGGGCACTATCCGCAGCAGGCTCAGGCTCAGGAAGGTGACCAAATCCTTGCACCTGCAAACCAGCCAAAATCTCATCCACCCGGCTCAAGTCAACCTTTCCAGAAGCAATCGAGTTTCCTCCACAGATGATACGGTTGCCTGCAATCTCCACAAGTGTAACGGTCTTGGTATCTCCGGGTTCGAATCGTACCGAAGTTCCAGCGGGAATGTCGAGTCGGTATCCGTATGATCTAGCGCGGTCGAAATGCAACTGCGGGTTGGTTTCGATAAAGTGGTAATGAGAACCGACCTACAACAATCCCATCATCAGTTCCCATCTTGCCAAAGGCATAGAAATCTTATAAATACCTGAATTGGTCGGTCACCCTGGCTCATCACCTTGAGCTTGATTCTCTTCCGTCCATCGTTCAAAGCGACCCTCACATCCTTCACAGGTATCATCGCACCGGGCATCTTCTCAGGTAGATAATCTTCAGCAACCGGGTCGGGAAAGGTATCGGCCGGTGGAATGGGCAGGAAACTGCCGTACAACGCCTTCTCGATGTCTCCGTCATCGCTACTGATCGGGTTGTGTACGGTGACTAGGTAGGTACCGCTGGGGAATGTGCCTTCGACCTGGAGTTCGTGGAGGGTAGATACGACCGAGGGGAGAACGTGACGACGACCGAGCATGTTTTTGCCCATGGACATAAGGTCGGCCACCCAGTAGTGGCCATCGCGAATAAGCTAGCAGGCATCAGTAAGACAGACAGACAGACAGGGATAATCATTGGCCAAGACTACCTCGTGCAAATTCGATGAAATCAGAGCCTAGCTGGAATAATCAGTTATGGTTACGCGACAGACGAAATCCGGGGATGTTCGTGGGGTATAAACGTACGACAGCTTCAGCATGGTTCAAGCGAACACCCCGCGCGAGACGACGCTGGGCCAAAAACCCTAATTGGGAGATTGTGAGCTTGTCAAGCTAACTCTGGTATTAGCACCTGAATTCATTTTTTCCTTTTAGACGAAATTAAGTATACCTCCTTGGGGATGAGGTGCATCATTTTGCACGACCAGCAATCGTAGCAGTAGTGCTAGGGCTGAGCCGGTACACTGGCAAAGTCTTGGCCTGCGAATCAGTGGCGATCGATCACTAGGCCACCCTTGCGATTGGACCCAGAGAGATGGGTACGGTATTGAAGGGTATATATATAAAGAGAGCGGCAGGGTTGTGGACTGGGGGAAAAAGAAGAGATATTGCCAGTATTAATGAAACGCGAGCATCGCTTGGAAGAAACCCCAAATCTGCATCGGATTCCGGCGGGTTCATTCAAGAGCCGGGAAAAAACGAGGCCCATTAATATTTGTGGGGAGACGAGATGGCCGAGATAACACTGGATGATAAGCTGCGGCGGTCGGCCTATGGCAGTCGGCCGTGGGCGTTCCTCAGTTAGTCATGGTTTCTGGTAACATTACCTATCAACCATGGCCGACCTGCCGATGGAATGACATTATTATTCTTAGGGCGGTATGTCTGCTGCAGTCTGTAGGGACTCTGTGCTCTGTGGTTTGTAGTACAATTAAGTAATGGAAATCTGGGGAAGACATGCAGTAGTTGATTACTATTTCATTACTATTTCATGCCAAAATGCCAAAGCCCGGCAGAGGCAAGGATGTTACGCCAGCCAGCCACATGACGTCTACACAAAACCCTCTTCGCTGTGGATTTCGGAGTGCTTCGGCTACATCGAATTACCGAGTTTGTAGATGGTAGTAGAAACTTTTATTTAACTTATTCACCTGCGAAATACAACCCAGAAATTCTTACTCCGGACTCTGCAAACAATATAACCTCCCGCCAAGTATTCCGGCATCTGACAAACAACTTATAGCCAATACAACCCTCTGCTCTAGAGGTCAAACCAACAGTATACATTCAAGAAGGAAATTCCAGCACTCTATTCGTCAGTGCCAGCCTCGCTCTTGCGCTTCTTCTTGGTGCGCTTATCGGCGGCAGGCTTGCGGGCGGAGCTAGGGGCCTTCTGCTGCTCGTCCTCCTCCTGAACCTGGTCCTTTTGGGTCCGGGCAGAAGTGCGCTTCTTCTTCGGCGATTCCTTCTTGTTCACAGTGGGCGAGGCCACCTCCTTGGCGGCAGGCTTGCCCTCGCTACGGCGACGCTTAGCGCTGCTGCGAGGGGGAGTGGGCTCCTTGACAGGTTCTGGGGACTCCTCCACTTCTTCTTCCTCTTCCTCCTCGGGTTCCTGTTCCTGTTCATGCTCTTCCTCGTCTTCATCCTGCTCCGATTCATCAGCAGATGCCTCGGCGCCAGCGACATCCTGCTGGAGCTGGCTGGAAGCGCGCGCATTGTCGTCATCAGGGACGGGAAGGCCAGCTTTGTAGGCCTTCACCTTCTCCTTGTAGACCGCGAGGTTGTCAGCATAGAGCTTCTTCCACACCTATCAACGATCATTAGTAATCAAACTCCAAAGTGATATGATAGCGGCAAGTGCATACCTCTTTCTGGGGCTCAGGCATATCAGCCCAACGACGAGTTCCCTCATCGGCAACGTCCTTGGGTCTCGAGTTGCCACCCAATTCCTCAGCGATGCGGGTTCGGTTGTGCTGCATGTACAGGAAGTAAGGAGTCAAGGCCCGCTTGGGAGCGTTGGGGTCCGGAGGAGCACGCTTGCGCTTCTTCTTGTCGCCGCCCGCTTCGGACTTGGCGCCAGGGCTGGAAGCACGGAGTCCCAACAAACCGCTGTCAAACAGCGACTGGGTGATGCCGTTGATACCGCCAATGTCGAGACCGGCAGGGGAGCGGCCCAGGACGGTGTTGGCATGGGTGATATAAGCACGCGACAGGTCCGAGACAGCGGACTGCAGCTGCGCAAGACTCATGATGACCTGGTTCCATGTTAGTTGAACCTGGCCAGGAGGTATATTAGGTAGCGCAAAAATTTCAGGAGCAGCAGCATTGGTAGACTCGGCAGCGAGGCCAATACGCGCGACCATTTGCTGGGCCGGCGTGAATTGGCGTTGCGCCGCCGGCTGCTTGGGGGATGAAGCGCGCCTCGCCATGCCGGGAACACGAAATTTTACAGAGGGATGACAGCGCCCAAGAGCCGCAAAGAGAAAGCGACACAGGGAAAAATGCACGAGAATTGAAGAAGAGCAGTTCTCATAGAATAAAATAGCAGCACATAATTATCCTTTGAAGAATTTGGGGGGGGGGGGGCGCTTTGTAGGCTTCTTGTAGGCTTTGTTTACAGACGCGTTGGGGCTGCCGGTGTTTCCAGCACCAGCACAACCCCAGCAGGGTACAAAATGACCAGATGCAAGAAGAATATGATACATAAAAGCATGCTGCGTAGAGATACAGAGTCGAAAAGAAAGGCGAATCAACTTACGTTATCACGAGTTCTGGTGAAGTCGTCAACATTGACGCTGACATGGCCCTCCTTGGGCTTGGAGTCGTCCTTGCGCGACATTGCGACAAGACGCAACGGAAACACTCAATTGATATTTGAAAGTAAGACGATGAGACTGAATGTAAAATGAAGATAAGAGAAAAAAAGAAGAAGAACGGTTGTAGGGAGAAAAGAAGAGAGAGAGAGAGAGAGAGAGAGAGAGAGAGAAAAAAAAAGAGGGGTCACAAAATAATAATGGAGAGAGGAAAAAATAAATTTTTCATCGGCGGGCGGGTGGGCGGTAATAATTAAGGGATCCCCTACTAAATCATAGAGGCCGGCAAGGCCCTAAGACGGGGCCACTGCTTTGGGCTTAGGCCTTGGGGGGGACGCAGTGAACGGGTTTGCCTCTTTTCTCTAGCGGGTTTCATGGGCAGTCCGGAGTGTCCCTAGGCCTGGCATGGGCGCTAGTCCCGCTGAAAGGGGCCCCTAATTGGGCATTCCCACACCCCCATTATTACGTTAACTCACAAGGGCAGCTGGCGGATCGCCCAAGGCGCCCGGAAAAGGCCCATCCTCCTCTCCCCTTCCCTAGTAACCGGCGCAACCACTTCTTTGAAACCCTCGTCGCTTACCTGGTAGTTCGGGGGTGAGAATATTGGCCTCACAAGCCCAGCATCCAGAGCCCCTCCTGCTGCAACACCACCTCCCGTTTACCAGCTTATCACTCCTTCTGATAGGCACATCACACCTAACTCAGTATATTGGTCGACTGCAGCAGAAGGTACGTACATTAGGCTGGTCATTCATTCCCTGTACCCTCTTTTCTTTTCCCACACAAATATATCAGTCACAAGGATTTGCACTGAACTGCGTCTCACTTGGCCATCGTAGGAAACTCCTATGTAGCTCTAGCCTCTGCTTTCCCAGCAGTAGGCAAGGTAAAGAATGGCAAACGTCAACCATACCGGGACAACCACTGGGTCACCCCCCCCCCAAGCCCAACGCCACGCCACGGCCCAGCAATCGATCGCAAACCACCCCCGCCAACTTGGGGGTTTGAGGGCGTCCCGCGATCGTGTAAAAGTACTACTATGTGCCTATCAGTAGCTTTCTCTAGTATGCTGTTTCATCGTAGGATTTTAGCTATTTATGGCCAATCAATATTGTCGCTTTGACTACTCTGTAAACAGTGTAAAATTGACGTCTACATGGAATTGGATTTGGCTAATGTTTGGTGTGTGCCTGGGTGGTCGCATCATACCCCGCTATATATATCCAGACCTCCGACAGAGCTCCTGTTGATGACAGCTATCGTTTTAGACAAATCAAACAAAAAGTTATCCTAAAAATAATTAGAACAAGCCACGACCCTTTTCCGTACGTCATGCTATTCATTACGGTTAGATTTACTGGAAATCGACGGTATACGAATAGCAGTGGATATATGCCCGTTCGCTAAATAGGATATAATCTAATGACACAAGGGGTAACAACCCTATCAAAACACTCTAAACAAATGTTTCATCGCTCTTTAGCTTAGAACTTGAAGACTTGGTCCTTGTTGTAACCAAGCTCCTTCAGGATACCGGTCAGCTCGCCCTGGTCCTTGGGGCTGACCTTGTTTCCACTGATGGCGTTGTACAGACCGGGGGGTCCGCAAACGAAGAGCTTGATGTTCTCCTCCTTGGGCTCGGGAAGGACGGTCTTCAGGAGGTCCTTGGTGATGTAGCCCTTGCCACCAGTCCATTCGGCGGGAGGCTGGTCGAGGACGTAGAAGGCCTTGAAGCGCTGGGGGTAGGTGTTCTCGAGATCCTGGAGCTCCTTCTTCAGGAGAATGTCCTCCTCCTTGACGTTTCCGAACACCAGAGTAACCTTGGTCTTGTCCTCGGGGTTCTTGAAGATCTGGCGAGCCAGCTGGTACATGGGGGTGATACCAGTACCACCAGCAATCAAGCAGATGTGGTCGTGCTTGTTAGCCTCCCAAGGGTACTTGGGGAGAGGGCCCTTGAGTTCCAGGCGCTGGTTCACGTTCATGCTGTGGAGGTGCTCAGACATGGCACCGCCGGGGTACGACTTGACGACAAGCTCGAGGTAACCGGGTTGCTCTGAAAAATGAATGAGTACGGTGCGACACAAATGACACCCAGGGAGAAAAAAAAAATCAATTACCTTCATCGCTGGTGGGAGTGTAGGGGCGGATGACAGCCTTGCCGCCCTCGGGCTTGAACTTGGCCAAAAGAGCAGCTAAAAAGTAATTTGTGAGCTGTTGATCCAAAAAAAGACGAACCCTCAAAATTAAATCACTTACAGGCAACCTGCAGACCGGAAACAGCCTCCTTGTCCTCGAACTCGAAGCGAAGTCTCTTGGTGTTGTGGCTGAGCTCCTCAATGTTTGCGAGCTTCAGGTCAACCCATCCCTGCTCACCACCGGTGAAAACGTGAGGGCGCTCCTTCGGCTCTGCATTAGCGGTGCCCGAGTTGTAGCGCCAGAGGCCGACACCGAGACCAGCGAGACCGACAGAGATGTAGACGGGAGCGAGGGACTTGCCGCCCTTGGGTGCCTCAGTAGAGTACTTGCGGAAGCTCTGTGGGCGATGAGTTCAGCGCAGATTCTTTGACAGGCACAAAAAAAAAAAACACAGTGTTATTTGCGGGGGAAGCTCTTACCTGCCTCAAGGGCTGAGCACATCTGAAAGCTTGACGAGAGAACATTTTGTATATCTAATTGGAACAAGTAGGTTGGCCAATTGATGCTGGAACGGTAAGAAGAGAGGTTCTTTTAAGAGGAGAGGGCGGGCGACACGAGAACCTTGCTGCTTTCGGGGTCCGAGTGGCCGGTTTGGGGCATGACGCAATTTCGCTCCGGTAAACAAGCCCCGAATCCCGACGGATCTTACTAAACAAACGCCTGCTAAATATTACTGCGCGTGTGCAACAATGCCATTGATAGGCTTACATGGTGGTAGAATTAGTTGCGATGATATCAGAATGTCCGTCGGAATTGATTATGTAGCTCCCAGCATTTGGTGCTCTACCCGGGGAGATCAATGTCCGCAGTGGAATCCCACGTGTCTGCTACACACTGTTCGATAGGTAACAGGGTTGACCTTCCAGAACTCTGCATTAGACTTCAACGGCTCTAAGTCATATTAGACATTAGTACCTTAGTAGATGGACCAAGATACGATGACAAGACATGGAAGTTTGGAGCTGATGCAGATCACTTTCCAGCCATAAAGCCCGGTGAGAATTTTTTTGGCCATATCAGAATGTTCAAATTACACAGATTCACTATCAGTGCTTGCCCTCACTCTTCTCAACTCTGTTGCTGCGTTGTGCTTTTTTTTTAGTCACTTGGCGAAGATTTGTTATGCTCAACGTCAACATCCTTAACAGAGAGTAATCACCATAATAATAGCAGGATGACGCCGACAATCTCAATCAAAGCTGAACCCCAAGGATTGGCTTGCAGTGGATATATACGCCGTGCATGATGCACCTGAAGATCAGACATGAAGCCACTGGATTGTTCGCCAAAGAGAGAACCAATGGTAAAGCCCAATGAGTTTTGGTGATGTAGGATTCAAACGTAAGCTCGGCGTCAAGATATTTTGACTACGTTGGTTGTATTGGAGTATCTGTATGATTGACGACAGCATCTTTATCAGTAGCTATCGTAAGCTTCCCTTCGCTGTACTTGGTGCTATCACACCTCGACATTACATCAATACTGCACCATGCCTCGAAGAAGAGAACATCGTGATTGACTTGAGTTAGATGATCATCATGAGCTACATTGACAGAACCGTGACATTGAAAAAAAGTTAACCCCAATATTTTTGTGTGATATAACTTGAAAGGGTCGCTGCAGAGGACTAAAGAGACATCAAAACCATCCTTCCCATTGTTTGGGTTGTAGATACACGCCATGCTCTCCGCGTGATCCGTGTCCTTCATGCATGCTATGGCCATTACATAGTCATTCATCCGCACACTCCTTCCCCCCAATCCGACAACTTCACATTTATGCGAAGGTAGACGGCCGCGAGTAGGCGAAGATCTTCTTGCCAGCGGGCTTGGAAACACGGTGAGGCAGAGGGAACTTGAGGTCCTTGCTGAGGAGCTGCTTGATGTAGGGGCGGCGAATGCTCTCGGCGTCGTTGACCTCAACGACCTTGAGGATCTATACGTGATATCATGGTTAGATAACAAGTCCCACTGACATCTTCCGGGGGAGATAAAACGTACGGCAATGGAGCCGAAACGGGCACGGTGACGGGCAGCCATGTCCTGGTAGAGAGCCTCAACGGCGTCGGTTCTGCTCATCTCACGGAACTCCTTGTACATGTTGTGGGTACCAGAGCGCGAGTCGTAACGGATCCAGATACCGAAGTTCTTGACCTTGAGGGGACGCTTCTCGTTGATCTAGTAGATAGAAATATCAGCCGCTGTTGCCATTTCTTCAAATTCCCTCGTAACCGGGATTTCTGCCAGGCTAGACATACCACATTGAGGCTGACGATCTCACCGTTGGCCTTCTTGACCTTACGGAGCTGGGTCAAGAAGTACCAGAAGCGCGACTTGGCCACAACAGTGTTGGGCGCAAAGATGCGCATGCGGTACAGCTTGGGCGTGGGGTTGGCCTCGGTGGGCAGATGACGCCCGATGACCTGGTACTCGGTGAGACGCCCTATTAAGTCTCCAGTCAGTCACTTGTCCAAAGATGCCATGGGTTTCCGTTTCGCTTAAAGCGGCTTGATTCGAAGCAGGCGGCGTGCGGCACGTTGTAGTTGATGTTGCGAGCGTGTGTAGGGACATTGAATTTTTGATCAAATGCGACGATAATTTTTTTTCCTCCCCCGCGAAATATCCCTCCAGCACCATGTCCATTCATGACAGCCAAAAATTCCCAGTCATTCAATTCCTCCCATAGACAAATCTCTTTTCGTGACAGTGCCGTAGAAAACTCATCCTCCGGTAATGTGTCGCTCATCGTTCGCAACGTACGCACCGCAGCCGTATCGAAAGGGGCAGAATCTGGAAAGGGAAAAATTGTCACTCACCCATCTGGAAAATTAATGTCAGTAACTATCTCAACAAAACGATTATCGCAAAATCACAAGGGTAGGGCTTACTTTTGTCGACGGTGTGTTGGTTGAGTCTCGAGAAAGGTGTGCCGTGCCGTTGGACTCGTCGCCGGGAATTGAGGATTTGTGAACTTGTTGAGTTAGGGCTGCCGCCCTTCGCCTAAGCGAGTGGAGGCTTGCCTCCGATTTTCGCGCCATTCCGCTTCGGGACCACCAGCCACAGGGGCTGATAAGACCATCTGCACTGCCACACCATTCCCCACCTCCACGGCTTCTTGTTTGATGCGTTTGCGATTATGACGGGGAAGGGAAGGTGAAGTCAATTGACAGCTTCAGTGATCTTCCATGGACTTTCACCTGCTCCATTCGCGATAGATACGACTCAGAAATACTCACAGCCACCGACCATGGCTTCCATTTTTGCCGATTTCAAGCAAGGCCAGAAAGTCGGCTCTGGTCATCATCTGGCGGCATCTCTCACGCCGGTCGCGCCCGCCGACCATCCCGATCGATTGCGTTCGTTTTACTACTTCTCCAACCCCGCAAATGTCTATCTTGATCTACGCGATTCCCTCTTCCTGACCAATCGTCTGAAGCTACCGAAACAAGAACAAAATGCGTGGATTGATATCTTCTTGTCGTATTGGAAGGCCGTGGGGGAGATCATCAAATTCGAAGAGTCCCCCCGAGGCGGTAGCTGGGCCAAAGTATTCGATGCTTGGAAGGATCTGGTCAATGTCTTGATTAGAGGCTATTCGAACTCTGGGCTTCAGGCATGGACAGTGCCGTGTCTATACGTTGTCGGAAAATACTTGCGGATCTTCGCGATCAAAGCAGATGCCGAGCTTTCTTCCCAGGAGTCGGTTTCTTTTGGAGAGGACGTTGCGGACTTTGAGAAGAGTGCGAAGCTTGAAGAGACTGCCCGGATCATTAATCGGATGTTCACCCTTTGTCTCAGTGACAGGTAGGCAATTTCTAGTCTCTAGTATCGTCCTCTAGACCTTTCTAATTCGAATACAGGGCACCGATTGAAGAATCGCGCAAATGGGGTATTTACAACACGACCAATTTGATGTTTAAGACATATTTCAAAGTACGAATAGCATATACCTCTCTGATGGAGTCTTCTAACCATTATATGCAGATCGGCTCTGTTGGCCTTTCGAAAAACCTACTCCGTGCCCTCAATGCTTCATCAGTAGACCTACCAGATTTGAGCGCCTTCCCCAAGTCTCATATTGTCACCTTCCAGTATTATGTTGGAGTTATTCATTTCTTGGATGAAAACTACGCACAAGTACGTACAATATCAAGCCTCGTTATTTTAAAAGAAGCTAATTCTTGTGGCTATCTACAGGCAGAAGAACATCTAGCGGAGGCGTGGAGGCTGTGCCACAGACATGCCCTGAAAAACAAAGAGTCAGTAATGCACGATGTATCTGCCGGTTTATACTGACTTTGTTGAAGGTCGATTCTCACTTATCTTGTGCCCTGCCACCTTGTGACGACACATACCCTGCCGAGCCAAAAGCTTCTTGCACAATTTCCCCGTCTAGAGGGTTTGTTCCGTCCATTATGCAATTGCATCAGGAAAGGGGACCTCGTTGGCTTTGATACAGCCATGTCTGCTGGGGAGGAAGAGTTTGTAAAGAAACGCATCTACTTGCCTCTTGAAAGAGGACGCGATATTGCTTTACGCAATTTGTATCGAAAGGTGTTTATTGCAGGAGGGTTTGAAGAACCTAAGGACGGGCAACTTCCGCTTCGGCGGACAAGAATCCCTGTTGCTGAGTTTGCAGCAGCATTAAGAATAGGAACTCATGCAGATGATAGGTCGCGTGTTGACATTGATGAGGTTGAATGTCTTTTGTCGAATCTCATATATAAGGTGAGTTATCTGTTTGATTTGGTTTATGCTTGGTTTTCACCTTGGATAAACAGATCAGTGACTGATGCATATACTTAGGGACTTATGAAGGGCTATATCGCCCGTGAGCGAGGAATGGTTGTCTTGAGCAAGGGTGGAACCGCATTCCCAGGAACAGGCGTCTAATATACTTCCCCAAAAGCACGCCCTCCTCATCCTCATCACCATCGACTAAATAATTTACGAAGATAACGCAGAACTTGAAGATCCTCTCACTCGGGCAGTTCACCTTTGCCGAAAGTAGTCGGTCCTTTCAGCCATGCATTGAGCATCTACATTCATCTATGCTCGACTCCGTGTCCTCTGGGTGTAGCTTGGTCTGCTGCAAGTGACACCAAACTTTGTCAACTAAACATACACTGATCATCATATTCCTACGAGACCATAGAGCAGTGTTTGTGAAGCGAGACTTGGTCCTCACTAGGGAGCAAGATTATGGAGATCTTGCTTATATAGCATTACTCTTGACGATTTTCATGATGAAATGAGTTGAGCCATTCTGAACTATAAAGAAACATTGACATGTCCATAATCCTTTGAAGTAATTGCCTTACGGTAATGCACCACATAGCATAGACACTAAACATAAGTAAATTGGAGAGGGGCAACGTGCCATACGAGTCGAGTCAAGACGAGTCGTACTTTTGGACTCGACGAGTCCGAATCGATGTAATACTCGACACGACTCGTGTGACACCGTAAGGAGAAGTGTTGGTTCTGCAGAGCTAATAGCCAGGGGGGCGACGATGGTCACAGAGGCTATTCCCATTGTTTTAGGTTCTAGACTCCTAGGTTCCATCGCCCATCCAACCTAGTATGATAGAGTAGAGAGATATTTGATTGTTTCTGTCATATTTTGCATTTAAGTAATACTATACAGCGGACCTGCCTAATGAAATCATTTGGAATGAACGCCTTCTCTTGAATCCAGAAAATCCCTCAAAGGATAAACGAAGGCAAGAAAGATTAAAGGGGTATTGAGAAAGGAAAATCATTAACCAGGGCCACAACAGAAGCTCTGGCATCATAATACAACACGATCAATCTGCGAGGGGAGCCTTGAACGTAGCGTCGAGATCATCCTATTGACATAGTTAGTAAATGATAAGGATTTGATATACGCACGGGAGACGAACCATGTGGTTGCACATTGCAACAAACAGATCGAAGAACAGCTTCCCACCCTGCTCCATTTCCATTTGCATTGTACCGCTACGCTTGAAGGTCGACCTGCTACGGATAATTAAAGCTAAGTAGTGGGCGCGCAGTTTGGATTCAGTATCGGGAGTGTTAGCGTAGGCGTAGCGAGCGCTGGTGAGGATTGTACTGCATTGGATACCGCAATGCAGGCCTTGTTTTCGGAGAGATAGACGCTTGAGGTTTTCGATTCCGTATTTTTCGGCTGCGCAGCTGTAGAAGGAATTGGCGTTAGTGATGGGGTCTGCAAAAACTTTCGTCGCGGGGTATATGTAGAGGCCTTACTAGACAGCTGTATCTTTCAGAATGATAGCCTCAGCTCCTTGATGATATATAGTAGCTTCATTGCTCTGGACATCTTTACTCATGCTCGAATCTTCCAGCCACCAATTCTCATGGCTCTTGTCATGCACCAATCGAGGGTAGTAATCGCCAGTGTAGAGGTACTCGAGGACACAGGAGAAGATCTCCGGCTGTTCATCGGGCATATTTATCGGTTTGGGGCGAGTCCCAGACCCAGACGACTGTTCACGACAGTATGTCGCTAAGAGAGGAGCACCGCGGATCATATTCCAGCGAGCGGCGAAAAGGCGTTTTTGAGAACCCACGGCAAAGTAAATGACCATGTCAGAGCCTAGAGAGCTGAATGATCGCATTGATGTTAGATGGATTCTGTGCGAGTTCTAGCGTTTACCAATTTCTTACCTTCCATCTGGCTTCTGGCGTCTTTCTGAGACTCTGGAACGGGTGGGCGACTCTCGAATTGGCCTGCGGACTCGGGAGGTGGACTTTCTAGCTCCATATTTCGAGGAGAGGCTTTCAGTTTGAGGTTGCGCTGGTCGCCTTGTTGAAAACATCTTGATTGACTATGCTGGACCACAACTACAATGATGGAAGACAATGGGAGAGAAAAAAAAGGGGGAAGAAAGACTCAGGGGGACGGAAGAAAGGAAGGCGAAAGAATCTGTTTTATAAAACGAATAGTCGTACGCATGAGATAGGTAATTCCTTAGTCAAATCAGATACGAGCAAAAGGGGGTGAACGAGAAAGCACCCGGGCAATAAATCGCATCAAGGAGGCCCTCCTGCGATAAGCCGCGGGGGAGGCACGGATGCTCTTATACATGTCCTGCCCTCCCCTCCATCGGAACAAACATCCCATGAGGTGCATCAGACACGATGCAGAGCTGAAGCACGATGGAGGAGCGCAAATAGACGCGTAACAAACGGCCGGAACTGGTATTCCACGCGTAAAGTGGTTTTTTTTTGCGTCGCCAAATCGTCGCGCAGTCACGGGACAGCCATTGGCCAATCAGGGTGCAGGACAGGCTGAAGGGATTGCCACTGTGGCGAATCAGCAGACGATCTGCATTGTGTCCCACCCGGCAGAGATGATCCGTCATTTCTTTGGTTTCAATCGAGAGCAGAAATTTCGGGTGGAGGTGGAAGACAGAAATGATCTGTCGATTGCGAGATATGACTCGTATCTGCTCAATGGACAGTTGTACATATTATGCATGGTGATGGTGAATCACAGTAGTACTTGTGGTGAGGGGTACAGGGCCAGGGGAGTTGTTTCATACCTAGCTACAAATTATCGTCAGCCTTGCTGCGTCTACGACTCTACGTATCTGATATATCCAATACATTGGCTGTATGCATGCCTTGCTTGCGGTATCATGCATCATATCGGGGGGTTGATCCCGATTATCTGACAACACCATCCCCTGATTCCAAATGAACAGATGTCGAAGAAGCTGTCGCAGAAGCCCTGGAAAAGGCAGACCAAAAGCAAATCCAACTCGCAGGTGTCGCTGTTTCTCACATGTCATCAGGATAACCGACACCGAATGTGTTATTGAAGAGACGTTCGATCATCCCGTCGTAGGAGCTCGGCAGCCAAACAGGAAAATATATCTATGAACGTCTCGGCACCGTTAGGTTTAAAAGAGAACCCCACAAATTACTGCAAAAGGATGGATTTCCGGCTCTACAAACCACTGTATCCGAACTCCGGGGAGTAATCAGAAAGTGTTGGCCAAATGGTCTTTAATGGGCTAAATGTGTAGATAGAATGCAGTAGGCAAGCATAAAAGAAGCCAACGTTCCTATATGGTTGACAATATAGAGGCTGGATCTAATTGATTCTATAGAGTACAGCAGTTTTGGACTCGCGTCTCATTTCATTCAAATCATTGGGATTAAGGGGTTATGTCATACCAAGCTCAATCATGGTATGAACATGCTTACTCCATAGCCCGTATAGAGAAGTTGGATCGCCCAGAGAGCCGAGAGGACAGTATATGCATAAAGGAAGTATGTAGGTATCCAGCCCAAAAACGCCGACCACCCGAAACACCCTGAAACTAAAAGAAACCTTATTCGTCCGGTTCCATCGCTATTTTCCATCGAAGATTGCCTAGTGTGTATGAAGATTGCAAGTCCCGACGTCCACGAACTAACGCTGTATTCAACCCAATTCAATGCTCGTGCGGCCTCTCACAAAACAACCTTTCTTGCATCCCGAGGGTGACTCTCGCTCGGGCAGTAAGGGCACTTGAACCGGCTGCCCTTGCCTAGTCGCCTCAAAGATTCCTGCGCGATAACGTGACCGCAGGGCATCATCATTGGGGGGTTATCGTCCGTGGCTTGCTCTTTAGATACAGGGCAGACGAAGATAGAGTGGAATAAATAAGATGGTGGGAGTGGAATTTCGACCTGAGTAGAAGGGTTAGCCGTGCAAATATCGAGCTTGATTGGAATACTTACTGGTAATTCGTGTTGCGTGGTCCATTCTGTACGCTTTGCTTTCATGATAGTCTGCAACTTAAGCAGGGTTGGAAGAGCAATCGCACCAGCAGTGGCAGCGATGTATAAGGGAGAGTCTGCAGAAAGGCCCAGAAGCGAGCAAAATTCGCGTGTAAAGGAGTTTGCAACATCGGTCCAGGCCCATGGGTTGTTAAAGATGGATCTGTATGGGGAAGTCTCCAGATTGGGGCAAAACGCCATTGCTCCCATCAATTGCTGAATCTCCCTGAGATATGTTGGCATGAATACATGGAATTCGCGCCTGGCATATTCCAAAGCTGCATGCCGGCCGGTAGAAATGGATGTTTGCGAGTTGTGTCCCCCACGAAAGAGCCAGACAAACTGTAACCGGCAGAGTTCAAATTCCAAATTACTACCTCTCGCCTCCAAGGCATCTTTGTTATCCCTCGACCACTGAATTGCCGGCAGCAAATTATTATTCTCCTTCAACTCTTGCAGTATGTGGTACATCATGGCGAATTGTTTTCGAACTTCATCCGATGGGACTTCTTCGATGTCAAGGAGTGTTGCTGCATTATCTGCGGGGGCTGTATCTGTGTCTCGCGCTGTGTCGCGGGGCTTTTTGTCTGATATTTCGGAGAGGAATGTTGCAGCGACAGAGAACTGCCCTTCTCTCAGAAGGTGCATCGCGATGGCTCTGTCGATAAGGTGTTGCTGGGAGGATAGGGCATCATGCTCGGTACTTGGGAGTGGTCTGTCTTTGAAAAGCTGGAATAAGTTAGATATATTTGAATAGATAGAGCTTCAATGATGGAAGAGAATGACGAATGAGTTACCTTATCTAACGATTTGGTGTATTTATTAAGGCCGCTATGCGTTTCTTTAAGGTTGTCATTCATGGCATCAAAAGATGATTTGACTGGATTTTGGAGCTTCGCTAAGGTCATAGATGCTTGGCTAGGGTCTTATGCAATTTCCATCGTCAGCGCCATGTCTAATAATCGACCTCGGTGATGTAGTCTGTGATTAGGCATGAAACGGATCTAGAGGGTGAACGAACCAGATGCAATCGCTTCCCGAGCCGACTGGAGGAGATCTATTGTTGTCTGCACATTTTTGAGACCTTGCGAGGCTTTCAGTCTCCTCGAAAGTCGCTCGTGTTCTTTTTGGACGAGATCCATGATGGCTGAGGGAGGTGAGGTGGGCACTGAATGCGGAGTTGAACAATTACCGCTGCTTCACAACCGATATTGTGATAGCCATGTGGGAAGCCCTCGATAAGTATTTCAGCCTTCCTGAGAAGGCGAGTACAATCCTCAGGTGGAAGAGCAAATATAAAGCAGTTGAGATAGCATGTGTTGGTTAAGACTGCTTGCTATCAGCAGACAGCGGAGAGTGGCACCGCATGCCCCCGATGAGACATTACGACATGGGTCACGTGTGATTGAGCTGTGGCATGCTGCCCCTCTTTTTCATCGCAAGATCCAACTCGCTAATCGATATTGCTCGGTACCTAGACAGTTAGTAGAACCTGTCAGCTCTGAGGAACGATGAGCTTGTTCAACTACGATAATTTCGTTTTTTTTAGGTTTCAGTCAGTGGAATACTATACCGTAATCTCAGCATTGATTGTATGTCCGGTACAGAGATATATGTGGATCAAGATGAGAGACTTCATACTACGTGGGTACTTCGTATGGAGTATGGAAGATGCCCTTTGCACTCCACAACTAGCTCATAGCCCAAAGGGCTTTCCCGGTCTCTCCAAGATTGATGTTTGATGTTCATTTCATCTTTCGTCTTTAAATTTCCAATCGCTCCAGCCTTAGAAACAGCCTCAGGCATCCATTGGTCTCATTCAGTGAGCTACAGCCAATCAGAACTCGTACCCGACTTTGCCCCACACGAAGACAGCTCGCTTCCACTAGCGCGTTTTCCTGGTCTTGGCGTAGGTATAAATTCTCCCATCGCCCGCCGTTCTTTTCGAATTTTTTCTTCTTTCTTTCTCCATCCTAGTGCACGGGTTTTACATGTGTCAGTGAGGAGACATCCGAGACCATGTTTTTGCTAGTTGAAAACTACCTAGTTGACTGCTCCAGTTGGTCTTAGGATCGGCTGGGAATTTTTGAAAAAAATTTGCCCTGACTTCAAATTTGTCTTGAAGCTCAGCCTACGAGTGCAATCTTGCCTTCGTGGCAAGGAAGAAGTACTCTGGGATCCATCAGTCTTCTTTTCACTGCTGTGTCGCCCATGTTGGTGGCCTGTAGAGAAGAGATACTTGATGCTCTTGTAGTTTTGTAGCAGCCTTGTAGTTGATTGTCATCTCGATCCCTATGCCGTTGTAGTGAACGAGTTCGTGCAACTCGTCGAAGAGGTCGATGTCTGAGACGTGCTTTGTTCCTCAGACACCGTGCCAGCCCCTATCTTCGTTGTGGCGGTGCTCTTCAAGGTTGTGGCTAATGCCACTAGGCAGCTGTATTATGCAGGATTCTGCCTCGTCAACAGTTACGCCGTGCAACCCTGATTGATTGATTCGATAATAATAATAATAATAATAATAATAATAGTCTTCTTGGAGATGGCCATGAATAGATGTCCTATTAATTATTAATAACCTCTTGCCATCTGGCCGTGTAAACTAGCAAACTTGTTTCATCTTCCAATAGCCGCTCACCGCTCTGATCTGTTACAATGTGACGTCGCCGGCTCAACCCTGTACTTGTAATTGTTCTTGCCTCTCTTCACATGCCTTCAAAATGCCATGACACCCCAATCTTTCGCTCTCCCTTTCACCCGGAACTCATTCAACATTGGATATGTCCCGGTTCCTTTCTCTTTGGCGATCAGTACAAGAAGACCCCAGGAGGGTCGATGATTTAACGCTTTTTCCCCTTTCGTCCTGAGCTTGGCCTTTGGATTTGGATGTTATTGCTTTCTTTCTCACCCGCAAGCAGTCGGCTACGATTCTAGTTCCTCTTATTCTAAGCTTATATGCTTTAAGAGCCTACCTGTCTTTACAAGTTACCAGCACTCATGCAGACAACCGCACAGGCTGCGCCTTCTGCGCCAATTAATCACGAACATACGAACGCGCCGGTCAACCCCAAAGAGAACCCCTCTCCCATTGTTAATGGACCCAATACAACCAATGGAGGGTCTAACATTCCACATGGCCACCAAAAATTTGTTTTCACAGACCCTGTCGCCCTCCGATACCTCGAAGAGGACCCGTCGACGATCGTATTACAGCGGCGTGAAGAACTACAAGGCTATGAGATATACATTGTGGAACAATGGGCTTGTTCAAGGACGCATCCTACATTTGTCATAACAACTTTCACGGGGGAGGCTACACACAGAGTTTGGGTTGGCGTATTGAGCGTTCCGACGGATGAAACGCTGTGGTCACCTCGGCTGAAATTATACTTCAATGCGGTGACCAAATGCCATGCCCGGAGGAAAGAGACGCCAAAGGGGGCTGTCATAGTCACGGACTTGAGCACGTTTCCGTCCGCTCTTACTGTTATCCCGGTACCTGGCGGTGATATCAAGCGGCACAGGGAGGATTTCATTGTTAATGAGAACTTGAAAAGGCTATGCTGCTCTGGTCGTGCTGGCTTGAAATTGCAAGCACCCTCAGCAGCTACCGAAGCTAAATTTTACCAACTCTACCGGACCAGTGAGAGAGTAAACCTATACAGTGCGGTCATGGAGTTGGTCAAACAATGTCAGATGGCTTTGATGATGTTTGGCAGGCTTGCCCCGGAGTACGTGGATGGTTTGCTGTGCGATGTAACCGAGGCAGCGATAGGTGACTGGTGGGCAGACGTGGGGATGGACCTTTATAATATTGAACCAAGCGATGGCGTACTTGGACCAACCACAGTGGCCGCTTTGCTGGGAACCCTGCTCGGTGCTCGAAATCGACTTCACGCCTTCGGTGCCCCGGTCGGGAAAGACGCGTTCGATATTTCTAACCTCAAACGAGGAGTCTCGAGCTTCCAGAAGTCACAGAAGCTGAAGCGCTCAAGACGACTAGACCAGCCCACCTTAGCAAGGCTACATCGAGTAACTGCGAAAGCAGCAAATTCAGAGGGATGGACTGATGCTGTCAAGTCGACAATGGCAGAGCTGAGCGGGCAAGGTGGTGAAATGGTTATGGGTATGGTGCGGGGCCGAGAAAAGGGTGGAATCGCTGATATCGAAACGCTTGATATCGACAACTTTGCGCACTTGGTCACGGGTGCGAGGGCCAAGTGGTTGTGGCTGGGTAAGCCACGCAAAAGCGGTATTGGCGATGGGTTTGCCAGTGAGCCACCAGCCGCAGAGATGATGTTCACCACAAATGACCAAGGCGGTTATATGTGGACGAGTCGAAAACGACACTCGAATGAAGAACTAGCTACCGACCGTTCCTTTCAAGGGCCGGATCGATCATGGAAACAACCTGAGACCGCAACTAGTCTAGATGAGAAGGACCAAAATCTCAGCAGAATGGTTCTCAAGGGTGTCAGTGGAAAAGTCTCAGATGCGCGAATTGGATTTGGCAGGTTCAAAGATGCAGTAGGACTGCCAAACCTACGCTCACATCATCACAAGCAGACAAAGGATGGCGTCGATTTTATTGGCGATGCTGCATATGTTCCTCCCATTGACAGTGAAGCTGAGACGCCAGACATGAAAAATTTGTCCGAGCCTGGAAACCACATCGAGAACGCTACTGGGAATTATGCCGAAACACGAGTTCATGATGAAGAAGCGCACACCGTTCCATCATTGAACACGCTTTTGCCAAAATCTTCTGATTCAAAACCACCGGAAATTGTCGTCGACACTGTAGCGTCTCAAAAAGATTCTGAGTCGCCACGTAAAGAGTCGACGGCTCGAACAGAGGACGAGGAGCAAGATTTGGAGCTCTACAAGTCACGATCATCCGAAATGTCAAGTGATCGGGAAGAAGTCTCGGGGCTGGCTGTAATGTCGCTGCGCCGACCGCAGAGTTGTGCCGACTTAAGCCTAGGGGATGATTCCCGGCGAAGGGACAATTATTGGCCTAGACATCTATCTTTCAGCACAGTCGAAGAAGTTGTACTTGGCTGGGAACGCCTGGAGGGTCAGAAGCCCGTTCAAGAGAAAGCTGGCGCCAGCTTAGAGGAAGCCATCGCCCATGAAGACATAGCGGCCTCCGATGCGCGTATCTTCAGCTCCAGGATTCTGGAACTCAGTGAAAACACAGTCCCTTGGGTCGAGCGGCAAGTTGGTGCTGTTGATGGCCTAAACCAAATTTTATACGACCGCCACGAGGAAGTTAATACGGTATACTTGGAACGGCTCGAGGAATACCAAAAACTCCGTGAGAGGTCCAGTGATCTACTAACCCAGGAACACTCTTACTGCATGGACAGCATGAAAAAGGTGGAACTAATGGGCGCAAAGCTGGACTACGAGCTTAATGTCCTCGGGTCCAAAGTCGAAGACGTCGAATCCGGCCTAGGGGAATTCGAACGACACGTTATAGAAATAGAAACGCGGGTCCAGGCGCTGATCCAAGGCGAAGAAGAGAAGCAGAGCACCTCTTGGCTCTCTTGGTTTGGCAGGCTGGCCGGGCTCTCTACGCAATAATGCTGCGTTTAGTGGCTTTTCAACAAGCGTTTTGTAATATTTATATACCCATTCTAATGTATGTACTTTCAGGCAAATAGATTTCTGGCGTTGGGAATTTGAATGAAATGCTATAGAATTGCATCTTTTTACAGGAGTCTTCGTCACTGAGTTCTCTTGTTTGGCAGTACGCCAATGGTAATACTGCTTTGCGCTCCTATAGATTTGATGGATATAAAATTAGCGACGTGTAGCCGTATATACCCATTTTCACGCCGTTCTTGGACACTTTAAACGCTTGAGCCTGGTAAAATACGTAGAGAAGCGTCTTTACTGTACGGTGGTGACGGTAGTCCGACAGTAGAGGTCTGATGTGTTTGTTGGCTTTTCAACAAGCTTTTGTAATATCTCCTATATACCCATTCTAGTGTACATATCTCAAATAGGTTCCTGGTGTCGCCTCGACCGTGCAATGCATGATAATCGTGAACAAACCAGCTGGCTACCAGAGAACAAAAAAAAATTAAGCGTAGGCTTCCGTCGGTTAGAGAAGCATCAAATAACCAAAGGGCCAAGCAACCCAATTATTCGGCGAAAAGGCGTTGATCATTTTCTTCCTTTTCTCCTCCACGACCCTTCTCAATCAAGAGGTTATCTTCCTTGTATCTGTCTCCTTCTTCCCTTACATGAATCCACCCATACCGCCGCCTTGGTTACGAGCGGCCTCACCCTGCATCTTCTCGCTGACCTTGATGTTGACATCGAAGAACTTGGAGACGCAGCGGTCAAGGCAAACGGATTCACCCTTGTTCAGATCACCTTCGCGGTAGTCGTTGGGAATGCACTTCTTGGTGCAGGACTCGGACAAGCTAGTGACATCGCGACAGGTCAGCGGGTTTTGGTCTGCGAGAAGCCATGTATGCCTCAAGAAAGCATAAATCCGTATATATGCATGAATCTCACCGGTTGAACATATCGGAGATCATCTCGACTTCAGTTTCCGCGGCAGCAATCTTCTCTGCCGAGGACATCTTGGGGGCACCGCCGAAGAGGAAAGACATAATGACGGAATGAAACCGGGAGGTTTAGGAAGGGTGAATTGATGTATAAGGTAACTGTTTTGCAATTAGCAATTGGACCAAGACTCCTTTGATATCGTTGGGCAATGGGAACTGACGAATTGAAGATATCCCAAATGGGTGATAGGTGTTTGAAGCTGGAGGTCTTTAGGTCTGGTTGTTATTGCAAATGGATTCGGGCGGAGGTGAAAGTCGGCAGCAGCTCGGCGGCTCACCGCCTTTGGATTTTTTCTCCCTCTGTTTCTTTCCACTCCCACGACGGCTTTTCGTTTTCTTTCTTCTTTTCAATTTCCTACGATGTGAACTGCGTAGTTTTGGTCTCATCCCAATGCAATCAATTCGCCCCCGGTGGGCTTCACAGCTGGGCTTGCGAGGTCTTCGATCTAGGTAAGAAACTGATGATGATGATGTTTTTTTTTTTTTTTCTTTTGTTTGCCCACCAATTGCATGATGAGAACAACCCTACATCTACCAGAACCGCTGCAGTGATGCTTGCTTGCAAGCAGTTTGATCATAAATGGATTACTACCTGATACCAATTGTCAATTTTTCATGTTTTATTTCGCAACCATTTGAATTGAATGTGCAGTTGCTAATAAAAAATCAGTGCAGGACCGTTGATCTCTCGTACTACCGGTACACCCAGATTACTCAAACAACCCCTCTTTTCCTCTATAAAGGTTAGGGATAGCAGTACTACAGCCTCTCCGGCAAATGCATTCAGGGATCGGTTACAGGAAGTCAAGAATGCTTGTGCCGACCCGTATCCTCGTCTTGCATCAGACCAGCGCTCGGTGAGCTGTGCGGAGTTTCGTTCTCGTTACAGCCACCTGGCCGATAATCAAACAGTAGAAGAAGACAGCGTTGTCGTCAATGGTAGGTCTCACAGCATGCTCTGGCCTTGGCCTTGTTGTCCCTGTACTTAGATCAGTAGGTAGGATACGTACCTATAGACTCGCTGGAAGCAAATTGATATTTTTCGATATTGTCCAAGATGGCCACAAAGTCCAGGTCATGTGCAATCAGCGCCGACTGGATGGTGTGTCGCCCCAGGATTTCAAAAAGCTTTATCGCCTTCTCCGTCGCGGCGATGCTTTCTGTATGTATCTCAGCCATGCGCTTGTATTTGTTCCCGGGCTGAACACTATGTTATAGCCGTAACAGGTAGACCTCACCGTACCGGGCGAGGAGAGCTCACTATCGAGGCAACTGAGCTGCCTCAGTTACTGTCTCCTTGTCTCCACGATGTTCCTCTCGATGCAAAGGAGCATGAAAACTCGCCCTACGCGCGCCATGTCCAATTCCTGGCCGATCAAGATACGGCAGATATAATCAGAGCCAGATCGGCTATCATTCAATATCTTCGCCAGTTTTTCTTAGATAAATCCTTTATGGAAGTTAGCACTCCAATTGTGGGATCTATCGCAGGCGGGGCCATCGCTCGTCCTTTTTACACATCTGCCACGGAGTTCCCAGAGCGGGAACTGTCTTTGAGGATTGCTCCAGAACTCTGGCTGAAGCGTATGGTGGTTGGTGGTTTCGACAGGGTATTTGAGATTGGTCCTTCATTCCGTAACGAAGGTTGGTACAACAAGCTCCGACTCATACTTAGAGACAGAAAGACTGATTTATCACTGCTGTAGGTATTGACAAAACCCACAACCCCGAGTTCACGACTTGCGAATTCTACCATGCCTATGCAAATTTGGAGGACCTCATGTCAATCACCGAGAAGCTTCTCTCGGGCATGGCTGAGCATATCCGCCAATTCAACAACGAGAAGGGGACATTGAAGCCGACAGAGGTGGACTTTTCAGCTCCTTTCCGACGGATTGATTTCACTTCTGGCATTGAAGAGAAGATTGGTCGCAGTCTGCCCGACCTTCAGTCCGAAGATGCCCTAGCCCAAGTCAAGCAGATATTCAACGAGCTTTCCATCCCTGTCCCGGAAAATCCCACACTTCCTCGACTCCTGGATGAGCTTTGCAGCACCTATCTCGAACCAGAATGCGTAAATCCAACCTTCATCATCAACCCCCCAGAATGCCTATCGCCGCTTTCCAAATCCTTCACCCACCCAACCAACCAGCAGCGCGTGGCGGCCCGAGGAGAGCTCTTCATCGAAGGAAGAGAGATAGTGAACACATACGAGGAAGAGAACTCGCCATTCGAGCAGCGACGCAAATTCGAAGACCAGGTGCGCTTCAGCAAAGCCGCCAACGAGACCGAGGAAATCGACGAAAGCTATCTCGAAGCGCTAGAATGGGGGTTGCCGGCTACAGGCGGCTGGGGCTGTGGAATTGACAGACTCTGTATGCTTTTCACTGGCGCGAAGCGAATTGGTGATGTACTGCCGTTTGGTAATCTGCGGTCTGTGACTCGACGCCATGATGGATTCAGTGGCCCGGCGCCGCGTGAGTCTTGAGTTGTGAGTGGTGTCGATATTGTATTTTTATGGATATCTGTAATTGGATCTGAGTGCATTTGTATAATAGTATCTAGGGAGCTTTCCCGAATGTCAATGAATCTTCTATCTCCATATCATCAACAACACTAGGAACACAGCTATTCTTTTGTCATATACCACATCACTGTGATCTGAAGATACGCCCGCGTAGAATATGGCTCTAAAGCACATATATTAAATAGTAGCCTAAAGAATGAGTTGGAATGTATGTTCTTTCTTGTTGACATGTGGTCTCGGCAAGAAGAGGGGTTTTGAGGTGGGGTATACAGACATTATCGCTATCCATTCATCTTCCTTCCTTTATCAATCAAAAAAACTTCATCCTGGAAGTCATCGAGAAATGAGTTTGAACGGTACATCCCAGACCCAAGCGGTCACTGTGAGTCTTCAGCAGCTGATCGATGGTGAGTCTAGTATAAGGAAGAAAACTCTGTCAACACCCCAAAAGGATGAGTATCATGATGCTAACCATGCCGCAGGATCTGTCTCATTTGACACCCTCACTGAAGCTTTTGGGCCGTCTTCTCTGGGAATAATCGTCGTCAGGGACCTTGATGCGAAATTCAAGCAGCTTCGCGCTCAGGTCCTCTCCAACGCTTCCTATCTCGCCGCACTTCCCAATGACGAGCTAGGTAAGCTATCTCCATAAACTCAACCCACACCTATACATGCAGTAAACTGACAAACACAGAATCCCTCTCAAGCCCTGAAGCCAAATACCTCGTCGGCTGGTCCTGCGGCAAAGAAACCCTCCGCTCCGGTCACTTCGACACCCTCAAAGGCTCTTACTATGTCAACTGCGCCTTTTACCAGAACCCAGAGCTCCAAGGCGCTCCCGCTGACGGATTCCCTGGATTCTCTGAATACACCGCAGACAACATCTGGCCGTCACCAGAGCATCTCCCGACTTTCCGGAAGAGTGTTGAGGAGCTATGTTCGCTGATTATCGATACCGCTGCTCTCGTGGCGAGAGCGTGTGATCGTTATGCGGTGGCCAACATCGATGACTATAAACCGGGGTATCTGGAGCATGTCGTGACAACGAGTTTGACTACCAAAGCACGCTTACTACATTACTTTCCTGCGCCGGAAACAGACCAAGGAAAGGAGGGTGAAGGTGACGACGACGACTGGTGCGCAACACACCTCGACCACGGCTGTCTCACTGGCCTCACATCGGCCATGTTCATCGACGAAGCCGCAGCTCCCCCTTCCGCAGCAAATACCGATACCCATACCCCCCTCCCGGAACTCCCTCAATCCCCCGACCCCAAAGCGGGTCTGTATATACGATCTCGAACAGGCGATATCGTCAAAGTCAACATTCCTAAGGATTGTCTCGCTTTTCAGACTGGTGAAGCGTTGCAACTCATTACACGGGGTAAATTCCGTGCCGTGCCACATTTTGTCAAAGGGGCGAAGGTATCCGGGGGTGCGAAAATTGCGAGAAATACACTTGCTGTCTTTACGCAGCCGAATCTGGGAGAGGAGGTACAGAAGGGTACCACGTTTGCGGACTTTGCCAGGGGAGTTGTGGAGAGGACTTATTGAATAGTTGGCTCTGAAGCTGGCCTGTACTGTTTATCTTTGTGTTGCATTTTATATGAAACCACACATATCCAAACCCAAAATCATCATTACAAATCATAAACAACGCGGCGAAAGATACACAGGCGGACCCTTTACATGATCCTCAAGAAAAGGAATCGGATCTTGTCCATTCCTTCGATACAAGTCTGCTATTTTCCTTGCAAGCGGTACATCCTGCGGTCTATACCTCAAAAACCTCCACCTACAGTCATTATCCCACCTCCTGGAAAGCCCTAATATATACACCGGAAGAATGACAGCAGCCGCGTCCTGCGTGTGAGCTGTTTCATAGTCGTACTTGTTATTGTTGAGGTCGAGTGCGAAATAAGTGTGCCGATGCCATACTTCGATAGCGAGAAGAACGTGGTGGCGTGTCTTTGCGTTCGTTGACCATTCTTCCGTGAATTCTTGGAGGTCGATCGTTGATGTTTTGTAGTCTTGGGAGGTCGCCGAGGATGCGGATTGAGGGGCTTTGGTCGAGGGCGTGGAGGATTTGGTGGGTTATTCCATTTGTTGTTGGAGTTGACATGTTGATGCAGAAGAGTAGGGAGGTTGGGGGAAAGACTCTTTGATATGTACGAGTTTCAAAGGCTACCTCATGTGACCTGTTACTGATCAGGCAAGGGTCGTTGGGGGGAATATGAAGTACAATCAGAAGTAATCTTCACTTTGAACCTATAATACAAATGATGAAAAGGATCGCCCATTTTGGTCTTTATAAATGTGAGAGAAAAGCTTCCGCGCCAGTCGCTATAAGCCCATGTTCTTTCAAACGCCCCATTTATATAAACAAGAATAGATAGGTGGTAGGTAGTAGGTATCGACGGAAAATTAACGAGGATATTAATGAGATATTCAGATCAGCCAAACTTCGTCCGCTTCGATTCTCGCTCGCTGTCAGGGACATAATCGCCTTCTTCGGTCTCTACTGTTCCTCCCCGGACATATACAGGTGTAGAAAAGTCTTCTGATTCAGAATCTTCATCCGCAGGACGCGCGCTTCCTTCATCAGCAGAGCTGACGACATTGCTCGCGTCCCCGCCTAGCCCGGTAGCGACGAGTTTGCTGGTCTTGCGAACCTCGGCAAAGGTGGATTTCGACTTGACGACTGGTCGTCCGATGTCGCCAGGGATCCTGGCATCTCGGAGCTCGGCTGGGGTTGCGATACCATCCATGACTTTGAGGTTTGCTCGCCACATTTTGAGATTACGCGCTTCGCTGTACTGGCCGACGTCTTCTCCGTTGAGAGAGTCGATCGCTAGTGTTTGGGTCCGGTAGTCGCCCCAGAACCAATGTTTGCCTTCGGGGATCCGTTCGTCGGTTTTTCGTGAGTATTCTCTTCCGATTATTACGCCGGGTAGTTCGTTGCCGAGAGAGAGGGATCCGAATAGCAGCTGCATGGCATCCGGTTCATAGCATCGGCCGATAATCATATCTTGTGAGATGACTACCGTTTTGCCTGAATAGACACTGTACCATTCGCCATATCCGCTCATGCCAACCTGTTGGAATGCACTGACGACCTCGTCATGTGTCAAGGCGTGCAGTGGCTGCATCTTGTCTCCTTTCATATAAGCGCGAAGGGAGTTGGTGGTGTAAACTTTGCCTTTGAGGCGGACTCGATAGTTTTCTGCTAGTTGTTCCGACTTGGCATCATCAACACATTGCACGAGTTGGAGCTGAATCTCATCGATGATCATGACGTCTGTTACATTTGCCAGCCGGGAGCTGTCTGCTTTGTAGCGATCTGGTTTCAAACGAACGGCATCACCAACAACCAACAGTTCCGCTCCAAGAAAGATACCTCGGCAGTAGATCCTCGCGTCGGGCCAAGTTCCTTTGATATGATATCTGTCCAGCAGGCTGAAGGAAGACATGACCGTCAAGGCATATTCAATCGATGGATGCAGCTTTTCTCGCGGGGTGCCCTGCAAAAAGAGCTCGAAGGCGTTGAATGGCTTGATGCACTTTAATGGAACATACTTGGAATGTAATGAGTAGCTCTTATCGGAACTGTGAGGGTCTGGAAAGGTCTCGACGCGGAACCCCGAGTAATTAACCTGCCAGTCTTTGCTGGACGTCTCGACTAGGTCTTGAAGTATAGTGTCTTCTTTGTCTGAGGCCTGGCCAATGACACCTGCACGCCATTTGGGGTCGCCCAGCCATCGGTCTTCATCAGGAGAGTATATCTGCGGGCGCTTGCTTTCTGGATTCCAAACCAACTCGCCGTCGAGAAGAGGCACCCAAAGTACAATCTCACCTGCCCGAGGGATATAAGAAGGCTGCATATTCAGCTTCTCTAAATATTCTTCCAGTCTTGTTTTCTCTGCTCGCCAATCTATGCTCTCTGGCTCTGTAATCTCCTGGTCCAATCTCCCAGTTGCTCTGAGCTTCATGATGGCCATTTTATACACGTCGGGTGTTCCTTCTTTATCAAGGATAGACTTCTTTACCGGTCTTCCAACAGGCCTACCGGGAGGTCTCCCAACCGGTCTCATGAGACTTTTATTGGTATTATTGTTAGGTTTGCCAGGCGGTCTGCCCTGTCGTACAATACCATCTGTTTGATTTTATTAATACTGAACAAGTACGCAATACTGCGAAGTAAACTGACCTTTCCTCTTTGCTGCTTTTTCGCAATTAAAACATTTGCATGGCGAGGTCCCACCTGTCATCAAGTGATAGAAGTGCGGGAAAAATGTTTTGGTCGACTGAAAGTATCCAACTGGATGGCCATAAAGAAATTTGTCACGCTGCACCAGAGATGGATGGATTAGAAAAGCAAGCCCGAAGATCCTAACTCAGGCTTCACGGACTTACCATATCAGGGTTCGTCTTGCGTGGTCTATCTAGCAATGCGTAACCTTCTGGCAACCGATCCAGCGAGTACACCGCTCCTTTAGATAACCCAATGTCAGCAAAGCTAAAGACACCAGCAAAAAACAAAACAACCGAAGACAGGCAATGGATAACAGGAAGTCCCAAAGAGCAAAATGAAAGAACAACGCATGATTTCCAGAAAAGCAATACACACCCTGTTCATAAGCCCCAATCTCCTCCAACCACTGCTTCGCGAGCAATATCCGCCAGCTGCGATCATCTGACAACGCCCATCGTTCTTCAGTAGGCCATCTTTCCTGATCCCCATCACTAAACGACTGATCAATGGGGATTATGATGATATTGTCGTCCTCTTCGGAGTCTTCCATGCTGGACATCACGTAGATATGTAAGACGGGGTTTCAGAGTTCCAAGACTGACTTGACTGTCAGTGAGTGAGTGTCGTCGTCCTGAGGATCAGCGCCGTGTTGATTATGTACCATTTACCCTAATGGGGTAGTGGATCTGGCATGAATGCTGGGGAGAAAGGGGAAATATTAAGAAGGGGTATCTTGAAGAAAACAATAGTATCTTTCTATCTCTCTTTTGAGGTTGGGTTGGGGATGATGGTTTGGATGTTATTTCTTTGTATGTCGCGTCGTTGAAGTGGGTTGGGGTCATGTGACCTGGGTGAATACAACAGTGAAGATGAAGGTATTCCTAACAATAAGCAAAAGACAATAACCAAGATATTGTTCTGCTGGAGATATGAAGCGGAACGGAAAATAGATAATAAAATCAATCATACGGTTGGTATTATCTATTCCAACTACATCAAGCATATATGTACATACATCTCAACATCAAATCCCGAATCGTCAATATTGCTAAACCATTGTTCAAGAGCTCTCGGTTTCAACCTCCACTACTCGCCCTTCCTCTGATACAGATTCCTCATACGACGGCGGAGAAAGTTCACCCTCCTCAACCCAGACCTTATGCAACTCCTTATCAATCTCCTCCCGGCGTTGCTTCCACTCATCCACCTTGTCCAACCGCTTGCGCAGTTCTTGCAGCTCCTTCTCAACGCCCATCTTCTCTTTCTCTGTGCCAATTCTTTCAAACTCCCACTGTTCTCCTTCAACTCCAAGGCCCAGCGTGAGGTTGTAGGTGTGGTATTTCTTCAAAGACGCGCGCGTTGATATCGTAATCAGGGTTATTCCCTTCTCCTTTGCCCGTTCATAGAGCAATCCCTCGACGTCGGAAGACACCGCGGAGGTTCCTTCGTCAAGGAAAGCGTAGCGAGGTTCGTGGTATAGAAGTCGAGCGATGGCCATTCGCTGTTTCTCTCCACCACTGAAAACGTCTTTCCACTCCTTGCGAGAGTTCCATCCACCTTCACGAGCCGGGAGATAGCCCAGGTGGGCATCATCCAGAACCTTTTGCAGATTGGCGTCTGTTTCGCCTCTCTCGTGCATATCTATCTCGGTGTGAGGGTAGATAACTTGATCGCGGAGGGTGCCCACGCTGAGATAGGGGCGCTGGGGAAGGAACATGATGCCGTCGAGTCCAAATCCTCTGGGTCGACTGACCAGACCCCGATACACTGGCCACAGACCGGCGATGATTCGAGGGATTGCGGACTTTCCAACACCATTTGACCCAGAGATGAGGAGGTGGTCACCAGAGTGTACAATAAACGATAAAGATTCGACGAGCTCATCGCCTCCAAGGGGGTAGAGTGACGGAGCAGCAATCGGGACCTGCTCAAGACGGACTCCGTCAAATCCATTGTGAATGGTTCCCTGTGCATCGGCCAGAGAGTATAGTTCAGGGTGAGATCCAGGAGGAGGGTAATAAGCGTTGGCATGAACCCTGTGAAGCGTTGAGATGAGCGTATACACCCGCGAGGTGTATCCTGCCAATTCCGAAATATCCTTGATACTGTACATCATCCGACCACCGGCATCTGCTAGCGACAGCATCAAGCGTTTGTTCGTGATGAATTCCTTCATACGGCCCCGTTCACGACCCGTATCCTCAGATGCATCGGCCAACTCCATGGCGCCACCTACACCTCCCCAGGCAGGGAGGAAAACAGGCAAGGAAGTAATGAGGTAGCCAAAGGCGGACCAAGCGTACTTCAATATGATATCTTCCAAGATATTGTAGCGGATCTTGAGACTGTAAATTCCTTCCATCCACCTTTGGAGTTCCTTAAAGCTTCTCATAAGGAATACCCGTTCAATATCTGCACCGCCATAGAAGGAAATCTCTTCAGCGTTGGCAAGCAATCTGGAATGCAGACCTCTAAAGTCACCTTCTCTCTTGCCCTCGACAGCCTTGAGTTTTCCAAACGGAGGTGACAGCTTCCTAAGGACGATTGCTGTGCTGAAATAACCGGTGAGAATTCCAGTCAGAGCCAAAGGTCCCAGCGAGCGGTAGAGCTGGTAATTGAACACGAAAAGATCAACCAAAGGCTTTCCCATGGAAGAATAAAGAGCTGCAGATGCCGAGCAGAAAAGTGTGAGGTCCTGCGTGATAAACTGATCTGCTCCTTGCTCAATACCACCATCCAAGTTCATTAATTTATAGTAATTGTTATTGTCCGTGAGATAGAGATCGTGAACGTATCTGGTAAGTCGAGTTCGGAAGGCGATGGACACCTTTGACTGGAGGAATTTAATCATGGCGTTGGTATAAGAGGCAAGAGTCCCGATTCCACACCATTTGAGGATACCCCATGTCAAGGCCCGTCCTTTGCCCGCAACGAGATCCCTCACAAGCTCACCATCTAATCTAGCGATTAAAAGCGACAGATATGTTCTCAGTAATAGAAACACACCATGGCTCATCAAAAGCCCTGTTTCTTTGCTACCCCATCGGGGCACCATGATACTACCGAGGCTGAGAAACTGGTGCAGAAATGCCAGGTTCAGCCCGGGTTTCGTCGTCGGTGGTGGAATCTGGGACGCAGATTCTCCATCTCCAACGCCAGCAGCAGCCGGGGGGTTGAGAAACAGTCTTCGATGCGCATCGAATGTTGTAGGCTTCGTCGGGTTTATCTTAACCTTCGACGTCATAGACCCCTTATACGGCACATAAATGGTACGCGATCCATCCTTTCCCCTGATGCCAGAGTTCCGGCGTAGCAACCGTCTGCCTTGGGCACGATCCCTTGCCCTTTTCCGGAACCAGTTATAACCTCCATATCCACTCCCTATGATGGAAAGAAACAGTGCGATCGTGGCGACGAGTCTGGCTGTCTTGGATGAACGCTTGATCCGGGAGCGAAACCGTTCGGTATAGGAGACGAATAGCGCAACGAGGGGATCCTGTCGGGACCGAAGCGTAGACTGAGCGGCCATTATGCTTTCCGGTATGTCACAGAGCTTTATTGAGATATTCTTGCGTCCTCTGTTACAGGGCTTCTGCCTCGGAGATAGCTGGCATTCTTAGACAGGTGCGTCGAGAGCCATGAGGGCGCTGTGAGACGCGAAACGTTGAGATGAAGAAGATGAAGACTTCGAGTTAGTGGATAGCAGTGAGGTAGTTGGTGATGACTTGGCCACGAGGATAGTTAGCAGCTAGCAATCGACTCAGTAGGCCGCATTATTGTGCTTATGGGGGATCATCGTCGTCGTAGCATGTGAAGACCTCGGGCCAACCGGCGAAGTGGCGGCGTCTCACGTGCAAGTCCCCGGACCTCACTGTCCCATTCCCCAGACTACCCCAGGACAATGATTATATTGCTCCATGGTTAGCATGGGATTATTCTATTGGTAAATGAGAGCCTTTCTTTTTGAAGTGACTGCATTGAGCTTCAGGCAGTGAGTCTAAGTACTCTCGCTATCTGGAGTTTGTTTCTATCCACAATACCCCAAACACCCCGCTCTTGCTAGCATACACAACCCAGGAATCTTGTATATAGCACCAGAACTCCATAAGGTCCATATTGGACTTTCATATCTGGAGTATTTTCTCCCGTATCAACATTGTTATATATTTGTTTCTCCAGCTACGAGAAATCATCTCCGGACTATCCCCGGTATGACGTGTGACATCATCTCCGCTTTGATTGTCCACCTTTGTGACCTTACAGTCGCAGGGGACACACACCATTATTTGCCAAGGGCCCAATGCAAGAAGTAGGGTAGGTGTGGAGGGTGTATGTGAATATCATCTAGAAAATAATGATAATATGAGCTACTCGAGACTTGGTATCTCAAAATATCTATGGTATCCACTCGGAGTATAACCGACAGCAAAATATAGAATCATGCCATATGAAGTATGACCTATTGCCTACTACACCTAACGGCCGTTGATACCTAAGGCAGGCATCAAAAAAGAAATAGACACCCTACTACTCCGTACACAGTAATCGAATCATAGAACACAGTCATACAGACACAGCATGACTATAGACACTTTCACACTAACCGGTCTAAGTAGTAGATAATACTGAACCCTGTCGAGTGGATGCCGCTCGCTCAAATCACCAACATCCAAGAATCTTCAACCTGCACGAGGCATGTTTGCCGCAAATCCTTCATTGGCTTCACGGATGCTGTGCGCCCTGTCCCCCGCGTAAGCGCCCAGTTGCCTTGATCATGCATTGTACATCGTCCTAGGACGTAAAGGGATAAGGTCAATTAGGCTGGTAACCGGTATGAATATTAGTGCTGTGGTAATTTTATTATTATTTGATTTGTCTTACATACTCCGTAATGGCATTCGAAAATAAGCGCCCTGACATTCAAATGATCCTGAACCATGTAATGTAAGTCGGCCATGGCCCCCACATCCAGATACCTTGGGAGATTATTGGTATGTGTCAATGTGGCATAGTAACCCGGATCCTGACTTGTACATACTACAGTTGGCAATCAGGGATAGCCGCATATTCATTCCTGTGGTGGTTGCATGATGATTATCTAGTCAACTCAATCTTTTCCTTTTTTCCCCAGACTGCTTGTTTGCACGGACCTAGTCCGAGGATTGATACTGGACTGATGCATATACCCAATTCGAGCATGAATTGGAACTATTGTGGACTGGAGCCAAAAACTAGTGATTTTCCCGCAATTAACAAAAAAAAAAAAAGCCCGGCTGCGGTCGAATGATACACAGTAATCGGCCGACGATGGCCGTCCTGCCCCCTAAAAAACCAGGATGTAAAATGGCACACTCCATCGTCCTGAAATGGATTGACCGCGGGTTGGTTCACGGCTAAAATGGACGGGGCCAATCAGGGGTGAGAAGACAAGAACCTGGGAGATAACGCGATCGACTGGATGGAGACGGCAAAGACCATGCCTCTTAATAATTGGCTGATTGCGATGTTCAGCACTTTTAACTAACTAAGTGGAGGTTAGCAGGGTCCATTTAGTGGTCAAGGATCTGAGAATTAAGGGCGTATTGATTTCAAGATCCTGTATCATCACATCCATATCCATTTTCCATATATTTACGGAGTATAAAAGATATTGAGTGATATCCTCAGGAGTACATAGGAGATAGTGGCTAGCAAGAGCAATTGATAAATGCACAATTATAAATCAAACATATCAGATCAGAATCAGTCATCTTCCCATCCCTGTTGTTTCTCCCCAATTTCACTCGCCTCATTTCACCAAAACCCAAACAAGACCGGCTTCCTTAGGCGTCGACTGCTTATAACCACGCCAGAAGGCATTGATTGCCCTCTCCATCGTCCATTTATCCTAGATACTCCGTACCCAACTTGATATTCAATTTAATAATAAACTAACAGTAATACCAAAAATACCAGTTACTGACGGCCCCAATTTCTGCAGCCCTGCACCCTTGGTCCAGAACCTGCGCTTGTGTTTCCCCCCCATACAGTCCGTAAGAGCAAAGCGGTGCGTGCCTCGTTTTCCTCGTTTCGCGCGCTCTCTGTTTCTCTCCCTCTCCCTCTTCTCACTCTCACCTGTCTATTACTTCCCTCTCTTTCTTTTCTCTCTCCCCTTTCTTATTTCTTGGATTGTTGGCCATCCAGGAAATTTAGAAAGATCTGCCACCATTTTTTCGTGCATCATTGCCCGACAGAAAAAGAGCAGAGAAAAAAAAAAAAAAAAAGAGTTAATCAGGACAAATAGTGCCCGCCCGTAAGAAAGTTACCTTACCACAAAACCCTCCATCGTCAACACACACACAGCATACATACACACACCACCGCAGATCAACAACCTTGACATCCCATCATCTGCTTCGCATTCCCACGCATTGGAGGGCAAACCTGGCCATCTTCCCCATCGGCCTATCATCTCCGAGTTCGAGGAACAACCCTGTTTACCACGTGACATCCCCGACTTGCCCTCTGCTACTTCCAACCCATCTCTACCTTACCCCGACCGTGATCGTCTTCAACCCTCATTACCTTCTTCGATTCTCCTTCGGCCTGTTGTCGCATATGCTCCTCTCTTGACTCTCCCGTTGCTAGGAACTACAAGGGCGGAATCGCTATTGACGAGCTTTGGTGCTGTGCACTAGCCTCATTTAAGGCGGTGGCCCGAGAGAGCTAAGCACTACTTGACCTACTTATCCAGGAGGCGAGCCTTTCACCTTTCAGCCGCCTCTCACCTCTCGGCGGAAACAACACCCTGGTGGTTGTCGAGCGTGTGTTCTGACGTGCACATCGCATCTCAATCCATTTCTTCTTGAATCTGTTCTTGTTTTCGCGATAATCGCCCCGCTACCCCCAATGCTTGGAGGGAGCCCGGAGCGTGATTCCTCCCCGTCTGCTCCGACAACTACTGGAGAAGCATCCATGCCTATCGCATCGACTCATCAAGAGTCAAGTGAGTCTACCCAATTACCGCCCTTGTGTTTCCTTCTTTAGAAATTTCCAGTTTACTAAATGATGCTCTCTCCTTATTAGACCCTGAATCTTCGCCTCAAGGCCATGCTGGTGGCAATGATGCGTCGCGTTTAGAATCCTCCGAGCTTGCACCATCATCCGCATCTGCCCAGTCTCCCGAAGGCGCTTCTGCAGCTGCAGACTCGGCCGATCCTGCGAAGAAACACCATTTTCTCCTGCCCATTCCATCGCGATCTTCTTTGAAAGCCGACAAGCAATCGACATTGGACAATGCCCAGGAAGCCTCTCACGATGACTCCGAAAACACACTTCGAGGTTCGAAGAGAAGCTTGCTAAAGGGGCGGAGGGATAGGAGTCGTGGGAGTAGCCGGAGATCTCGGCGACAGAACCAAGATGCGCCCAACGGGGAGGAGCAAAAATCGGCGGCGGCCTCCGACTTGCAGGACTCCAAGTCCGAAAAGAAGGGCAAGGTTTCATCCAAGTTCTTTGCTTTCTTAAGCTGTTGCTCGTCCTCGAACGTCGATGCCGAAGATCCTTCTGTCCCGCCAAAGAGAACAATGAAACGGACATCGACTTCGAATAGACAGTCTACCCCCGAGAAACCAGACGCTACTGCCGGTGACTCGAGCACGGAGTCCAAGGAGCCAAACTACTACGGAGAGGAGAAGCCCAACTCGACTCTTACTTCGGACAAACCTCAATCCCAGATTGACGAAAAGTCTAGCCCCCGGGGACAAGGCTCGCAGTTGGACGGCGCCGCCGGTCAGCCTGAATCCGATAATATCCAGGCTTCTTCTCAGAACAACCACGTTGAAGAACAACCCTCGAAAATTTCCCAGAATGCTCCAGTTCTTCCCCCGGTCGCTGCATCTTTCACGGAGGAAGACTCTGCCCACAAGTTAAATGAGCATGCTGCTGGTTCAAGTACAACTCCAGCAGAGGAAATTCCCTCAGACGATATCGATGGAGCTGTCGTGAAACCACCCTTGCCCGAACTCGACGACAGAGAGGAGACAAAAGACTCTTCACATGAAGAAGAAGCAACTAGATTTCCTGTCGATTTGCCACCACCACCCCCAATCGTTCCTTCGGGGAAGCAAGCTTCTGCCGTTCACGAAGAAGGGCCAGGCTGGCTGCTGCCCCCTGCTGTTCCCCACTTGAAAGACCGAAAGTGCCTTGTTCTTGATTTGGACGAAACGCTTGTTCACAGTAGCTTCAAGGTAAATATCTTTCCCACTTATGATCCGCAAGCGGAATTCCCAGCTAAATCATTTGCCGCAGGTTCTCGAGCGCGCTGACTTTACAATCCCCGTCGAAATCGAGGGCCAGTATCACAATATATACGTGATCAAGCGACCTGGTGTCGACCAATTTATGAAGCGGGTCGGAGAACTGTACGAAGTGGTTGTGTTCACAGCATCTGTGTCCAAGTATGGTGATCCTTTGTTGGATCAATTGGACATCCACAACGTCGTGCACCACAGACTCTTCAGGGACAGCTGCTACAACCACCAAGGAAACTATGTCAAGGTTGGTTTCCGAAGCATCCTCTAGCACCTATCTCTTACTAATGGCATACAGGATCTCTCCCAAGTTGGCCGTGACCTTCGAGAGACGATCATCATCGACAATTCTCCCACCTCGTATATATTCCATCCTCAACACGCGATACCCATCAGCAGCTGGTTCTCTGACGCTCACGATAACGAGCTTCTTGATCTGATTCCTGTTCTTGAGGACCTTGCTGGTGACCAAGTTAAAGACGTCAGTCTGGTTCTCGACATTTCATTGTGATGTCTGTACTCGATACCTCTTCTCGCGCGGTATTCCCATTTAGAGCGTGTTTGATTTTGGCCTTTTTCTTTTGTTTTTGAGGGTTTCGTTATGTCACCAAAAAAAGAGCAAGATTCTGCCTGATTTTTTGTTTTATCTGCCCTTTGCGCTTTTGTTTAACCATACACCGACAACTTTGGCTCTGCCTTTCCATCTTCCCGCTTCCCCAGATAAGAGAAGCGTGGGATAGAAACAAGTCGTGTCGAAGTCTATAAATTTGGAGACGGTCCCAGGATGTATTTATTGCATTTCTTGACATCTCAGAGTCGGCCCCAATGTTGTGTTTGATTCCCCTTGCAGTGCATCGGCTGTTTTATTGATTGTGACCATTTTCCTGTGCTCCTAGCGAGCTGATACCTCTTTCCTTGCCTTTTTCGTTTCTCTTTTTGATTTCGTTTTATTCCACTGTTTTTCTCCCATTATTATCTTGTGATCCCCCTTTGCATTCTGCAGGCGTCTGTCTGGCCATCAGCTAATATTACGCTGATATCATGTATACGCTCCACTGCTTACATTCTCTCTCTTACCCCCTTTTCTTTTCTCTCTTTTCTCCCTCTTATCTAATCGCTCCACAGAGGCGTGATACTACTACTGTCTCATCTCATACTCCTTGAATCTGTGATCATCACCAAGACCAAGCGTCTTTTTCTGACATGATTTGTTTTCTTTGGACACCCCCTTACTGTTCCTGGCACTTCTCATAGTTCTTCTGTTCTACTGATTTGGTACTCTTGATTATTGTTGCAATGTATATGTACTTCATCAGCTGTGGCGCTCGTGCTGTACATAAAAGCGTTCGCATTCAGAATCAGCATCTTGTTTTACTAGCCGAAATATCAAACAATCAATCATTAAGTGTTTAAAATTTTAAAGTTGCTCAAACCATGGCCCTTAGAGGAAACAAATAAAGGCGTTTCATTGTTATCTAACAACTACCTTATACACTCGCAGTTATCCTAAATTTTCACTCTTGCAATTGGTAACAGCAAAGCTGCATAGTTTCGTCTATCTAGAGGTAAACAGTATCCGCACTGCTATTCCAATTTCACTGAGACAATCATCGAGACAGCTGTTGTATCGCTAACGAAGGCGAGTCCTACGAGTCCGGTTCCTGAACCCAGCTCCAGCACTCGTAGTGTCTTCTCGGCCTTGGAAGAGGTTGCTTCGGAGGGGACTAGCCGCGGTGTGGACTCGACAAGACTGTGAAGGCGAGCAGAGAGGAGGTAAGGATACCCGGGTTGTCGGCGGCCAAGGTATTTCGCTACCTTAGGACCCTCATAGGTAAGGCTGCCATTAATCGAGGTATCCTTCAAACCCTCAGGTAAAAGCCAAGGTGAATCCGTTACCCAGCCCTTATAGGAATGAGTAAAGGTGTGGATAATTCCCATTGATTGAAACGTAAAAGGAATGACTGGTATTGTTTCTATCTAACAATTTCCCAGCGTACGCCACAAGACATTGGCAATGATCTGTAATAACTGTCTATACTTCTCAAATTGAGCATTTTTCTACCAGTCATACTGCCCAGCTCCCATTCTGCATGTTCATTCCACTAATCTGACCCTTCGCTATCTCCCAGGAATGAACCCGTGGGAATCTCCGACAATGACGAATCTGTCTATACTCATCCATTGATCACGTCGTATGCTCTCCTGAGGCCTTTTGGGGGATGTGCTTTATCACATCCGCTTGGCCCTCAGGGATATCGTTTTGGAGAGTTATGTATTTTGAGACAATGGCTTCGTATCGGTCTATCAGCACCTGGTTGTTCGTGTTCGCATACATTTTCGCGTGTAGATCGAACTCGGTTCGATACTCGGAGTAGTATGGTTCAGAGGTTCGTTCATATCTTTGCTGGCCATCTCCACATCGGTATAGCGTGAGCGACGTTGTGATCGACATAATTTAAGAAAAAAGTTGATGAACCGAATAGTAATTTGGGAGTCGAGACACACGAGGTCCGAGTGGAGCAGTCCATTCTTTCAGTGGAAGTGCGTGACATAGGATGGTAGTGAAGATGGAGAGAATACCTGGCCAGGATCTCTTAAAAACGCACGCATGTCAACTAGACGGCAATGCTGCAGGGTGTGCTAAAGACAACTTGATGATGCAGAATGTTTGATTAAATAGATCTTGATCGTGAAGGGAAAGAGATACTTGGGGAATAGAAGAGGACAACTTCAAGGTAAAAAACATTATGGATGGATGTTTGGGGGGGACATCATCTTCCTTCTTAAGTTGCAGATATGGAGGGTGCACCTAATTAACTAACCTTGATCTTATTCCATTAATGACCTACTCCTCATTCACCCCAGAGCAAATTCAATAATATACATCTTGTCGCGCGTACGTTCCGACCCAGTTCCCAATGTTCCATCCGCCGAAAAGCTCCCCGCACCGCACCTCCGTCACTCCTCCACCTCCGAACAAAAAACGACCCCCGAAACGCGCATCAATCAAACCAAACCGCAACCATGAAAGATAGCAAAGGCTGGGACGGAAAGCTCCGAGTCGAACCCAAAGAAAATGCGAATGCGAGTGCCGTGATCACGAACCCTGAGGCGCTGGAAGACCCGGATTATTCTGACCCCGACGCGCCGCCGGTTGAGGAGATTGAGGCCGATGAGGGTATGTTTGCTTTTTTTGCTGCTGGGGATTATATTCTAGGGATAGGATGGGTTTGGATTATATCGAGAAGATTTCTGACTTATTGGTGTAGATCTACTCGAGGACGAGGATCCAGATGTCGAAGTATGTTACCCAGGACTGGATGTGACTTTTTTCTCTCCGATTCGTGCGGTTGGACTTACGGGGATTTCTTTTAGGATATCGATCTTGTACACTTGCGCATAAGTTCTGTTCCATCTTTGCATTTGGAACGGTTTCAAAAGCTTCAGGTAAGTTATTATCCTCCATTTTGCTCAAGCCGTGAAAGCGGAAGAGAAAAGACAACACAACACAACACAGCAACGCACAAAAAAGACATTAACTAACAACATCTTGTCACAGAGATTATGCCTTCGACAAAACCAGATATCGCGCATTGCCCTGCCACCGGATATCGCCCCGACGCTGACGGAGCTCGATTTCTACGATAACCTCATTGGGCACATCAAGGGTCTCGATGAGTTCACGAACCTGACCACTTTGGATCTCAGCTTTAACAAGATCAAACATATTAAGAACATTGCGCATCTGAAAAAGTTGACGGATCTTTATTTTGTGCAGAATAAGATATCAACGATAGAAGGGCTGGAGGGACTGGATAAATTGAGGAATTTGGAATTAGGCGCGAATAGGATTAGAGTGAGTATTCCTGTTTTCCTGGCTTCTGGCTCTTGATCGTTGGCTGATGGTTTCTGCAGGAAATTGAGAACCTCGAAACTTTGAAATCGTTGGAGGAGATATGGCTTGGAAAGAATAAGATTGTTGAAATGAAGGTATGTCGCCAATCCCAGATCAGATCATCAGATGAAATACTGACATCCCCCAGAACCTCGATAGCCTCACCAACCTCAAAATCATCTCCATCCAATCAAACCGCCTCACCAAAATCTCCGGCCTCTCCTCTCTCAAGAACCTCGAAGAGCTCTACATCTCCCACAACCTCGTCACAGACCTCAGCGGCCTCGAGAACAACACCAACCTGCGCGTCCTTGATTTCTCAAACAACCAAGTCTCCAAGCTGGAACATCTATCCCACCTAACGCATCTCGAGGAGCTATGGGGGTCAAACAATCAACTCTCAAGCTTTGACGAGGTTGAGCGCGAGCTCAAGGACAAGAAGGAATTGCAGACGGTTTACTTTGAGGGAAACCCGCTGCAGACAAAGGGGCCGGCCGTCTATAGGAATAAGGTCAGGTTGGCGATACCGCATATTGCGCAGATTGATGCGACGTATGTACGAGTTGTTTGAGTTATTGGAATTATGTATGACGTGTGAATGTGAATCATGAATTGAACCAGAGATGGCCTAAGAATATCGGAGCAGGTCCTATTGTCCACTACGAAAACGTATGAGAGAATAGGGTAGATAAACGATGAAGCTATTTCAAAGATTAACCCTAGGGTTTTTCCTTTGTGGGATCTTCATCCAGTCAACTTCCGGCACCCTAACAAAGTCCTTGTTTCCGTCATATCGTCGGCGGTTCAACATTCTGTGCCTGAAGCCATTTGTGGCGAGAAAAATAGAAGATAGGCTAAAATGTTGATGGAATTGCAATAATATACCATATACCAGCAATTCAGAATTTCTTTTGGAAACCGTCACATCACAGACCGAGGCTATAATTTGAGCATTAGCATCAGGTTTCTTGAACTCGACGTCACTGCCTGGATGACTACTAGGGTTTGCAAACCTTTGATCTGTTTGACGAGATGTTCAAATTTTGAGATGGTGCAGCTGCTTCGCGAGAGAAAATCGAAGGGACCAGACGTTAGTCCATTCCTTTAGTGGTAGAATGTTGGCGATGAACGCAAGACATGAAATCATCACGGACCAAAGTGAGAGGGTATAAGGCATTGAGGATCCATTAGGGGTGATAGTCTGTTTCCGATGAAGATTTGGTATTAGCTAAGGTCGAGGAATACGTTGAAGCACTAGGTATATTGACGGAAGACAGATTTGCTTCCTCTAGAGTACCGCTAGATCATCTCTTGAGTACTTCCTGCCCTAGGGCTTAGTTACCCAGAACGTGTAAGGGAAGGAGCATTTGAAAGTCCACTGTCTTGATAATGTTCATGGCTTTGGCCATAATACGTCTTGAGTATAGGCCATGGAGCTGCCTCGTATGTATTCTTGACTATATAGATATAAATGAGTATAAAAATAATCTTCCTGATTGCATTCTAGTTTGCGAAATATATAGCCGGCAATAATTGCGCTATCACTCTTCCCAGTGAAGGGTGGAGGGTGATGAAGGGCGAGATATCAACTGAGGCGGAGTGAATGTTCATCGAGAATATTCCCGAGATGATGCCACTTGGATGGCATTGAATAGACGCTTTGCGACTCGCATTCATCCGATGCTGTAGGCTCGGGACTCTCCTTTTACCAGAGAAGTCCAAAAGCCAATGTAAAGACCATGTAGGCGTAAACTCCACTGGACACGACCATAATACCAATCGAGCCAGCGTCCGTCATGACGAACTCGCCAAGTCGTATCATGTATGATGATTATGAACCCGTATCATCAAACCATAATCATCTCCCCTCAACATTCGCTTTCTCCTCAGCTTCACCCTCAGCCTTCGCAATTCCCTCCCGATACAACTCCATCAGCGACGTAGCTCCCAACCGCTCATTCTCCGCCTGAATTCTCCTCTTCACCCGAAACGGCATATGCTCCTTCCGGCTCATCATCCCATCTGCCAACTCCCGCAGTGGTATCTCCGTATTTTTAATCAAATCCTGGTACGGGTAGGTACTCGTGTCGATGTTGAAAGCGGTATGGTATGGATTGCGTCTGAGTGCGGATTCGTGGTTGTGGCGGGAGGGTTGGATTGTGCAGGTTAGAGTGCGGTGTCTTTCATTAACGTTGAATGTGGATTCTGTGAGCTGGGAAGATTGAGAGAAGGAGGAAGCGAAGTTGTTATTGCTGCTGCTATTATCCGGGATGGGGATCGTAAGAGGAGAGGCTTCGATTGCGCGGGTGGCCGAGTCGGGGGATTCGAAGATGGCGACTGTTGCGCGATTATGTTTGGGAGATTTGTTGGTTGTGTCGTACTATATTCAACTGTTAGTCAAGCTATAAAAGTAAAGAAATATGCGACAATTGACGCCATAATGGTGTAGTCTAGACCATGCATACCTGTAAATTCCTAAAAGTAACAACTTCCCCGAATTTCTGCAACGCAGCTAGAACCAGTTTACTCTCGCCCAAGGACCGCGAGCCTGGGTTTGTCGTGATATGGACCGATTGCGACGCGATGCGCGCAAGGGTGCTGGCCATTTTTGAATTTGGAATAATCGCGAGGTATGTAAATGGGAGGAAGAAGAGGAGTTGAAGGAGGTGTAAAACATGTTCTGGGGATAAGTAGCGGTTCTTGGCGGGCTGCTTTGGGAGGTTTTATCTGATTGGTCGGAGGACAATGTAGATCTACTACTACTACTACTACTACTACTACTACTACTACTACACATAGGTAATTCAAAGGATATTTTTGCATCATTTGTTCATTTGAGGCCATCGTCGCTTAAGCTTTAGGCATGTCGACAACTCGTGCTGGAAAGAACATTGTCTGGGAATATTCCACGCTTGGTGCGGGTATAATTGTTGCATTATCTCCTGTCAATGGCTGCTTCGAGAATGAAATGCATCATTACTGTTATTGCAGCCAGACCCTTAGGTGTGAAGCAGCTGCCTCCGGAGATTGATGCAAAAATCATCACACCCTGTTCGCTTCATATCTCCGCAAATGAACCGTTCCCTGTATCCTCGGTCTGTAGATGTAGAAATTCATGTGGTAACTACTGTAACCGTTCCTCCAATTCAGTCAATCCAAGCGAGAAGAGCCCCAAGCCAAGAGAGAAAGTAGTGCATCCAATCCAGTTCATCACCCCTCATCCAATGGGAGGAGCCTGTTTCTGCATAGGAGGAGAGGTGAAAGGATAAAAGTGATAGTGGTTTTGCATCATGGTCTCTAGGGACATTTGGTTTAGGCTTATAGTGATTGATTGAAACTAAGGCAGGTTCATACCAACATGACTGGGGATATCACTATCAAGACCATTTCATGGGCCGAGCTGGCTGGTGAACCAGACTAAAGCAAGTGGTGTCAGTATCGTCAGCAGGATATCGGCTTCACCTTAACAGCCACTGTACCTGTAGCGCATCACCATATCGGCCCGTAATGTCATCAGCCTTCCTTAAACTTGGGTCCAACAGCAATACAGCACGGTTTCAGACTAGAAATCAGCGAGCTAGAGTTATGGTAAAACCATCAGACTTACTCATAGTTGATTCGAAGCATGATCTCCTTGTCGTTGTCAGTATAGCGGGCGCGACGTTGTCCACTGGTGGAAGCGCATGGCCACGATCCCACGAGTATCCAGCATTGTTGATTCCTTATAAGCTTATGACCGTCAGAGTCACCTCCAAAGGAGGATCAGAGAGGTCTGGTGTGTCCGAGACTTGATAGTTATATTGATGCTTGAGCCAAGTAACAGTCTAAGATATCTTTAATAGTAGTTCTTGGGCATTGAAAGCCAGAACAGAAGTTTATATGTATTTCTGACTTGGAAACTAATATTAAGATTATAAGCCGATATTCTAGAAACTGGAAGTGAACTACCTTGACTCAGACTCTGGAGAACCCTACTATGCCACACTTGTAAGGCCACTGGAAAAATACAGAGAAAAATTCCAACTCAGAGTGAGTGTCTCATAGCTATACCCCAGAGGCAAGGATGCACATCATTAAGCATTTCATGAGCAAAAATCATCGTTGCCGGGTTCTCATCACGGCCTTTAGCTGTGGTAACCTAGACCGAGAAGACAGGAATGGAATGGGACAAAAGACTTAAAGACACGCAGTAACTCCCAAATGACTTCACCAGATACGAAACACTACCTGGTTGAGAGGTCGTTGGACAATTAGAAGCGGTTGATTTGTTCATAGGGCCTCTCGGATTGAAAGAGGAATAGAGATTCTAAGTATCACGGTCACAGCGTTCTAGCGATATACCTCTGTTACCAGCAAAAGAATAAGTATTCTAGGAATTGCAGGTCATGGCATTTATGTACTAAAAGAGATATTCTAAACAATATTTACTACCCAGGCATTGGCATTTCGAGTCGTAGGTCAGTGAAGAGATGATCTTCGAATATAAATCGAGGCTTAGAAGATGGGAACATAGAGACCGTACTATAATATAAACCGTTAGGACGTGCAAACCTACTCATCCAAGCATAACTTACGTTGAGAGGATCATTGAATCTCAAGTTCTTGTTCAGCGAGCTAATAGAATCAATCTCACTGCTCTCCAAGTTCCACCCAGTGACATCGAGGTTCTGAGCAAGGCGGGTAGGGTTGTTGCTCTTGGGGATAACAGCAATGTTGCGCTGAGTAGCCCAGCGCAGCAGAACCTGAGCCGGAGTCTTGCCGTGCTTCTCGGCGATGCTCTTCACCGTAGCATGCTCGAACAAAAGGGGAGTCTCCTGTGCGTTCTTCATGTCCAGCTCGAGGAAGCTCAGAGGTCCAAACGACGAGTACGCGGTCACAGTGATGTCCTGCTTCTGGGCATAGTCGACCAAACGAGTCTGTGTAAGGTAGGGGTGGTGCTCGATTTGCAGGGTTGCAGGGCGGATACGGGCGTAGCGCAGCAGGTCCATGACGAGCTGGGCACTGAAGTTGCTGATACCGATACTCCGGGCGAGCTTCTGGTCGACGAGTGTCTCCATGGCGGTCCAGGTCTCTTGGATAGTGGCGGTGCTGAATTCCACCTTGTCGTTTTCGTAGCTCCAGCCGGGAGGGTACCGGACAGATGGGTCGACGTATTTCAATGCGACAGGGAAGTGAACGATGTACAGGTCGAAGTAGTCAAGGCCCCAGTCCGCCAGCTGCTTGCGGCAGATGGGCACCACGCGATCGCCATCGTGAAAGCTGTTCCAGAGCTTCGAGACGATAAAGAGCTCCTCGCGCTTCACGATGCCGTCCTTGATGGCGCGGGCAACACCCTGGCCCGCTTCGACCTCATTTCCGTAGTCTATAGTATGTTAGCTGATTTGTAATTACTAAGCTGTAACAGAGGTCACTGCATACCACAAGCGCCGTCGAAGCAGCGGTAACCAGCCTTGATGGCGTTGTAAATTTGGTCCGCACAAGTGTCGTTGTTGACCTTCCAGAGACCAAAACCCACGAGGGGCATGTCATATCCGCTGTTGAGCTTGACGGTAGGAGCAGCCATTGTGGAATAGTCAGGGGTTTGTAGGATTGAAAAAAAAAATTCTGCCTAGATGAAAAAAATGTCAGTTACTGTGGAGGGGCAAAAGAAGCAAAAGAGACTTACCAGAAGATTAAGATGAAGAGGAAAAGATTAATCCCAGATTGAAAGCCGACTGCTGCCCTTTTAAAGGAATATTTTCTGGTAGAGCTCCACGAAAATAGCTCATTCTGCCAGCTTGGTAATCCAATTAATCCAATGAGCCCCTCACGACGGCCAGTGGATGAGGGCAAAGTCTGGAGAGTTCAGCCTGCCTTGAGGCTAAAGTGTGCGTCGCCGGCTGTATATCCAAACTCCCGGCTAAATCCGGCTAAATGCTATCTTCTACCAAAGTGGGAACAAGAAAACCCTCAACGGCACGGAGAAGAAAGATTGGTCAACCAGGTCATCAAGTTTCTTGTGGTAGGTAATGGATATAGAGGACATTGCTACGGAGTACACATGCGACAAGCAGTTCTGGAGGTGGCTGAAGAAATTATGGAGTGCAAGATTGCTATTTCGAACTATAGAGACTTCGATAGAATGGAAGCAAAAATAAAAAGAGAATAAAAATAGTATGCGACAGAAAAAAAAAAAAAAGCAATCCTCCTTGCCCTTATATAAGGCGTAAAAGCGGCCCATTCTCCGTCCCCAGACTCCCAACTGGTGAAGCAAATGGATATTAAAATACACTTTTGTGCCCATTACGATTATCATTAACAACATATAGCAGTTTTTTCTTTTCTTGATATTTTTGTGGTTCTTTTTTCCCCTTCTGTTTAAATGGCTTCAACCGTGCCGGCGTCCGCATAAGAAGTAGCATGATCGGTACCTGCCCCATGCATGCTAGGGTCGTCGGGCATGCTGCCCACAATCTTTATCCATTCATCTTGCGGTAAATAGCTTTCGAAGCTGTTACTTTGGGGCATCTCTCTGGATACTGGTACCTGATGTTCAGAAGTGTGGAACGGAATGTGACTGTAGTTGTCACCAACATCACTGGGAATAGCGGTGGTGGTTGTCGGCCAAGACACATCGCTGTGGCCGATTTCGTTGATAGAGTGTGCCCCAGGTCCAAAGAAAGTGTTCAGAACACTGTTGCTGTCATGGAAACTGACATCATGCTGAGAAGGCATGTAATTGGTCTCATGGCCTATGGGAGATGTCGTGAAATTAGGATGAGGCAAAGAAAGATCGTTGACGACATTCATCATGGAAGATCCACCGCTGGAGGTGTGGATATTGAGCGGCTGGCTAGTTTCCGGTTGCGAATTGGGGAATTCTAGTACTGCAGTCACCGCAGGCTTGTTACCAAAGCTATCTTCGGGCTTGGAAATCGGGCCCAGCAAGTCGAAAGGCTCGGCAGTGCTAAACATGGTGGGGATGTTATCCTGGGGTGGTTCATACAACGGCCAGTGTGAATGGGCAGTGCTGCTGGGGTGAAGAATCTCGTGCGGCTGAGGAAGTTGGTAGCTGGGTTGGATCGGTCTGCTCAATATCGAGTCGAATGAGAGGGAGCCAGTTCCCGTTGCTGGTCGTGGGCTGCTTGCCGGAATCCGCGCAGGGGGCGGGACCAATCGTGTCCATGTGGTCGTACCAACCTCTTGAGGTCGTGTTTGCCGAAACTTCCAGAGTAGAACAGCAACTGGTTTTTCATAATTATCCCCCATGTATTGGCCGGAGAGTCGTGGAGACTTAGGAATCGCTCGGATCACCTGGACTGCTGATAGCTGAGCCAAGTACTTTCTGGTATGCTCATAACCCTCTTGATATTGACCATTTCTCTCAAAATTTTGTCTCTCTACCATCAGGTCCTTGAACAGTGCCCCCCACCACTCGGGGATGAAAAAGATCCTGGCTTTAGTGGTGATTGGTCCATCGGAGGAAAAATGCTTGTCGTTGATTAGTTGGCCGCCTTGATACAGGTAGGTGCTGTACTTCCAGTCTTTCATCTGATCGACCATATGAACATGTCGCGTGTTCGGATGCTTGAAGTCTAATTCCAAGCTTGCTCCAATTTTTGAGCCCGGCGGGGGGAATTCATTCGCTAATTCGAGGTTGGACTCCAACAGGATGATGTCGCTGTCCAGAGAATTGTTTGTATCGTCAAGCAATTCCTTGAGATGGGGAAATGTTCCCGGCCAGTTCACGATGCTATCAAGGGCTCTGGGGGGTGCAACAGGTCGCTGGGGATTCCCCTGTCGAGTGTACATATGGAAGGCGGACTCCACGCGACCATCTTCCTGTGGGCTGAGATACATGTTGAAATTGATGCCCTGGACCACGTTAAGACGTGTATCGTGCATGGAAGAATTCATCGCGAAAGGTGGTTCTGTCCCCGCGTAAGAAGGTGTTGACCTGAGATCCGAAAACGAAGCATGGACGGGATTGCTGCGGTGGCTGGAGAATGGATAGTCCATTGAACTTCTTGACCTTGGCCCAGTTGACTGGTGCTGGCTGTTCGAACCCTTTGTGTCTTCTCGGACAAGTCTTTCCCCTACAATTTATTTGTCAGCTAATGTTCCCTTTTACGCGTATCATGATGGAATATGAAACTCACAGTCCGGGTCACCTTTCAAGAAAGAGTCGAGAACCTGCAGGTGACTAGAGACTTGCTTCCTACTTCTCTTCTTGCCAGTCTCATTGAAGATGTACTTGGCAATGAGTTCATTGCGACCAAATGACTTTCCTCGTTCGGACCACTTTCTCCTGCCCATTGGGGGGTTTGCTTCTAGGGCTTTTTCTTTGTTATCACAGAATTCCCCCCCAAAAAATCATATTCGACTGATCTCACCTTTCTGGAAAGCATCTTCAAGCTGGTCCGACCATACTGGTTCTCCATCCTTGCCAGTGTCCCGCCGAGGCCGGGCCCGGTACTCCAGATACTTTTGGGAATTGAGGTAACTCCTTCCTCTCCTAGAGCTAGATGCGTTCGGGCCCACCGAGTGTTGACGCCGGATCTTCCTTTGCTGGAGCCGGTGGTAGATTTGGGGATCGCAGTACCTGACAGGAGCAGGAACTGGCTGAGGATTGAAAGGAACCGGAGGGTAAGTATACTTGTAACCCAAATGCTGGAGATGCTCCTCCCGGCCCGGGGGATTGCTGTTCCCTATGCTGTCAGAATATGACTGTGCATTTCCAGAGGTGTTCCGTAGAGCCCGGTTTGAGTGAGCTCCAACACCTTCTAGGGTTGGCTGGTTCTGCGGGATGATATACTCGGATTGCCAGTCAGTAGCCATGGAGTCCACCACTTTGGATATAGTTCTTGGAAGAATGACGGATTCCAAAGAGAAAGCTGTTGAGGACTTCAAAATGCTTGCTGCCTGGCAAAGAACGCAGCACACAGTCACAAACGGCGACCAAGAACGCAGATGCTTCAAGAGAATGTAAGAACCTGGGAAAGAGAATGTGGGAGCGAACAGCATGGTGTTTATAAGAAACCATCTCCCCTGGGGAGGGGAAGGCACTACATTGCTCGAGCACGCTGCTTGTTTGGATGGGCCACCCCTCGAACGTAACCTCCATCACCGGGGCGGGACCTTCTGAACTTCACGCGTCCAAGGTCGTTGTGGAGGACAGGAAGACAGTGGCTGTCCTTGCCGCAGCAAATCAGGAGCAGAGAAAAGGCACGAGAGGAAGCGGATGATAACCTGCAAGGGGGTGACCAGGGAGCACGAACCAGTGAGCAGCGGTTCGGGGATTTTACTGCACGGCTTGGTCATCGAATATCGTTGCCCAAGCAGGTACGGAGAATTCCATGGAGGGTTGCGAGAGTGGCAATGAACACTTCAAGAATGCTTGTCGTTGAACAACAGAAGGGGAGGAATGTATAACTTGTCAAGATGATACCATTTGGAATGTAAGGCAGGAGGGAGCGCCCGTACTTTGAGGGTTCCTATCCAAGGCGTCAAAGTTTAGATGGAGTGCACGCCTTGAGTTGATAGCTTAAGAAACATTATGATGGGATGGCCAAAAAAAAGATTCATTAGGATATAGGGTGCATAAGGTCGGATGCAGTGCAGGACGCGTTATGCACGTCGTGCTTCTGACAGCGACAGGAACGTGTTGACCTGGGGAACCTACTTCGACATCAACCAAGCAAGGGATGATATCAAAAACCATCGCAGTGACTGCCTTTAGCAACAGGGAGAAGGGACTCTAGGCCTCCTCGTCGTCCTGGGCCCCTACAGTGAATTTCTTCCGCCCAGTTCCTGTGAGTTTTTGGAGCTTGACCCTGTCAAGCTGCTCCCCTACTTTCTTCTCAATCTGCTCAATCTGTTGCTCAGGATCGATCGCCTCCGCGTTCGCAAATTCCAAAACCAACTTTCTACCCAAAAGATGTGTGTTCTTCAGCGCATCCATAGCATTTTCCGCCTCACGAGCGCTTACGAAGTCAGCAAAACCAAAACCACGAGCGGACCGGTCAAATTTCTGAGGAACTCGCACAGAGCGAAGTTGCCCATATGCACCAAAGAGTGACCTGATATCCTTTTTCGTGGTTTGGAACGGCAAGTTCTTGATAATGATTTTTGTTCTCCTTGCCGCAATCTTCTTTGCGTTATCTTCGCGTCTTCTTTCTTCTGCAACATCCACGCCCTTGTGAGATGCCCTGATTACCAACTCATGTTGGTCAAGTTTGAAGCCATTCATCGCAGCAACAGCAGCCTGGGCTTGGGCTTTTGTTCTAAAGTCGACGAAACCAAAGCCCATGCTGAGCGTTTGCCCAGGCCGTTTGGGATCGGGCTTTGTTTTGACTTTGGCAGATACAAAGCCGTCCAGCGGCCGGAAGGCATCAATGAAGTTTTCATTAGTCGTGGAGAAGGCAAGGTTCTTTACGAATAGGGTTGCAGTCGACACGCCTTCATCAGGTTCGTCTGCAGCAAATGTATCGGCAGTAGAAAAGCCTTGTGTGACAGCCTTGGTCTCTGGAGTAGGTCTAAGCGGTGCAGCTGCTCCCTCGAAGAGATTCTTGGGTGCTTTTTCTAAGAAGAGAATCGAGTCTCCTAGCTTGCGATATGCAAGACCTTTGAATGCTTTTTGTGCTTCGTCTGGTCTTGCAAATTCAACAATCGCTATTGTGCCACTAGGGGGCATTAGTAACCTGGTGAGTTGACCGTACTGCTCAAACATTTTTCTGAGTTCATCAATCTTGACACCAAACGAGAAGTTTTTTACCAAGATCGCCGTGTTTCCACGTTCTCGTTGCTTGAATGCATCAATGTTGACACCATTCGCAGCAAGATAGGCCTTAGTTTCTTGGATGACATGCGTTTCAGCATGTGCTTGTTTTACTGCAGCATCTGCTGACGTGGGGTCAAGAAGCTCTGCTTTTGAAACACCAAGTCGATCCGCCACTGAGGACATCACAGCATCAGCCTAGACAATCGTTAGCGCGTTGACCTTTGCTTGACGCTGATATTCAACACTCACATTCATATAAAGCGAGTTCCAACTAAATGTAGATGACGAAGCTTCGAGTTTTCGTTTTATCTGCTTCTGCTTTTTGACGGGTAGCTTTGACAGATCGTAGTCATCAATCTTGTATGTTTTCTTCGCAGAGGCCGGCAAGATGTGCAAAATACGTCCTTGGAAGTTTTTTCCATCCAGGCTTTTGTAGGCTTCGATGGCAGCATGAGGGTCGACGTACTGAATGTAGGCGAATCCTTTGCTGGTTGTTGACCGCGTATCGAAAGCGATGTGAATCTGTAACCATCAGCATCAAGTCATATTGAGATGAGTGAATAAATTTCAAGATGGTAAACATGTTTCATTGCTCTTCAGATAAACAAGAAGCATCTACTAAAATCTCTTGACCTGTTCACATCATGTGCTTTGCATCTGATGTCCCTATCAGGATGATCATCATTCGAGCAGCCCTCATGGACGAACCAATATTTGGGCGAAAAGAAACGTTGGTATTTAGGGAACTGGGGTGAAAATGGAAAACTACTGACCTCTTCAATCCTTCCAAAGGGAACAAATATAGGTTCCAGATCGGCCTCCGTTGCCTCATATGACAAGTTCCGCACGAATAACCGCGCAGAACTGCGTATGAGTTCAATGTTTGCGTCAACTTCAGGTGCTTCTTGCGGTTCCTCAACATGGTTTTGAGGCTCAGAGTCGACGTTCTCAGGGCTGTGGGGTTCAGGGTCTGGCTTAGCTGGGGCAGCCGTCGGGGCGGGTGCCTCCTGCACAAACTCGGCCTGTTCATCTTCGTCAAGGAGACCCAGAAGACGACTGGTCTTTGATCGAAGCCAGTCAGCGTCGCTCTTTGGTTCAGCTTCAACGACAGATTGATCTTGTTCCGGTTGCTCAGAACTACCATCTGCACCACTTTGGTCGACGACCATCGGTTCGGGCTGGGAGTCTTCTCCACCAAGGGTCATTGCCGAATCACCGGTAACCTTTGAACTTGAAGCTTCCCCTGGCCCGTTGACCCTGGCCTTCTTCTGCGCATGCGTGAGTTCCTCGGCAGGTTCAGCTGCAGTGACCGTCTGATCATTTGTGGGGGGTTGTTGTTCAGTTGGCCTAGTTAAATCTTCATCATTGGCCCACGTCTTCGTGTTGGACGAATGTTGCATCAGAGAAAGATACTGTTGCAATTGGGAGTCCTTTTTGTCGTCCCCATCCCGCTTACGCTTAAGCGCATTGGACGAGTCATCGGAACTAGATGCCTTGCCATGTTTTGATGCAGCTTGGTGAGCATCCTCAACAGGCTTGTAATCAATCTAAAAAATACTGGTCAGTTTCAAGACCATCTTGACCGGTCAGCGTGCACGATGGCGATAAGAAATTGACAAGAATTGAATAGCAGGAGACATACCGGTCGAGCAATCTCTACAGAGATCTTGGACATTTTAACATACGTCCTGTTGAAATAAGCTGCAGCTTGCTTGGCTGCTTCTGTGCTTTTGAAGCCGACAAAGCCAATGCGGCGTTTGGACAGCACATGAGCATCAGTAACTTGAAAGCGAGATGCAAAGTGTTTTTTAAGTTGCTCATTAGAGAATGAGGGCGGAAGCCCGGAGACGAACACTCTTGTGTTCTCCATTGTGTCTTGTGGCATTGCCGTGGAAAGAAGGAAAAAAAAAAAAAAAGAAGCCATGAAATTTTTTTTCTTTTCTTCCTTATAGTGCCGAAGGCGGTGAGGAAAGCGGGCGCTGGTCCGTGCTCCATTGTCAACGCGATGCCGTCGCACGCGCAATCTACGATGGCTTGACAAGGTGTACCATTTCGGACGTCTGTGCAAAGAGGTGCTTTCTATATCTCAAGCTTCGAAGTAATTAAATTTTGAAATATCTTTTGCTCTACCATATCCCTCAACAAACGCAATCATGGCTGCCGAAAAGAAGGAGAAGCTGGAAGGTGAGCATCGGGCAGGAATGACTGTGTAACGAAATCGGCTAAAAGGATGACGTTTAGCGCAGATTAAGTCCGTCGATATGGTATGGTGTTTTGCTGCAGCGATTCGGTCTCAGGATACTCATGGTGTAACAGACGGATGATATGCAGCAAGAGGCTATCGAACTTGGTATGGACCCTCTGTCGACTCAGGGGGGTTGATAGTGGCTAATTTCTTAGCGATTGAGGCGATGGACAAATACCACATTGAAAAGGTCAGCTTCTTGTGATCTTATGCGCTGTATATTGGCTGACATATTGGTTGTGTTCAGGATATCGCCCAGTACATCAAGAGAGAAGTCAGCAACCCTCACCAATCGACTGGTTTATCGTTACTCACATTCATCGCAGTTCGATTCGCGCAAGGGCGCAACATGGCATTGCGTGGTGGGGCGGAACTTTGGCAGCTTCGTCACACATGGTGAGTGTTGGACATACTAGTCTTGAGTGGCTGCTAATACCGTTCGTTGCAGAGACCAAACACTTCATCTACTTCTACCTCGGTCACTGCGCCATTCTCCTCTTCAAGACCCAATAAACCTACGTGAACCCATTACAATCCGGGCGAGAGGGCCAACTCTGTACTTCTGCTGGGCCTGCTCTCGGAAGAAGCCACACCGATCTGCTGCCTCGAGTAGCTGGAGGACTGTGTCTTGCGAAACTTGGTCCTCTTCATTGCCGTATCCGATAGAGGGACCCGGATACTTACCCTATCTACGTATTACGGCAATTCGCACTGGATGAATTCTTGCTTTTTTAGCGGCAATACTACTTTAAACCGAATCTTTGTTTCTTTTTCTGGGCCGTTTATTTAAACACTGGTACATCAAAATTTCAGCTGTCTTGAAGCAATCTTGTATATGGCTGCTCTAGATATATTTAACATACGAACACGTGCAACATAAAACATAAGAACAGAACCATATTTGTAAATTGAAGAAAATCACCACTGTCTCTATACTTAACAACCTAATCCAACAATCATACTATCTTTCATCTTCAACATTATCTCTCCAACATACACTTCGTGGCCAGACAGAACCTACAGCCACCTTACCCCAGCCAAGCACGTGCCGTCCGCCCTCAAGCCAAGCCCAACGCCAAGCCACAGCGCCACACGTCACGGCCCTGAATTAACAGCGCTGCCTGTCTTGCCCCTTCGACCTTCTTTCTTCACTCATTACACTATCCAGCATCATTCAGAAGCGTGGCCTCTCAAACATTTAATATATTCAGCATTTTGCCTCTCGTTCAGATTGCGCCGAACTAGTCCACCATGGCTATTTGCATCACGTTCGGAACTCATGGTAAGTGGAGCACTCGTACCTGTACCTACTCCCGTACCTATTACGATAGGTCAAGAGTACGGTAAGAATGACCTCAACTAATTATATGCTTGATGCGAACAGAGTTCTCGTCCATGCTGGAGGGATATGAGCATGTTAGGGCTTATTGCTATAATTGTAAGTACTTACTTGCATTTAACTGATTGATTAATTGGTTGCTGTTGTTTACTTTTGTTTTGTTCGTACCTGGGAATCCGCTAATTGATATACAGGTGGGAATTGGAATGGGCATTGCGTGACTCGATGGTATTTAGCCCTGTCTATTTTCTCTATTCAAGTTGCGAAAGCTAATCAATTAATTCAGGCCTTTCTTTACCGTTTGCTTTGTGGTATGCATCATCTCATCTTTATCCGTCGGATAGAAGAATGTTAGGTTCAGTCATCTAACTACCCATTTCCCCTTCTATAGCCTGTGATCCCACTCGCAATGCATAAATACAAAGTCAGTCTTCCGCTCACATATCTAATCTACATCATATACTTACATCCATCCAGGAAGTAACATGCTATACATGTCGCTTTACCCAGGACTTACGGTGCGTGAAACACCGCACTTCACCATGCCCAACCCCGTAAAGTGGATGCGCACGATACTAACAGATATTCTAGCGATCGCCCTGAAATCACCCCAGAAACGAGGCCGCCTCCGGGTGTAGTACCTGGTCGTCCACAGCCGCCTCCGCAGGTGTATGCGCATGGAGCGCTGCCTCAAGGACAGGAACAGGGACAGGCCCCGCCTCCGAATTATGGGTATAAGTGAGGAGTGGGGAGCTAGTGGGTTTGCTTCTTTTCGATGTTTTCAGTTTTGTTTATTTGTTTATTTGCTGTGTGGTGTTGTGTTGCCTAGATACCTCGAGGGTTAAGATGAGCCTTTTTTAATTAAAATGGATGTACCGCGAAAGATATTTCAAATCCTTATCTTATTGATTAATGTAAGCAAGGCTGGGGTATAAACAGGAAACAGAACAACAAATCATCACATTACTTGGGCTGCTCCCCAACCTTCTCCATTGGAGTCACAGCACCCGAAGGCATAGGCGTATCCTCAGCCGACCCCCTCCCATCAAGCGCCGCCTTCTTCTTCCCCATCAAATCAAGCGACATCAACCTCGCAACCCGAATAATGCTCTCTCGTCCTTCATACAGCGGGAAAACGACAACCCCAAACGTCGTACAGAAAAGCCAGATAATACCCACAACCACCCAGCCCGTGTAGAACTGTTTGCTGAACACATACGAAGAGCCGTACATGGGGATCGGCCAGAGTATGATGAAGCACAGTACCATGGCGATGGTGAGAGTGCGTGAGTATAGCGCTGCGCGGTTGAGTTGGCGTTCTTCTTCCTCGGCTTGTGCGGATGTGGCGTGGTCTGCTTCGCCGGGGATGAGTTCGATGTCGACGTGGGCTTCGGCTGCGACTTCGGTGTCGTCGACTTTGCGGATTGCTGCCATGGATTTGTAGTCGTAATTTTGGGGGCCGAGGAGGTAGGTTAGGAGGGGGGAGAAGATGACTGGGCTGAGGAGGGCTGCTACGTTGCCTGCGAGCATGGGGTAGCTGTTGTGTTGTTAGTGATACTTCAATGCATATTTAGTAGGAAGGAGGGCATACTTTTCGCCAGTGCTTGTGACTGTCAATTCACCGTATTGCTTCTTCGTAGTCACCAGCCAAGCGATGAGTGACACGGCAAGACCCAAAGGAGGAGAAACAGCAGCGGCAATCCAATTCTGTTGCTTCCAAAGAAGAGACATGGCACCAGGGAATACGGCAGAAGAGATGATAACACCCATGAGAAGGTAAAGATATCCCATGCCGATTCCAGCATAGAACAATCCTGTCGCAAACCCAGCCATGATGATCGCGTAAACAACACAAGACATGTGGGAGACCCAGACAAGCTTCTTGCCCTTGGCAGATGGGTCGATGTAGGCTTGGTAGATGTCATAGGTGAAGATCGAAGAGACGGCGATCAGCTGGGCAGAGAAAGCTGATGTGACAGCCATGAAGATCATGAGCGTCGTAGCGACAGCTCCGCTGTAGCCTAGTAGCTTGACTGCAGCAAATGGCAGCACAAGTCCAGCGGTAACGTCGTCTGCGCTCATACGTTGAGAGCCCTCCAAGGCCAGGGCTGATATTCCCATGGTGCTGGCGCAAAGCCAGGGAATGGCGAACCAGCAGAGACCTCCAATGACATATCCGGGAAAGGCGTGAACTGGGCTTGCGGCAATAGCTGGAGTAGAGTAAGCATACAATCAGACAGTCTATAGGGCCTCATAGACATACCTTTGTTGTAGTATCCATTGTCAAGGAAAACAGTGCCAAAGTTACCTGTAACCATATCAGTATACGGTTTAAGATTTAATCAAGCAGTCAACGCGACTTACCAATGAGGTTAATAATCCAGAAAATCCCACCCTCTCTCGATCTCATAGTAAGATAGCTTCCCTCAGCGTTGCCATCAACGGGGTGACGCTTCGAGGCCGCAACCAACGCATCGTACACCTTTCCAGGCGATCCAAGCTCCGCATTCGTAGCGTAAGCAGAAAATGCAAAAAGAAAAACAATAACGATAATAACCACTGTATGCATATAATCCGTGATAAACGTAGCCTTGATACCACCGAAGAGAGTATAAAGCACCACACCGATGGGAAGGAGGAAACAGGCTGCAGCTGTATGCACTCCAGTCAAGGATGTCAGAACGGCGGAACCACCAGTGAGCAGCATTGCTGTAACGAGGATGTTTGTCATGAGGCAGAATACGATGAAGACGCCGTGGACAGTGTGTCCGTATCGAGCGTGGATGGCTTCGAGGAAGGTATGCGCGTTGGGAGCTCGTCTTTTAAGCTCAATGGCTAGGGTTGCGAATAGGATGATTTGTACACATGCACCTATAGTAACACCTTGTTAGTCTGCTGTCCATAGCGCATTGCATATCTCCATGACCCACCTGATGCGTAAAAGAATGGACCCGAAACACCATATTTATATGCCACAGCAGTAGATTGCAGGAGAGTCGCAGCCCAGGTCCAACTACTCACGACCGCAGCAGCGACTAGACCAGACTTGACGGATCTTCCAGCCGTTGAAAACATTTCGGATGTTTGGACTTCATGTTGGTACCTATGAATCTGTCAGTCCAACATCGAGCGATGAACCTCTGATCCCATAGGAGGCACACACCTTTTGAGAGCCCAAGTAATAAAGATCATCACCAGCGCAAAAGCAAACCCCAACCCGATGATAATTCCATATCCAAACCCCTGCGACAGAGGCGCAACAAACTTGGCCTCTCCAGAGGCCATGAAGGATACAGACCGAGAGGTCAACACCAAGGGTCAATCGGACTTTATCCTCAATCTCAATCAAGTCTCAATTCAAGTCAGTCACGGGATTTGTGAATAGCCTTTTTGTAAAATATCCGATTGTGTCTGATACAGAAATTCTGGGGAAGGACAACCCTAGACTGATATAGTCGACGAAAAAAGACTGGAGAAACCCTGCAGCTCCGAACTCGCAGACATCATGGTGACCGGCATGTTTTAAAAGATGATAATAATCTGATCTGGGGCATAGATAGGAAGCATACGCCGTTGACAAAAAGTCGATAAGGAAGTGGGTTTTCGTAATGGATGCATACATTGACAGTCGGCAGAAACTGGAAGTCAACCTAGTCAACTTCCTGCAGTCACGATTACCCCAGTCCACCCTGACTGTCGTCTATGAAATGGAAGAGAACCACTCAATCCAACATCCATCATTGGTGGGCTGTTGTACTGCAGATCGCTTCTTATCAAAGATCACAACAATAGCGGCGGGTGATTGGCTCCGCTGCGAGGCCGAGATAAGACGTTCCGCAGATAGAGAAGGACAAGATAAACAACGTCCAAGCATCGGCAGGGCCCGTTTTAGTTCTTGATAAGTCTTGATTACCTGCTGGTTTCGAGTAATTGTTTATATCTTAAACGTTCTTGTTCCATATTGCTTATTGCTTGTCGGTGGGTCAACACTTCAATATCCTGCCAAGATATGAAGAGATTTATTCCCAGTCTCTTTCCGTCGCTCGAGGATAATCGATCATGATCATCGTGTTGTAATTCGACTCTGTCATGGTTTCGCTATCTTCATTTGTACAGTAAGTAATACTAGGGAACAGCCTGCTTACCTAGTATGCATCCATACTGGCTGGTGACCACCGAAAGCATACGGAGCATACATACAGTAACTACCTTTATTGAATAGCTATTCAACTAAACACTCAGTCACTTAATTAATTGAATATTTATGATGCCTAAAGCACGTGACATCAGGTTTATATACTAATAAGACTTCAATCTGAATAGCAGCTTATACTTACCCAAACAACAACGGTATGGCCAGTCTCAATGGACGTATCCGGGAAACGGGTATCGTTGGCACCTGCCATCTACTGTCTATGTTTACTGAGGAAAGAACATAGAAGGTATCCATAACATTTTTATCTGTATAGAATGACTCTTGAGATTTTATTTTGTATCGTGTTCACGAGTCCGTTTCACAGTACTCTCAAATATCAGAACTACTTTTTTTTTTGTACTTCGAGCCCATAACAAAGATGGAACTCCAGCATTATTGTCACTTCTATCAATTCTTGTGATTATTCTGTGTGTGGTACTGCCCATTAAAGAATGGCGAAAGAAATCCTCCAAGTTTTGCCAAAGAAAGTACCATGATTCTCGACACCAGTGTCACACTCAACAACCAAATTCTCCTACCGGAAGCGCTGGCGGCTCCCAAGATGTTGAGTCTACAGCGGAAACTCAGCCATTGTCTGCACCAAATGCTACAGCTCAGCAGACTAATACTCCCCAAGAGAGCAGGCCAGAAAACACCCCAATGATCACTACGAACATCCCAAATCCAGGCCTAAGCATACCAAATCTGGGCGTGGATACGTTGGACATAGGATCGGCCAACGGTGCACTTCAAGACAAGCACCAGAAACTGAACGAGGGCATACCTATCGAGCCAAGGCAAAAATATCACCAATCACTTGCGTTACACCTGGAGCCTTTGGTGAAGCACATCTTGACCAAGATATTATGCCATTAGATCAATGGTCGAACCACACGAGAAAATGAACGTCTCTTTTCCCTTTTCTGCCAAAGCTCTCCAAATGAGTAACGAGAAGGCAGATACTAACAATCCGAAGCCAGAGGGGTTGCCAACCCCCAGAATAAGCCACTCTAGTATGAGCTTCAACTATAGGATATAAGTTTGGAAAAACTCTGGGCCCTTCACCTTCTGTCACAGAAGCTATCAAAAAGTGTCTTGTTGATCTTAGGTTGTTTACAATGAAGGATGAAGCCACAGCAGAAGCTAGACTTACAGTCTGATTCACTCCTGGAAGCTTTCAATGTTACTTTATCTTTGTTTTTTGTTGCTGTTCACCATGATGACTCAGGTGAGTCTTCATGGAATTATTATCTCAACATAGAGTGTTGTATGTATATTATCATTACTATCAAGACATAAACGACAATGACAGTACTCGACTTTCAGTACCCAGAATTCATTATCCAGCCCTATAGACTGGGTTGATCATTCACGACAAGGGAGGTGTAGAGTGTCAACCGATGTACATGGCCCTACGTATCTATTTCAATTGTTGGATGAAAAAAATGTGACCCACCAACCACCATAGAATAAGCCATGATCTATCTCATCAGAATATGTTCACGGAGTATATCACGGCGATCTACACAAAAAAAAAAAAAAAAAAAAAAACCTGACATCACAATCAATCAAATACCATGTATTGTTTGAAAAAAGCACAAACTATTATACAATGCATCTTCTTCCGAATTTTCATCTCTTTTCAACTAACAAGGCACTGCCATAAAGCAACAATAATAAAATAAGAAAAAAGGCCACTGTAGCATTCCCAAAACCTGTTCTGCAGACAGGTTCCAAATTTCCGGTATTTGCAAGGTTCTTAGAAAGAGAAAATAGGCATGCATGTTTGTTCCTGCTGCGCTGCTCGGTTGATTCAAAGCGCGCGCGGTGAACATTAAAAAAGATCAAGGGGGTATAGAGAGGTTCAAAGGGTGGTCGAGGGGGCGGAGGGAGAGAGCGAGAAAGCGAAAAAGGAAGTCGTTGCGTGTCCTCGTCCACGGGCCTTGCATCAATTAAATCAATTCCATACTATCGGTCGTGGTTTCACGGATTTCTCAAGGTAACAAGGCGAGACGACAGATGATAGCGTTCACGTTTACGAGGAGAATTTGCGGGTGATCTTGGCGATGACTGCAAGAAGAAAAATATTAGCCACCGCTTTCATCCAGTCTAGCCTCATGTCAAAGATAAAACTCACCATGCAGTCCAACAACAGAGAAAATGAAACCCAAACTCAGAACGAGCACAACGACGGGGTCAACTCTGAGACCGGGGCTCTCGTCGGTGTAGAGCTTGAGCATAGTACCCGAGGAACCACCGGCACCAGCAGAGCGAGTAGAGCTAGGTCTGGCATTTCGCAGAGACTCCTTGTGGTCTGCAGCCGCGCGACGACGCAAAGCAGCACGAGGGCCACCGGGGGGAGTGGGAGAGGAAGGACGGTTGACGGCAGAGGCAGATCCAGAAGCACCGGCACCAGAGCCAGAGGCCTTGGAGTCGGGGCCAGACTCGGCACCGGAGGTGAGAGGGGAGGCAGGGCGAGGAGAGGCCTGTTAGAATTTCATGTTAGATTGGTGTTTTTGTGTTGAATTGAGAGAAAAAATGGTGTATTCCCAAAAGGCGACAATTGGCATCCATGAGAGATGACCGCCAGGGGACGATCAATTGAACACTCACCATTATGAGATTGATGGTATAGGAAGAGAGACAAAGAGTGTCCGAGGAATTGCTAACACCGAGAATGCAAATTGAAAAGAGAAGAAGAACGAATTAAAAGATGGTAGAACGAAAGGAGTTGGCTGCGTTGAGAGAGATGAGCTGTGCTGGCGGAGGAGAAAGTGAGGTCGCGAGTTGCCAGAAAGAGGCCACGCTCACGATTTCGGTATGGTCACGTATTGTCACATCGAGTTACCCCGGCTTATTCAGGCCAATAAAGCCTCGTTTTCTCTAACAGAGTCTGTATTGATTGTAATTTCATCGTAATTATTATTAAATAGCAAAATAATTTTGTTTGACTTATATAAGTATTCTACCTATTTCATTTTCAAGCAGCATTTTTGTGATATATCAGGGAGGTTGGCTCTTTGTACGGAGGTGGTACGATCGATATAGTAACTGGGCCCTATCCTTATCCATGTTCCCGATAGCAGTTCTGTAGAAGACGCTTTTTTATCATCCATATTCCATATCTAGGCCATTTTGCTGTGGCTTGATGCCTGCGTAGGTACTACATAGGTGATCAAATACATGACCCCCTTTCGTATTAAGAGATGGAGGTAATGCTTTATAGGAGGTACCTGAGGGCATATTCCGACTTTAAAAAAGCTATCAGATTACTCGAAAGGCCCAGGCTCATAACCTCAAGAACTCGAAGCCCACCGAGGCAGAGAACTGGGCAGGTTTAGCAAGAGCCAGAAAGCCATGTTGACTGAGCCAGAGAACCGGGATCGACCAAGTCAGGAAGCCAGTGTCAAGAGCCTTAACCTTGAAGTCGGAGTGTAGTATGGGGGAACAACCAACTATATTGGAAAACGAGCAGATATTTTGCAGAGCTTATCAATTTTTGATAAGGTACTGCCCTGTCCATGTTTGTCTCATGATAACTTCTGCCGCGCAGAGTGTGTTGGACTTCTATAAAATCTTCTCTTTCATCCAGGCAATTTCAATGATAGATTAAAATCCGCTCCATTCATGAACTTATTTAGTTTTCTATAATAACAAGTTACAGTACATGAAAAAGGAGATGCACATTCGTGAGTGGGCATAATCAGATAGATATGTATATCTGAGGGGATATAGTGTCGTAAATATCACGCTGACAGCGCTTTGGATGAGTGAGGGTAGGAAAGGAAAAACAAATGAGAAAGGAAATAAAATCAACAAGAATCATCAGGAAAGCAAAACAACCAACATCGCTAGGTATCTTAAACTTAATAACCAAGAAGTGTGTGTATGGTAACACGGGTTTGTTTAATCGATCATCATTCGGCTTGGCATCTGGCCGGCGATGTTGGAGGAGAGCTCGGTCGTTTTTTCCTCTTCTTTTCCGGCCTTCTTTTTGTTGATGTGAGGCTTCAAGCCCTTGTGGAAGTTGTGCATGCACATGCAGGCGTTGATGATGGTTATCACAATGAGCACCAGTGTGATAACAGCGAAGAAGGTGAGTGATCGTCGATCCATCAGGTATTCCTTATATCTCGAGGGCTGGTACATGCGGACCAGCTTGAATAGGAAGTATGCCATGGCTCCGAAATAGAGAAGCTAGAGAATTGTTAGCGGTAAATCGCGATCAGGGTAAATGGTCCGAACATACGATAATGACAATCATTCCAAACGAAGTCTCTCGTCGTACAAAGATCGCGGCGCACACCAAAATTATGATCGTGACTGGAATAGCGGCGAGAGTAAGAGCGAATTCAATATCGTGCTTGTTTGTAATGATGACAATAAACTGGACAGTGAATCCGAGGAAGAAGAAGAAATCGAACTTGAGCAGGGCGATGTAAATCTAACAAGCCGGTTAGCATGCGACAACCTCACATTGGGATGATATGTGCGGACCTGATACGTCAGATATCGGCGCTTCATTCGCAGATCCGCGCTGATATGTTTGTAGATCGTCCATGCGAATTCGTCGTAGAGTTTCCATGCAACGATGACCATTAGGAAAGATCCCATAGCCACGATGCATGGAATGACGATGAGAAAAGGCTCCGATTCCTCCCAAATGTTATCCGTGATGGAATTATTATCTGTCAAAACGCTAACTGCATCTTTGATTTGCTGAACTTGGACTGCTCCATAAACTAAAAGTCCAACATTGCATACGCACAAGCCGATGATTTGAATGGTGTTCTTCATGCGCAGAGCATCGTACACGAGAACCAACTCATATATGAAACCGAAACTGTAAAGTGCCAAGAAGGTGGGGATAGTTTTGGAAGCAGTAATATTGTCGGCCGCTGGGTTGAGGTTAATCTGGAAGTTTGCGAATACATAGCTGCATGTTGACAGGTAATCAGCGATCGGAATCTAAAAATAGACATAGAAAGGCAAAAGTAAACAAGAGTGTAAACAACGTACCATTCGAGAGCCAGAGTAATTATGGTTTGAACAACGGTAATGATCGCAAAAGACCACGTCCACAGCGAGTTGGGGATATACATTTTGGGCGGAGCAGAATTCGGCGGGACATTCGTATAACCTTCTCGTGCGCGAAAACCCCCAGGACCTCGAAAGGACGGATCGAAAGACCCCCCCAGAAGAGAGGCCCGCGAATTATGGGAATAAATTTTGGCGAAAGGATGCTCCGAAACGGAGCTCGAGTCCGCCGGATGATCGTGCTCGTAATACAATATGGCGGTTTGACCACCGAAAGGCGGCGAGAACGCTTGAAATATTCGCTGGCGACGGGAGGGGAGGACGGGGAGGAGAAGGCGGAATTTTGGGCTGAGGCTCTGGCAGCTGAACGCTCAGGAGGTTGTCGGGCTGGGCGAATAGTCAAGTGGGTTTAGTTAGTAGTTTTGGTAGGACGGCTGCTCCACAGGACAGCACAAAGAGAGGCTCTTGATAGTAACACCGAATGAACGAGTGGTGGAAGTTGGGGATGATGCAAAAGAGCGTATCTGGTAAGGAGGAAGAAGACTGCTTTTGTTCTTTTTTTCTCTTCTCTCGCAGATGTTCGCTGCCAAGCCGCGTGAAACGTCGTGTTCTGAGCGGGGAGAATCGCACTGCTGATCAATCGGACAGGACTGGGTGTAAGGCTGAGTCTGTCATTAAATGAGGATGATCTCGCAAGGAATAGGAGAGAGAAGATCCACGAGTAGGAGATGAAGCGAGAGAAGATGGGCGTGGGCAGAAGAAAAAGAAACGAAAGAAAGGCCGAGAACGAGAGACACCAAGAAAAAGAGTGAGAGTGAGAGAGTGAAAGAGAAAGGCCAGACACAGCAGTGATATGCTCTGGGGCTGAACTCTGTGGTATTTTCGCTCTCAATGGTGGTTGGGGTTTTCTCCGTCCCAAAATATGCTGCGTCTTGTTGGTATCCGGGGTTCACTGCAAGGCCAGACACGGTCGAATAACACGATTTTCGATTCTCGACCAAAAGGAAAAGTTTGCATGGGTGGGACAATACCGATTATGAATACATAATACCCTCAGGATCATCGCGGATAATCATTCTGTCTACTGTTTCTGTTCCTGAAAAAAGACGGTTTATCCTCCTGAACCGTCGTGTGTCGCAGTGGGGCCGATCCATTTTTATCGCGACACGCCAAAATTGCCAGATTCCGTCGGGGTCCAGCCTTGGTTTTTTCTTGTCCTTCATTTTCCTGTTACAATCAGGGTGAGGGAACCATGGGATGAAGCATTATTAACTTTGATTGTCTCTCTGTTCGAGTACAATTATCCATGGCTTGCCCAGGCACAAGTACTGCACTGTGTCGGCCAACATGTGAATCGAAACATCTCCGGCGAATATTCCTATTTCCCAAGGCACCAGCCGTTGACAGTCTCCATCAGGCTAATTATTGGCTACTTCCCGTCCGATGAGCATCCTCCTGCGTCTTTTCATCGGTGATTCATCATCTATTCCATCGCCATGTCAACCTCTTACCTCGTTCAGTCATCAGTGTAATCTCTCGAGTCTCGTCGGTGGCTGTGGCTGTGTCACTCAAAGCCACAATATCATGACCCTCACCCCCCTGCGCCTCTCCATATTACATGCTATACTAGTACCACTCACTAGCTTCTGTCAAATGAATAATTAACAAAAACAAATAATAATAATAAACAATAAATAAGGGAAAATGACCCCATGATGTCTTTCTGTGGGGTGTTGCCGTGTTGACACCTGCACTATGTTTCAAATACATCACCCCCAATCCCCCCATGGTCGACTGCTATTTACGGTACAGTTACATCAAGTCCTCGCGGGATCCCTTGCTTGAAATTGTTGTACATAGATTTGTGCATATATTGAAGTATCACTTTGAAACATAGGGAAAAGTACAAGAATAAACAAATATCGTCACCTTGAACAGCAGTGTCACAACGTCAACGCTAACCCCGATACAGCAAGCTTCGAGAACAATAGATGTACGACATAAAATGACTTGGAATTAATACATACAATTTGGCTGGAAAAATAAAGTCAACATAGCCCCAGCACCACCATATCGAGCAATTTATAATGCCTGCGTTTGTCAGTCAAGTATCCCAATAGAACATCCTCAGTCTCGGGTTAGCAGTGTCAGTAAGCCCAGTATCTTCCCGCTATAATGGCAATGCGCTTTCCAACTTCATAACCACAATCATCTGGTCTACGGCCCGGGTTATTGCAAACCCCTTTTTACCATACACCATCGTATGGCCATTCCATGATCGCTACAGTCCGTTTGACTTGCAGCCCTATAAGCTTTCTGGTATCAGGATCGATCACCCCAGACGCAGCATTTAAGTCGCACTCATTGCAGAGTAAAGGCCGCTGGATTGAACAATGCAGGTATCGCAATAGGGTTGTATGGTAGCAGAGAAACACAGGTTCCGCCTCCGAAGGAAGAGTTCTGTTGCGCATCTCGTATCGACCGGAGACAGTTAGTTTTCTACTCTCAGCTAAAGAAAACGTCAGCTGAACGCGAACACTTTCAATTGCCGTACATTCGTGTAAGAGACTCCGCTATCCTGTTTCATCGACTCCACTCTTGTATAGCCCCCTATCGTAAAAGGTCCTGCTTCTTTTGTCACTTGCTGCTCCCATTAAATATTCCACCACGCGATCTTGATCGCGAACCGTCATGGCGATGCAAGGGTGTAGATCTACTATGCCAGCTCTTGGATTGCAGCGTCTTTCCAACGGGGGAAGTATCAGTTCTCTTTTTAGGAAATTTCCACGAGGATGTAGTCTCAAACACTTCCCACAATATGCCTAGCTGCTATCTTCAAGTTGGAGAAGCTGGTTTCGTGGGAGATATCCTTGGTTGAACGATATCTCTAAGTTTTTGTTAGACATCAGTCGAGGGAAACGAAGCTCATCGGCCTCAAGTACTGAGATGAGTAGCTTATAGAGTTTCTTGCAGCTCAAAGCCAGACAGACTTGACTCGGTGATGGCAGGAATGAGGAGATCTGACGGATGACCTTTGTCGGAAGTATGAGGATTTTTGGCAAGAGAGGACCCAGTATACGTTCTAGTGTCCCGGGAAATTTCAAGAGTAGTGTTCTGCAGTGTTGCTTCAGGACTGCTTTTGTTCAAGTTCCTCGGGCCATTTTGGGGGATATGAGATAAGGTCAAGACTGTTGTTAGGAGAATGTCTCTGTATACTGTGAAGCTGCAGAGATGGACATTAGTGGGCCAGTCTAGCAGACTAAAAGAGATCCTACACTGTTACCTAGCATTGTTAATGCTGGGCAGCCTGCATCTCTCGAACCACGGGATCAGCCATGGATGAACCAAGCTTTAGGCCTGAAGTTGAAATCAAATGACATGGATTCGCTTTATTCCATGACTAGCATTCAGGTACAATAAAGGCAGCTGTAGAACCTTTTGCCTGCTCCCATTCTTCTTGAATTTCTGGTAGCAAATGCTCCAGGCAATAGGTGCCAACCGAGAAGCTTGCTCGGAGCATGACTAGGTATTGTAGCGGATGTCCTGCATATGTTCAGTCTACCCAAAATATGGACTGTCATTCTGAGAGAATCATAGAATATCAAGTGGTTTTTAGAGCTCGTACACTCAGAGCTATCCTGGATGTTTGTGGATTTGGTCAAGCCATCATCATCCGGGGAGCTCCTGTCCCTCCGCCACCACAACAGGAAGGCGGTGAACAGCTCATCCCACATCGATCGTCTTAAAAACCGTGACTCAAAACAATTTCTCTTTTCTTTTTTTTTCTTCTCTAAGCGCCATCCCCGTCAATGCTGCGTTTCTTTGCTACAAACGGCAAGAGTCAAATCTTGTCCTCGGATCGAGTAGTTCTTTACTGAACGAAAGACCGAGAATACTCGCAAATGAGAAATTCGGAGGAATCTTCACCCACCAATCCGTTCCTCTCTTCCTTTCTTAGGAAGATGGAACCGGTACTGCCCGTAAGGGCCTGGTGTGAATCTACACCTGCAATTGGCATCAGAAACATCGGGGCAGAGAGGAAACTTTCTGTTTTCCCCATGGGAGAGCTGTTGCGAAGATTGTGTGTGATAACACTTTAGTGCAATACGCAGCATACCTTGTTTCCTTTCCCTCCTTTTATGGAGGGGAAGGGAATGGTATCATTCGATTCCGATTATTCTGACGGGGATGGCGCTTCACCTTTTTTTCCTCAGGTCAGTCATTTTCCATTCATCTTAACTGAAAAGGACTTTGGGGCTTTGCTAATTAGTGAGGTTCCGGAGACCGCTGGTTTCCATAGGGTTGGCGATTTGTCGACTCGGAGTGGGGGACTGCGTTAGTTGGATGTGATGTCGCCGATATTTGATAATGGTGATTTCAACAAGGCGCCAATTGCTTATGATGCTGATAGATACACGAAATGGGGTATCATGTCGTGCCACGCACCGCTTTAACGCACCAGTAATTGACATTGGTTAGAGTATAGGCACTGTCGTTCCTATCTGACAAATGTCTACATTATCTTCATTTGAAAGTTGTGGGTACCTGGCAATGAAAAATTATCCAAATGTTTTACTCCATAGCAAGTAGATAGCTTGACCTAATGGACAAATGATACCAAAATACACAACCTAAGGCAATGCCTGTATGCATTTTTCTTCCCCATCCATCACACTGGAAGGGCCAGATCCTAAAGCACTGTGAAGAGACTGGAATTGGGACTGTTCTTAAGTACCACTCGAGGGCAAGACTGATATCTTTGAATATACTAAAATCAAATCAATCCAAAGTTATGACGTGGTCATAACAACCTATGACGAAGTTCAAAGATCTTATCTAAAATTTGAGTGCTCAGGAAAAAGAAGCAAGCAGTGAAATGAAAAACTGCTAACAGCAGTGGGAACAAACTTATGAGAATGAGCTTGGTCTCCTGCATCAAATCAAGTTTCTTCGAATCATTCTTGACGAGGGACATTCAATCCGAAATCTGGCATGTGGGACGTCAATTGCTGTCCGCAGTCTCACCGGGCACTTTGAATGGATGCTGACTGGGACACCTTTGATCAATTCGATCAACAAAGTATATGGATACTTCGACTTCCTCCAAGTCCCACACATTGGCACATATGCTCAATTTCTTAAGAACTTTTACAATCCCGACCATCCTCAATCCCACCAGCGCCTTGTAAGCTTACTCCGATCATTTCTCTTTCATTGAACACACTCTGCTCGACTCGTCGAAGTCCAGACTCAGTATGTCGAATGTACTCACTGGTACTAGTATAAAAGGCCCCAAACCCACGCAACCCAGGTGTGGAATTCAACATAATATTCAACGGATCCGAAAGCTCGCACTGCACTAAATTACTACGGAAATAGGCTCTCTTCTCTTCTCATCTCGCAACCCGCCTATTGTGGCCGCATTTACCAACACTGTCCGAATTCCCTTTGGACAGACGCGAGAGGAGAGAATCCTGGATACTGCATAGTAGACCAGCTTCAACAGGTTCATCCAGCTGCACTGCCGATTCATCATTCGCTCATACGTCTCCTGGAATGAATCCCACAACAGTGTCTCTCTACCATAGCCTCCATGGATATGGCCAAAGACGTGCAACAACGGCTTATTCTTCATCGACCAAAGGCTTTGAAGGAGATATTGACATCCTAGGTGTCCGAGGTCTAAATGCGACCTTGGGGGCCCGTGAGTCACTAGAATATCGGTTTCTGCTGGTATATTCCCCTCCCAAGGATCAGGACCCATGCGCAGGTATTCAAACGCCCAGTTTCCATGCTTGGGGGTATAAGGACTCCCGAAAACTTTAACTTGGCGAGTACCGAAATCAAGAGTGGTGAGATTATTTTGCAAATAAATCAGGGATTTCCAATTCACGGGCATTTCCCCAGAGGTGCTTGTCGAAGCTTTGGTACGATAATGCTGATCCAAACATAGGTCATGGTTGCCTGCAATGACGACTTTGTAGCGGTGAGGTTGCTTGTCAAGCCACTCAATCTGTGCATTGAGCTCCTCTAGAGACCCTGACTGTGTGAGATCGCCGGCGTGGACAAGAACATCACCATCTGGCAACGCAGGCAGTGTATTATGAGTATCAGACACACAAACCACACGTATTCCTCTCGAGTCGTAGTCACGTAAACAGGGATTGTCCAGAAGACGGTACAGATTTCCCGCTAGGAATTTCACGGGAGACGAGAAAAATCGTTCCCAGGCGCTTGTTTGCTCCGGACGGTGGAGAAGATCATCTAGGGCTGATCTCCGAAACGCCATGGCTCAGGCTGGTAACTAGACGGTAGTAGTACTTATTCCTGTACTTGAGAAGGAATTCGATTATTCAGACCGCAATATGCCGAGAGATCATTTTAATTTCACTGTTGCTTTAATATCTAATGGCGTCGCTCTGTATGATGGATTTTTCTGTAGATCTTCCAGTGAGTATGTAGTAAGGTGATCGCCAGACACGGGATCTTGCTGTGAGAGTCTGCCGCGAACGGTTGAAGCCAGATTGCTAGAAGATTGAGCAATGAGGACACTGTGATGTAATTTAGCCATGAATATGAGCTACCTCAAAATAAGAAAAGTTTACCTTTGATTTTACTCCGTACGGATCCTCGGCTCCCTCGCGGTTAGAGATCGGAGGCTGCTGCGCCGAGCTGCTTGCCTCGGCAGGTTGAGAGTACTCTGTTAGGCTGTTATGCTAACTACCTGGTGCTCAGATGCACTTCCAGCGTCTCGCAGTCGTACATAATTCCGCATTAGGCTTGAAATAGAAGGACTTGTGTATGCACAAAGACGGACGAAGTGGTGGTGTTCCTGGCAGAGTGGGGTGCCACTACAGCACGTCGAAACGTCGAAAAGAACGGCTTCTCGTGACTCGAACTCCGATTCGATCACTCGCAAGCCAAACCTCCCCTTCCCCAGACACACGGGCGGATCATCCAACGTGGCACACTGCGCTTTGTTTCGCCCTGAGTCCAGAGTTCTACCTTGTTATCCGTCAGGGGGTTGTTACATTATCCTGCATTAATATCGTTTGTTATTACTATTCCCCCGTGCCCTTGCTCCGTATCCGTATTATTACGTTCTCCTGTGCTGCCGCTGCTGCGCCAACATCGCGTGCCACACAAACACTGCCACTCCCTACAACGATAGAGTCCAATCGAATGCCCTCCATTTCTTCTGCCTAAATTAATCCAAGCCGTTGAGGTCTGCGATATGGCCTCTTGATAGCCAGGATATTCTTGTTCTGTCTACATTGCTCGACACGTTTCCGATTTCGATTGATTGACCGTACCCGTGACCCTTGTGCAACCGATTGCATCACCACTACCACCACCACCCACTTTCACTGACGAACTGTTAAAACGGAATGCGTGCTGGCCATGGAATCCCTTGTCTACGAGAATTCGCCTTTGGCAGATTACCTTCAAGGTGAGTCTTGTGGATTCGACACTGGCTATAATATGGAGACTCAAGTTCTTGGTGCTTCAGGGGAGGGTGAACGCGGCGAAAACTGGCCCATCGAAGAGGGGGAGAACAGCGACGATTTCCAAGACCCAACGACGGAGTTTGCGCCTCGAGGAGCTTCAAAATTTCAAGATCGTGTCCGGAACAAATTACCCAAACCATTGGATCTCAAATCCTCACGCCAGAGCGCAGCTCTCAGCAAATTCTACGATGCTTGTGCAGTATGGCTCCAATAGTCTTGGCATATACCCCTTCCCCAGAATGAAAACTGACTTGGATATCATTTTTCTAGTCCGCCTTGAATTCGCGCATCGGACGGAGTGACAATCAACAATTTTTGGAACAATTTGGTTATGTGATTGTCGCATCGCAGTTGTTGAACGAGCACAGCGCCCCTTCGTATACCTCGGCTGCCGACGTTTCGTCACACGCCCAAACAGCGGAGTTACCCTCGCTTTCCACCACATTCGGTCTTCAGGGCGCAGTCGTTACCGCTTCGACCTCGTTTTCGATTGTTTGGTTACTACAATGGAGTCGGTCGCGAACAGGGTCTGGTGTAAACCCGCGGAAAGTTGGCGTCCTTCTGATTCTGGTCCCGGTCCTCGGAGTTCTATTCTACGCTTTCGCAAGACGACAATGGCTCAAATACCTGCGACACCAGGCTGTTGATGCTGCCGTACTTCTTGTTGGCAACTCGCAGGGATTCGACTCGGCAGCATCGGCATCGGTTGTTTTCATACAAGAAGTTGAGCTGGTTTCAAGGGGCTATCGCATGTAAGCCTATTCCTCCGCCCTGAAAATTCAACAAAGACGCTGACAGGTTTATAGAAGCACACCGTTGCCTCCGGTGAGCCGACTCGAAGAACAGGCACAATCGCGACGATGTCTGAGGTTGCGCCGTATTGTCTCCGAGTGTCTATTTTCAATGTTGGAGAGATTTATCGAAACACAACATACTCTGCAGCCGCTCACAGACAATGCGAACCTCGCCAAATATTACGACATCTATGACATTTCAGTAGAAGAGCTTGCCGAGGCTGAATCAGGATTGGCCGAAAGATTAACAGAAGACCAATATTCATTGCGCTCCCTGCGGAGTCTCTTTGGAAAGCTGTACAGTGTCAGGAAAAGTATTCTCTGCTGTCTTTTGGCCCTTGGTGCTGACGGAGGCGGATCGGATATTGCTCGATGGAGTGCCGCTGTAGAACAGATGCGGGAGCTCGCTGATGTGACCGGGGAAAATATCCAGAGAATGACCAGTATCCTTAACGAGGAAGACAGTGAGTATCCTGGGTCTATTAAAAATTTGCTGGCTAATTCATATTTAGAAGAAGCTATTCCCCCGTCTCCTCTGCCCACGGCCTCTCCTAGCAAGGATAATCTTCGGGCACAGTATCGGAGGATCAACACCCTTTCTCAAGGGATACGTGCCCTGCATGCAAAGATGCACATTATCCGCGAGGAATCAAATGCGAATCTTGAACGAACAGACACCGGTGACCTCGAGGCGACTCTTCTTTCACAATACGAATCTATTGGAACAGACATACGAGGCCTGCTTCAAGAATGGGAGGCAGGCAAGTCTGCTCTCGTGAACAATCTAGACAGACAGTCCACCATGGATCGATCACGACCTTCTAGTGGGCTGAAAACACCACTGTCACCCACACCTAGTCTTGGTGGTTCCACCGCGGTAGACGGTAGTCCGTCAGATGCTCTGAAAGCTTTGAACGGCGAAGGTCGGCTGGATCTGAACACTCTTCAGGAGGCGACTGACGAAGAGTTGATCTTCGAAGCTGTGGCGCTACCTGCTCGCAACAAAAGGGCGTCGTTAACCAGAGATGAGCGTATTGCACGTGTCAAAGAAGACCGAGCAAAACAAGCTGCTGCACGAGAGCGAACTGATGCAAATACCACTATGCTCAAAGAGCTCGAGATGGTCATCAAGCAGAGACCCCCTGGGATCGCCTCCAAAAGGGTTACAAGCATATAATGATAGTGGCCTCTTGCAGTGCTAATCTATCTTTACCTTGTCTCATTGTTTTTCTTTTTCTCATATTGGTGCAAAACAGTAACCACCTACCACTTACCAGATTTCGCAGATTGATACCCGATGTGTATAGAAGGGCCGGCGTCACCGGTGTTGATCCTGACTTGTCTTTCTTTCATCTTCTTTGGCTCTGTTTATCGTATATAGACTTTTTTTGCTCTTCTTGTGATGTATTTTTTGGCTCCTTTGTCTTTTTTCTCGATTTCTGCTGTCACTCTCTCTTGGTCAGATAATTTCTTATGTGCTGTACCATAGCCACACTCTTGTATATATGATGGACAATATCAAAATAATTTACGAGATAAATAGTTACCCAATACTTAGTTAATTAGCATGAAACGCAATTTTATAGTTGTACAGTAGTTCGCATCTTAGGGTTTCAGGCCCCTGACAGGAAGCCTGCAGTGAATGCCTCAGGCAGCAGCACCAGTCTAACCGCAAACGTTCATATCAGCCTAAGACGCGCGACTCGCGAACGCGTCTATTCCCCACTAACCCTCGAACGCGAATTTACAACACCTTGGATCTCTTTTCTCGCCAGCTTTCAACATTCACTCGTCAACAGCTATTTATCTCCCTGTACGTCTCTCCCAGACTCTGATCATTCTCAATAACCACACCATCTAACGACCTCATTCTTCCAGCCTACGTCTGACGTCAATCCCAAATTCTATCTTCATTTTCCCCTCATTCCACACAAACCTCACACATCAAGAGTAAGTGCCGCAGAGTAACCCTGGGACTCATGAAATTGCATTCTGACAATATCCTCAGTGTTGGAAGCACGACTAGAACAGGCCAGCCTTCTCAAGCGCGTACGTGATAATTCCCAATTGCAGAATTGCCAGTGAACTTATCAACTCCCCACACAGGTCGTCGACGCAATCAAAGATCTCGTCCAGGACTGCAACTTCGATTGCAATGACTCCGGAATCGCTCTCCAGGCCATGGACAACTCCCACGTTGCCCTGGTCTCCATGCTCCTCGGGGTGGAGGGTTTCTCGCCCTACCGCTGCGACCGAAACATCGCTCTCGGTATCAACTTGGTCTCGTTGACCAAGGTGTTGCGGGCTGCTCAGAATGAAGATATCTTGACTCTCAAGGCTGAGGACACACCCGATGCCGTCAACCTCGTGTTTGAGAGCGCAGAAACCGACCGGCTAAGCGAGTACGACCTGAAGTTGATGGACATTGATCAAGAACACTTGGCTATCCCCGAGACAGAGTATGCTGCTACTGTTGAGATGCCTTCGGCAGAATTCCAGCGCATCTGCAGAGATCTCAATGCTCTTTCTGAGTCTGGTTCGTATTCAAATTATAATCCTAGCGGAATAATGAAGCTGACTGGTCATAGTCGTTATCGAGGCGAGCAAGGAGGGCGTCAAGTTCTCCTGCCAAGGTGACATTGGTAGCGGATCCGTTACCATCCGCCAACACACCAATGTCGATAAGCCCGAACAGAACGTCACCATCAACCTCACCGAACCCGTTGCCCTTACTTTCTCTCTCAAGTACCTTGTCAACTTCTGCAAGGCCACAAATCTCTCCGACAAGGTCTCCCTATGCTTGTCCTCGGAAGTGCCACTGCTCGTTGAGTACGGCCTGGGAAGTGGTCACCTGAGATTCTACCTTGCTCCTAAGGTATGTTTTACTTCCATTTCCTTGTATAAAAATACCCCCCATTGTTCAAATGATGTTTGCATATCTACGTATTTGCTACTTCAGAGCCTTATGGCCATGAGACAAACATTCACCCAATGCCTGATGGACAACATTACCTTTTTGCTGCTGTCACATGCAAAACCAGCTTGTCGTTGTTCAAGTATTGACTTGTAATAGATCGGAGACGAAGAGTAAGATACCCAGACGACGACCACCACGACAAAACGAAAAAATACAACAAAACCAAACAACAATAATGATGGAGGGAGTGCTAAGGCGGCAATGATCTTTTTCTTTTCCAACATATCCCCTGAATGCCAGCACAGTGAACAAACGGAATTCTACAGTTATAATTCTCGAGCTAGATATTGAGCGGTTGAATTTTCAATTGAACAGTTTTTAAATACTTTCATATCTTCTATATATATTTTAATTTTCCGAGGCGTTGAGTGTTAATCATGATTGATATCTCATCTTGCTCTTTTCCATCCCCATCGCTTTCGCCTACTAATCGTCGCCCTCGTACAACCTGAAGTTGCGGATATCTATTCAGGAACATGTGTTGCACCTTGTTGTATAGCCTAGGCAGTGTCAGGCCAAAGTGGCCACGACTTAGCCATACATGGTTTTATCTTCATTCAATCGCCATGAACCCAAATCAAATGGCCCCATCCTAGAGGCTGTTGTGCTGGTTAGCTCGGAGTTTCAGTCCAGGGAAGTGTCCTAGAGCATTGACAGTGTTCCTGATGGTGGTGTTGAGTGTCCTATTCCCATGCAAGCCTTTATTGCCAGGAATCCACTGGATGTAGATCCTATTAGACTCCTAGAGGCAGTCCAGCAGCTGTATAAGAGGCTCAGTAATATATGGCCCGTCATACCCAAGGAACAGCATTAGATATTAGAAATTACCTGTACCGACCACTGTCATCCGCCTGGTCTCCCATCAAGAGAATTCGACTGGGGCGGCATGGCTTCATATAATAAGTTGCTCTTGCTTAGCCAAACGCCAGACAGTCGGACTTATAATACACAGCATGCAGAAACCAGAGCATACTACAGCCCTTACCAGTTAGAACCTTCTGACTTGCGCTACCAATTTGCTTAGGTTGAGCCTTGAATAGAAGATCTCCGGTCAATATTCCATTCCTCTATTTACCCGTACTGACATATGTAGTTGGGTTGATATTTGATATCAAAGCCACTGCTTAATTATAATGCAATATTGATATCTAGAAGAAAGCAAACATTAATTGAATACTAAAGCAGCCAACAGATTATATTGTGCAGTCCGAAATAGCCGATGTTCTATTAGTTCATGTTGAGGTGGGGTAAACAGCCGAGCATAGATGGTTCTCAGCCGCAGCTGAATACTCAGCTGAATGAAGATCTCCACAGCCAGAACAGAAGGGCAAAAAAATAAAAAAGTAATAGGCAGGCTAGGAGTCGAACCTAGGCCCTCAGAGAGGATTAGAAAGCTGAAGCAATACTAACTCCTTAACCACTCGGACACGCTGCCATTTTGTTAAATGAGATAAGAGATGGATGGTATATATACATGGTTTTATTAGTCCCTACCCTCGCATACGAAGCATTATACAGGCTCCTGTAGCTCGAAATATCTTTATATCTCTTTCTGGATATGTATTCTATCATACTGCGTGTTATTATAACCATATTTGGCCAGATTCGGTGGTGCTGTCTCTCAGGCGAACTGTGGTTGGCTGGTGCAAATGCTAGGGGCCAGGCTTTATACATAATTAAATCATTTCTCTTCTTCTGTCTTATCTAGCTAAGTTTATTCTCGTTTTCGTTTTCATTCTTATGCATTGAACAGTGGGAGAAGAACGAAATTATCTTGGTTGCTGATATAGATTCGTGCCAATATATAACGATGGATCTAACGATGGAGTGTCAATTACTATACTAGTTCAAGAACATATCCACTAATCAAACTACCAAAAATAAAAGATATTCTACATCTACTCTGAATATGACAGATTAACTGATGCATCTTAATTGTTGCATTGACTGCTGGACATGTAGTCATAGTAAAAGAGCTCTCTGCCTAAGGCATCACGTGTTGCTCCGGGCAACCCACGGCATCAACAAGTCTAGCCATCGCGTCTACATCCTCACCAAAGAATTCAAGCCACATTCTTTTGCATCGCAAATAGCACACCAGTTGGGCTATTGAAAGACATTGGACTCAGTCATCGTATAATATTTAACGACTTGATTATTGCTACTTCTCTACCTTGCGTTCCGCTGACTTGGTTACCTATTCTCAACCCCGGTCATTCGCAACAGGCTAGAAGATGATCAACGTCTAAAAACTAGCTTTCATCACTTACCCCAGATTTTTATCTTACATGATCTTACCAGCGTGGCTTTGTTTCGATTAAACTGGCACAATGTCAGGATTGCTCTACGAAGCCGTAACCCCCTGTCCGTCCAGGGGGAAGACCTCGAGATTCGACCGCAGCAGCGCGGGGAATAGCACATTCAGCCTGTGGGAAGACGACTCGACCTGTTTTGACGACACACAAGATATTGAGTTCACTACTGAAATTAAACCATCGGTTCTGACTGGAGCCAAACCTAGACGAAAGAATAAAACGGCATCATCTTTTCAAATACACGATGAGCACGAGGAAGCACCAGCTCGGCCGGTTACCTCACAGAAAAGAGAAACTCGAAGAACAATTGCTCCCTCGGGTCGCAAGTCATCTTTGTTAGCTCAACCTGCTCAACGGTTTCGCCCTAAAGTCAGCTTCGGTCCTAGTCCGTCCTCAGAGATATCGCATGCGCGCATAGAGCCGGAATCTAAAGTTCAAAACACAGCATTAGATGCAGAGGAGAATAAGGCGTTGTTGATGCAGATCAACGGAAAGGATAATGTCAAGAAAGACCCGTTGAAAAAAGACGTACGCCGTGATACAGTTTACATTCCCACGGAAGACACCACAGTAGCAAGTGCATTCATGGGCTTGTTCAGTCCTATCAAATCACAGACCACAAGTGAAATCGCAAACTTCACCGAGAACACTGAAATCAACAGTTTGGAGGCACAGATCGTGAGAAAGCGACAGGCAAAGAGGTCCCTGACAAGTTCTGCACGAAGAGCTCCTCTACAGCAAAGCTCTAAGATTGCACAGGAAGCTGCTATTCGAGTCGACGTTGCTGGGAAGAATGGTGGTAAAGAGAACGTACCCCCTGGAGGTCTTGTTTCCAAGGCTAAAAGCCGCAAAGATCAATTCCCTATTTTCGACGAGTCACAGGCCAAAGGCATGCCAATGACTTCGAATCCAGTCAAACCTCGTTTGAATACAACAAGTGCTCCTGCTAAGTCTGGGAAACCGCTAGCAGCCAGGACAGTCAATGCATCTTCGCGGAGACCTGCACTGGGTGTTAAGGAAAACAATGCAGCACCGAAAGTCAACGTTTCCCAGAAGAAGGACATCGCGAAGAACAAAAAAGTGGCATCTGAAACCAAGACTGTCCCAAGAACCTCAAAATTGACGAATCCATTGAAACGCTCCAAAATAGACATTTCCAAGGTTTCTGGACCATCTGTAAAAGCGAAGAAACTGGATCTTGAATACCCATTGCTCAACGAAAACATTGCAAGCTCAAAACTGTACGATGACGGATGGCTTTCACATCAGGAAGTGGTGATAACTCAGTTGGCCAACGGATTGTTCAACCACAAAAATGGAAGTCTTGAAACTGAAGAACCTGCTACACTCAGACATGAACTTCTTGAGATCTATCAAGATGATTTCTTCCCGCACTTTCATAAACGACTTCAAGCATCTTTACTCTATGGAGCTATGAGTATTCCAAAGGACACTCTTGCACGCAATACGCGGTTGAAGCAGGATGTTGGTTTAAAGCGAAGGGTTTTGGATATTTGGACCAAAACATACGACTTGCGTGCATTGAGAGCAGCAGTTGAGACCGTGATTGGTCGTCAGGTTTCGAACGATTCCACGACAGACGAGAAGACCTTGAAACGAAAATTGGAAAGTTTCTTGGATACATTTCTTCTACAGAATGAGGATATGAAGCATCATGTAGAGACGGGCAGAGACGCAGACCTGGCTGGCCAGGCCTACCGACGCACAATTCTTCGAAGTATTATGATAGTTGTTCTTTTGGATAAGGCAAGATTAACTACCGGAACAATGCTTCCTCGCCGGCTTTTTGTTTCCTCATCCCTGTTGAAGTCTTCCGCCGGAGTGATTCAGAACCTAGCCCGCCTTCTGCTGCCAGCACCTGGGGACATAATCAAATCACTCTACCACGTCGACTGCCAACTGTCCTACAAGCAGCATGAACTGCAAGAGTACGAATATCAAATCAGCAATTTAGCCGTGGACCTCAGGGACGGCGTGAGGCTAACCCGAATCGTGGAACTTGTGCTGTACTCTGCTTCGTGTCCTGACCAGGATGGGGATTGGCCACTATCCCAGCGCCTGAAGTTCCCGTGTTTAAGCCGTGCGACCAAGCTTTACAACGTACAAATTGCCCTGGACACGTTGGCCTCCGTGAATGGGGGGAACACCCTAGTCCGTGATGTTCGAGCCGAAGACATTATCAATGGCCACCGCGAAAAGACCATTGCGCTGTTGTGGGGGCTAGTTGGAAAATGGGGCCTGACTGTACTAGTTGACAGGGATGAAGTGAGGAAGGAAATCAAGCGACTGAGACATAAGGCTGCTGCAGTTTGGGGGTACGATCGCGTTAAAGACGAAACTTGGTATACGTGGGATAACTCGGCAGAGAGTGATGTGTACACCTCCCTTCTGAAACACTGGGCGTGTCTGCTTGCCTGCCTGAAAGGGGTACGAATCGACAACTTTAGCACAAGCTTCGCAGATGGTAAGATCTACGAAAGTATCGTGGACGAGTATGAGGGTTATCTGGGAGTAAGTGACAATCAATCTGCGTCGTTGAAGTCCCGGCTTCAGGGAGTGGGATGCAGTGCAGAGTTTGGTGAGTCTCCTTTCCTAGTAATCTGAAGATTTGGATCATGACTAACTTGCTGCATAGCCAATCTCGTGTGTCCTGATGGCCTCTCACTGTCTCACATCTTTGATAGCGAGTTTACGCTCGGAGGTCTTGCCTTTCTATGCTCGCGACTTTTGTCCGCGTCTCGACGTGCTCGGGCGGCGATGGTGGTGCAGAGGGCATGGAGACGCTTTAGAGACCAGCGTGTATGAAGTCGACCTGTTCAGACGTCAGTTGAAATCCCAATAGGAACAGGGTATGGTTAGGAGTTTGGACTTACTGTATGAATATGGGCATAGCATGGGCATAACATGGACATGGATATTATTCGGATTGCATATTACCAAGCGTGTATAACTACTCATTCACAATCACATATCTAATTACACAATCAACAACAAGAATATGAATAACCGCCCTTTAAGGCATCAACATTCCACCAGCCAACTATCCCTACTCCTACATACACCCAACATACGACGACGACAACAATCAAACCAGTCGACCCTGAAACACCACCTGACGTAACCCCATCTATCTATATCAACCCAACCCAGCCCATACATCCATCCGCCCTCCGCACGTCTCCAGATTAGGTAGACACGAAAATCACTCGATGACTAGAACGTAGAGGCCAAAGCCTCGTTGATGACATCACACAACTCCACACGCACACACGCCATGACACACCCCCCCTACCCCTGTAAATGTACTATGTAAGTCTGGGGCGTGGAGGATCTCATCTGACTGATGGGTTTTATTAACATGGGTTTGGTTAGTAATGGGGTTTGGGGTGGTGGTGGGTAAGAAGTGTGGGTGGGTTTGTATGTAGTGTAGATCATTAGATGCTATGGACTATGGATGTGGGTTTGATTATTCAAATTGCTTTTTGGTGATTGTTAATGGAGTATAGATGTTGGATGTTTTGTTGAGAGCTGAAGTGGTGGCTGGCTGAGTGTGTAGTATTTGATATTGTAGGTGAGTGAGAGTGAGTCACTAGGCATCATTTATGCCTGAATTATTCATCTGCTGAATATCAAATATAAAGTCTATTGTATGATAGATAGATTATACTACAATATTATACATAATTGACAATATCAAGTGGACCCAGTCGATCATGAAGAATGCCCAACAGTCCCAGTACTCTGGTTGCCTCGCGGTGTCATGTACAGCACAGCAACAAAGACATTCATTCAGCTGAAGATTACATGACTTACTCTGTTTGTTTGATGATTCCTTCAGCCCCGATCGACTCCTTCAATAGTGTAGTCCGCAGCTACAGATCACCCATCAGGTTTCGTAGATCCCGTCAGGTAGATCCATCCGAAGACTCAGATCTCCCGGCGTACGCCGTATGTACATGGGCAGTAACACGATCACGGATCAACGCATCCTTTGAATGACCATGAATCATGGACTTACCGACCAGCCAAGACTTGCTGTGTAACAGTAACCGACTGATAGAAGAACATGATCGACGTGATAGAGAGGCAGTGGGCAGTGGCGCACGCAAATAGCAGCCGCTAAGGTATCTGACTGGGCTGTGCTGGGTTCCGTTCATCGACGGTGCAGCAACTTAATCCTTCACTGGCCATTGAGAACAGCACAGCAAGGAGGATTACCGTCGTCCTGGAGAGTCTGACTGAACTGAGTGACAGTCAGGCAGAGAGAGCGCAGGACGGAGAGTCGGGGGAGATCGGGGGTCGGAAGCCCGCACGAAAGAGCAGGAAACGCAGAAAAAGCAACATTCCGCCAAGAGCGAAACTGGAATCATTGACAATAAGAGATGCCAGTGGGCTTGGCAGAGGCAGTGGAAGGGAAACAGTCGGACAGAATTGCCAAGGACTGTTGGTGGAAGTAACAGTAAGGGGGACACAGACAGCGATAATAACGTCGATAATTAAATAAATAGTAGCAGGAGTTGAATTCCATTTTGTTAATAGCGAGAAGATGCAAAAGAAGGATTCTCTTGGCCTTCTTGGCGGAGGGTCTTGGCCAGCCTCCATAATGCAATAACCCCCCAATTTCCCAGACTGTTTGTCGATCATGGGGTTGACTGCAGCTGACAGGATATCATCATCCCTTGCTTGGACGAGATCAGGGCTTCTGCTTTTCTGGATGCTTCTGTCTGTTGACTTTTGCCATCTCGGGCCGACTGTTGACTGTTAATCTGGTTATTTGGTATTTCTGTTTGTTTGCAGCAAGGGAGGCCATGTGTAGTAAGCAGAGTTACACTGCATTATCTGGGTATATTCCGGTATCAGCAAGTCAATAACATCAGTATCATATCATATCATATCATAATATCATCATTAAGAGTGAGACAGTAAGAAAGAGTAGCATTGAGTAGAGCAATATAAGACAATATAATAAGATAGTAAGATAGTATGTATGACCGGATAAATATCCATGTCCAACCCCCATGAATCATTCGACAATTAACCACCACGAGTCCATGACAGGACCAGGGCCACGAACCCAAAACGGCGGATCGCAGCTGTCAACGTTCTTGGAAAGTAAAAAAAGAAAGTAAAAAAAAGAAGGGAAAAAAAAAAAAAAGTACTCCGTAGCCCAGCAGGGAGATTAGAGATTCTCCGAGAAAAAAGGACCATCGGATCACTTGAGTTGGCGTTGCAAGGGTAAGAAAGAGGAGAGAGAGAGCGATAGACAGGCTGTCACCCACGATGGATGATGCATTTCGCCTACTGAATCGGGCAATACCTGCATAAGGTCAAGATGGAGGAGATGGCCAGTGGTCATTTTGGCGATAATTGGCGGTTGTGATTATGATTAGCTATTATGTACACACTGTGTGGAGGTTGGAGAACTCCATAAATCCCTCATACAAACCTTTTTTGCTTCACCGGCGGCCCGACCTCGGAGTTGGATCTATGTTTGTCCTGTCTTGCTAACCAGATGAGGTTATTCACTCTAGAGATGAGATAGCAAGAGCTTACCCTGTCGACGTTAGTACCGTTGGTCGTAGCCGACGAGGCGTGGTTTCATCGTTCAGACTTCAGACAGTTCACCACCTCCACTGTCCAACTTCCGAAGAGTACGAGTTGATCTCTGCCTCTGAGACGGTTCAAGTCTGAGAATCCGGAGTTGACTCCAGTTGTTCCCATCCCACATCTCATCCCAGTCACAGTCAGAGTCATCCTGACTGGAGAACCGACAAGCCCGATGACTGATGATCATGGCCCTACCGTCCTGCAAAACGGGATCCAGGAAATAAACGATGATGATGGCAGAAAAGTGCAGTAAGATTTGCCCTGTGCTCAAAACGCTGTGACACTGGGCCACGAGTTCTTTTTTCTCCTCCCCCTAGTCGGTTCCCGTCCTCCACTGTCCACATGTTCTCTGATCCATCAATCAAGATGCTTTATCACCGCCCTCCCTGATGTCACACAACTGATACGGTGAGAAGATCGTGTAGACTCTGTAGTCATAGTTGGGGTTGATTAGGTATCTGTTTTGCGATGGCAAAACACACGCCTCTTTGAACTGTCTGGAGACTGGCTGTGTGAAGGCTGGGTGGGCTGTCGATGCTTTGCCGTAATAGGAAGTTCCAGGAAACAGCGTGGAGTCAATCGATGAGATGGAGGAGAGAACATCTGCTGAGCGAGATACCTGATACATTGTAGGATAAACTCTAACCGTGTAATCAGTCATTTGTTTCTCCTCTTTTTCTTCATCTCATCTGACTTGCAATTTTGATCGCGATGTGCGATGATAAAAAAAAAAAAAAAGAAAATAGATTTAAAAAAACAGACAGTGGGGATAACCCTGGTTGATTGGAAGCTTGTCACTCGACTCTAACTGGCTCCAGTCCCCGCTTTGGATCGGAATGAGTAAAAAACAAAAATAATATTAATGTCGATGGATAAACCTCCGACTCTCCGAAGGACTTGATCGTGTAGTGTTTCCTTCGGACTGACCGCTCATCTGGCATGAATGAACACCTGTCGTTGGCCTCGTCAGCCAGGACAAATGAGGGAAGATCTGTGTGTCTGCCTTGAAGAAAAGAGTCAGTAAATTTGGAATTGGGAGAACTGAGAGTGAGACTGAGGGGATCTTCACAGGGCTATGGTTGCAGCTGCTTCGCCTCAGTTGCCCTTGTGAATGCCCAATTGTGACATCCAAGAAGACCAAGACTTTTAGTCTACAGATTAAGAATAAGGATAAGAATGGTGTACAGTGACTAGGAAGGTGGTGCTTGGCTGATTTGCATGATCTACGTGTCTCCTTCATATTATTATACTGTATACTATACAAACTATTTAGGTGTATTATTTGCATAGATCTGATCCTATTTATTGCTGTCTACCAAGCCTGATCTTCAATACAGGTTGCACGGTTGCACAAGCCAAGAGCTGCTCAGCCCTCTATATGGCTATGAACAAATCAAGTATAATTCAATAAATGCATGTATCAGTGTCATCGAGTTGAGATCATGATCCAGCATACAGAGTGCTCATGCGGTAATGTAGCATCTACTAGGTCGCACCCAGCAAGGGCGGTCCGAGAAACTTCGGTGTTTTTTCTTTTGCAGCCATTCTGGTTATTCTTGCAAGTGTAACTTACGTCAGAAGGCCAAGCTCCGGATTGGGACAAGACGGTAAGGGCAAGACTCGGCAAAGAATACCAAGAAACATCTAACCTCAATAATCGCAGTGATCTCAATCATCTCATTTTCGAGGAAGAATGTGTGAAGAATTAAGGAGGCAGCAAGAATAGAAACCAATGCTCATAATTTGATACTCCAAGGCGTTTGCTCTATTTGCTTGGAATCCCAGGTAGCGAGTCTTGGCTTGATGGACCGTCAGGAACAGGCACCATACAGAGTCAAGACAATGTTAATGCTAATCAGTTAATCTGCCTTGCCCATAATAATTATGAATCGGGGGTATTCCGTCCACTCGTCACGCTCTCTTTTGTCGCCCTCCCTATTTTTTTTTTTTCTCTCGCTCGGGTTCGATTGCCGCGCCGCCCCCACTGCGGTCTTGCTGTAATTACCGTATTATTACACCACCAACGAGGCGGGATCGCCTGCCTTGCACTGCTGCGCTCTGCGCCCAGCATTTACCAGCCGTTACAGCGCGTACAGCTTTCCCAGGGCTCTCGTGCCGCTTGATCCTCGTGGGTGGTCATTCTGTGACGCTTGTTGTACTTTAATGTACAGTACTTTGCGTCGGGATGGGGGATGGTGCAGTAGTGGAAGAACTGAGAGTATTACTAGGTACATTGTTGAGGAGTCGAGTAAGACATAATTCAGGGCTACTGCATCGTGTCTGTACGTATCTTTGGAGTTTGGTTTGATGGGAAAAATAGCGACAGTGGGTTTGGTTGACTTGTTCTATGCTCCAAATGTACCAACCGTCGCGGTGCTGCACTAGTCAAAATCCCTCATACTCAGCGACCAAGCCATGTGTGGTTCAATGATGAAACAGGCTGATCTAATGTGAGAATTGCTCAGATTATTATCATTTGTTTCTTCTTTGTTTTGGATTCTTTTGTACACTCTGAAGATGAATCTCTCTGCCTGTTCTATTTATTCTCCTTTCATACTTTGGCCATCCTTGCTCTTCGCACTGCATTGTTACTGTTACTGTCCTGGTCACGTAGCCGCAGGAACCGAAGCATGCATCGGATTTGGCGAGAAAGGAGGGTGGGGCGCTTGGCAGGTGTGTTGGCCCGAGCGTTACTGAACCGGGCTTGCACTTGCAGAAAGGAAGGAATGGAAAAAAAGAAAAAAATATTCTGCCGCCCAACTAGGCTTAGTGTGGCGATGTAAAAAAAAAAATGGAAAAAGAATTTTTATTTTTTTAATAAAAAAATAGCCCGAGCTAGGCCCAGCTGGGCTAAACCCTGCCCAAACCTGCCGCCGCTCTCCCGCGCCCCATCGAATCACTGCCAAGCAGCAGCCAATTATTACTAGTCCTACTCCGTAACTGCCACTACTTTTTTCCTCCCCTCCCCTCTGCCTTCTCGCTTCCTCTCTCTCTCCCTCTCTCTACTATTTCTCTCGCTCTGAATATTTCCTTTTCCCTATCTCGATCACCACGCTTCCGCACTGCCAACTCATTGTGTCACTGGTACTCCTTCGACGCGTCTTCTTCTGGCGCTCTTGGAGCTGCCATCACTGAAGGCAAATAATCTCCTCTTGGCGGTTGGACTACTGGTCTAACTACTTACTACTTCTCTTGTCCTCCTCCCACCTCATACCCCCCTCCTCTCCCCTCTTTCCTCAACATGCGTTGTATATCATGACAATCGTCGTCCTTCGCAGGACAACCTACATTAACGCCCTCCGGGTCGATCAGTTCTATTTCTGATCGATGTTGAGAGTGCATCTTCTTTGGCTTTAATGAGATCATAATTCTTTCTTCTTTCACATACCTCTCAGTCAATTCTTACCTTTTTACTACTTCTTTTTTCACCTCTCTTCGGCTCGAGTCACGACCTTACTATTCTTCCTCATCTTTACTTCCTGTTCATCTAGAGGATGGCTAACTGGCGCGGTGACCGACCTTTTGCCTCCATACATAATATCTTGAAGATGCTACTTTCGCCACACTCGTCCAACAAACCTACCCACGAGGAAACTGACATGGTTGAGGACGTCGATGAACCTCCCGATCATCGTTTCCTCCGCTCCTCCCACATCGCCGCTGAGGAAGACCTGGTCTACGTCAAGGCCCCCGCCGCCATGAAGGACCAAAAGGAATCTCTCCTCACCCGTGCGCTCAAGAACAGCCCCGAGTTGAGCCCCTCCAAGCAACCTCCCACGCACGACTCTACCTACTCCTACCGATCCTACCCATACAGCAATGTCAGCGGCATCTCGACAGCCGAATTGACCAGCGATGGTGGCCTGACAAGTCCGTCTTTGTCTGATGCTGCTAGCCCCCCGCTTCCTATTCAGTTCGCCAGTAGACCTGTGCCTGCAAGAAAGCCTGTGCCTTCGAGAGTGGCTGTCGCGGAGAACGGTGAATCGACTGTTGAGGCCAACCTCGGACGCAAGCGCTGCATTAGCTTTGCCTGTGGCCGCAAGGTCGAGGACAAGAAGGAACAAGCACAGCCGGCACAGCAACAACAATCGACTACGAAGAAAACAACTCCCGAACCTACGTCTGAGCCAGCCAAGCGGAAAACAGTCCTCACATTTGTTTGCCCAGCACGTGACCCCGAGTCTCGACGGGAACGGTCTCCTGGTCGTGCACCTGCTCTTAGGTCGCGACTTCGTGGGTCGCCGGCTCCTGTCGCTCGCAAGGCTTCTCCCGAGAAGCAGGCACCTTCGCCACTCAGCATTCCCGAACAGAAGACCCCAACTGAACGGAAAGGTATCCCGACAAGCGGCCTTGGCAAGTTCGAAGAGTCGGAGGAAACACGCTTCCACGAATTTGCTAGCTCTCTCGAAGAGGATGACTGGGTTACCAAGGCTGGCGAGTATACCGGAAAAATTACGATGAACGACTGTATGAAGAAGGAAATCGCGATCAGAAAGCTGGGCGAGGAAGCCGAAGAAGAGGCTCTAGATGACGACGACGAGGAGGATGACGATGACGAGGACGATGAAGATGACGATGCGGAAGATGCTATCGACGATGACGAGACTGTCCATGATCTCTCTTCGGACGATGGCAACGAGTCCGACAACGAGGCTGGTTTCGCCGAATCGGATGAGAGCGATGATGGATCGGACTACGAGTTTTGGGCACCAGCTACGACCACCGCTGCTACCAGCCCGCAGACTATTGACGTCACTCGTCACACCCTCGACCGTCGGCTATCGAACACTTCATTCGATTCGCTCAACGATGGCTCCCGCCAGCAAATGCCTCCTGCAATCTGCTGGCAAGGGAATGATCGCCGCCCCTCCAAGGGGTCCAAGATCCGCCCCGGTACTCCCAACCTGCCGGACAGCACAGACTTTGTGTGCGGGACATTGGACGAAGATCGCCCGCTGGAAGCCGCCTACAAATCTTGCATTGAGCAGCGTCGTCTGTCGAAACAGATCGTGATCCCCCAGGACATCGATCCCAGCTTTCCGACATCGGACCCTGAGGACAACGATGACGAGGAGGATGATGAGGAGTCTGTGCCTATCACGCATCTTGCAGAAGAGGTGATCCGAGGCAGAGCGCCCGGGCAGGCACGCAAGCCTTCTCCACACCCTTCTCCCAAGCGCATGCACTCTCCACCTCCTCGCCGCCAAGGTCGCTCATCCCCCAAGCGCCTTCGGTCTCCACCTCCCATGAAGCTGAGATCTTCTCCCACCCCCAAACGGGACTCGGTGGATGAGGTCCCCGCTCTCCGCCCTCAGGGTCTCAACATCAGCGAATTGGTTCAACGGCCACCCATGGTCCGCACCAAGTCGCTTCCTCGTACCCCTAATCCCTTCTTCACCGGCTTGGACAAGTCTCATCAGTGGTCGGGCATCACCCCCTTGAGAGAGTCGCCTGAGCGCGAACATTCCCGCACTCGCGAAGTGCACACTCGAGGCCCCATGGATATTGTTGAGGGTCTTGAGAAAAAGCGTCAGAAGAGAAAGGAAAAATTCTGGCGTCAACATTGCCGCAAAGCTGCCAAGGAGCAGATGGAACGGCGTCCAATCCCCGGAAAAGGAGCCGAACGGATGAAGGAGCTTGGCCTCGAAGTTGCTGAGAGGTGCAGAGCTTATGGTGTCGGCCAAGACACCCAGCTCGTCCTATCCGTTTAGGTCTATTCCCTCCGGAGGAAACGAATTACACGAATTCATGTACATAATTACACATTTTTACAAAAAACCAAGATCACCCGCTCTTTCGACAGTGGCTGCAACTTGCAACTGATGTCTGGATCTGAGTGTCATTCGCTATTCACGTTTGTTCAATGTGTTGCCAGTCACCCAATTCCTATTGCTAGGAGGACATCTGTCTGCATTTACGGGGCGATCGTTTGCTTCTTTCCTATTCCCTTCGCTATACATATTTTCTTTATCCCTATTTTTAACCTACATTTTTTTCTCTACATCCTTTTCAGGGCTTTTTTTCTTTTTCTTTAATTTTCGGTCAGGATGTTTGCTAAATTGGTTTGCTGCATGGTGGCTGTTTATCGTATACCCCTTTGGGCGGAATTTGCTGGATTTGTAGATAGCAATAACAATTACAAGAAGATTGAAACAACAACTGTCTATGAGTTCCGTGTAGAAGTATCCAAATATCCCAAACGCTGGATGAAGTGGTTTGCCATTTCAACCGTGACTTCATGTCGGTCTGTTGGGCTTCGACGCTCGGTTAAGGTAAGCAGTCCGGCAAGTGAGGCGGACCAGGCGCGCCAAACCGTCTCGGCCACCGCAACCTGTCTTTCTCTGCTCTTATCTCACTTGCCGCCCTGCCACGGTTTGTTTCCGCTTCTCTTTGGATATCCTCCTTGTGTTCTTTAGCGATTTACGACACCTTTCTATTTTACTAATTCTCGTCTCAACTCGACCTCGCCACCATGTGGATCGTTAACTGGTGTAGGTAGCTCCTTGTTTTGCCTGGCTCCCCATCATTTGCTCTCCCGTTCCAAACAATCGTCGATCCTGCATATCCTGGGCGAATGATCCCGGTTTATTCATCCGGGGACTCTATCTGGATGGGATGAACTTGCTTAACTATGTGGAATAAGTTACTGATGTTTTGTTCTTCTATGTGAATAGTCTGGGATGTCCTGGCCTCTCTTGGTCTTCTGAACAAGCACGCCAAGCTTTTGTTCCTCGGTCTTGATAATGCCGGAAAGACGACTTTGCTGCACATGTTGAAGGTGCGTTGGACCTGTCTTGTGGGTTGATGTTGGATACAGAACTGACGAGATTGTGTTTGATAGAATGACCGTGTTGCTATCCTGCAACCCACCGCACACCCGAGTATGTTACGCCGAGGACGATGATGAAATTTGTCGGTGAAGGAGACAACTGACTTTGCAACAGCATCGGAGGAACTCGCCATTGGAAACAACCGATTCACAACTTTCGACTTGGGCGGTCACCAGCAGGGTGAGTTTGGATTTTCGCTCCAAGCGAATGGTTATTCTTATAAGCTATACGGAGCTGAGCTGACTGGATATTCTTCTTGTTATCATTCGACAGCCCGCCGTCTCTGGAAGGACTATTTCCCCGAAGTTAGTGGAATCGTCTTCCTCGTTGACGCCAAGGACCACGAGCGGTTCCCCGAGTCCAAGGCCGAGCTCGATGCCCTCCTCGCCATGGAGGAGCTGGCTAAGGTTCCCTTCCTTGTTCTCGGAAACAAGATCGACCACCCCGATGCTGTCAGTGAGGATGAGCTGAGACACCAGTTGGGTCTGTACCAGACTACTGGTAAGGGCAAGGTTCCTCTCGAGGGTATCCGGCCCATTGAGGTTTTCATGTGCAGTGTTGTCATGAGACAGGGTATGTCATCTACCCCAGTATACTTCAGATTATCTCCTAACTGTGTTCTACAGGATACGGCGAAGGTATCAGGTGGTTGTCTCAATACGTCTAAACAATCTATCCATACCTGTTCTGTTCCTTCCCCTCCAACCCATCCCCTCACTTCTAGTTCTCTCAATCGTGTCGGCTCTCTTTTATTCCCCATGAGATATAACACCCCCCCTTCCCCTTCCCCCTGACGTGTCTCACTTTATAACTACCCCCGCTCTCACGGTGATCCTAACATCACTTTTCAAAAATCTGGATGGATGAAATGTTATGTTTACCTGGGTCACATGTTACTAGTACTACTATCTTAGCAAGCTTGTTAAACAGTTTTTTTTTTTTTTTTTTTTCCCCTTTTTCTGATACGATATATGATCTGGTTCGTGCTGGGCAGACTAGGCTGGTCTGGTCTAGCTAGGGAGAAATAGTGTTTTCTGTTATGTGAGATTAGGTTGCGCAGGTTTGAAGATGAAGAATATAGGTTTAATTCGTGGTTCTAGTTGATAAAAACCATATCTCAATTTAGTCAGCCATAGTATCTGATGTCATAATATGCATATCTACTTGTCCTTGTATACAATGGATAGCAGCAAATAAAAATCCTGAATTAGTAAATCAACCTACCTATGATGAATCCCAAGCCCACAATACGAATTCAAGTCAAGAATAAAAACCATTGAAGAAAAGGTAAGATCTCGTCTTAGAATACAATGCAAGAAAGTACAATACAGAGTTCAGTTCAGTTTTCCGTGTCCCATCAATCAATCATCCCCCATCTACCAACTCGCCAACAACCGAAACCAAATTCCATCAACCAGCCATCCTACTCGGAAAACCCGCGTTAGCATGATAATGTGCTGAATGACAAAGACAAGATGAAGATGATAGAGACCAAATAAGATAAGAGATGAAAGAAACGGAAAAAAACAATGCAGAATATGAATGCGAATGCCTTGACTTTGACTCGATCAATATTGTCCACCACGCCCCGCTTTCTCCCACTTCCCCATTATAACACCCATCACTTGTGCTGTACACTTGTATTTCAATCCTCCAGTCAGTTTCATGACGTTTCCTTCAGTCCAACCGGATTCGTGTATTATCAGATTGGTATCAAAACCATTGCAGTTGCATGCAATGGTGTTGTTGGTTGTAAGTAGAACATAGGCAGGAGCAAGGGCAGCGGTAGTTAGATATGGAAGGGGGATCCTTGACAGTTTTGAAAGACACGGACATGTCGTTGCTTATTTGGCATTACACTCACAGGAAGATTTTTGAAATAAAACAAAGCAAACGGAGAACACCAGATGCAGCCCGTCGCTTCCCCTTCCTCTGTTAAAAAAAAAATGAAAAAGAATTGGGTGACAACAAGAGGGAAAAAGAGAAATAGAAACAATGAAAATAGAAATGGAAAAAAGAAAAAGAAACCATCCCCTTCAGGGAGCAGAAAGTACCTTCCAAATAGAAATAAAAAAAACACACTCAGTTCAAATCCGCTCCGAGTCGCTGGAATTGGGCTGGGGGAAGGGAATTATGGCGGTTTGTATCTTGCGAGGGGTTTGACGTCTTCTGCTGCATTGTCGATAGTGCATGAATTTGCTTTCGGACGGATGACGGTTGCCTTCGAGGTCGTGGTGGCTTTGGTCTCTTTCGTGTAGTGATGGGTGTGTTATGTATGACGTTTATCGCCGCCCGAACCTGCTGCACATGGAAAAGCTCGTATGATTCTTTTACTTCTTCTTTTGCTTTCGCGGAGGAGTTATGGGTCGGCCTGAGCCCGTGCCCCCGTAAACGTACTTTTGTTTCTTTTCTGCTGGTTTCAAGATCTGAGGAAGATAGATGTTAGCATCTGAGCGGGTGCGAATCGAGTGTTAATTTTTAATCACATACCTGGAACGAACACAATAGGCTCTCGTCGACACTCATCATTGCACCAGCATTGTCGAATTCACCACAGTAGTTCGGAGCACTGAACAGTGTTACAAGCTGTCTCTTGGAGAAAAACTCGTAACCGTCCTCAACAACTTGGTGTGCACGGCATATCAAATCCATGTCGTGCTTCTGGAGGAATCGCGATACAACGTCGGGACCGAATGTGAATGACACACCACGATCGTTTTCGCTCCAGCCAGTAATGTCTTTGTCGGGGTCGGACCAGAGGAGATCGCAAAGGAGACCGCAGTCAGGGATCTATATCGGTTAGCGTATCAGCCTTGAGCTTCGCGGAGCCCAGCAGAGAATTCCGTCTTTCCCGAAAAGACCGGAATAGAAAGGTCTTGATCGAGAAAGCCCACCAAGAAAATCACGAAGCAAAAAAACAAAAACTTACATCAGTAGGACGCATCACGCGACGGATCTGCTCCATCGAGTTGAGGTCGGGGCTCAGACCACCGTGCATGGTGAAGATCTTCTCGTCAATAATGGCGGCAATGGGCAAGCAGTTGAAGCAATCAGTGAAAGTCTTCCAGAGCTTGATGTTATACCTCCGCTTGCACTCGTCGTAGAATCCATAGATACGGTTGATTGATGCGCACTCGTGGTTACCACGGAGGACGAAGAAGTTTTCGGGGTACTTGATCTTGTACGCGAGGAGAAGGCAGATAGTCTCGAGCGACTGCTTGCCACGGTCAACGTAGTCTCCGAGGAAGAGGTAGTTGGCTTCTGGCGGGAAGCCACCGTATTCAAACAGACGCAGCAGATCGTAGTATTGACCGTGGATATCACCGCAAATCTGATTAACAGCCTTTTGTCAGCCCTCACCGATCCGAGTCACACAAACGCGGCCGATCGCCATTTACCTTGATGGGCGCCTCCAACTCCAAAAGTATCGGTTGAGAGATGAAAATTTCCCTGGCCTTGGTACAGAGATAACGGATCTCCGATTCCAAAAGCTGAACCTGCTTTCCAGGTCGGCTACCCCTCACCTCTAGGAGTCTATCGATGATCGAGTCCAAATCCACTTCCTGGTCAGCCATGGCGTGTAGGTTCTATCGAAAGGCGACACGAAAAAAAGAAGAAAAAGAAAGGGAAAGAGATAATAAAACAGAGAAGAAAGGACGAGGGGAAAAAGGCTTCGGGAGCACTCGGTAGCGATACGAGGACGCGGTTTCTATAGACTGCGAAAGCGAAAGAAAAGAGCGTGTTAGAATATCTCGACACCGATAAAACGACTAGAGAGGGAAAAAAGCAAATAAAATTGCTTCACTTCGATGAACGACGCGCTACCAATGCGCAGCAGGAAATTTTTTTTCCCTGCCCTTCGATGGCAGGGGAGGAGAAAAAAAGAGGGGCGGAAGAGAAGTGGCTTACCAAAAGTGATCTAGAACAAGAAGAGAAGAAAAAAGTAGACAAGAAGCGAACACAGGCCCAAAGGCCTTGGACAGTTGAAGATTTCTGGCAGCTAGGCCAGATCTCTGGTGAAGGACGTGACACTTGTCGGGGGGAGGGAAGATATGAATTGCGCGAACGATATCGACGTGATGCGGCTCCCGGAGACAGAAAAAGCCTCAAGATATAATGGGGCTGAGAAACCTGATGGACGGGAAGCGTGTAACGAAGACGAGAGCAGAGGAGGCGGCGGGAGAAACAAACTCGCTAGGGATGCAGCGGATTGGGGCGAAGAGACGCGATGGGAGAAGACGATGTGGGTAGAGGAGAGATAGAATCTGGAGATAGATGGATCAAGAGGCAGAGAAGAGAAGAAGAAAAAAAAAAAAAGAAAACAAAAAATGGATTCCTGAATCTCTGAGAGGGCAGAGGTTGGCGGTGGCGTGAGGGGGTGGGTGGAAGGGAGAAAGCAATCAAGGGATCTTTTCCAGCGGACGAAATTTTTTCTGCCTGGGAAGGTGTCTAAATCAGACTAGAGTGGCTTTTCCGAGCAGAGATCGATCGATGGAAGAAAATCACAGATGAAGCAAAAGTGAAGACAGCAAGCGATCACAAGAAGGAAGAAGGAAGCAGGGAAAAAAAAGGCCCGAGAGAGAAGAAGAAAGTCGGGAAAAGCCCAGCAGGTTTCGAGAGAAGAAGAGGAGAGGGGGAGAGAGTGAAGGCTCGGGAGCGGTTTATTGGCCGACGATGCGCGGATATGCGAAGAATGTAGCACAGAAGAGTGGAATCGAAGGAGAATCGAATAAAAGAAGCATCGAATAAATAGAAAGAGATATATCTATTGCCTTCTCTCTCCAACAGTTGATCTTGTTTCATCTGTCTGGTGTTTTATTGTGTTATTCAGGATAACCTCCGCGCCAAAAATAGACGCCTGGGCCGGAGTTTACAATGGCTGCAAGGAGTCGTGATTCCATCAACTCTACTCCATCAACAAATCTCTTCATCATGATCTCATCTATCATAAACTAAAATGCTCCTCCTCCTATCTTTGAAGTTATTCATATCTTTTGCAGCACCACTCTGCAGTCTGACAATCCACTTCCAACACCAACTGCGCACGAGCACACAAACCACACCCACCACACACACACTCCCACTCAAGCGCTGCCCAACGGGGGCAACAACTGACCCAGTTTTTCTTCCAAGGAAAAAAAGGAGAATTTTTCCTTGATCTTCTGATCGTCTACGTTAGCTTCCCATCTAAAAGCTCGAGATAATACGCTTTATGATACGGTTCGAGTTTCAACGCACGCAATAGGTTGGTCCTGGTCAAGTATGGAGCCTCTTCATCTAGAGTTTAGCATGATAGAATCTAGACTTTTTTGGTCGATATTGCGGCTTCATTATAGTCAAAGCTTGGGGGCCTGAAGAGCCCAATCGATGGGTTTGGATTCTGGTGAGTGATATTATTCTTATTCGACTCGGGGTGAGATGGACAAGGGGTGTTGATATGATCGTCAGTCGTATCAACTAAGCTTAGGATAGATACAACCAGTCATACAAGCATAACATTAAGTAGATGACGACACTACGAACCTACGGTTCATACATCTAGCAAGTCAAGCCCAATATGTATTGCATTCAGCTATCAGCAGTAAGGTATTCCGGTTAGAATATAGGATTTCGTCATAAACGACTTCGTGTCTCATGCATTAAGTCCGAAACTCATCATCGGTCTCTGCAGACCAGAACAAATAGGAGATGGGTGAGTAAGAAGAAGAAACAAAATATACATCCTGCGACTCAAAAAATGGAGAAAAGTAGTAACATCTCGGCATAATCAGATCAAAGGGAAATATCGGAACCGAAAAAAGGAAACACGTCAAAACATACCACACAAGATAAAAGAAACAGTCCTATAACGCCCCGGACACCTGTCACCCCGGATCAAGTCAAGTCAAATCAAATAAAATACAAGCGGTCTAAAGGGGGATAACAACTGTTTTTCATGATGCCTCCCATAGGATGAACCGGCCTGATAGGGTCGAAGATAGTAGTGTGAGGGGGGTGGAGGAGTCAAGGGAATCAAATGGAAAAGGGAAAAAAAAGGCATAATTGTTCATACAGCCGGCCCGAAATCTCGAAAACTCACAAAAAACGCCAATAAAAATGCTGCAAGTAGATAACCTGGCCGGAATGATAAGGTCAATAATAACCAAAATTTGGTTGTTGGTTCAGGTAAAATGAAAAAGCCGCCGTTCATAAATCTTTGAACTCGTCAAGCCAGTCACATCTTTTGAACACCCCCAAAAATAGGAGAAATGAACCATTGATGGTTGAGATCAGTATTATGATCTTGCTTTTTTTTTTTTTGGTTTTGTCTTATTTTTTTTCATTTGCCATGCGTCGTCCGACAGACAATTAGAGCTCCCCACTGAGAATGGCTTGACCACCTGCTCGAGTAAGAGGATCGGGCTGCATCGTTGCCGATTCATTGAAATTGGTCCCTGTACGGACGACGTTGACATCTTTCTGCGCGCTGTAGACACGGTCTCCCAGCACAGTGAGCCAGCTGTTACCGACCTCCTGTCTGAGAGCCTCCAGCTTTTGCCGGTATAAGTCATCGTCTACATTCCACTTCACTTCCTTGAATGTAGGCTTCAATGTAGAAGTGTCCCTGACCTGCGGTGCAGGCGGGCTGGGAAGTTTTTCAGGTGTTTGTGTATCGGTAGGAGACAAAGCCTGAGGTCTACCATCAGGTTTCCATTGACGGTCGGAAGGGGCCGAGATAAACGGATCAACGGGTAATTGAATGTGCTGAATGGAAAGAACAGAAGGCACAACTGTACCTGAATCATTACCCGCAGGTTTCTCCAGGGATTGGTCGACGATTCTTCGCCGATTGCCCTTCTTCCGACGACTAGATCCAACATCGTATTCACTGTTCTGGACATGGCGTAAAGGTCCTGCCTCCTCCTGACCAATCCGGGTGACCACTGGAGTTGGCGACAAGGGCTTGCTCACGACTGCTGACTTATCCGCGATAACAGATCGTACAACAGGTGTTCCCTCTGGTTCGGCCACTCGGTCCACCAAGTACTTTCTCTCCGTATAACCAGGGCCTGACCCGTCGATGATAATGTCTTCGGAGTAACCAGGGGTACGGCGGAAGAGATTGAAGATCACAATGCGATATCCAGAGTGCGTCTTCACAAAAGGATTGCCAGAAACCCAGATCTCCCGTATCTCAGGGAGGCTGGTGAGTCTGGCAATCTCGGTTGGGTCGGAGAGGTTGTTGTCTCTGAGATCCAACCGCTCCAAAGACAACAGTCTTTCGATGCCTGCGAGTGAACGGAGGCGGTTTCCACGGAGGTTGAGGGCGGTGATGGCTGGTAGAGGGTTTCGGGACACTGAGTGCAGCGATTCAATCATGCAGTTCGAGAGGTTCAGAGCCCTCAAAGCCACCAGGGATGCGAGGCTGTCTGGAACTTCGGTAAAGAGATTTGAGGATAGATCGAGTGAGTGCAGAGTGTTAGCCACCGGGGCAAGACTGGCAGCGGTGACAGTGGTGAGGGAGTTATCAGGGAGACCCAGGTGCCGCAGGAAACGCCATTTGGACGGTGGCAGGAATCCTGAAGCTAGGTTGGTAGAGCTACCATGACAACGGCTGGAGGTTTCACTAGAGTTCGAGCTACCCGATCCAGTACGTCTGATCCGGGATGTGTGCCCACGACTGTAACGATAAGACTGCTTCGAGCTGGTCGGGCGTGATGGGGAAATGCTTCCAGTCCTTGTACGACCCTTGGCACCCTCGGACCCGACTCGGATCATGGAGGCTGCCTGCGGGCTGGTGCTTGTCCCAAAGGCAGAATCGTTGGCAGTGGGTGACCCAGGAGCAGAAAGGGAGCTGGGTATTTCAGACTTGTGGACTGGCTGGGGGTTTGAACTCCAGCCAAACACGGGTGAGATTTGGGCCTTGGACGACCGCCGGCGGCGCTTGTCAACGTCGTCTAATACGACGCCCGACAGCAAGTCGGCGGGATCATCGATTTTGGCCCTCTTGAGGGTCAAGGTCCGTAGCTGCTCGGAAAGTCGGTCCCAGCCGAAGAACGAGCGAAAGTCTATATCAATGATTTCTAACGCACTCAAGTTTTTGAAGGCATGAAGCGGCACAGCCGTTTCAAAGGGGAACTCCTCGTAACCCGAAATCAAACGGGCACGGTGGTCGGGGGCTAGACGCAAACAGGGTATCTTGGTAAAGGCAGAATATAGGTACTTGAGATCCGCTTCTAGGGCAGCCTTGGCTTTCTCCGATTTGGTGGCCGAGTCCTTGGAGCCTAGACCAAACGAAGACCAGAGGCCACTCATACCAGACATGACACTACGGACACTTGAGACAGAGTGAATAGAATCTCTATCGCCTCTGGGTCGCTGTGGCTTGTTCAGGAAGGAGACGTAGGACTGGGAGACATCGGTATGGATGTTTTCCAGCCGAACGGTCATAGGACCGACGGCAATGGAAAGATCCTCGAAGCGGGAAAGGAGGTAGTAGAGGTGGTGAGGGGTGAGGGTAAGTTTGGCGGGTTTGATGTTTTGAGAGGAGAACTTCAATGCCCCAAAGGATAGGGCAGCGGCCAAGGTGGATGAGGTTGAGAAGGAACCCGCCGAGCTCGACGAGCCGGTTTGAGTAAGGGATTGTCCATTTTTAGTAGGGCGACGCTTTAATTGCAGAGCATTAGCGAGAGCCCTTTCATGGGTTCGAACGAAGCTGGCGAGGTTCTACAAAACCAAACAGATTAGTATACAACGGCCAATCGAGCCGGCAGGAACCGGATAGTAAACATACCTTGATGAAGAGCTGTCCATCTTCAGTGTTGAGCTTCTCCATTACGGACGGTGCTTCGCCTAACTAGACACGGTCGAGTCAGGCGAACTCTGAAGAGGAACGCTCAAGAACTTGGGGCAGTAGTATGGACAGGAGTAGACATTTTGACACCGAGCGAAGTAAGAGGAAATGCGCGAGGGGGGAGGGACCTGCAGAGAAGAGAAAAGAAAGCGTCAGTAGGGGTTCATGAAAGTTTTGAGCAATCCTCTGGCCCACGGCTCAACAAAGGTGATAGATCCGCGACAAAAGGACTGCGACAAAAGAACAATTGACTAGACTGCTAAAGAAAGGCAGGGAATACCGGACAAAGAGACCGAAAAAATAGATGAGGGGAATAATCAAAAGTCGGACAGTTTCAACCAGACTTTTTTTTTCTCCTTTCCACGATAACAATGACTGTTGCCTTTCCTTTTTGTCTATTTATTCTGTTGGTGTTTCGATATTTCCGACCTCAGCTGAAGAGGTGAAGCCTGTCGCCTGGACAAACTAGATTGCTGAGATGAGAAGAGGCTTGCTGAAAGGGTGACCACCCAAGAGAAGATGGATGGATGGATGGGATTAGGGACCAGGGGGGGAAAGAGAAAAAAAGGTGCTTTTTTTTTTTTTTTTCGAGGGAGCTAAATTAATATGCAGGAAGCGCGCAGTAGTAGTAGAAATGGACGATGGTGGCACGGGGGAGGGAGGAGAGCGAGGGTGGATTATGGACGTGCGCCGAGAGTCAATCAGCTGAGAGAGGGGTTAAGTTGGATAAATTTGCCAGAAATAATAAATAGAGACGGGATGGAGAGAGGAGGATGACGCCAGATTGGTAGCAAAAAGGAGGGAAATATTATTATCATATAATAATCAACGCGATAATAATGGAGCGGACGAGGGAAAAGGATGGCCTACTTTTTTCTACTCTACAGCTGCGCTGCATCTAGTGTCTAGCGGGTTACTTGGTGGCGACCCTGTGGAGGGGTTGTTGGTCTTAGCCCACCCAACGGACTCATCCCTCTGCCGTCCTATCTGGGCTATCTTGGTTATCTTGGCCGTATCTAATTATCTATCTTTTTTGCGCTGCTCCGATTTCGTCACTCGTGCAGCCGATTCACTGGTTAACTTTCTGGCAGAGTTCACTGGGCTTGGCTTGAAACCGATATAAAAGGATAATTTGATTGCCAATTGTCCTTAATCCGGCCTTTCCTCTGGGTCACAAAGGTCGGTTGGCTCAATCCGAGTGTCATGTCATATCAACCTCGAACGGCGCTAGCAATTCAGATCCATCCAGCGTCATTCTCCGGTTCAGCCGACCGTTCAGTGGAGCTGTCGAGTACTACTGTACTGTCGAGTACATACTTCCCATGTAGGTAGAGCACTCCGATTCTATCCCGATTATCGTCCAAGCAAATCCCTTCCCACCAGTCAGACAAGACATAGGCGCCTTTTCTCGAGGCAAAAATCAAGGGATGATCATGAGCGAAATTTCAGTCTTAGCCACACTCATCTGCCGCGCAAAGATGCAGGCCGGGTGAAAAAACCTTTGGCGAAAAGACCAGTGGTTGACCCGTGCTGCTGCTTGGCCCGCTTTTCTTCCCTGTTCATGATGGGATGTGACTCTGGCCGAACCCACTCGGGCTGCATTGTCCATCGTCTTAGTGGTGGCCGGCTTGCAGCGTGCAGCTGATAGCGTGTGCAAGAGTCAGCTAATCACCGGAGGCTATACGATGGATGTTTTCTTTTCTGCCTTTCGTTCGGTGCTATTCGATTCTTTTCTTAGATATGCAACTATTTCATACTATCATACCTACTATGTAAGTAACACTGTACTGTATACAAAGTACAGAGTACCTACGAATATCTGAATCTATTACTCTGTAGTGTAGAAATTCTACGATCGCACAGATCACTGATGACATTCTTGGAGGCTCAAGTGGACCCCAGCTCTTCATATTTAGCATCAAATGACCTCAAATGTGGCTCTGATTTGAGATATTCTTCCTATCACCAATCCGATCCCCCTTCGTTTCCATCTGACTCGGTTTATCTCCCCCGCCGTCAGCCTCACCGCTCTCCCACCACCACCACGAATCACACCACTTTCCTCCCCGAAAAGGGTAATATTGGCCCATTCACGATCCAAGGTTATGAACACCCTGAGTATCTTCAGGCCCCACGTTCCTATGACCGGAAACATCGATCATGAGAAAATACAGTCGAGGAATGGATGACGTTGATGGATGACAGGCCGACAATGGATGTGACAGTCATTATTTCCAAACTTCAGGTCATCCATCGGTTCGGATTCTCGAATTCTTCAAGGGGTTCTGAAATGTGACTGAACACCATGTGGTTAGGGTGATTCAAAAAGAGACAATGTTTCAACATGTCAGTGCTCTCTGTACCTTGCGTGCCTTGCGATCTGGTATGTCTGTGTGGCCTTTTATCTTTATAGTTCGGAGATTCAACTACTTGTACAGTAGTGTGCTCCATACTAACACCATGACAGGCATAAAACAACGTTCCTTTGCAAAGCATTTCCATTGAACATCGCCAACCTTAGATTGCCCCTCAATCTTGGCAATGGTCTTCCTTGCCAAGACTCCATCCAAACCGTTCTATAGAACTTCCCGACTCGTCATGCTAGGAGTCAAGTCGTGCTGATACAACAATCTTGATTCCTTAGTAAGTTTCGCCTAACTAACTAACTTCTACTTCTTATCTCAGTAGGGGGGTTGGAACCATCTTGGCGGACTTTGCCTAGGAGTTTAATTCCCACCCACAACCAAATACAACGACTGGAATGTTCATGCATCCTGTAGCCCCAGAGACCAGCCTTGTATTCCGTATATTCCTATCCTATTCGTGCTTTTGGCAGCCAAGGAGTCGCACATGATATATCCGGGCCATTGATGATCGCCCCCCATATTCTCACTCTCTGCCCTCTGTATGGCTGCAAAAGGAACCCGCTCGGAGATCGGAGGAGTCGTTCTCCACTCACAGTCAACCGGGCTCATGATCAGCACTGCAGTCCTTGCACGACGGGCGATTCGCATGCCAATCACAGCCGACCGGACAACCATTCCCCCCCCTCGCTCTCCTGCAGATGAGGTCTTTCATCACTCACTAATTCCTGCAATGTTGACTGTCGCCATGAGCATGGGGAGATTAGCCCAGAACATGGGAAATTAGTACTCTGCATGAGAACAGAAATAGGGAGGATTCGGGAAACCCCAAAGAACATGTTTCAGTTCTGTCCGTGACTCTGACACTCTGTTGTTGTCTTCTTGCTGTATGTCTGTTCTTCGACAAGGAGAATTTAAAATTAAGACTGATCCCCATGCACCATGCCCTTTCTGGGACCAAGCACGTTCTTAGGCCTTAGGGCCAAAGGCTGCGGTTACCGCGCGGGACGCAATTATTGATTATTGTCTTGAATAATAATTCTGTGCTCCCGTTGAGTCTATGGGTGCTCTCGACAATACAGAGTACAGAATACCAAACCGTGGTGATAGATCCATCCGTCATTACCTCTGCCGCATGCATTCGCCATGAGGCATTTAGTCACAGAAAAAAGAAAAAACGAGGCAAGCCCAGCCTGTCCCATGACAAGGGCGATAAGTGGATCCTGAAGCGGTTGACGGTTGAACAATAACCAGGGTTTTTACTTTTTCAACGGTAGATTTCCGAACAGCCTACCTGCATCACCCAAGTCGTCTTAGTTATTGTTGATATACAATAATAATAATACGGGTTGCTAGTCCAACTAACTAGCCTACTGTGTACTTTTCAAGGCGGGTAGTGCAATAAGCGGGGTGTGTGTCGCTTCCTGCAACACTAACTGGGATATTCCACCATCGGGATCAGCGGTAGTTGCAAATCACTCGCCTTTTTTGTCCGATCAGCCATGAAAATGTATGTACGTACATACGTAGACATACGCAACTACGCAACTATCTCCGTAGACGTCCGCATTTCACCATCCATCATTCAGTCATGTGACTGTCTTAGTCTGTATTTCTTTTTTCTATTTTTTTCGCGCATACCCACGATCTGACAAGGGTTTCTCCATCCAATACCCTCCGACTTTTCACTTACCCCGCAATGCAATGCTTGATGGTATCAGAGGCTTGGTTGGCTTCATCATCGTTCCAATCAGTTGGATTGTGTTTCTATCATAAACCCTTAGCTCAGCCAGCCTCGATCAGGCTATTCACACACACCGACTGCCTTTGCATCGCAGGGTAGGATTGAGATTCGGACGCCACTAATGTCGAGTGTGTCGTGCGGTAATCATTCCGGGAGGTAGATTTCAATGTGGACAGTATGACCCTGGTTCGGATTTCAACAGGGGTTGTTGCAACGGTTCGGATTTGTATTTTCTTAAATGTTAAGTTATATAGACTGGCATGATAGATACCAAAGGGCAACTACTAAGGTAAGCAGTCAGTCGCCCCCCCGCGTGTTCTGAGCATGTGCGTGCACAGTACACATTCCAATGCGCCCCAGATTCAAGACCCGCACACACACAACCACACACACACCCAATCCGCATATGTAGCAAGATCAACTAGGTAGGAGTATACTGCTCATACACTGGATGGGACGGATGTTACGCAAGCACCAGCTCGATGAGCAACGCTCGCGATGTGTGTTGAGTAAGTATTGCCGATCCATCAAGAAGCAATGGCCCATTTAAAATCAGCATCGTCATCTCGACAATCTGATTGACGGTTCGCTCGGTTTCAAAGTTCAAAACTTTGGTCTAAGTTTCAATGATGCATGTATGTATGCTTTTTTCTTTTTCTTCTTGGTCGATTGATTGCCTACTGCGGCGCTTAGAGTGAGCACTGCCTAGTTACTATCGATGATTCGATGTATCCGGTGCATAGTGGGGGGAACCTAAGTAATGCACATATGATAGAAAAGATAGCAATGTAGCATCCAGCATCCATCTGACCCAAACTTCAAATCCAGTTTGAACCGACTGGTATGGCATGTTCTAGCCTTCCGTCTTTTTTTCCCTGCATTTGGAATGAATTCCTTGAAAGAACACTCACCTTGCATCTATTATTTGGACGACCCATAAAAACGCTTTCTTGGCTCTTCGGTCCGTCGGTTAACCGAATTCATTTTTCTGTTTTTCTGTTTCCACTCAGTCTCAAAGAGGGATAGCGTAACTAGCCACTTTCTTATGCTTACTGTGGCCCAGTGCCGAATCCCGAGGTGTGGAGACATGGATGTGCTAACGAGTTAGTGTGGCTGGTGGGCTGATGGATTGGTGTGGAGAACGTTGTAGATAAGGACTTGCAACTTTAAGCAGGATGACTTCAGGTTTGGTGGTGAGGACGGACCAGGTGGTGATACGTGTCTTGTTCAGATCGATTATCGAGATGGTGAGGTTTAATCCTTGTTGATAGTTTAAGATGCATTGGCGATTGTACAGGGGTCTTGGGCTAGTTGTTCTATTCTATCTATGTGATGATTGTATGCCTATCAATGCTTGGCCTATAGGAAAACTGTAGATTAGATGGGGTACTAAAGCGCATTCATTTTCGATAAGGAGTATTATCTATTCTTGGGAAACTATCAATGTCAGTTTAACCTTGTTGTAAATATATTCAATTGATGTTGGCGGCAGAGTCAAATATTTATCTCAATTCGCAATCGATTGACCATAGCTGAAGAAGATCAACATTCCAACCGCCAAATTAACCATGCTCCTCAACACCAATGACTCGTTCATTTAGATACATCTACTTTAGTAGATGTTGAATGTTAATGTTGACCGCTGAAAGATTGCAACGCATCCGAAAATAGAGTGGGGCGGTGACAGGTACACGTGACTAACGTCGATGTCATCCGTTGTCCTAAAACAGGATTGTCGTTGACAGTTCATCTTCCATCTTTCACTCCCACACAATCACCGTCCAGTATGAAGCATCTTCAACAATGAGCTCGGGGGAAAAGTCCACGAATATCGACTTATTCGATCCCAGCGCCCTTCCCGATTTCGACCAAGAATTCATCGACCCAGATGATCTGCGGCAATTCGAGAATGCCTTGAACAACAACGAAGCTTCGCCTCTGATAGCCATCAATGACTGGCGACCTATCAACCAACGGGTGGTGCGCAAGAACCGCGACCGTCGGAAACAACTTAGGAGGAGTAAGGATGAGACGAGGGAGGGGGTCCTCTACACCGTCTTGAAGTGGCCGTTTCTCTTCACCGTGTTTGCTTGGATTACGGTGCTTGGCTTCGTTTACGTCTTGACTCGGTTGTATATTTTTTTATATGAGCAATGGGTGACATGGCGGGGTACGAGGGAGAGACTCCGGAGAGTGTTGTCCATACAGACGAATTATGCGGATTGGCTGCAAGCTGCCCAGGCGTTGGATGTCTATCTTGGGAATGAAAAGTGGAAGAAATCAGACGAATATGCATACTATGACCATCTCACCATCAACAGGGTGGTCGCACAATTGAGGAAAGTCAGAAAGGAGGCCGAGTGGGAGGTACAGAACAGACGTGCCAGCTCGAGTGAGTTGCCTTCTGTCGAGGAGCTGTGTTCTCTTCTGGAGGCCTGCGTCAAGAACAACTTTGCCGGCGTGGAAAACCCTCGAATCTACAGTGAAGCATACTCCGGGACCAAGGACCTTGTACAGGAATACATTGACGAGGTGCATGCGTGCATGCAAGTGGTGCTGGACAGCAAGCAGATCAGCAATGAGGATAAATACCAGCACTTCAAGCATTTGGACACAAATTTTGGCCGAACTGCGCTGTGTCTCTCTGGAGGAGCCACGTTTGCCTATTACCACTTTGGCGTGATCAAAGCGCTGCTCGATAACGATGTTCTACCCGAGATCATCACCGGGACGTCCGGAGGCGCATTGGTGGCCGGCTTAGTTGCCACCAGAACCGATGAGGAATTGAAACAACTGCTCATCCCCGCGCTAGCCCACAAAATTAGAGCTTGTCATGAAGGTTTCACAACCTGGATGCTGCGCTGGTGGCGCACAGGCGCGCGTTTTGACACGCTGGACTGGGCTCGGCAATGCAGCTGGTTCTGTAGAGGCTCTACCACGTTTCGTGAAGCGTACGAACGGACAGGTCGCATACTCAATGTGACGTGCGTCCCGTCCGATCCCCACTCACCGACTATTCTGGCAAACTACTTGACATCGCCCGATTGCGTCATATGGAGTGCCGTGCTTGCCTCTGCGGCGGTCCCTGGGATTTTGAACCCCGTGGTTTTGATGACCAAGAAGCGTGATGGTACCCTCGCCCCATATTCTTTTGGGCACAAGTGGAAGGATGGTAGTCTACGGACGGATATACCCATCAAAGCGTTGAATTTACATTTCAACGTTAACTTTACTATTGTCTCGCAGGTAAGGCACCGATTTGTTTCTGGGAATGTCACAGCTCTAACATTGTTGACTAGGTAAATCCACACATCAATCTCTTCTTTTTCAGTTCTCGAGGAGCTGTAGGCCGGCCAGTTACACACCGAAAAGGTCGAGGATGGCGCGGTGGTTTTCTGGGCTCTGCCATTGAGCAGTACGTCAAGTTGGACATGAACAAATGGCTCAAAGTTCTACGACATCTTGAACTCTTACCACGGCCGATGGGTCAAGATTGGAGTGAAATCTGGCTGCAAAAGTTCAGCGGCACAGTCACAGTTTGGCCCAAGAGCATTCCATCCGATTTCATCCATATCCTCTCTGACCCCACCCCCGAACGATTAGCACGAATGCTCCATGTGGGCAAGCAAAGTGCTTTCCCGAAGATACAATTTATCAAGAATCGATTGAAAATAGAAGGCGAAATAATGCAGGGACTGCAGAAGAATTCCCCTGCTGGTGATCGGGTAGCGTCTCCCATCTTATCCCGTCGTCGCCAACAACACGAACAAGAGCACTCTGATCCGATGGTTGAGCGTCTTGACGAAAACCTTCCAGAGCGTCAGCCAGACTACAAGGATGACTCGAGATATAGCGAACTGTCCGATAGCCTGTCTGCTGGATCGTCTCGGCCACAGACCCCGGAACCTCGCCGGGGGAGTTTGATGGAGGAAATGAGACGGCAATCCGCGGTGTTTTTTGACGATGCGGATATGTATGGGGAGAATACAATTATGAACTGACCTTATACCCATTGTTCACAAAGTTGCATGGCATTGTGTCTATGATCTTGTACTATACCGATAATCAGATGAACCTACATTGCATCATAATATACATATCTCAAGAATGTATAGGCTCTATATAAAATCGCCCAAAGGCACCTCCCTTGGAACAGTGATGATACCTCGCGTAGTCAACAATCGAGCCTGCGTCAACTTCAAAAACCGATATGTATTATCCAGAACAGGCGTCTGTACACCCTTCTCTCTGGCCACCCGCAAAGCATTCCCCAGAATCACTTCCACCTCCATCGGATTCCCCTTGTCAACATCAACCAACATACTAGGCCGGAAGCACAGCTCCATCGGGGTGATATCGACCATCTCATCAATTATCCCCTCACCGAGATCATACCCATCCGCAGCAGCAATGGCGACTATCTCCGCCATCCCAGGCCGGATGAGACCATGCTCACCACCGAAGCGTCGAACATCCGCACTATCGAGCTGGGTAATAGCACACATGGGATTGAAAGTTCCATTCCAGACAACCTTGCGCCATCGATAGAAAACAATATCATCGACTACCGTGGCTTCAACGACCCCACTTTCTCTATATACGGAGGCAAACTCCTCTAGCTTTCTCCGCTCGTAGGCCGCGTCAAGGGTGGGATTGTGGTAGACACCCAGATCCATACGATCGTGGTCATCATGTACGACGTGCCCGTTGCGTTCGTGAGCGCCGATGTAGCTTGCTCCTGAGAGGACTGCGTTTGACGGGAATGCCTTGATGACCGGGGGCTCGATGTAGAGACCGTTCTGGAGTAGAACGATAGCGGTATGGCCTGGTGTAATGGCGGGACTTATAATGCTGGGGATGTCATTTACTTCGGGGATATTTTTCATCGTGACTACCACGTAGTCAAACGGATTTGCGGGGTCGGCTTGGGGGACCGCATTCACGACTGCATATTACTTGTCAGTTTCATCTCAGGACATAGTAGAGTACGTCGTACCTGAAGATGGTCTCCAAGCCGTTGACCTTCCATGATCAATAGATTCAATCTCAAACCCATCGCGCTGAACCTTCTCATAATTCGATCGCAAAACCGCCGTGACTGATGCCTTTCCTGAGCGTTCTAGAGCCACACAGGCCATCGTACCGACGCCCCCGGCTCCCACGACTAAGACGCGAATTTTTTCATTTCCCATTTTGGCTTGGGCTTGTTTCAATTGAAAGATTGATGTCTGGGATATCTCAATCGCTTAATTGCCATAGATAACCCTCAGACCCCTGCTAGAAACAAGACATTACATAAGCGAGCTGTATACTGATAGATCATAGTGGGAGTTTGATTGGTTTGCTATTGGTTTCCTGGTGGTCCGAGATTTGAACATGTGGACCAATTGATATCCAGGATTGATCCTAATGCAGTGTATCTCTAGTTATCTCACTTGGAGTCGTTTGGATAGTATTAAATCTTATAGAATCGTCTTATGCAAAGACTGCAGCCTGAGGCAGAAAAATAAGAATAGAACGAAACGGTGGCAAAATACCGTATTTACGAGTCCCACTTTGACCGCCTTTTGGCATCGTTTAATATAATACCCATCATTGGTGGATATAGATTTTGCCAACCAGACTAAACCCCCTTTGGTAGGCGGTCGAGAACAGCGGCAAAAAGGGGCCGTAAAATACGACTGCCCCTCATTGTAAGCACGCTAGGCCCAACAGAGGATCGCCTTTTTCCAGATTTTCGTTGTTCTTTACCTTTGTTGCGCCCACTTCCACTTTATCTTCTTCTTCTCCAGAAAAAAAAAATTCGTGTCCATTCTTTCTTTGACATCTTGACATTCTTCCGTCTCTACCTTCAAAATGATTATCTACAAGGTTAGTCTTGTCTCGAGAGGCTACTGGGCATTTCGCTTTTGATGTCTTTACCCCGCTCTTTTTGTGTGCCGATTGCTGATATCTTCTCATCACAACAGGACATCATCACCGGTGACGAGCTCATCTCTGACTCGTTCAACCTCAAGGAGGTTGAAGGCACCGTCTACGAGGCTGACTGTGCCATGATCAGCGTCGGCAATGTCGAGGGTTAGTTTTGCTAGCTGTTTAAGAATAATGACAAGATCTAACTTGTGCAGTTGACATTGGTGCCAACCCTTCTGCTGAGGATGCTGGGGAGGCCAACGACACCGAGGGTTTCGCTCAGGTTAACAACATCGTGCACAACTTCGGCTTGAAGCAGACTGCCTTCGACAAGAAGAGCTACCTTGCCTACTTGAAGGGTATGCTTATTAAAATATTTATTGCCAGCCCTAGCTAACTGGTTGCAGGTTACATGAAGGCCGTCAAGGCTCAGTTGCAGGCCAAGGGCAAGAGCGAGGAAGAGGTCACAGCATTCGAGAAGGGTGCTGCTGCATTCGCCAAGAAGATTGTCGCCAACTTCAAGGACTACGAGTTCTTCACCGGCGAGTCCATGAACCCCGATGGAATGTGAGTGAACTTGCCATCACCGATAGTACTTCAAAAATGCACTGTACTGACAAGATCTTTCCTACAGGATCGTCCTTTTGAACTACCGTGAAGATGGCACCACCCCTTACGTTACCCTCTGGAAGCACGGTCTCGCTGAGGAGAAGGTTTAAATTCAACTAATCACCTCCCCCCCCCCTCCCAAAGTCATGATGCAAATGAGAGCAATGCGCGTACTGGATGGTATATTGGAAAGATGGTCGAGTCTTTGGTTTCTGCCAACATACCCCTAGGGCAGAGACGACAGAAAAGTAATATAGACACAACCTTAATAAGTGAAGTCGACATCTAGCCGGAAATGGTGCGAATTTGCAACCAATATATCATCTGATGACAATATTATCTTTTCTTCATATTGCCGTAGATCAGATCGAGCACCTTGTTTCCCTTTTATTTACCTAGAGATACAACGTACAAGAGAAAAAGTAGACATTTGCTCTGGGTATAGTAACGAAACTTTTTAAATCCAACCGTCTATTATATCTTAGGATAAGTAATGTATGTGCCCACCATCTGTGCTGGTAATCATATTCCCAATTCCTTGAAGCTGCATCGAAGAAAGTAGATTACAGGGTATTCAATTGGACCGTCTGCAAATGCCATGAGGAGGTCCCGAAGGATCTACGGGACGATCCTATTCTTATGCCCATGCTCCTCATCTTTGGATGTGTAAGGACTCTTCTAGGCAATGCTTCTGCTCTTATAGAGTTCACTACCATTCCCCGCTTGCTACTCTGCTCTAACCAATTGACCAACTCATCATGCCAGAAATAATAGCCTAAATATCAATGTATAAATCAACTCTAGCCCCTGTGGATGTTTTTGCAATCTTCGTGTTATCATATCTCAAGCGGGGTAAGCCATAGGAAGTCAGGCAAGTCACCCCCGCCAACATAGAATACCTATCTACAAGACGATGGACATAACAGAGACATCAATAACAATAGAGTATCATAATATATGTAAATCTACAAAGTAGCCACCAGCTCGATCTCTACCTCTGCATCCAAAGGCAATTGCGCAACACCAACACACGTCCGACACTAAGTTCACCAGTCAGTCAGTCTGAATAAGTTCATCTCCAAGTAAACATAGCATACCGGCTTAACATCATGCGTAAAAACCTTCCCATACCCCTCATTCACTTTGCCGTAGTGATCCATACTCGAAATGAAAATCGTCACTTTAACAATCTTGTCCAGATTGCTTCCGGCGCTTTTGAGGATGTTCTCGAGGTTGCGGAGGGCTTGGACCTATATAATCTCATTAGATACTATCCATAAATCCTATACGTGATGTACTATGTCAGGACACTCACAGTTCTATCAGAAGCATCGCCGTCAACAAACTTTCCAGTCTGGGGATTAATTCCCAAACTGCCGGAGCAGTAGACCATGCCGTTGCAGATGATTGCTTGTGACATGAGAGGGCTGGGGGCTGGGGCGTCCTGGCTTAGGACGGGGATTTTTGTAGCGGTCATTTTGAGGATATGAATGGATATGAATATGAATATGGACTTGTTGATGCGGAGTGTGAGTGAGTGATGGAGGCTTTATACTTGGTTCAGGGATGACTTGCCTGTTTTGATAAGGATACTCACGGCATGAGTTGATGTCTTGTTTTATCTAGATATTTTATGCGGAAAGTGATCTTTAATATGGCTATTGTAATAGGTTATTTTGGACACATCTAAACTATTTATCTGTTATTTGATGGTCTGCTGAGGTCGATGCATGCTGAGATGGAATCGGGGATAATTGAAATCACAATATCAATTCTGAATAACACAATAATATTCATACATCATACATGAGATCTATTGTTTGATCTCGAACTAAAGACGTCTTTCATATAACCAACCACTTGGTCGTAACAGCAGTCGCCGACTTAGTATCGCCACTGAGCATGTAAATGTTCTGAAGTGCTAGGGCTGCTTCTCGAGAAAAATTCTCAACAAGTGCTCCACTGGTGTTTGCATCTTCCATCAAGATATCACCAGATTGTGTCTTTTCCAAACCACCCTGGTGTGTCTGGATCTGCTCGCCCAGATCCAATGCACGATGGTACCCCTCGACGGCAAGATGCGCCAATCCAAGTAAATGCCAGACACGGGCAAAGTTGAATTCCATTTCCTGCCGTTCCTGCAGCGCACTTCCTTGCCGTTCCCGGACGCGCCGGTACTCGTGCATAAAGGAAAGCCCTTGCATGATAAGGTAGTGTCGGTTCTCTGACTGTCGTTTAAGAGAGTGGTGGATGTAGCAGAGCGCGATCGAGAGAAGAACAGCTGGGTTTTGTTCATCAAGCGCATAAGCGCGGAAGAAGTAATTGAGTGCCGGGTAGAAACTATTGCCCGAGTAAAGAATATGACCATAAAGCACAAGTAGAGCAACGTCCATTTCTTCCGCTGGGATGGCTTCTCCTGTCTCGTCTCGGGTCGAGAGGGAAGCACGCTCTTGGTAGATTGATTCTCGTACAGCCTTGCCTGGTCTTCGTGAAGTATTGTCTGGGAGTGTATAGTCCATAGCTTTGATCTGTCGAAGCATGAACTTCATGTTTGGCGATGAGTGGAAGAGAGATCGGTGGGGATCCCCACACAAGCGACTCAACATGGAGAATAAACGATAAGTGTCCGTTACGAATTGGTATTCTTTGATGAACCAGCGAGCTTCATTCGCCAGGGTTTCTTCATCCTGCACTCGCAGTGCACATGCTATGGCAATGTCAGTGGAGGAATACAGTAGAAAAATGGGTGTACTGACTGAACCAGCAGACATGAATCATACGACTCTTTGGTTTTGAGTGATACCAGACACTAGCGTCTGCTGCTGCTGCAAGAGCGTCATACGATTCTTCGGATTCACCTTGCTCTGCAGTGACCAGAGCATACTGGAGGAATATGTCCAGCCACTCGTCAAAGCTTATTCCATGATAATCCGTTGGTATAGCACCTTGCAGGGGCTCCTCGACGACCTCGCCTATAATTTTTCAATCATTAGTATAACTGTATTTCGTTCTGGGCAGTAAGCTCTTACCAAGAGATTCTTGCAGACGACCAGCCATTTCTTGCATCTCATCCATGAGGGTTCTGTTTTTGTACTTCCCAGCCTTTTTCTGTGCTTCTCTGGAATATCCTAAAAATACCACATTGCGCGACATAGGATAAAAAACGCGATTGGCGCGGAATTCTCGCAGTAGGGCATCGGCAATGTCCAACCAGTCTTCAGTGGCTTCAACATCGCCTTCCTTGATTCTTGGGTGTAATTGAAGCATCTTGGAGTACAGAAACTGGATATGGTCTGTCCTTTCTCCTTCGCCCCCCTCTTCGCGTTTTCTGCCAGCAAGTGCTGTCGGCCCGGTAGTGAGTGTGGCAGCTGCTCCCTCAACTGAAGGTTTTGGTGCAAGCGTTCTCAAGGGTGTGGCGTCTGGTCCTAATTCAGCTAATTGGAACTCTCTCGCTAGCTGTTCAAGTCGTGTGTCTTTCCGGCGATGGTGACTTCTGCTTTCTTGTCTTCCAAGCAAAACTGCCTCGTTAACATACTTTAATGCTTGCTCAGTCATCCCGATACTTTCGTATAACCTGGCCAACTGCACACGCGACTCTATGTTTCTCGCGTCATGCTCTGCGACTGTGAGGAAGCAATTCTCTGCACCCTCAAGATCCTCCAGATGCGAGCAACATTCTCCCATTGCCATAAAAAAGCTGATATCCGCATACTCATCCGTTTGCTGAATTGGGGTATAGTAGCGAAGCGCATCTTCAAGTAAGCCAACCTCCTTGAGAGCATCCGCAACCTCCCGGAAAAGGTCACCGTAATCATAAAGGCGAGCACCCTCTGAAGTATCTTCCGGGTTTAACCATGCAAAATGATGCTGCAGAATGCGTTAGAAAGGATGGATAGTGCCATATTGTATCTTAAGTTTGCTTACCAAAGCCTCATTCTTATGGTTATATCCCATTCTTAACCTAAACAGACCCAGCTTTATCCGAAGTTCGAGGGGAAGACCCAGCCCATAAGAATCCCGAGGCCATTGTTTGGGAATATAGCCTTCGGTTTTGATGCGTCTGGGAGAGTCGTCGGCATCCCACTCGCGGTCATCCTCGGTGAAATCTTCCCACATGGTGTCATCCCTACGGCCAAGAAGCCACCGAGAGAGCGCTTTCAAAGCCTTCAGTCCTTCCTCGGGCTGCCCCAGATAGGTGAACAGCTCAACATAAATGTTGACGCTAGACCAAGAGAAATCAAGAGCTTCTTCAGGATCAAGGGACATGTAGTACTCGACGCTTTCAGCCCAATGATCCACAGCCTTTTGAACATCATTTAGGTCAATATAGGTTTCTGCAAGGTGTCGAAGAGCTCTAGCGTTGTGCGGAACTTCTTTGAGAACCCTTTCATACTCGGTGGCTGCCCTGCCGTTATGACCTAGCTCGCGGTAGATTGCTGCTCTCTGAAAACGAGCATTGAGGTTCTTCGGATCAATGTCAATCACACGACTATAGCAGTAGATGACATCGTTTAAGGCTGCCTGGCGATCTTCACCAGCACGCTCCATGATCATTCTTGCTACTTTTGCCCACACTCCTGCGTCTCTTGGCCGTGTATGGGCACCGCTGAAGAGAGCCGTCAATGCCTTGTCCTTTTCGCCCTGAGCTAAGAAGATCTCAGACAGCAGGGAATGGGCAGCAAACATCTCAGGGTTTATTTGGATTGCACGCTTCACCAACTCGATGGCACGATCATAGTCTCCGTCAATAAATGCTGACGTAGCTTCTGAATGGAGGAGTTTGAATTCCGGACTGGGCTCCAGCGGTTTGCGGGGACCCCTTCTGATGCCTTTTCCACCCCGGGCACCATATCGTCCTGAAAAGGGCCCGCTGCCTCTGCGACGGCGTCTTCGTGAAAACGACTCATCGTCATCATCCGCATCCCCGGGGCCCATGTCGTCTTCTTCTTCACTTATCCTAGTTAGTAAGGTAGGGTAGTTGGGCAAGCTGAGGACTTACGTTGAGCTCTCTTCCTCCCCTGAGAAGTCGTAGGAAGAGTCATCATACGAGTCATTTGCATCTGCCTGGTCGTATCTCCTCCCATCCGTGGATGAGAATTCATCAACATCATCCTCCCCGTTGGCATCACCTTCTTCGAGTAGCTGACCCGGAAGCTGCGCATCACTACCTGTAAAAAGATCTTTATACAGACGAGGGTCGATCACGGAGGCAAGTGACTGCTCACCCGCCACTGTTGGCTGGGGGCCTTGCCATGGGTAGTGAAACGCTTCGTCGATATCCGGGTATTCTGTTTCGCCAGGTGGCGATTGATCTGAACGATCATCTTCATAATAGCCTTCCGAGTAATCCATTTTTTAAATTGGCCAAACTATCAACCAGAATTCTAAGGCGCTGTATGGACTTTCAAGTAGTCGTCTTGTCCATGCAAACGGAAATATCGTCTGGGATGCAACTGCGCAAGCGCAATGACCACTGCTGTAGAGAATAGCAACGCAAGAGTTGATATTATTTCTGCAATTAGATCGAGGTGGATGATTTTATTTATGATGACGGTATAAGCTGATCATCATCGAGAACCTGGGGTTCGTCGAACCAAACTGCCGGGAACATGTCACAACATCACCACCATTGTGTCTTTGTCAATGCAGTGAGATAGTCAAACGTAAGCAACGATGAAATAATCGAATTGCCTTGAAGCAGCGTAGAATACCTCTCGAATACAGTCCTGGGGCCAGAAATGAGCCTGAGCCTGAGAGGGCCAAAACTGCGATCGACAGACCAGGGATCGGGGATATTAACCAGACAAGATGGAACAATACTGGGTGCAAGAAAAATACAGACCCCAAGCAAGGAACGGACAGAGGTGAGGCTGAAAAAGATAAAAAAAAAAAAGAAGCACAGGCAAGCTTTGGTGGTGGTGGTTGTCCAGTGACTCGACCCCCAAGCGGAAAAGCCTCGCCCAAACCTTTTCGCTTCTCATTCTTTCCTCTCCTCTTCTTCTCTTCTTCTCTCTCACCCTCTCTCTTCTCCTCCCATCTTCCCCTCCTTCCATCGCTTCCTCCCCATCCCTCTTCTTCTTCTTCCTTTCTTCCTTTCTTTTGATGCTTCGGGACTACTGCTTGCTGTGTTTGACACACTATTGCAGTCAAGTCCTGACATCCTTTCGTTAAAAAAGAAACACACAACTCCTAATATACCCGCTGCCCGCCCACTCTCCCTCCGACCCTTCGACGAAATCCTTTGATGCCTTTCGGTTCGATTCCAATCCTGAACAATCGAATCAAGTAGTGCAGCCACTGGACTGGTCTGTGCCTCAATCTTCATCGCCTAGAGCTGTGGTGGTTGGGTTTCATCGCCTTTTCGAAAAGAAAAAAAAATCGCCATCTCCGTCCCTAGTGAGATTTTTTTTTTTTTCTTCTTCATTGTCTTCTACGGCCTTTATTATTTTTTTTGTCGTCCATCCGGAGCGTTGTTCCTCTCGAGTCTCTCGTCAAATTCCACGCAAACTCAGCAGGTGCTGCAGGTGTTTTGCAGTAATATTTATCTGTATCTATTATTCATCTCAAGCGTTTTCGAAACACCCCGATCACTCGACGTTCCTTGTCTTCCGACGCTACCAATACTGCACTCATGGCCAGCCATATCATTGGCAACCGAAACAGCACTCCGGACGCTTCTAATTCTACGCTGCGTCCCCCGTCCTCCGCTCGCAACTTAGGCTCCCATCAGCTGCGAGCCTCGGCCGATATGTCCGGATTCCCCTCTCCTCTGTCCTCGCGCAGCATCCGCCCGTCATCCGAAGTATTCTACAATCAGCAGTCTCAGGGTCAAAACGACGACGCGATGGACCGTGCTGCCCAGCAGTGGCTCGCCGATATCGACCAGTACGAAACCACTCTTGAAGAGATGGCGGCGGCTACTCTGGACCAGGACTTCAAGGATGAGCTTAGTGCTATTGAACAATGGTTCCGGGTTCTCAGTGAAGCGGAAAGAACGGCTGCACTCTATGCTCTGCTGCAGCAGACAACACAAGTGCAGATCCGTTTCTTTATCCAGGTTTTGCAGCAGATGGCCAAGAGCCACCCCATGTCGGGACTGCTGTCTCCTGCCAACTTTGGCGAAAAAGGTACATTAATTTGAAGGCCTCCGGATAATGTTTTCTCGCTAACAGGGATTGTTTCTCTTATTAGATGCCATGTCGAACCGCCTGAACGATGCTATGTCCAAGCTGAACGTCGATAGTTCCCGTAACTCTCTTGGTCGCCCTCCGCCTTCCCCCGGTGCCAAGCGCAACTCAGCCCTTGACTCGTCTACTATCAATGCGATGTTCCCGGATGCCGCTGCGGCCATTGCCAAGAAGAAAGCTGAATTCACCCAGCAGACGGGTAACGCCCCACCATCGAACCGCAACAGTGCTGTGTTCGGAGACCGTACATCGTTTGTTGCACCTACTATCTCTGGACCAGACAGCGGTGCGGAGGGCTTGGGCCAGCCGCCTGCTTCCCCATGGGCTCAGCGTGGCGCCTCTGAACCTCAGCCGCCTATCGCCCGGCCCAAGTCTTCGTCTGGCCACGGCCACCAGCCCATGGGACAATTTAGCTCCGGCCTGCGTTCCCCTCTTCCCACTCAGACCGCGACTATCCCTGCCCCGGAAATTGAAGCGCCTTTACTGTCTCCCTACAATGTTGGAAACGCAAGCTGGGCGTCTATGACAAACACCCCCATGACGGCTACTTTCGGCCAGCAAGCCCAGCAGCAGCCTCAGCAGCAGAATACACAGGCCGATATGGTCGCTAATGCTACGGCGATGAAACTGGCGGCCTTGTCCACGGTGAACAACCGCATCGCGCTGGATGACGCTCGCAAGTACCGCCGCGCTCGCTCAAACGATGGCCAAGGAAAGAACTCGAACATCAATGTGCCCCAGTCCATGTCACAAGGCCTTCCGAGCCCAGGTCTTCCCGGAGGAAACCTGGTTGCCGGTCAGCTCTTGAACGCTCAACAACTTGCGGCTTTGCAAGCTCAGCAGCAGGCTGCGATGGCAGGTCGACGCTCGCGCCCAACCTCTCCCGGAATTGCCATGCAGGGTGGGGGTCTCGGTGGAATGGGATTCACCTCGCCACAAAACAATGGGTTTTTGGCGGCTTATGACCCTAGCAATCCTCTGATGGGCAACGGACTGGGTGCTCTTGGAATTGGACAATTTGGTCTGGGTGGTCATGAAGGTTACCTGTCTGACCACTCGGAGGTCACTCGTGGTCGCTCTCCTCGCGGTCGTCGCGGTAGCTCGAAGCCCCCAGAAGACCCAACTGACCCCAACCTGCTGAAGGACATTCCCAGCTGGCTGAGATCTCTGCGGTTGCACAAGTACACAGACAACTTGAAGGACCTTAAATGGACTGAGTTGGTTGAGCTGGATGACAAGGCGCTGGAAGACCGCGGTGTTAATGCGCTTGGTGCTAGAAACAAGATGCTAAAGGTATGTTATTTCCAGCAACCGCGGCCACTGAATTTGATTTACTAACTCTTACCTTCCAGGTCTTTGACCAGGTCAGAGAGGCCAAGGCAGATGGAAAACTCGAAAACGTCAATTGATCCACCGTGGATTTTTCATTTACTTTTTTTAAACTTTCGTTTCTCATTTTCTCATTTTCATTTTCATTTTCTTTTTTTAACATTCTCTATTGCATTAATCTAACAAGATTGACATTGGACATAAGTGGCAGGATCCGATATTATCCTATGAGCGATCTCATTGGAATGACACTTGGGAGGGCGGCTGTTCGTAATGGATTCAGGCTCTTATGTGTTTGGCCAACCGTTTGAATGAGAAACTTGATAATTGTATTTACCCATCTGTTTGACGTGCCTTGAAAAACCAGGCCGCGTGTCTCGAAATGTTGTGATGTCTTGAAAATGGTTTATGAGCAAGCAGATGGACCGGTTTTGTACTTGCACAGGACATGGCATAACATTGTTTGATTTTGGATTGAAACTTGGAATGCGATTTTGATGGTTACAAGACCATTGTACTATGGACTCAATTATTATTCTATTTGTTTATTCTCGTAACCTCATATTTTGAAGTATAAATGCGATATCGATCAAAGCCCAGAAATAATGGACGCTTCTGATTGGTGCGCTCTCGGCCCGCACGGAAATAGCTGTAACTACCGCCGACCTCGATCATCCAGCAGCAACAACCTGCGTCCATCAGCAGTTGAATAGGCACGGTGAGTTTTTCCAGCTCCAATCCATACATTTATCCTATACCCTTGTCCTGCATAAGGATAGCTACTCTGGATCATCTGCTAATACAATACAGCTTTTGCACCAAGCATTTCAAGCTCTCCGTCAAGAGTACCCTCGTCAACCTCTACAACACGAAGCACCAACGGGCGACAACTAGGAAAACAAATCCAATTCAAATCGACTCGACCATAGAGTGAAAATAAAGAGAACAATAAATTCAAAATGCCACCAACAAAACAAGAACTCTCCCTCCTCATCAAACCCCTCGTCCCAGAGTCCGTCCAACATAACAACCGCGTACGTACACCCTACCACCACCAAAGCATCAAAAATAAAGAAATAAAGGAGCAAAGAAAGAAAGAATGAATTAAAGGAAGAAAGACTAACGATCGAGAATAAACCAAACAGGTCCTCTCCCAACTCCACTCCCTAACCGCCTTCCTCCTCGGTCTCTCAGCCGGAATCCTCGCCCTCCAGTCCAGCACCGGCTTCCTCTTCTACTTCGCCGGCACGGTACTCGTCTCGGGCTTATTCCATATCCTGATTATTGTCCGGTCCGGTGGGAAGGGGGCTGGTGTGTTCTTCCCCGGCACGAATGGTGGAGAAATTGAGGGGATTGACGAGAGTGGGAAGATTAGGAATGTGGCTAAGGCTGGGGTGCAGAGGAAAGGGGCGTGGAAGGATGTTTGGTTTGGAGGAGGTGTGTTTAGTGAGGCTTTGTCTGGGTTTATCCTTGGGTGGGCCGGTGTTGGGGGTGTTTTGAGGTGATTTTCATTTCTGATCTTATAGTTGGACTTTGTTATGGGGGAGGGTTAAAATAGGGCCTTTTGGATGTGGATGAGTTGGTATGTATGCATGTATTCTATTATTTTGGTTCTTGAAAAGCAGATTGGATACTAATAGAGGTTGTAGATTGTATTCAATATCAGAATTCTGCATTATTCAATCTCAGTTAATAAGAATTACCAGTCTGAATTAAAAACATAATTAGAACCCAAAAAGATTCGTCTGGTGGTCATATCCCCATTCCGTCAAAGTTGGCATCACCGTTTGCTCAGTGAGTGCCGGAGGTCCACACACAAAAGCCCCCGTCTTCTCATCAGGCTCATATCCATACCGCAGGATCTTCTCTTTGTCCAGATGACCCTTCTCGCCCTGCCATTTTTTGCTAGGACGAGACAGCAAGTGGGTGATTTGGACCTGGTCCGGATAATCGCGAGAAAACTCGTCCAGTTCTGTCCGGAGCAGGATATCATCTTCTGATTTGTTAACGTCGATGAATTTGATCTTGGCTTCGTCTGTGGATCTCAGAACACGGGCCAAGACTTGGAATCCTGGGAGAACGCCGGTTCCTCCGACGATGAACAGGAGACGGTCGAACTTGTACTGGCGCTCGTCGATGTTGAATGCACCACCGCCTTGGTAGCGGATTGAACCGGATGGACCCTTGATTTCGATCTCTTCGCCCATTCGGAGGGAATCGAGGATGTTGGTTAGTGTTCCACCGGGCTGGTTGCTGTCTGCATAGTGTGTTTTGACGACAAGATCGAAGGTCCCGTCGTATTCGCTGTCGAAGATAGGTCGGACGGGCGTGAGAGGGCGAAGCAGGATTCGATCTGCGAAGTGGAATCCTATCTGCACGTGCTGACCGATCTCCAAGCCAAACTTGCCTGCGCTTGATGGAAGCTTGAAGGTATAGCGATTAACATCTTCGGAAACTGTCTGCTTCTTCACCAATTTCGCTTGAGAGTACCTAGGAAGAACAGTGAGCTGATGAACTCCGTGTGAATATGCGACTGGAAGGGGGATCATACTTGTTACGTGTCAATGCCATTTCAGGATCATGTTTGACGTTCTCGAGATGCTGTTTGGCCTTCATCTCGGCCTCTCTCTTCATGAAACCCATTGCTTTTTCGGTTACCCTTCCGATGAGACAAGCTGATATCCGTCAGTCAATTTGCTTGGAAAGAAAAGTTAAAAGAGAGGGCAACAAACTTCTCAATTTGGTATATCCCCATTCGTCATGAATAGCGTCAAACTCCTCCGTTGTATCAAGGTGCACTCGTCCAGCATGCGCCATGATTGTTGCTCTACCACCAGGATGCGTGTCGAGCACTTTGCTCGCATTGTATACCTTTCCGTGGATGACAAGCCAGGCATCGTCCTCAGTATAATGCTTCTCGATCTCCTCACGGGTGAATAGCTTATCATAAACTGCTTGGTCGTCCGCATCCTCCAGTACACCTTCAGGTGGTCCCACCATCCATCCTTCTGTTCCTCCTCCCTGTTCGCAGGGATGACGGAAAGTGAGGTGTGCCGCAGTACTCTCTGGGTCTTTCACAATATCCGGCTTCACCGTATACCAGCAGTTATTCATCACTCTAAATGTCACGATATTTGTTTAGCAAGCATACTTAAAACAGCTCTGGACAATCTGGCTTACCCTAGGATGTTCCACTGTGGGTTCTCTGGTTGCGTGTTCTGGAAAGCATCGTAACAGCGCACCATGATTTTCTCTGTATCCAAAAGCCGAGAGGCATCGATATCAGCATACCAGTGGATCCAGGTCCAGAACTTGTACCCATGTCGAATCGGCCGGTCAGGATACTATTGCTCCATTAGTCTGTATCATTTAAACCATCTTTCAGCTCCTCACCATGCGAATACAATATATCCAATATTTTCCGTTGTCAAGAGAAATCTCCACTCTTTGAATCTGGTTTCCATTGCCGGCATACGCATACCCTTCGATCCGATATGTCTTTACCTTTTCACTCTTTATGTCTGCCACGGAGAGCTTCTCGCCTTGCTCGGGCTTCGTAATGACCGAGTTCAACATCTGCTCGTTGCAGAGTGTGCTTGGGATTTTGAACATGGCATTAGCGACATCCGTAGTCGTGTCAGTGACAAAACCAGGCAGCAACCGGTTATCATAGAGATGGTAGTAGCTCTCATTTTCATAATCCGTCACCCATATTCTCGACAACCACTTGACGCATCGTCCACCCACCCAGCCTGGAATTATGAGCCGGAGCGGGTATCCGTTGTCAGCTGGTAGGGGTGCATCGTTCATTTCATAGGCGAGCATCACGTCGTTCACGGCATCCAAGGCATACATTAGCGGAATGCTGGTGGCATAGTTTCCTTCATTCGCTTCATCTGCGCCTTCAAAGTTTATCCAGAGTCGGGTATTCAACTGCTCCTTATCCTCTGTTATAGTGTGGACATCGGCTGCCAGGAGAACATCTCGAAGAAGTACACCCTTCCAATAGACACACGACGCTGCAGCCGTGGTGAAATTAACACCTTTGGTTCGCTTTGCCATGGTCAGTTCCTTTCGTCGATTGCCTTCGCACGCCAATAAAACAGGAATGTTGATGCTGCTGAAATTGTCTTTCAATTCATCCATGGAAAACGTGACGCACTTGCCAGCGGTAACTTCTAACCTGTGGGTTTCCCAGACCAAATGCGGAACAGGACCATGATTACGGACATAATGCAGTCCACTGGGCGTGATGAGCCCTCCCTCATACAGCGTGGTGATAGGCACTTCGCCGCTCATGGGATGCTTGCCTGCCAACCGATTCAAGCGTTCATACCGCGCAACCCAATTATCAGGTGTAAACTGATAGGCCTCGTCGATTCCTCTGGGAACAGTAATTGAGCTCACGGGGGACTTTCCCTGGCCGTCATTGTTCTTCAGGGAATGGAGGTATTTCCGCTCATACTCCAAGAGCTGGGCAAGAGGCCATTCTCCCTGCTTACCTCCATCGCCGGGCTGTGATTTTCTCAACTCTTCCTCCTCTTGAATGGCTTGCTTCCTGTGCATCGTTTGCTCGCCAATAAGGTTTTCAGGAATGCCCGTCTTTACGGTAATCAGCCTTTCTCTTTCCTTGGCCCATTTCTGTCCCCTATCCTGCAGTTGTTCTTCGTATTTCTTCACGTTTGCGGGCCAAGGCTGTTCATCCTTGATAAACCCTTCTGTAGTTTTCACGATTGTACGGAAGTTGATAGGATGCACTTCAGGGCGTACTAAATGGTAGGGCTATCAAACCAAATTAGTCTCGTCAGCAACGATCCTCCAGCAAGAAACCCCAACCAAACCACCATGGATTCGAAAAGAAGGAAGGAAGGTGCCAGGGTTTTTAACTCACCATCTGCTCCCCCAAAAAATCCCTAACAGTAAGCAAATTCCCCGTCTCCGTCTTCTCCCTCAACTCCCTCAACTTCCTCTCCGCGTCCTTATCAATATCATACCGCCACGCCTCGCCCGAATTCGTAAACCCCATAAACCGATCATCACGGCCACGGAGACCAATCCGGTGACTGGACGTGTTAGCCCAGTCGGGCTCTAGGTGGATTTCGTCCCAGGTGCAGCCGGGGATGTCGGGGGGTGTTAGATCGGTGTATTCCATGTTGGTATGTTATCTTTATGGTGTAGTTTTTGGAAATTGGTCGTCTGGTAATTGGGATATGGAAGATTAGTAGGATGCTGGGTGTAAGAAATGAGGGTGTTTTGTTGATTTTCGTCATGGGGCCTGATTCACGATGACGAGTGATTGGATTTACTTACCTACGTATGTACGTAGCAATGCCTCGAAATGACTTCATTATCAGGTAACTGTGCTTGCTCCGTGTCCTCCATGCCAATAATTTTGACTAGACTTATTTTCTTCCTTTCCCCTTCGCAGGACTGATCGCGCACCGCCTGCTGCCATATTGTGGTTGATGGTTGCTGATATTTGAGTGATGAAATAGCCTGCATGTGTCTCATGGTTGGATGCTGATGATACAATAAATTCAGGTTATAGGGTACCTTGCGCTCATCATCGATATATTCTTTGACTCTGCCAGGCTTTTCGGCAGTAGCCACCAGGGCTCCTGCGGCTTGTTGCTAGGCTAGGTCAAGGGCCATTGTTTATTTGTGCTGGAAGTGTTTGAGGATGGATGACAAACAGTCAGGTTGGAATAAAAGCGTCTGTTCTGATTTAGAAGAAAAAAGCGAAGATGCTGTTCTTCCACAGAAAATCCTACATGACGCGTGCCTGACGAGCTGAAAAGAAAGCTGGATACGATCGACAAGCACCTTCCCCCACCGTAACATCTATGTGCTCAAGCGATGCGCCAGGTATTGTTGTCGGTGGGTGATGTTAAGGTTAAGTGGAATGGTTGTGGGTGGGAAGAGTCTGACCAAGATAGTCAAATCAGTCATGTGCTCAGCCTGAGAATACATTCCCTATACTGAGCCTCCAAGAATTAAAATTAATATACGCTAAATGCACGCTCTAATAAACAAATATCGAAAGTCTATCGCCTCCTCTCATTAAGCCCTAACTGGCGAAGCTCCATCTGTTCATGTGCTTGCTGCTGTCTTTCCTCGGCCGATAAAGGCTTGCTAATGCGTTTATACGAGTCAATATTTCCCTATAAGTCATCAGTCAGTCAAGATCCAAAGAAAAACAACAAATATAACAAAGCATTGAGGGACTCACCTTCATCAAAGCCCACAAATACGGCACGTAAATGACCTCGCTGTACCCAATCTGCTGCTCATCATTGATGGCCGACTTTTCCTCGTCATTTTCCCTGGATTTCGGCTTGATCCATGCATTCCCCATAAAAAGGCCTGCCACGAGGCTGATGCCCATAATGGGCATGATGGCGATGAAAGCCCACATGATGGCGTCTTTCCCAACGTTGCGGATGAGGGCTTGCTGCGCGGATGGTAATGCGTCGATGAAGGATAAGGAATTCGCATCGTGGACGTTAAACTCGGAACTACTTCCACCTCCTGCTAGAGCAGCGGCCGAGGATAGTTTATTATTAAAGACACTCCCCATAATCGTCAGAGCCATGGTTCCTCCGAATGGCAGCGCGAATCGCATCAACGACATGGCGGGTGCGATTCTCTCGGGCCAGATTCCTGATGTGTGTAGTCCGTCTGGCATGAATCGAGCACCGGTTCCAGCACCTGCTAGCACCATCATGCCGTTGATTATACCTGTGTTCTGGGTACTTATGGCCCAGGTTACGACGGCGAGACCGGCGGTTTCTGCGAAGGTGCCAAAGGTGATGGGCCAGAATGTCTGGGCTGGTCGGATATTGCACATGTATACTGCGAGATACACACCGGCTACCAAGTTGTCAGCATGGATGCATCATAGCTATAGTCAAGATGAGACGTATTACCTCCAAGTCCAGGGATATAATAAAGCAGCTGGATACCCGCCTTGGATGCAGGATACGCCTCCACCAGAGTGAAATATACTCCCACAAAGTAGAAAACAGAGTACATTGCTATACACCTGTTAGCTCAATTCAATGGTAAACGCACGGAATCCAGGGGATAATACCTGCACCAGCAGCGAACTGTATGATCGCAAGCCACAACGTATCAATCCGCGCAAACATGCTATACGGCAACATAGGAACCTGCTTCGGGAACATCCGTGCAAAAAACCTCCCCGACTCAAGCAAATACTCATATAAAAAGAATAGCACGAAGCAGACACCACCGACGATCAACGGCGCCAGGACCTGAGGTGCTGACCATGCGTACGTCGATCCTCCCCATGCAGTGCCTAGAATGACGAGGCCAATCCCAAAGATGAAAAGGATGGTTCCGAAAATATCTAGCGTTGCAAGGGCGGGGAGGATTGAAGACCAGCGAGAGCCTTTTTTGAAGTGGGTTCCTTCGATGAGCTCGTTCCGCAAGAGTACGTAGATCGCGATGTGTGCGAGGACGGCAATCTGTAGGTAGATATCTGAGTTAGATTTGCTGTGCAGCAAGCTATCTCGAGCAGAAACACGAAACACGATCTTCCTTCAACACGCGCAGGCTGCCAAAGGTCATGAATTTATGATCAAAGTAGTTGGTGAAGCTGAAGGTGTGGAAGGATTTGAGCCCTCCAGCTCCGCCAACAACAGTTGATCATCTCCCACGTTTCTCAGAGCCACAACGCTGTGTCTTGCAGGATACAAAAGAAAAAAAAAAGAAGAGGAGGAGGAAGGAACATGAAGAAGAAGAGAAGAACATACCGGGATAGGAATAACAAAGCAGTATCTCCAATTAGCCTGTCAAAGTCAATCAGTCAGTCAGTTCAGCTCCAATTCCACATATTCAATCCAATATCCAGCTTACATCAGTCAAATACCTAATTCAACATTAGCAATGCACATAAACAGTCAAAAACAGTAGGTTTCTTACCCTCCAACAACCGGTCCCACGCCATATCCAAGCCCACCAATAAACGCAAAGATGGAATTATTCTTCGCATTCTCCTTCAACGACACCTTATCAGCCATGACAATCATGATCACATTCATAATGCCCGCCGAGCTGGTCCCCTGCAAGGCTCGGCCCAGCAGCAACATGCCCCAGCTCTGAGCTACCGCGCAGAGCACACTCCCGATAAGCATCAGGAACATCGACAGTTGAAGCGCAGCATGACGCCCGAACACGTCGGCGAGCTGTCCGAATGTTGGGATGAAGGTTGTTGAGGTTAGAGTGAATGCTGTGACGATCCAGTTGAGTTGGTCGAATTTGTCTGTTATAACTCCGTTAGAATCGCTTATCCTGAGTGAAGTAAATGGGTTTATATCCTACCGAAATGAGACGCAATAAAAGGCACCGCCGTCGCAACGATCGTCAAATCCAACGTACTCAGAATATAAGGCAGTAAGAGACCGCAGATGAGCTTCCATCGATAAACCCTTGAATCATGTTGTTGCTGCTTGCAAGCTTGACACGGCTGGCGATTAGGCTCTGAGGTGGTTGAATTCCGAGACGCGGCGTCTTCTATCAGTCTCGATTCAGGTCGTCTCTGGTGTTGACAAAGGGGTTTCCAGGTCGGAGGCTGGGGAGTCCCCCGGGCCTTCTGGTAGACGTGTTTGGCTACTTTGTACATTTGACTTCTTCAGGGTTCGTGGATAATGGACAAAGACAAAAGAGATTCGTTGAACTCTCTGGGGACATCCATGTTGGGGGACATGGTGGTCGTATATATAGCAATGCAGAATCAGGCAGTGACATGGAAAAGTCTCATCAATCTCTATAATCGTTGCGATCTGTGCCGTATTTTTGTAGTCATACTTTCCAGTCTGGGATACCTGTGCGAGTTGTTCTATAGTTGATGATGGAGATTTCTCGTGTCAGGCGTCAATCATTGCCGGTTTGGGTATGCAGTGCGAAAACTCCCCCGTATTCCTGCGCCACGCCAGGGCAATCCCGCACAGCCTCAGTGTCTCAGGCGGTATTCTTAATTTTAAGAGTCCTTCGTGCAAGTGTTTATTCTTATTTCTAAGCACTAATCAGACTGAGGCTCTGAGCTGTCTTCTTGGCCAGTAATCACCCGTGGAAATTGAGGCAATACAGCCATGGTGACTGACAGATAAGGCTATAGCCACTTTAATGACCTTTACATATATAAATGTGAAATGACAGAATACAAGTGTAAAAAGGTAATTATTTCCAAAAGAGAAGAAATCCACAAGTCTATAATCTATATACAGATTCAAGGGTATACCTCAACCATGCAAATCCAAACACGTATACAAACAAAGAAATCGCTCAAAATAACTAAACCAAAGGACCCCACCCTATTGGGGAAATAAAGCAACCTTAGTAAATCGCTGAATCAAAGGAATATCTTCAACTCCAACCAGGGAGGACCACAAAACAATAAATGGCAGATGGAAAAAATATCATCAAAGCAATCATGGATGAGTTTCATCCTTGGGCGCATGCGCATGTTCTGTCGTGTTTGCAATGGCACTTTCCAATGCACTAGTAAGATCGATGTGGAAGAATGGCCGGTTGATACCCTGCACCAAGGCCACCTTACGGCGGAGACGGTACGCCTTGCTGTCTCTAAGATCGCTTTGCAGCTTGGCATCTTTGATGTCGCTGCTGGTCGAGGACTGTTCCTCGATCTCATTCGTCTCTTCTGCAGTGGCATGGATGTCCTTGGGGTTACCCTCGACGTCATCGACCTTCAGGGCAGCTTGGTGGGTTTGTTGGTTGTTGATCAACTCGGCGTGAGCAGCGGCAGACGCGCTGCCTTCGATCTCGGCCACACTGAAGATGGGCTTCCAGCGGTGGAATCCATCATCCGAGGCTGGAGTAGGGAATCCGAAGCCAGCAGAGGCAAGAGCCCGTTTGGTCCATCGGTTGTTGATGTGGGCAAAGTGCCACTGCACAGTCTTGGGGGATGCGTAGAGGTCGAGTTGGTTGCGGACGTCGATGAGGTTCTGAACAGATGTCACATCCACGTTGTTCACGGAGGAGAAATCGAGGACAATAGCCCGAAGGAGCGGCAGGTCCGACCGGTCCTCCTCTGGCTTGCCCCTACGAGGACCAGGGTTGTTCCAGGGACGGTCGCCAAGCGAAGTGTAAGAGAAGGGGCTCGTGCGGCGGGTGCGGCTAAAGATCTTTCGGACCAGCATGTCGGTGTAATGGTTGGCATTGGGGTAGTTGAATCCCTCAGAGAATCGATAGATGAAAATACCCGGGTGAGGTTCTTCGACTTCGACTTCGGGGTTCGACCCATCGGTGTGGTTGATAGGAAGGAAAATCGATCGGTGGAGCTGGTCCTGGTCGTCCGAGGGGTTCTGGTTAAGGGGGCCGTATTTACCAGCATCGTCCAGCAGATGGTCTCCAATCACAGAGTGGATGGTGACCTTACCCAGGAACTGACCGCGTGCCTTGGCAACACGGAAAAGCAAGACAGCGGCAGAAACACAGACAGTGCAGTAAATTCCAATCTCAATCGTGGTGAAGACAGTCACGAAAACACCGATAAAGAAGATGAGGGTGTCGATGGGCGAAACTCGCCAAAACTGGTAAACGGTGTTAGGGGGTGTGATAAGGTCACCGACAGCGTGGATAATAACACCGGCCAGAGAAGACTTGGGAATGTAGAAGAAAACGGCAGTCAGGGCATAGATGGCAATGAGGACGACGACTGCAGTGATACAACCAGCAAGTGGGGTTCGAACACCAGCCTTGGATTTAATGGCAGTTCTCGAGAAAGATCCAGTGGCAGGGTAGGCACCCAGGAAGGGACCAAGCAGATTACTGACACCAATGGCAACCAGCTCCTGAGAGGGGTCGATGGTATAGTTGTTAACCCGACCGAAAGACTTGGAGATGGCAATGTGCTCGATCAAAAGAACGATGACAGCGGAAGGAAGTTCAGACACAAAGGTTTTGACAATAGTGCTGTCGATCCGTGGGGCACCAGCATGCTGGAAACCTATAAAGCAGTGTATTAGTTTTTATTCTCATTTTCTTGAGATATCAGATACATACCTCGAGGAACATTGCCCAGGAGCTTGAACAAGGGGTCGTCCTTGCGATGCAAGTTGACTGCCGCACTGATCATGGTGTAGAAGAGAATCACGAAGACAGTACGCAGCGTCGATGCAAAGAAAAAGATCTTGGCACGGTTGGGGTACTTCTTTGCACCGAAGTTGCATCCCGCTCGAATGATGTACAACATGGCCAAAGCAGTGACACCCATGGCAGCATCGATGGTCGAGGAAGGGAGGTGCTTGAGGGTATTGATGATGACCAAGTAGGTTGCTCCCTTGGTGTCAAACTTGGCAGTTTCTCCAAGCATGGTACTGACCTGTCCAGCACAGATGTTGATAGCGGAACCAGTCATGAAGGCGGAGATGGCGGGAAGGGGGATGAAGTCCACAATGAAACCGAGTCGGAGCAGCCCAAGTCCACAAACAATTCCACCGCAGACAATGGCCATGGCCGACGCTATGACAGGGCGTGGAATGTCAGGTTGTGTCTTCTCTGCTTCAAGCACCACAGTTCCAACGAGGGTAGACATGACTGCGACGGGCTAAAAGAGAGGTCAGCAAGGAGGACGAGGCAGCAACCAAACAAAGAGATAATCGACTCACCCCGATCGTGATATCCTTAGAAGTAGCAAAGAACCAGTAGAGCAAAACACCCATGAAAGATGAGTAGAGACCATATTCGACAGGCAATTCAGCAAGTTTGGCATATGCCATACCTTGAGGAATGACGACAGCACCAACAGTGACACCTGGATAGATTAGAAACCAAGTTTGAACGAGCAATGACAAAGGACTTACCAGCAATCAAATCACCGACGAACCATTGCCAGTTGTACCTGGTGATCCAGGTCAAGAAGGGGAAGAGACTGTAGACGTATCTGCCACACTCAGCCCAGGATGGAGTGTGTTCTCTGAACCATTCGGCAGTAGTAGGCTCGGGTTCGACATAGCCGTAGGTATCGATCGTGCCAGCAGAGAAGGTCGACTCGCCGCGAGTAACAGGGTCAGCACCAGCAGTGGCACCCAGGGGATCCCGGTAGGCGAGTTTGATCCCCAAGGCTTTGGCCACACCGTGGCCGACCTTGGTTGTTGCACCACTCATGATGGTAGAGAGTGAAAGGTTGGACGAATGTCCAGGAGGGAAGAAAAAAAAGGATGCCGTAAGCAAAAGTACGACAGTGGGGATGGAGGGGAATAGAAGTAGGAGCAACAGCTCAACCACGAGATTCGTCGGGATTTATATAAAAATATGCAAGATGAAAAATCAAACACAGCCCATCACGATATGTTGGTGTGAAATAGAAAAGGATAGGTTGGGAGGAGAGAAAAAGCAAAGATGTTCGAAGAAGCTTTCGAACGATGTCGTGATATCTGGCGGATAATGCGAATTGTAAGCTCTCCACCAGGAATCCCTGTCAAAACGTCCAAGCTCAAACCAAGTGGTATGATTTTGATTTGAACACGGCAAGAAGCAGAGAATAATTAAACAGGCAACTTGGCAATTATAGGTGGAATTCGCCAAGTGTGCGTGGATTGAGGGCGTGGATGAGGACGTTGGTGAGGTGAGGGTAGGTCGGAATACCAGCGACGACAGAGAGGTGTCACTGTCACGGCTGTCAGGGAAGGGAAGAAGAAGGATGGAAGAAGCTGAGAAGGAAAAAGAAAAGACCAAACACGGGAGATAAAGTTGAATTAAGAAGGGGGGCGTGGACTCGTGGACTTGAGTCGTGGAGAGAGATCGTCGAATACTTTATGTCGACAGAGGGTGACAATCACAACCTGTTATGCGAAACGGAGAGAAAAGCGCTGATCGATAAAACCGCCGGAATCAAAAGAGGCAGTCAGACGAGGAACAGCAGCAAGGAAGGACACGCAGATGAAGTGTGTCTGATCCACCAGGATCGCCAGGTCAAACGAGACGACCAGACAGGAAAAGTAACGGAGGGATTATCAATTCGTTTCACGCAGAGCGCAGCTGGCGTAAGTGCACTATTTTGTGGTGACGAACGGCGGGCAAACGGTCTGGAAGCGACAGGATGACGACGGGCCGTGGATTCGTGGAGAACAATTCCACAGCTAGGAGAGAGTCCGTTCTGGCAATTAGGAAAGGATGTTATTTCTGATTCATCTCATGAACTCGTATTCTGTCTACTACAATTCTATCTAGTCCGTCTGGTAAATTGCATTGTCCCTATCCGTTTGTAGCCTGGTCATACATATGTCACAACGTCTTTGCCTTCTTTTTTTTTGGCTTTTTAACTTTTTTTCTTTTTCTTTTCTCCGCTGCATCGGAGATAGTGCTGGGGCAAACCTTTAGCTTACCTTATGCAGACTCTCCGCCAAGCCTTTGTTTTTTGGAATTAGTGGAGCCTTCCTTGGTGCCCAGCCAATAGAACCACCGACCCATCAGGGCAAAATTGTTGCCCCTGCAAATCACCAATCAGAGCCAAGCCCTAACTACCGTGCGACATCATCCGCCCCGCAAAAAAGATCGCCAAGCGGGCCCTTCCGGCCAATGGAAATAGCGGCAGAACACGCCATCACCCAGGCTGATGGTGAAAGCCGCACTCCGAGGAAAATAAGTTATGCCGACCCACGTGTAATTTGTTGGATAGGTTTGAGCACGGAAAGATCCATCTAATTCTAGACTGAAATAAAATGATGGTAGACAAGAGTATATTTTGATAGACGTTTGTACCACGTCAATATATGTATACTGTCAAGTGACCAAAATAGACTCATTCCCCATCGTTCGTGTATGCAAGCAGCATCCCAAACAGGCCACCTCCAGCCTGCCTAGTGGCCGCAGCCTCTCACACACCCTGTATCACTAACTGCATACCTACATATGCACGGGGCTCCACTCTAACACCATCCAGATCAAAATCACGTCATCGATCTTGTCGCGTGGTTGTTTTCTGACAACCTGCAATCCAAGCTCGGCCCTCGTGGATTTATTCTTATATAGAGTTCTTATTATTGTTCTTATTGATAACTGACTTTGGCCAGACTGCTGATTTGGCGTGATGTAATAATTTTGCTTATACGCGATATGCGAGCAGCTGGATTGGATCATGGGATATGCTACTGGGTGGTAGGCTGTATATGCACTCCTCCCAAGAATGCTGTATGCATCGACTTGCTGGCGGCGCATGACTATGATAATGTGAATCCATTCAGGTCGCTTTCTTTCTCAATCCTCCGTGCTCGCTGGATCAGCTTCTCAACTCGGTCCATATCCTTCACCCCTCCATACTGTGCAAGCGACCTTGTTTTTGTTTCAATTTCAGACCTACCAATGTCAGCATCTCATCCTCCTAGGCTAGTATAGGCATATATACCTGCTCAGCGGATTCTGTGGATCCCCCTTCAAATACTCCACAAACTCCTCATACTTCTCCCCCGATTTGGTCGTCACTATCACCGCTCCCTGCCACTTTTCAGGAAACCTCGCATCAATCTCTTCATCCAGCTCCATCCGCACGCGATCCTGAAACTCCCTCAGCGAGACATCGTGCAGCGCTTCCTCGGTGAAATCCGTTATCATCGCTTGTCCCCTTTTCGCCGTCACGGCAAGTACAAATCCCATGTTGAATTTACTCTGATGCACCGTCTCCCCTCGTCCAGATAACCCCAGCACCCCAAACGCAGCAGAATACGTTCTCGTGATGACAGATTCAATATCCTCAAACTGCACCCCATTCTTTTCCATCAATTTGATCAACGCATCCACGCTCGGATGCGTGTGTCGGCACGACGCGTGCCATTTAAAACTACTCCCCAACACCGCCCAGTCAACGCCTAGATCGGCATCGATGGCACTGGGCTTCGTTTCGCCAGGTACTAGGGCAATTCCCATCCCCCGTTGTCCCTCGAGGATATCCTGGGGACCTAACAGTCCCGCCTGGGCTGCGTAGGCGGCGAATACCCCGTCAAAGCATGCTTTCCCTGTATGCACCTGCTTGGAATGCGTTGCGTCGAGGAGAAATTGCCATAACCCTGCTGCTTGGGTTCCTGCGGTTCCCATGGCGGATAGTATGCCTGTGGCGTCGAGATGGAGGAGACGGGCTGTTGTGGCTGCGACGCCAATTACTCCTCCTGTCGCGGTGGAATGGAAGCGCTTCCATCATAGTCAGCTTGTATAATGTAGACAGAGTATAGGTTAGAAACCTCGTAATGACTCTTCCCTAAAAACTCCCCAACCCGACATCCAACTTCATATCCAACCACACAAGTAGTGATGAACTCTTCCCCATTCAACCCCCGATCCTGCGCAACCGCCAACGCTGCCGGGAATATCACCGTCGCCTACACCACAACACATTAGCTTCAATCCCCACCCCAACACATTCTAAAAACCAAACAGGTCAAGTTATATGGAAATCTAATAGAGCTTGGGGAGAGGGTATTCCAAGTCCAGCAAGCATTGTCTTCTCACGGTCCATCAGTGTCGTGGACAGAATGCATAAACAAAGACTGGTTTTCACACAATCTCCAGCATGAATTCCGCGTGTGGGTGGGAATAAAACATACAGGATGCATAATACTCCTATTATGCAAATCATCCTGCTCAACCACATGCGACGAAGCCCCGTTCACCAACGCCGCGAACGCCGCACTCGTCCCGCCCAGCTCCTCGTCCACAAGCTCGCTCCTCCCCATACCGGGTCCCATCTGCTGCGCGAACTTGGCGATCGCGGCTACGGCGGGATGGTGGCGGCCTGCGATTGTACAGCCCAGCCAGTCTAGGAAGAGGTCTTTGGTGCGTTGGAGGACGGGGTCGGGGATGTGCTGGTATTCGAGCGTGGAGGCCCAGTGGGCGAGGGTAGAGGTTTTGATGGGCATTTTTATACTGTATGGTCGTGTCTAATTGAATGATGTATTGCTGATATGTGTATTTACAAGTTTCTTAAGGTCTATGTATTCTTGATGATAACCCCGCGATATATATGGCCTCGGTTGCTGAATAGCCGGTGCGGAGACGTGGATAAACCATTACACAGTGTGTTGGGCTATTTGATATTGACAATCATTTCTATTCAATGGTATATAAATGTCAAGTAAACAAAGAGTTTTATATCAGTAAAAAAACCACTGAATCTCACCCACCACAACATCAGGCTATATGTTGAGATTATCCTGTTCGACTACAAAGGTGATCACCATGATTAATCTTTATGGAATGAATATTTCAACACGCCCCTTGTTTTCTTGAAGATAGTACTTCTCAATCTCTGCTTTAACTCTTGTAGTGAGGGCAAATCACTAAGCCCTCCCTTTTCATTTTCTTTGGTTCGCGGGAAAAGATTACCGCCTCTAAAATAGTCAATGACTGGATTTGATTGGGGACACAGCATGTAACTCAGTCCCTCAGGGAAGCAGAATACCTAAACCAGTGATGTAGGCTCATAACCTGTTGAGATTATCCTGCTTAGCCAAAAAGGTGATTATCATTACTAGTCTTCATAGAATCAATATTTCAACACTATATAAGATGAACCTGATATCCACAATCCCCAACATGCACATAATGCATTTTTTTTGACAATAACTGCTTCTCCTTGATCTCAAAGTAAGTCTCATCCCATCTATTCAGCAAATCCCAAAACGCTTTCTGTTCATGCGTGCCACACATATCCCGCTTCCACACCTTTGGCGTAGATCCGTTCGTAGTCTCGCGCGCTGTTACACCATATCACGCTTAGTGGTTTGCTTCCCCTAGTGCTTGGGCGTTGAATCGTTGCTTTCACTTCGAGGGTTTGGCAAAGTACCATCCTCACGACGTCATCTGTGTACAGATGGAGATATTCGCGCGCGGTGATCCCTCCGTACGGATGCCCGACTAACACAAGTGGTACGTGTGGTAGGATCTGTGCGTTTTGGTGTAGTGTATGCAGCTCTATTGCTGTAGTTATGGCTGCTGGTTTGATAGGGCCGGCTTATCCGGGCGAATAGAGAGACGTGTTTGGTGAGGGCTGGGTAGGAAGTTGTGACGTCGGCGCCGGGGATGATGATGACGAGGGGTTCGTGGGGAGTGCGGGGATGGCCTGTGATGGAGACGAAGATGTTGTGGGTGTTTATGGAGATCATGGAGGACCCGGTTGGAGTTGTCCGGTCTGGTTGGGGTGGAAACATGTTGTTTTGTTTATGCTGGTAGTCTTTCAAGATATACTCACTCGAGTCAGATTTGCATGTCTCTTACGTGACTATTAAAAATTATACATTGGCATGGATGTCTGAGCATACTACAGTACGCAGAAATAGTGCTTGGGAATTGTGAATTCTCTGTCTTTAACTTGGAGAAATCAATACCCAAGTTCGAGTCTATAAATGTCGCTATGACATATCCCACCATGATCACACCCGAAGTCAAAAAAATGAAAAGAGAATAAAAGAAAAGGCCGACTCGTTCCCGACATGGTCTCATCCATCTCATCATATCCCCCGAATCGACACTCCATTCCCATGTAACAAAAGGTCAAGAGAATATTATGCAAGGGAATCAAAGTATGATGGCAAGTAAACGGGGGTGATAAAAAAGAACAAAGAAAAAAGAAATCTCCATTGTCGTCTTCCAAATCTTCAAAGCGAACGCCATCGCAGAGCAAATCATTGAGAAAAGCAAAAGAAAACCTAAGCAGCACCAGGGCTGAAACCCCCTCGCGTGGTATCATAAGCGAATTTCATTAGTGCCCTAGCACATCATCTGCATCAACCTCATAATAGAACCATCCCCGTTTACTGCGAAGCACACTGCACCCTCTCAGCTCCAGGAGGAACATCATCATCATCCTCATCCATGGCACTAGCAGCGCCGTGTGCGCGTGCTTGAGAGTACTCGCTTCCGTCAACATCCTCGAGGTCAAAGTCCTCAACCATGGCATCAGCTGGGGGCTTGGCCTGCTCCATACGGGGTGGCAGAACCTGCTCCAAAAGGTTGAGGTTCTGGAGCTGGTCCTTCTCGGGGAACTTGACGTCGAACTGGATGTAAAGGTTGCCGTAGTCGTGGTGGCGGAACGAAGGCATACCCTGGCCCTTGACGATCTTGATGGCACCTATAGAACAATTGTAAGCTTTGTACTGGAAACTTTTTCAAGAAATTGCAAACGTACCAGGTGTGATAACTTCACCAGGGGCAATGGTGACGGTCAACCAGCGGTCATCAAGGTGCTCAATGCTGAGGGAACCACCGCCGAGAGCAGTGAGGAGATCAATCTCAGCCTGGTAGAAGAGATCGTCTTCCTTGCGCTGGAATCGGGGGTGGGGCTTCTGCTCGATCTCAAACACGACGTCTCCGGACATAACACCGGGCATCTGGTCACCCTCACCACGGAACTCGATCTTGTGGCCGTTCTTGACACCCTTGTCGACGTGGACGTGGAGCACCTTGCGCTCAACGGTGGTCTTCTTACCGCTGCAGCGCTTGCAGCGGTCCTTCTCGCGGATGCTCTCTCCCTCACCGTTACAGTCGGAGCAGACAGTCTGGAAGCGCTGGATCATGGGACCCATCTGGCGCATCATGGTCTTCATACCGGAACCGTTACAGCCGGTACACGACTTGACAGCTCCCTCCTTACCACCGCGGCCATCGCAGCCAGGGCAGATGACGGACTTTTGCAGGGCCAATTTCGAGACCTTGCCGCGGTAGATATCCTCCAAGTTGACCTTGTGAACGTGGTGGATGGTACGGGCCTTCTTGGGGCCTTGGTCGCGCATGCCACCGCCGAACATGCCTCCGAAAGCACCTCCGCCGCCACCGAAGAACTGAGCGAAGAGGTCCTCGGCACCCATGCCACCACCGGCACCACCCTCGAGACCTTCCTCACCGAGTTGGTCGTACATGCCGCGCTTGTCGGGGTCGGACAGGATCTCGTAGGCGTGAGACATTTCCTTGAACTTCTCAGCAGCCTCTGGGTTGTTTGTGTTCTTGTCTATGTAATGCGGCCCGTCAGCACGAATGAACCCCCCAAAACCATCACGAAATACTCTATTCAGCAGTATATCTCGGGAGTAACGTACCAGGGTGGTACTTGAGGGCACCCTTCTTGTAGGCCGTCTTAAGTTGGGCCTCACTTGCCGAGGGGTCGACCTAATCGACATTTGTCAGTTCACCGATCCAACACAGCACTCGCATTGATGATGATAAAAAAAGGCTACTCACCCCAAGCAGGTCGTAGAACTTTGTCTCCTTAACCATTGTGACCTCTGTCTAAACTAAATTTTGAACAAAAAAGAGACAGGGTGGAAAAAGCAAAAGAAAGAGAGAAAAATTTGCCCCGATTTCCAGACGGTACGAAAGGCACAAGGATGGAGGGGTATGAGGATATCGATAGAAAGGAAATAGAAGAGTCTAGTAGGTAGTGCCTCGTTTCCGGAGGACTCAAGGTGGGACTTGACGATGAGAAAGGAAAAAAAAGGATCTGAAGGTTAGTTTCGACTATCAGAAGAACAACAGGAGCGGCGACAGGCGGCTGCTTACTGTACGGTAAGGGGAAGGGGCCGTATGTAAAGCCAATACGCAGAGTCAGGCACCCACAAAGGCTATTTCTCGCCAAGTCTTTCAAGATCCAGGTAATTTATTACCGGAGATATGACGGTAACAAAACACCGCTGTTTCTTTTGATAGAAAGAAATGAGAGCAGCAAGAAGAAACAAAAGCACCAGAGGAAAAGGATCTGGTTTTCAAGGAAAAAATCTCACTGAATATACGCCCCAAAGCCACTGAAATCAGTGAAACCTCTCCAGGCTGACATACATCCAATTCCGTATCTTTTGCCTTGTCCAGAGGTTCGATGGCCCGAGCGTTGCCCTTCGATGCACTTCGATCGCCTTCCAACGCCTTCTCAGCCCTTCCACAGTAGGCAGTGGTTTTGTAATTACTGGCTCTGTACCACAGTTCCACTATGGCAGTCCTTAGGAATTGGAGTGGTAATCGCCCAGCCATTACAGGGTGGTTACCGTGTGTATTCAATGGGGGGAAATCTTCCATCAACTTCCATCATATTACGGAGTCTATACAACGAATTACAGGCATAAGAGCTTGATAATCATGATCTGTGGCACTCTCAGGTATCTTTTAATGGATTATAAATTGGTGATATTGAAATGAATGGTTAAATTTCAACAATTTGCCATCAGCTGTTAACTTCAGGTACAGCATTCAAAGTTTTCTTACTACTTTTTGCCTCAGGCAGAAGGTGGCAACAAGGCTGATATTTGCCTTATCGATAAGCGATTGAGGGGAAATCCCGAGGGCAAAAAACGCCCTCCAATTTTTGCTCAGCAACGCTTGATTTTTCTCCACATCAGGGCAAAATGAAGCCTCCATTTCGGCTGCGAGCGGGCCATGCCGATAATAATGATGGCGGGCATTATCTCTGCGTTATCGTGTGAATTAGATATCAGACTACTTTGGCTGATTCAGTAAATACTACTGATATAATACAATTCATTACAATTTCAACTTCTTCATTTTCTCATTACAGAGTACCCAGTCAATTATACACTGCCATCTCTGAATATGGAGCAAGATCCAGGCTTTATCGCTGCCGTGGAGCAGGCAAAGAAAGGTGGCGCTGAAGGTGGTGTGCCCATAGGCGCAGCTCTGGTCTCGAAGGACGGAAAGCTTCTCGGGGTTGGTCACAATATGCGCGTTCAGAAAGGGAGTGCGACTCTGCATGTCAGTCAATTGATATCCCCGTTTGAAACCATGCTTACATATGGATGTAGGCTGAGATGTCCGCCCTCGAAAACTCCGGTCGTCTGCCCGCTTCGGCCTACGAAGGTGCTACCATGTACACCACCCTCTCGCCCTGCGACATGTGCACTGGTGCCTGTATCCTATACAAGGTGAAGCGGGTCGTTGTTGGAGAGAACAAGAACTTTATGGGTGGCGAGGAATACCTGCGGAGCCGAGGCAAGGAAGTGATTGTTTTGGATAATGCGGAGTGCAAGCAGATCATGGAGAAGTTTATCAAGGAAAAGCCAGAGCTTTGGTGAGTCTTTTCTTATTTTATTTTGCCCTTCTTGTCTATTTCATGAAACCTCACTTTTCGCTATAACCAAGACTGATTGAAACGTTTCACATATATAGGAACGAGGATATCTCCGTCTAGAAAACATGAAAACCAGACGTGTAGACAGATGATATGATTCGATTAATATTTGCATAATGAGAACACTTTTTTAGGGCAGTGGATACATTATCGTCGCATATCAACGGCCTCAAGACAAGGTCAACCGGTGGATCTCTTCGAAGAAGAACTTGAGGTCATCCGGCTTAACGAAAGGAGTGACACCTGCCAGAATTAGCTTCGGTTATATATAAAAGTAATGGTGGGAGTTAATTACCATGTCCCAAGTTAGCGATCCATCCTTGCTTGCCTTTCTGGAATCCCTGGACCATATTTTCGACGGCTTCAGCAATGGCAGGTCTACCGCCGTAGAGCACACCTGGATCGGCATTTCCTTGGATAGTCACTCGGCCCTTGGCAATCCGCATAGCCTCTGCAGGGTCGTGTAGCCAGTCAAGGCCGACAACGTTGTAGCCCGACTCGCAAAGGTCCTCGAGAGCATACCACGCTCCCTTGGCAAAGACTGTCATTGGCACCGGCTCCAATCCCATCTCTCTCAATCTCTTGGGCAGGTTTGCAGAGATGTGGCGCAGGTATGGAAGCGAGAACGACTTGAATGATGAGGGAGAGAGTTCACCAGCCCAAGAATCGAAGACTTGGACCAGCTGGGCACCCGAGGCGACCTGGAGAGCAAGGTATTCCACACAGATCTCTGCAATCTTCTGCAAAAGTGCCTGAGATTCCTTAGGGTACTTGTAAACCCAGGTCTTAGACTGAACAAACATCTTGCTACCGCCGCCTTCAACCATATAGCACAGCAAGGTCCATGGGGCACCGCAGAATCCAATCAGAGGCACACGGCCCTTCAGCTTATGCCGGGTGAGCGTGATGGCTTTGTAAACGTAATCAAGCTCCGCCTTAACATCCACCTCCTTTTGCATCACTTTCTCATATTGCCCGTCGTCCGGCGACTTCAATGGCTCGGGGAAGTGAGGGCCCTTCTTATCGACCATCTCAACAACCATTCCCATAGCCTGGGGAATGACCAGGATATCCGAGAAGATAATGGCAGCATCGATCAGACCGGCATACCGTTCCACAGGTTGGATGGTGATGGTTGATGCAACTTCCGGGTCCCGGCAGCATTCGAAGAAATCGCGACCACCTTTCGCTTCGTGGTACTCAGGAAGGTAGCGTCCCGCTTAAGAAATCACTAAGTGTTAGATTACCGACTTTAACAATGAGGCAAGAGAATGATCTATCAGAAACAAGATCGATTGGTAACTCACCCTGTCGCATAACCCATATCGGCGGACGCTGCACTTTCTCGCCTGCAATTACATCAGTCACTCCGACGACGGCCGGCGTCATGACAAATCATGATCAAATACCTCTTGCGGCTCTAAGCAGAAGATCGTTCTTCAAAGGCTCGAATTGTTCTTGCATTTTGACGGGGGAGGAAAATATCAGTGGGTGTTGTAGAAGAAAAGTACCTTGCGAGGAGGGGCGGCATCGACACGTCGAGCTGCCTCGGGCAATTGCGGGGCCGCTCTAGTATGCAGTGAGATTTACTGGTTTCGGCTCATCCATCGGTGCTGACAACGTAAGATGGACATTTTTACATAGTCTGAATAAAAAGAAATTATGCTTGCATGATTTCTTTATTTACATAATTGGTTTGATATCTGGCCCTAAATTACAATATTTTTGCCCTATGCATCCTCTGCACCCGCCTTCTTTCTGAGATTCCCCAGTGCATACAAAGATTCATTCAGCTCATTCCGCTTCTTGTCCTCAGCTGCTGCTGTCAATTCCGATGTGCCCTCAGAATTGATTCTAGAAGTAGCTGGGTCGTTGGTAGGTTCCCATTCCAAGCCCTCCGAACTCAGCTTTGCACGGTATGATTCAATAAGGGCTTGAGATGAAGCAGGACTGGCTCTCCAGTGTTGGGTTGATCCAGCCTCGCGAACACCATCGACGGAAACCATAATCGTGCCATTTCTTTCGACGCCTGTGACATCGAGAGCATTTCCAGAAACCTGGATAGAACCCTGGGGTTTCAATGTACCGTCTGATTGTAGGGTATACGAAAGGAGTTGCGAAGACCTGATATGATATGTTAGCCCTGTTGGAAATAAAATTTCAATGTGCAGGTTTGGACTTACCCTTCAAGTGCGACGAGAATGACCTTCAGGCTCTCCGACTTTGTCGATTCAGCGAACGGCACTGCCCAGATCCCACGAACAATGACTTCTGTCTGGGATGTCTCCTCTACTAGCGGAACCTTCTGTAAGATTTGGCCCTCCGACCACTTCCAAACCAGCAAGAAGTTGTCACCACCGCCAGAGATGAGAAGCTCTGGCTCCCATTGGGGAATACAAAGTTTGCTTATGAATGAATTGTGGCCGAAACAGTAATTTTCAATGACATGTGCCTGAGGAGGCCCGCGGGATACACGAATATGCTCATCCCGATCCGCAGTCAAGACGTATGTGCGTTTGGCACCCGTTTCCAATGAAAGGGATACATAGGCCACATCCGTGAGCAGTGACACATGGCCGAGAATCAAATCGCATTCGAAATCCGGACCGGCCTTTTCTGCTACAGTGCTCGCATTCTGGTTAGAATGGAGAATCTGCTGTTCCAATGCAGCCAGATTCCGCTTAGTATGCACAGTAAGAGTTGTTGCCTTGGGCTGGTATGTCTTTGCCGGGTTGGGTGTTTTAGTTGCTGGTGTTTCGCTGGGGATCAGCGGCAGCGAGTAAACATCACCAAACTTATCGCCGGACAAGATCGTGCTGTCATTGCAAGCAAATACAATGGCAGACGGCCGCTTCGGCATGACTCTATATGTCACATGAGCATTGTATAATTTTGGGGATTTCGGGGTTTCTTACCTTTCGCTCAATTGCTGGAGGGACCCGTCCCTCCCTACCGCGAAAACACGAAGACACTTGTCTTCTGATGTGAGAGCCACGACGTGCTTCCCATCAGAGGAAGCGATCAGTAGAGGGATGCTCGACCAGGCGGGGGTCTTGGGCTTTTTGGATTCTTGACTTGTCGACTTCGGATCTTCTCCAGCTGTCTGATCTGTGGATGGAGTAACTTTGATCTTCTTCTCTGGTGGTGTTTGATCTTCAGGACTGGCTTCTGTGCCAATGTCTTTGGAGCTGTCTTCTTTGCTTGGCTCTACATCTTGTGGCCAAACAGCGAGTCGCTGCCCACTCTCCGCAGCAAAAGAATAAATCTTTGGTCCAGCTGTGGCAACCAGCAGATTCTGTGCGCCACTTTGCTGTCTCTTGATGAACCGGACGCAATGGAATGGATGTTGGAAGCTCATGGTGGTTGGAGTGTAACTAGAACTTGACCAGAAGCTGCGATAGTAGACTAGTGTTGGGGATCTGACTTGGCCACGGAAAAAGTTCTGTCAGAAGTACGAGGATGGGATAGCAAGCGATACGGCCTTAAGAAATCTCATTGGCCATAACAATTAAACCATGTAGTTATATCTAAAGGTCCTCTCTATCGTAACTTTTTGCGCAGATCCGACTAGAGCGGCGGGCGGAGTCCACGTGATCGGCTAGTTAGGCGAAGCCACAAGAACATTTTCCCAAAATTTGCGGCCGCGCGGAATTCTTCTTTCCTTGAACATCAACGTCGCGATTTAATTCGGACAACCATCAAGTCAACTAAATTTCCGTTGCCCTTAAACATCCTATCTTCAGCGAAATAAGGAGAAATGGGGGGCAGCAAGTCAGCCAGCAAGACCGCTTACTTCGAGAAGCTCAAGAGCCTTCTCGACCAGTACAGCACTGTCTTCATCGTCGGTGTCGACAATGTCAGCTCTCAGCAGATGCACGAGATTCGTCTGAGTCTCCGTGGTGAGGGTGTCGTCCTGATGGGTAAGAACACTATGGTAAGTCTCTTTGAGCTCAATTTCATATACACAACAATGTCTGACTTGATTGTCTTAGGTTCGCCGTGCCCTCAAGGGTTTCGTCGCCGAGAACCCCGAGTACGAGAAGCTGATGCCTCACGTCAGAGGTTAGTAGACGCCGTCTTGCTTGCAATTGGAAGCAAAAAATTTGTCCGAGAACCGTTTACTAATAGCTAAACAGGCAACGTTGGTTTCATCTTCACCAACGGTGACCTTAAGGCCATCAAGGAGAAGATTCTTGCCAACCGTGTCGCTGCTCCCGCTCGTGCCGGTGCCGTTGCCCCCGCTGACGTCTACGTCCCCGCTGGTAACACCGGTATGGAACCGGGTAAGACCTCTTTCTTCCAGGCTCTCGGTGTCCCCACCAAGATTGCTCGTGGTACCATTGAAATTGTGTCCGACCTGAAGCTCGTTGAGGCCGGTACCAAGGTCGGTCCCTCCGAGGCCACCTTGCTCAACATGCTGAACATCTCTCCCTTCACCTACGGTATGACCATCTCCCAGGTCTACCAGGACGGTCAGACCTTCAGCGCTGGTGTCCTTGACATCGAGGAGTCTCAGCTCTTGGATGCCTTCACCTCCGCCATCAAGACCATTGCTACCGTCTCTTTGGCCGCCAACTACCCCACTCTGCCCTCCGTCATGCACTCTCTTGTCAACGGATACAAGAAGGTCTTGGCTGTTGCCATCGAGACTGAAGTCAGCTGGCCCGAGATTGAGGAGCTCAAGGACCGTATCGCCAACCCTGACGCTTACGCCTCTGCCGCTCCCGTTGCCGCCGCTCCCTCTGGCGACGCTGCCCCCGCCGCTGAGGCCAAGCAGGAGGAGGCTGAGGAGTCCGATGAAGACATGGGCTTCGGTCTCTTCGACTAAGCGTATCGTCCAGTTATTGAACGGATTACGACTGCCATGTATTAGATTTCTATGACCCATCATGATTGGGAAAATGAAAATGATTATCATGGTAACCAAGCATTGGGATATTCTTCATCTAGATATGGAACGTAGCTACGTTCCATTGTCTGATGATCCAAATGGTGAGTTATTATTTTTTCATTTTTTTCATTTCACTATTCCCCCTCGAGCCCATCACATCACACTTTGGCGGATGATTATACAATTTTTAACTCGTAGCGTTCATGGGAATGCTTTGAAGATCAAAAATAGCAACAACAAACACTCTAATTTTTTGCTGACGCCTCACCCCAATTCATCTTTCGCACATGCCTCTTCTGCTTCTGCAATTCTTGGATCAAGATTGCTAACAGTTTTCTCAGGATCTTTCTCAACTACATCCTTGGATGTCGTAGGTTGACTCCGTAGGCCTTACGCCCGTGGAGCGCTATGTAGTTCTTTTTGCATGTACAGCCGTAGTACGCTGCTATCTTGTTTCTGTTCTACATAGCTTCACATCAAAGAAATTCAAATTCAATAACCATTCTGATATGTCATGTAACTCGAGTTGGTCTAAAGCAGCTTTTCAAAGAGTAAGACTTGCCATTCAAGACAATTTCTTTACCGTGCAGTCATAGACCAAGCAAGTAAAGCTTACTTGGTTCTTGTCTTCTCCCTAGCTCTTCACCCACGTTGGCCGTCATGGATGATCGAACCAAGTTCAAGTCTATGATCATTTCTAGTATCCAAGTGAAACGGTTTTAGACAGTCAGGAATACCAGATGGCTACGAATCTAGGAATAGGAAATAAGAAAATAATAAGAAAAAATAGTCTTGACCCGAATATCTCTCATTTGAGTCGAGATCTGACATATTGAGGTATATCCTACTCCAGTACATTATGCCTCAAAAACATCCCACCACACTAAATCAAAAGGTATAGGGAAAAACGTAGAAATAAAAATAAAAAATAAAAATAAAAGCAAAGAGAAGGAATGATCGCAATATCTGTCACCAGGACATTCATCACAATCTACGATCAATTCCCATCTTCACCCCCTCTCCCGAACCTCCCACCAAATCCACCTAGATCACGACGGAAGAACTTGCCAATGTTCTTCAGGTTTTCATTGAGGTTCCCTGACGAGCTGCTTTCTCCGCTTTGAGCATTGCTGCCTAGCCCTGCTGTTCCAGAAGCTGGGGACGTGGCTCCAGACGTGCTCGCTGGACCGCTGCCGAGACTAGGGTTTCCGAATCGGTCAACTCCGTCTTTGGCAGCGGAGATAATGGCCGAGCCAAGCATGGTTGGGTCGAACCGGGTGGGAAGATTGGAGGCACCGATAGATGCGGCGGCTGTACCGAGCCCCAGGCCCCCAGAGACAGAGCCTGATGTTGAAGCGGCGGAGGTTTGCATGGCAGAAAGAACGGGGTTGTTCTCCTGGAGATTAGGTGCGTGACGGTCCGAGGCACGGTGGATCTGGAATAATTCCACCAGATGGTTTTGTTCTTGTCGGCTGCGAACGCCCTTGAGCTCGAGGATTTTGCGGAAGTTGGCGTTGTTTCGGTCCGCGATATGCAGAAGATACGCCTGCACAAGAGCCTCCGGTGGTGATGGTTGAACCTGGACGGTCTTGAGGAGACCTTCGATTTTGGAAAAGCTGTTGTTGACTCGCTTCACGAAGCCTGCTGGGGCTGGGGCTGGTAGTAGGGATGAAAGGCCGGTTTTCAGGGTGTATGAGTCCAAAAGCATCTGAAAGGTGTCAATGAGACGTTATAACCAAGTTTTTGGAGAGCAACGTTACCTGTTCTGCCCCAGTCTCTGAGACTGGTTTACATTGGAAGATGTTGGTGATAAAAAGACTGGATACCAGCTCCACAAGATGGTCGGCAAATGCTCGAGCGTACTGCTGCTTATGCAACATTTGTAAAATTTCAGAAGACTTTTCTTTCGTCTTAGACAAGAGCTCTCCCACGTAAGAGCTTTGATCGCTAACGGCCTCGAGTCGATTCCAAGGAGTGTTGCGCATCTCCCGCCAGCAGGGCTCTATATCAACTTCTACTATCCGTACGAGACCCCGGACGGCAGCAGATGCAAGACCCATGAAAGAATCTGCCTGGCTTTGAAGATCCACGCTCTGCTTCAGATTCTTGTCCAACCTGCCCTTGATCTTTTCCTCCAGTTGGTTACAGGTTGTGTAGCAGTAGTCCGCGGTATTGAGCACCAAGATGAGGTCTTCCAAGGATGGCACTTTGGAGGGAGTAGTCCCTGTGGGTCGTTCACTGATATAATATAGAAGAACCTGCTGTGCATATTGATCAAGATACTTGGCGAATAACTTTGCCAATTCGGCCAAACTGCCTCCGGTGGAGAGTTTCGCGCATTGTTGCAAAGAGAGCCGGTAGAACGTGAAAAGCTCCGTGGAAGACGAAATGACAATGTTCGAGTCGAACTCTTCATCTGGGGGCTTCAATGGTTGTTGCCGGTACTTTGGAATCAACGCGGCCAGCTGTTTGTCTTGGGCATCTACCCATACGCTCAGGTATGGTTCAAATGCCTCCGAGATGGCCTGTCCAAAGACGGAAGCCTCTGCGGAGGCAAATGTATCGGTGGAGGGACGCGATGTGCTGACAAAACGACGTTCAAGAGAGTGTTCAAAATCAAGCGTTTCTTGCAGGCATGAGAGTAATAGGTTGACATCGATCGTCTGGCCGTTCCGTACGGACCGGGACAGAATGCCCTTGAAGTCTTCCCGTGTACCTTCACAGAAAATGTTTGCCAAAATCTCGTTCACTCTCCATGATGCAGGAAAGATGTTCGCATATTCTTCGTCGTAGATCTTCAAGATACGCCGGAACCACGAGTACCTCCGAGAGATATTGTCCAAGGAACCGGCCTCCTCGTTATTTCTGAAAACCTGTCGGTACTCTCGTAACTGGAAATTACAATACCAAGTCACCAGTCTCGATCTCGCACTCTCGCCTAGTGAATCCATAACCAGACAGCCCTCCGACAGCATTGTCCTCTGCTGACTGACTTCTCCCTTGGCGAACGACAGCTCGAAATCCTCACACACTTGCTCCAGTAACTCCCGTTGTATATCCGCCACATTCCGACTAAGGATCGCAATCTGATCGATCGACCGATACGACTTAAAGTGTGCCATGAGCTGGATGACAGCTTGAAGCAGCTGAGCACAGTCGCGGTATTGCCGGGATTTGCTAAGGCCCCGGAGTTGGTCGTACGCAGTTGTCAGCATCTGCAGTCTCTTCAAGGCCGTCATCGACTGCGTAAGGTTCTTCTTCGCATTGTCGAGTTGTTTGATATCCGCTGTCATCTCCGTGATCGCCTGCTCCGTCTTCAATGCGCGGTCGCGCACGTCGTCGATTTTCTTGAAGAGCTCTGTCAGGTCTGCCTTGGCTGTTTGGATGCGCTCAACGCTCTCTGCGTTGGAGGTGACCTGGTCCTCCACCAGCGCGCCGATGTCGTCGTCCAACTCATCTTCGTAGGCACAGAGGGATTGGGAAACCCGGGACACGGAGGAGAGGGTGGACGGGTGGGAGAAGATGGCGTTTAGGTGGTCAATTGGATCGTAATCCGCTTTTGTTTTCATGTATTAGCAAAACACTCAGAGCTTGCTGGAACCATCCGGTGGTCTTTTTTCCCCTCACCTGCATCCAAGGAATCCAAGGCCGGTTCTCCGTTGGGCGGCACATGGCCGGGGCTCGTGGGTGTAGTGGTAGCAGACATTCCATTCAGGTCTTTGAATCACCAACAAGACATGCTGCAATCCTAACCCTAAATCACCCGGCACCCGCAAAAGGAAAAAATAATTGAGGGGGCTGTAAGAGGTCTTTGGCGAGTTGAGCTCTGCGGAAAGTTGGCCATTTGAATGAGCTCCGATGAACAGACGCGGTACCGACTGGTTAGCGTACGTCAGCTTGGCAGTTGCAGTTGGCCGTTGGCGCAGTGGTGTTTCAGCAGATTATAGGGAGCGAATATTTATTTTATGTTCATAGCATAGAACAATAAAACGTATATCTATACTATTTATTTAAATACATGGGATCTTTCTATAAAAGTTTACACTTCACCTGTTGGTGTCTTCTTGCCGCATAAATATGATTGAGTTCTTTGGAAGAATTTATTGCCTTTGGTATATTTGTATCCCTCTATAATGACATGACCATGATAATTCCGTCTGTAAGATGCTTAAAAAAAAGAAATTTGGGTGTTAAAAAATAGAACAAGAATGCCCAACAGTAGAAACAAAGTAACAGCCATTCGCCCAAGCAATGCAATAGCAAACCGCACTAGATAAATCGAACTTCTTTCTTCGAAAACACCACCGCCTCCCCTCCGCTGGGGCTATGAGACGAGATGGTAAATGGGAAAAGAACGGCTTGTTAAACCGTTCCAGGAAGGAAAGCATCTGGTGGTAGAGTTCCTTGCGCCTATTAACACAAATTAGTATATTGAGATAACCCCAAATCCCACAAGAAGCATACCTTTAATTCCCCAAAGTTCTTCAAGGCAACCTCGATATTCCAGCCATTGCCTGACAGCGCCATCTCAGAATATTGTAGAGTCATATTCGTCTTGGCGCTCATTTGCATGACCATCTGCTCCTGCTGAACCTGTGCCTCTGGTTTCCCAGGGGTTGGCACACCATAGCCTTCTGGGGCTGCGGGTGGAGCAACCGGCTGAGCAACTGGTTGAGCAACTGGTTGAGGTGCCTGGACTGGCGGAACAGGCTGAGTTTCCGGGGCCCATGCTTCATTTCCTCCGAACGCTCGCAGACAAAGGATGTCGCTGATAACCCTAATGCCTCCAGCTCCACCACCGGGTCCTAGAATGAAGGTTCTGTCGAAGCTTCGTGTTTCGATCTTCCCAGAAATCATCTCATCAAATTTTCCATGCACCATGATGAGAAGTCCGCCAACACCAGTTCCGCTCTGTCCAGATGGGTCAGGCAGTCCCGGCATTGGGTGGCATTCGATGAGCCATTGCTCGGGATGTGCCGCCATGTCTGGATGCTGTGTCTTGGGGAGTGTATTCCATAGCTCCCGAATCTTCTCTGCACCAACATATGAACGAGACATACGGGCTGGTAGGTGGCTGATCTTGAGCAGGTTTCTGCTCTTTTTGATGTAAGCATCCCAGCCCGCAGTCTCAGTTTGTTGGGCTCTGGGGGCTGTTGTGTTAACGTTAAGCGTAAATGTGGAATGAGTGTCGTAGACGCCGTTCAAAAGATCGTCACGGTTGGTGTCATAGCCTGCGAAGAAGGCCCTAACAAAATTTTCCGCGATTTGAGATTCGTCGTGGAAGTATGGTGCTTGAACAGGGATCGGCGTCTTTTTCTGCGCGGCCAATTCCTCCTCCGTCCGGACTTCGACATTATTCAAAACTCTCAATTTCGGATACCACTTGAGCATAGTGTCTTTGAAGGCTGGGTCGGCACTGAAATCGTTGCCCGTCAAATCGAGAAATTCCAGGTTTCGAAACTTCCACCGCCACCCAATCAAAGCCTGGGCATCCTTGAAGTTGTTGTTTGAAAGGTCCAGATTCTTCAGGTCAGGGATCGTTTGGGCAAGTGTCGTAACCACCGTGATGTTTGCAAGCTGATTGTCCGCGAGACTGACACTCTCAACAGCCTCTCGCCTTGTCGCAGAACTGTTGAAATTCATCTCCCAGACTTTCATGAGTGCCGGGAAAAATTTCGATTCGGTGGATGTGCTGTTGAAGATTCCCATCGACAGTAGATCTGGATCGGTTCCAAGCTTCGACAGATCGAGCAGTTTCGTCTGCTCGTAGTAACGCTTGGTCAAAATCGTAGTCATCTTGGACTTTGTATCTGCGGTAGATGGCGTGCCGCCATTTTGCGCGATTTCCGAGATCATGGGCTGGTCTGTCATCCCATTCGCGGATTTGCCGTACGCTTCGATCGTGAGAGGAGCACCCGCGAAGCTATAACCATTGATTTGAAGCATTCTTTCCAGCAACTCTGGCCGGATAGATGCTATAAAAGAATCGCCTTCAACGCGCGACTAGTTAAAGTTAGCAAGGCGTAAGAGACCTTGAAAACTGCAGTCACCCAGAGGAGAAAACGCCAGAAAGCCTAGGGAATGTCGATCGTCGTTCTGGACTACCATCCCTGAAAACGAGAACACACCGGAGAGGACGACGTTGCGAATTCATGTCGGTGACCGCTGATACTGATGTTGCACATACCTTTGTTATTCTTGCGCGCGGGCCAGATTTCGAGTCGGGTGGGCTGAGTTTTTTCTCCAGGAAAGTGATCAGGCTTTCGATACCGCCATCACGGTTGGATGCTGCCTTGCTCTGTTTCCAGCCCCGAATGCAGACTTGTTCCAGACCAGCGCCTCGACCGCCTTGTCGAATGTTGGCCTGAGAGTCCGAACCAGTGATCGCCTTTTGGATCGCATTCATGGTCCTGTCCGGGTTGGGTTGGCGTCTTCCAGCAGGTGTCGGGCGACCAGAGTCGCTTTTGCCTCTCTTTCCACCACGGCCGCGACCACCTCCATCCATATCCATATCACCATCTCGATCGGTCCGGGTAGGAGCACCCCGCTTTCGAATTCCCCCGCGATCCGTACCACTCGAGCGACCTCGAGAACCCTTGCCGTTCTTCATGTTGCTTATAGATTATGAATCTGAAGCGAGGTGAGCGTTTGGAGGAGGAGCGAGAGTAGATGGATGAGTTGTTTGGGCGATTAAGAGTTAAAAAAGGAAAAAAAAAATTCGGGGCGAAAAAGCGCCGCGCGCCTCAGTATTTCAAGATTGACGTTGTCGGCATACAACAAAGAAATCGCCGTTGACAGAGAAAAAAAGACGAGGACGAAGGTATTTCAGATGCTATGAAGAGACCGTAAAACAATTTTCAAAGCCCGCAACCTCGCGCTCGAGGGGTGAGGTACAAGATGATAAGGAAAATTAAGGCAGAGCAAAAAAGTGACGTTGACCGGACAAGCATTTCCCGCTAGGCGGCAGCACGGCCACGTGACAAAGGCGGTGGATGCCTTGCAGCTGCACGTGATCTGGAGCCAGCCCCAGTGGGGTCGGATTGGATCCACCAATCACAGGCTGTACTCTGTCCTCTGGTTTATGTCCGGTAATACACAATACCGATGCAGGTCAACAGGTGCAAAAAGGCGACATCCTCGTTACATACAATACATACAACAGGACAGCTTGCGCCAAAAGAGGCACTGCAATTGAAACACCGAGGGACGCGCAAGTCTTTGTCCGAACATCTCGCCAGCCGATTATTGTGAGTATCTCGTTGATCCTCTGTCTCTTTTTGCTTCCTATCCCTGCTTTTTCAAATCCCCCAATCTCCATCTCGCATGGATTGAACTCAATTGACCTCTTTCGTTTACTTCTAGATCTCCCTCCCCCCCCCCTCTGCGGGCGCTAATAGCTCGACGTAGTCCCACGGCTTAAGCCATATGATCGTCGAGGCATTGTAGCAGAGATGCCTGCAAAGTCGCGATTCACGAGATTAGATGCGTTCGCGAAGACAGTGGAGGATGCTCGCGTTCGTACTACCTCCGGTGGTATTATCACCTTAGCCTCGCTGCTCGTTGTCCTTTACCTGGTTTGGGGAGAATGGATGGACTACAGACGTGTGGCGGTTCTTCCTGAACTGGTTGTCGATAAGTCAAGAGGTATGCTTCGGATATAAGATGTCAATTGAGCATCTTGTGGGAGACAAGGGCTGACATGTGCTCAACTGTATAGGAGAGAAGATGGAGATCCATCTCAACGTCACCTTCCCACGGCTCCCCTGTGAACTTTTGACCCTCGATGTGATGGATGTCTCCGGTGAACAGCAGGTTGGTGTTGCACATGGTGTAAACAAGGTGCGCCTGAGCTCGCAGGCAGACGGCGGTCGTGTCCTTGACATCCAGGCCTTGGAACTGTAAGCCCAGTCCATCCCGGGATAGCTTTCTATCTTCCCTACGAACCAACCGCTGACAACCCCTCTTCTGCGATATCTAGTCACTCCCAGCAAGAAGCCGCCAAGCACCTTGACCCCAACTACTGCGGCGAGTGCGGAGGAGCTCCCGTGCCCCCCGGCGTGATCAAAGAAGGATGCTGCAACACCTGCGACGAAGTCCGCGAAGCCTACGCCCAGAAACAATGGTCCTTCGGCAAAGGCGAGAACATCGAACAGTGCGAGAGAGAAGGCTACGCCGAGCGCATCGACGCCCAGCGCAGAGAAGGCTGCCGCATCGAAGGTGTCATCCGTGTAAACAAGGTGATCGGCAACTTCCACATCGCCCCCGGCCGCAGCTTCACCAGCGGTAACATCCACGCGCACGATCTCGAAAACTACTTCGACCTCGGCCTCTCCGATGCAGAGAAACACACCATGACCCACGAGATTCACCAGCTCCGCTTCGGCCCCCAGATTCCCGACGAACTCTCCGATCGCTGGCAATGGACTGACCACCACCACACCAACCCCCTCGACGACACTCAACAGGCCACCGAAGAACCAGCCTACAACTACATGTACTTCGTCAAGGTCGTCTCAACCTCCTATCTCCCTCTGGGCTGGGACCCGCTGTACTCTTCCGCCGTGCACTCCGCATACGACCAGGCACCGCTCGGCTCTCACGGCGCCGCCTACGGAACCCAGGGCAGCATCGAGACACACCAGTACTCGGTGACCTCGCACAAGCGATCCCTGAGAGGCGGCGACGACGCTGCCGAGGGCCACAAGGAACGTGTGCACGCCCAGGGCGGTATCCCCGGGGTCTTCTTCAACTACGACATCTCCCCGATGAAGGTCATCAACCGCGAATCCCGCACAAAGACCTTCTCCGGCTTCCTCACTGGCGTCTGCGCCATCATCGGTGGTACTCTCACCGTAGCGGCCGCCGTCGACCGCGGTCTCTACGAGGGTGTCAGCCGTGTGAAGAAGATGCACTCAAGCTAAACAAATCACAACTGACAATATCAAAAAAAAAAAGCCCTAAAAAGCCCCCAAAACATGAGCAAAAAAGAAAATCCAACAATGTAGGAGAGGCGTCCAGAGTGCGAGACGAGGGATGAGAGATGAAGAGGATCTATCTGGCAGTATAAGGCGTTTTTTATTTTACTTTTATTTCCCGGGTATATTTATCTGTCTTGTCTCTATATGAACATTTTCATACATGTTCTTTTAGCTAGCATTTTTTTTTTTGTTAAACTTGGCATTTTCATCATCATCAGTTTTTTTCCCTCAATGAAACATGTTTCATCGGGATTTGTTGGTATTTCATCCTTGACAGTGCGGATACTGGCACGTGTTGAAGGGTTTCAAGATAGAAACGTCAAGTGTTACAGATATAGGGCTGTGGGTACACCAGGAGTATGATGGTATCCCGTCTGATCTACATTATTCTGCGACAGATGAAGTAATAAGATTTTGAGCAAGAGACAGCTAGAACGAAGCTAGTGTCCTGAATTAGCATTCTGGTTTGACTCAGTAGCAAAATATTATGCGACGATATTTACATGCGAAAGGTAAAACGATTGGTCTAGAAATGCAAATAGATAAAAAAGATAGATAGGGGGAAAAACAGAAGCAAAAGGTAGAATGAGAAGCAAAAACAACCTGCCATCCAGCCGCTAAAATTCCATAATGAAAAATGAAGCAAGAGAAACAAATGCCTTTGCGCCAGACCTGTTTCTGACAACGCCATTTGGTGTGATGCAGTGTAGCCAGTGCCGTTGCCGTTCAGAATGTAAACCCCAGATAAAGTAAGAAAAGAGACAAGAAAGAAGTGAGTGTTTGGGCAGGTTCAAAGTCTACTAAGATGAGAGAAGCAAAAACGGTTTGGGGTATGAGAATTGAGCCAGCTTCTAAGAGCTGGCAGGAAACAAAGGAGATCGGAAAAGTAGACAAGGATATCAAAAGAAAGAACATAGGGTTAGGTAGCAAAAGAGCGAATGTGTGATGATTTAGGAATGCATCGTGTTGACGTTGCCAACATAGCCGGGGTGCTGGCTGAAGTATTGGTTCTGCTGGTAACCGGAGGGGGTTTGCGGCTGTGCCTGGAATTGTCCATACCAGGACTTGCGTCGGGGCTCATCAGCACGGTATGGTTGATTGAGACCATCCCAGGCTTGGTTTCCAGCAGGCATGTTGTAAACGCTGCTGTAACCACCATTCTGAGCGCCGTATGCTGGAGTGGGCTGTTGCTGCTGGTGGTACTGGCGCTGGGCAATCGCATGCTGCACCATTTGGTTTGACATGCCATCCTTGATTCCCTTCTTCTCACGCTCTCGAGCATCGATCGCACCGACAAGGCCCATAGGGTTTACTGGGGCTTGCTGCTTGGACGTATCACTGGAGAGATTGAAGAACGATGAGCCGGTCATGCGAGCAACATGCTCCTGTTCCCGGGCGGAAAGGTGGGAGGAGACGTCGTTGAAGCTCATCATGCTGTTGGCACCGCGGGAATGGGGTCGGGGCTGGGCATCTCTGCTGCCAGGCATGTTTGAGTTCGACCGAGAGTGAGCCATCCAGTCACCGGACAGTGGTCTTTGTGGTGGCGGGGTGGTAGAAGAAGCTCGGTGGTGAACATAATTTGATGGACTGGGCGCAGCCCGCTGCTGCACGTACTGGTCTGGGGTGAGACCTCCAGGAGTGGTGGGTCGTCCAGCAGCCATCCCGGGTTGCCATCTCATGCTTCGTCGGTATTCATCCTGGCTCGGGGATCTTGAGTGAGGGCGGTCCATAGGGTGGGTTGGAACAGAAAACCGCTGTCGCTCCGTTGCATTGGAGTCCGTCCTCTGGTGTCCAGGGTTCTTCAAGGTTTCCGAAGTGTTGGGTCGTCCAGTAGTAGGCAGGTAAGTCAAGGTAGGTCCGAAGTCTACAGCGGGAATATCTGGGTTTTGTTGAGGCGTCTGCTGGTCAAGGGTGTAATGAGCGTCGCCGATGACCATTTCCTTGGGGGGCGGTGCTGTTCCAACAGTTTTCTTGACACCCATTCTTGGCTTAGTAACTGACTTGACAGATGGTTTGCTGTAGATAGAACCGTGGGTGCTCGCGTAGTCGGGCGATGTAGTGGACACATCGTCATAAACGCTCTCTTCATCCTGCTGTCTGTGCTTACCAGGAGAGTAGGAGAGCGCCTCTTGAGAACCGATTTGATTGAGGACATCTTCATCAACAGTGTGGCGCAGGTCATCGTAGCTTGGCTCACCCACAGGAGTGGCAGCGCCGGTTTGTCTATTGATGAGCACAGGGGCAGGCTTCCGTTTCACGGCTTTGGTGGTGTCAAGACTTAGACGGTCCCCGTTCAGAGGGCCAATGGTGCTGATCACGCTAGCCCGGTTGTCATGCACGGGAGGTGCAGGACCTTCATTGGTGACATTCTGGTGGTCAGCGATGGTCTCCAATTTCGGGGATTCCGAAGAATAAGAGTCCTTGGAGTTTTGGTCATTGAGGTTTATCCGCCCTGCTGCGACAAGCTGTGAAAGGGTAGCGTTGGACATTCTGTTGTTGGCATTTCTGAGATCCGACGAAGGCTGAGGTCTGACTGCCGGCATTTCTCCCGGCGCATGTGTGAATGCAGGTGGACTGACAACAGGCGAAGGTGAACGACCTCTAAGGTGCTCATCCACCGGTTCCAGAGATGTATCCTCATGCTGCTTCCAGACAGTATCAGAACTGCTGCCAGTCGCTTCCGCACGCTCTCTTTCTTGCGTCTGTAGGTCGTGAGCGGATAATCCACCAGTTTCATCCGATCCGCGAGAGTAGGGAATAGAAGCCGCAGCCTCGTCCCCTCTGGCCTCAGGGATGGTATCATCCAGGGACTGGTTGGAATCGGATCGGTTCTCAGCGGCAGCATAACGCTGAGCAGGACCACCACGCACTGCGCTGTAGCGGTTAGGAAGGCTAGACCTGAAACGAGGTTTGCTAGAAACGCTGCTGGTTCGGCTACTAGCGGTTGACATTCGGCGCATAGTGGCCTCCTTGAGCTGCTTCCTCCATTCGGCCTCGTTCCAGGTGTGGCTGCCAGGGGTTTGCATCAGACTGACAATGTCCATGACATCCAGATATCCATATCTTCGCCTCTTTGGAAATGCAAACATTATGCTCTTGATGTGGTTGGTTGCCGCGAGGAGGCGCGTTGGTCGCCCATAGAGGTTGAAAACATCAAAAGTAGGGATAAGGAATCGGAGCATCATCTCGAAACCAGAAACGGCTGGATGAACCTCGGGCATAACAAAGACGAACCCTTCCGAGGTCGATTCTGGCCGCGAGTGAACTGTAACCTGGCCTTCAATCTTGATCAAGGTAGACTGATCGATGAGAGCCTTTGACTGGGGGTAAATCGCGTAAGCCGAGTAAGCATTGGTGATGGTTGCGATAGGCTTCGTCTTCTTGGTTTTCTTAGTCTCGTAAAACTTGATGTTTCCTGTGAGTAGACGAGGCGCCCGGTCATAGGCCGACTTCTTCTTCATGGTCTTTTGCAGCTTTTGGACTTCCTTCTCATCGGGGGGTGAGATGACGAACCAGCACCGTCTCCACGGTGTACCTGCTCCGAATCTCACACGGGCCCAGTCTTCCTGTTTGAACCGACAACGCTCCAGGATAGCTTTTATGTTGTTCAGGTTCTTTCCTTTCCCAGCAATGATCGAGCCTGTGTACGCCTCGTACAAAGAGGTATGTTCGAACATGGCCAGCCGGATTGCCGCCGTCCATTGTGTCAGCGAGTGGAATGAATTAAAGTGTAGAAGGTAGCGATTTTGACCAGCCGAAGAAACACTCAAGATATTCTTCAGCGGTTGCATACCCTGATTCCTCGTGGGCAATGTTTCAATCTACAAGAACAAATTAGTAAACAGGCGGCGACGCACAACAGGTCACAACTCACCATCCTTATCGAGGCATCAGCCAAATTGATGAATGTTGGTGGAACATCTGCATCCCCACCAGCTGCGTCCAGCGCATTGGCATCCCATAGGGAAAGAACAGTTCCAACAAGTTGCGCATAGCATTCTACCCACTGTCGATCAGTACAAGGTCGGCCATCTGCACATAGGGTTAGTACTCTCTTAGATCAAATCGGTCATTCGCACAGGGAACTTACGTGTATCCAAATCATTTAGCTTCAAGAAATAACCTTCATGGTAGAGCTTGTTCGTATGGCTGTTCAAGAAAGTGAAGATGGGTTGCAATTCTGCAGGGGTATCTTCCGCTACTTTCATGAACGGGGGATCGTGGGAGAAGGTCGTCGATTCTGGCCGTTGTCCATGTGGTTCTGCTCTGGCTGTTCCTGTCGGCGAGAATTCTAATATGGGCGACTCTGTGTCTGGGGATGGTGTCTCATATCTCGACGGAGCTTTATTTAATGTAGCGGAACTCGATGCTGCCCGGTTATGCTGCGCTGAGTTTTGATTTCGGGACGGGGCGCCCAATGCCGACATGAACGAGAGAACTGCAACGGCGAAACGCAAGGGGTTAATGTAAATGTCCAACTCTCCGGTATCCGAAGACGATCACAACTTTACTTACCACGAGAGCGAACCATGATGGCGGAGGTAATCTATAACAATAGAAACGGTGCAATATTGAGCACACAAAAGAATGTCGCACAACAATCGCACGAAACGGATCGACGAAGAAGAAAAAACCGGAGCGCTTCTTCAGAGAGATAACGAGAGGCGAAGGGACAGCGGGGAGAGAGAGAGAGATTGGTAAGAAAGAGGCGATTAGAACTCCGGCTCCTCCGCACGGAGATCAAAGACAGTCTCAGAACCGGCCAAGACTAGCACAGGAGGAAGGATCCCATAGGGTTTATGAACAAGTTTTAAAGTTGAACGACGGCAAGACAAAGCGAGTGGAAAGGCAAAAGCCCCAATTGTCGAGTGTTGACAGACTGCCAAGCAGGGCGGCGTACAGCGGATGATGCGGAGGTCAGATTTGGCGTCTGAGTTGGAATTGCAGCCACGGGGACGTAGGGAAGCAGATGACTGGGGATGGAGGAGAGGAGGGAAAAGGAAATCAGATAAGAAATGGAGAAGAGGTAGAGCGAGAGAATAGAAGTAGGTCAGAACGGGAAGAAGGAAAGGGAAGAAGAGGGCACGGCGATGATAGAGAATGAGGCGTGGGTCACTTTTTTTCCTTGGAGTTTGGAGGTGAGGGTGGTAACGGTGTTACATACGGCAATACTAATACAGACAATAATAATAGATACGGAGCAGGTACTATTGAAATGGGCCTCCCTTTTCCATTCTCCATTCCATTCTGAGCAGAAATACGGAGTTGCTCTCAGGACTATTTGGATCGGGTGGATTGATCAACAGGTACACGATATTATTTCTCCTTTTCTGCCTACATGGACAAGAGTCTTCTGAAGCCTTCTCCTACACTGCAGACTGCATCTGCTCATGTACTGTAAGTGGCATACAGTACCACAGTTCTGGGCTTAGACGCTGGCGTCATCTCTTTTCTTTACCCCCCTTTGCTTTTTTTTTCTTCTTCCCTGATCGCTCCAGATCATCGTCCCTGTCTGAAGTGGGCCAGGATGCAGTTGTACGTCAGTTTCAGGTTTTTTTTCTTTTTTCTTTTTGTCTCCAGTAGCAAATAAGACTGTCTAATAGAATAAAATCCTGTTCCTATTCTAATCCCATCCTGACCATTAGGTTTATTCCTTTTGACAAGTGAATGAGTGCCCCCGCGTAGAAAAAGCACGCCTTTACGCCTCCAAATCAAGACACCAAAATTAGCAACCCCAAGCAACGCATGTCTTAGCTGCAACTAATCATATTATTTACACGGAGTATTGAATATTTTTGTCGCCCACGAGGCATCATCTCCTACTCCTAGTACAGCCAAGGTCAGCTTTAACCACAAGTAAAAACCGCTGATCCCTTCGCTGCCCGTCCACCGTCAGACCCCGAATTCCGAATGGCCACCACCCTCAGTGAACTAAGCGCCACAATTGATTTTTTTTTTTTTTTGCTAAACGATCATGACTCAGCCGTTACTATGATTCTTTATCCATTATTATTTGATTATTATAATAAGCAGAACCACTCTCCGTCGTCCTCCGCAGTGGTACGTACAAACTGTGGAGTGTAATGTCAGGTAATGGCTGGTATTGTCCCCGCCAAGCGGAGAGAGATCAGACGATGGAATGGAATGTGCAGAAGAAGTTCCCTTACAGAGTCACGATGGCGAGGTTTCAGCACTGAATCAAATCAGGGCTCGCTGCGATGGTACACCGGGGAATGCCGCTGATTCCACTCTGTTTCTATGGCAAACGAAAAATATTAATCTAACTTTGATGTCCCGTCTCGGTCTGACTTGTCCCTCCAGGGCAAAAGTTAATCAGCATCGCATCAGTCATGATCAAGCATTCCATCCATGGCAGCTTGCATAGGCTAAGAGTCATAACCTGCTGCTGTCTTCTATCTGTAAGAACTAACTGTTAGACGATGGCAACTCCTTTTCCCTGTCGTGCTGTCTTCCACCTCTGATGGACGCGCACTCGAACAGCGATCGTTGCTGCATGGAGTTGCGGCTATGACCTCAGCTGTGGATGCGTCTGCCATTAAGACTCAACCCGTGGCTTTGGATCTTCGGGGCTGCAGCATCTTTGCATCGCTTTTCCCCGTCCCGGAAGTCCATCGCGATTTAAAACCACGTATTCTTGCCGATCGAGCATCGACAGCTGAACACTGCCAACTCATCCTGTACATACATACAGAATACATACAGGGTAACAGGGGTGCATTCTGTCACTCCGCACTTTCATTCTTTTCTCGTCCTCTGTAGTACTACATGAACGTTGGATTGTATAACAATTAGACTATCAGCAGTACACAGTACCTACATACAGCTACCATAGCACACACGGCATCTCAAAGGACCATGACGGATTATGTACGATGACAATTTCAATGATCGTCAGCCACATCCACCAAAACTCTGGGCAAGAAGAATTTTCTTATCAGCCCACAGGCCACACTCGTATATTATGCCGATGTAGTTGGCCGATCTAACACCGTCAGATCAGCCATGGATTTGACTCCATCGATGAGCACGGATCTACTCATCTAGCTGGCCTTGGATCAGCCTCTTGGGAGTTCTACCAATCCTCGTCACGTCATACCGCTATTGTGTGGCTGGTGATGATCTTCGTCCTTGGCTGGCTGATTGTCTTGCTGATGATTTGTTCCTCTTGTAGTATGGATCCTACTGTTAAGGCGTCCAGTTGTTGGCTGCTGTCAAGCAAGTGTCAAAAAATGTTTTGGCAAACGTTTATCGAATCTGTGTTCGAAACTAGTTATTTTTACGGGCAGATTGTCAGCATGGATGTCATTTGGTTAATCTTTACTCACATGCTTGATATATACTGACATGCTGTGGAAATAGCTGATAGCGTATAGCATCATGATCTCTCAACAGGTGACATTTGACAAATGTTCGATGTTTGTATAAAATGCTGGAAATATCAGAAGATCAAAAGATGTCCGGTCTGTCTGGCAGATGATTGATTGATATGAAACGCTCGCTTGCAGTCACTGGCTTGTATATTTCTTGTTTGCTATCTCGATCATATCGAACAGACTTGCCTGCCAGGGAACTGAAAGAAATGAGCTTAATGACTCAATGTGACACTCTCTTTGTACATATTCTCGCCTCGAATCAAGGAGATTGCCGATATCTGCTCAATATTCAGTCACTGAGCAAAGAGAATATGACACGAATCGACAGGGCTTGTCCTCTGATATCGATTGTTTCCCATCTTTGCAGAGAAACAACCAGCATTCACTGTCCTCATTCACTGCTCAAGCCCTCTCACCTGACAGCACCCCTCATTCTCTCTATTTCTCAATTTTCTCTCAAGACCTTCTCTCCACCCCCCAACAACTCTTTATTGTCAACAGAATATCTTGTTTTGACTCTACAAGCTCACTTGGCTATTCTTCCCAATATCTGTGACGCGTGGATCTCTCTATTGATACTTTGGTCTCAAGACTGAAGATCGAAAGAGAGAATCACTGCGTCCAGCACTTGTCTCGTTTTCTCTCACTTAATTCTCGTTTCCGTACCCCAAAGTGACAGGTCTAAGTGTTACCCATTTCATGCAAGCCTAATAGACCAGCACTTCAACATGGACACCGCCTGTGCTTTCCCTGGCCTCGAGGAAGAGGAACAGATTCTCGGCCCACTCGAGCTCGAGCCTGAAAAGTGCGACTCGCCAGCTTTCGAGACGCGTAAGGCCAAGGGAGTCGCTAACGCTGAGAAAGAGAAGCTTGCTGCTGCGGTCACCAGGTTTTCTCGGGGCTTTGATGTCGCTGCCTTCCAGCAGGAGGCTGCATCTTGGTTTCCCAAGTTGAAGGGTGACTTGTTCCCTGGTTCCTACAGTCACCTCTTGATCATCCTTTTTGGCACTTTAGATGAAGTACAGGATACCCAGGCTTCCTTGGCGAGATGGCTCCACGACCACTACCCGTGCTTCTCACTAGTTGCAGGCGAACCCAACATCCTCGATGAGTCTATGTTTGGCTCAGAAATTGAGATGATGAGAAAGCTGCTGGCACCCTTGCGTGGCGAGGACAGCAAGATCTATTGGATCAATACGAGACTTCAGGACACCACTGCATCCCGCCACCAGCTTGAAGCAGCCGTAAGCGTGATCGAAGGGTTCAAGCACGATCTTCTCAGTGCGGTTGAACAGGACAACGAGAGTAGTAAGTAGGGGTTGAATCATGTACGCTGCAAGCAGGTCTGACGTTATTGCCTTTTTTAGAAACCATCTACAGTGCTCTGCCGGTTGGACAGGAACGCATGTCTGCCATTAGCTCGAGACAGAGTCGCCTCGATGGCTGCAAGGGTACCCTTAGCTGGGACGGTTTTCTGAAGAGAAACATTGAATTTACGTCCTTCTTCCACCTTTACAAGAACCACATCTGCAAAACGCAGCCGCAGAAGGCAAAGAGATACAGATGGTTGCCGCCCAACTCGCCTGTTATCCCTCGCTCCTCTCCTGATGAGATGGATGCCGATTGCTTGTGCAGCTGGCCCATGGAAGTCCCCGAGAATGGAATACTCGACTTCATGCTCAAGACGGCGCTGTGGCTCGGCCTGGCGAGAGGATTGTCCCCCGTCCATCTCTTCTGTGATATTGTGAAACATTTCTCTCGTTTTGAGCCCAATGTCAACGCCAGTAACTCTCACATTGCGCTCTTGTGCCAGCTCACCAAGCTCAGGGTCTCTTGTGATGGAATTAAGTCTCGCATGCCCACCCCGCTTCCTTACCAGGACAAGTTCTTCTTTGAGTACAACCCGGCTTTCTTCATGGATGTCTCGGCATCCAACAATGATGTGGCGACTGATCTTTACGACAAATTGACCCTGATGGACACCAACAATATGAGGAAGTTTAATCTTCAAATGCCCCCTCGTCCCCGTCAGATTCGTGGCAAGAAGACGCACAATTCGCAGCTCTCAGTGATCTCTGGAAGTCTCGCTGGACAGACTGAGATGCAGCTTCCTGCCTTTCAACTGAAGCACAAGTTGGTCGATCTTCCGGCAAGTGCAGTTCTCGCTGTACTCTTTAATCTATTTGTTTGCTCTGGGCTAACCTAACATATCTTGCAGGACCTCCCAAAGCCACCTCCTACAAGGTACTTCTCTGTCGAAGGAAGCGCATTGATCCACAGATACTTTAGCAGCTGGCGTGCGGAACAGAGCGCTTACGCCGATGTACTTTCCATGTACGAAGATCATTCCACCATCTAAGGGTTCGAGGTGCTGCCATCAATGTCTGTCGATATCTGAAAATCAAGTACTCACTCAACCTTTGCTGGTCTCAACAGTTTAGCCATTCACCTTCCGGATCGACCTGCATCAACAAAACAACAAAAACAGTCGAAAACTCGCGAAAATTCAGGAAAAACACAGTTTGGTGGTTTTTGAGGATCAGTTCAGTCTCGACGATGGTTTGGTCCTGGATTGGTACAGTTAGTCTTTTTTTTTTTTTTTTTTTCTTCGATTTTCCTTAATCTCCCCTCATGTTTTTGCCATGATCAGGATTTTATGTTTTTTTTTCATTAGCCCAGGGAAATAAGGCAGAGCCTGTTCATTTGGTGTCTGTTGAAACAACATCCTAGTTTTCATTACTGTTGAGCCCAGGAATAATCTCCCCTCTTAAAGGGATCTGTCAAAAAAAGAAAAAGAAAAAAAGAACAAGAAGATCCGTCACCCATATTTCCTTTGTTTTCAGTGTTTGTTTGTGGGTTTCCAATTTTCTTCGTCTTTGTTTTTGAAATTTTTTTTTCTTGATGTTATACCTCATGTTTGATCGACTTGTGAAGCCTGGTCTTTATTTGTTCTTTTCCCACTCATGTCACACGAAGCATTGGCTAATACCTTTTTAACCAGGCTACAGGAGCACCTCATACCCAAGCCCACCAGCTAATGTCTTCAGAAAGACTAAATTCTGCTTTGTGATTGCTGATTGTTGGGTCTTTTTTTAGGATGGGCCCGCCGGATATTAACTGACATTGGTTCCGCGATGCTCATGATTCGACTCGAAATCCTACTCGGATATGCGAGGGATGGGGAACAGGCTGGCTAAAGTTCCAGTCAAAAAAAGTCAAAATCCAGTCTTTTTTTAGACTCGGCTACATACTAATCCCCGTCAATGCGTTTTTTTGACGAGCGTGGTTGATTTTTCGTAGCGAAGGTCGTGGATACAATCCAGCTGCGCTGGCGATGACATGTTTCCTCGAGCTACGGGGTCATTTCTGCTTCTGAGCATTTTGAAGAGATTCTTCAGTGTCCCATGACTAACTACAGAGTACATTGTGTTTGTTTCTATAGAGTGCTATGTACGACTTGATTTGTGATATATCATGTCAGATGTCGTGTACATTTACAAAGTACCGTACATTGAGCTCTGGAAATGTCATAAAGTTCTTCAGCCAATTGAGAAATCATTTTGTTCATTATGAACGTAATTATAATATTTAAACCCCGAGACATATAATATTCTAAGAAATATGCAAAGTATATCTTTTCCCTTGTCTTTACTCATCCATCAGATTATATGCCAGAACAGGATCAATTAGCGCCATATCGTCATCATAATTGGGTATCTTTGAATGAACATCTCCATGCATTGTGATATCGGCGCCAGTGCCCAACTCCGATTCACCATCAGCAAGAGCGTCCAGTCCGTAGTTATCCGCGTCTGCCTTCACGGCTGCGTTTTGCGGGTGAGGGGTACCACCAGTAGGCGACATGTCAAAGGGGTCATAGGAAGGGTTATCGTTATCAAACTCGAGGCCGTAGATTCCGAGAATACCAGCACTGGGCTGGTCCCCGTCTGCCAGGAGGGCGCGCTGCATGAACATGTCACGGATATGGTCTTCGGAACACTCGTGTTTCCCGCTCATGTGTACCCAGAGATCATAGTCGCGGTGGAAACGGTGCGGACAGGAATCGATAAAGCATGCGATGTGTCGACCTGTTTCCTCGGCGTAGCCGTGGCCGGTGAGCGTGGCCAGGGTGGAGGGGGTGTTGGATGATTTAGTCGATGTAGATGGTTTGGAGTGGCCGAGTCGTTGGCGACGTTCGGCTTTGGCGTTTTGGTAGCCCAGGTGTGAGGTGCGGATGTGTTCTTCTAGTGCGAGTTTGCTGCCGTATCGTTTCCCGCATCCTTGGCCTTGGCCTGTTGTCCAGCCGGGGACCTTTTTGGAGGAGGAGAGGTCTGTTTCACCGCAGGCGAACCGTTTCTCGCCCTCGTGAACGGTGCGGACGTGGACAGTTAGGTTGCCTTTTTTGGTGAAGCTGCGGTCACAGCCGGGGACGGAGCAGGAGAAGACTTTTCGTTCTTCGAGGCTTACGTCGCCGTGGGCGACTTCCAGATGGCGGCGGAGTTCTCGGGATGTTGAGCATGTGAGGGAACAGTTGGGGCATTGTGGTGGGTGGACAGATCGGATATGTGCTTGTAAAAGGGCATATGAGGGAAATGAAACGGCGTGAGAGACTGAGTTGCCGTCTGCGGTAGAAGAGGGATTTTCATGGTGTTGAGAGCATTCCGCACAAGTGAACCGGCTTTCTGTATGGACTCTGCTCTCGTGGGCCCGGAGATGACCAGCCGTCTCAAAGGCCATTGAGCATTTCTTGCCGGTACTCGGGTCTACATGTTGACATTGAAAGGGCTTCTGCTTTAAATGAACCGTCATAACATGTTTTTGGAGTGTCGAGTGTTTCCGGAACGTCTCTTCGCAAGGAGGATACTCCGTGCAACGGTACTTGTCTCTTCCATCATGGGCAGCTATATGCCGACGGAGTCGTGATCCAGTCACGAAGCTCTTCCCACACCCTGGACGGTCACACACATAATCTCGAACACCGGTGTGGGCACTCTTAATGTGATGGTTCAAATGAGTTGTCCGCAGAAAGGTCTTATCGCAGCCATCGTGGGTGCACCGAAAAAGCCGTTCATTATTATGCGAGCGCAAATGTTCCTGTAATCGCGCTGGCCGATTGAATGCTTTTGTGCAGCCGTCAAAAGGGCAAAGGTGGGTTTTCAATTCGGATGGGTATCTTGTTGAAGTCGTTGAAATCGGTGTTGCTGGTGTTTCATGAAGGGTATCACTTGTGACGCTGATATCATCAGCCGATTGATACTCCGCATCGGAATGTACCTCCTCATATATAGGGTCTATTCCGGATACCAATTAGATGGTTGATTGCATTGATTTCAGTATCAAGATGAAGTTCTTACCGGCGTTGTCCAGCACCGTTTGCTTCCGGATTCTTTTAGGGGTCTGCAACCCTTCTGAGACGGATTTTCGCTTTTGGGCCATAGCTCAACAGAGCCCCTGGGGATGCTTGGCCCTAGAGATGTAAAAATAACATTAAAAATGGAGATTTCAGAGATGAAGAATGCAAAAGATCGCGATAAATTTCACCGATAGCAAGAATTTTGCCGGTATAAAAAGCGGTGAGACCTAAGCTTCTAAAACAGGTTTAGCGCCACCATAACTTTTTGCGCCGCCTTTTTGTGGTCGCGACATCGAATTTCTTCACTGCCAAAGCCGTCGCAACGTCGATCGTTTCGCCCGAATTGTCCCTGGACGCAGTATTGACAGCCTCATTCGCTTGTTTGGCTACTTCTGACACTCAATCGCTCTTTTAATATTCGACCCTTTTTTTTGGTACCGACATAATGTCTGACTACGGAGACGGCGCTGAGGAGACGTAAGGATCATTTTTCTCCACCAACACTGCCCAGACCCTGTAATGGCAAGAGTATCCTAGGATACCTTATACATTGCTTGCTGAGTTGGCCAATTTGAATCATGAGGAAATCAAGTCTTCTGACTCAGCTTGTCGCATAGTTACGACTACGAGCCCGGTCAGGATTTCGACGATGCTGAACCCGAAGATTTCCTAAACCCCGAAGACATTGAGGCCACCGAAGGTGCCGAAGCCTATGGCGATGACTATGCGCCTGCTACCAACGGAGACCGTGTCGTAGTCTCCGGCGACCCCAATGGCGGACACGCTGGAAAGGTCATGGAACAGGTTCGGGAGAAGAAGGTGCCGAATGACCAGCGCACGACAACTCCATACATGACCAAATATGAGAGAGCGAGAGTGCTGGGTACCAGGGCCTTGCAGATTAGGTTCGTAGCAGGTTTATGGCATGGAAAAACAGGGAGGACAGCTCTAGCTGACAGATGTTATTCAGCATGAACGCCCCAGTGCTGGTTGATCTCGAGGGCGAGACCGACCCTCTGCAGATTTCCATCAAGGAATTGAATCAAAAGAAGATTCCTTTGATTGTGAGAAGATATTTGCCGGATGGATGGTAAGCATTCCCCGTAGCTCCCAAGAGATCATCACACCTGACTGGAATTCTTTCCCGCCTTTAGGTACGAAGACTGGACATGCGAAGAATTGCTTTAGAAAAAAAAATAAAAAAAAGATCGTCTGGGTGGCATTGGTTAATTTCATTTGTATGTTGATATCTTTCACTCTCATTCCATTTGGGCATAGCGTTGGGCGTTTAATCACTGGGAATGGAAAAACAAAAAGAATACTATAACACTGCGTCGGATTCTAATGAATAAAAAGAAAACGTTGAGGTCGAACACGTCCATTGACAGCTTCGGAGTATGATACGCGGCTGAGTGTCATTCAATTAAGTCCAATTTTCATCGTGAATAGTCCAGCTATTCTCTTTCGCTCAAGGCTTGGCATAGACAGTCTCCACGTCACTGTTAGAGGTGTATCTGGGAAATTGCGAGGTGATTACCTGTAGGCTCGTAACGGTAGTTGGTATGTATATAATCAAGGATAGCAGTTAGATAATCCCATCAACGCTGTTGTTCTGAGAGTGAAGTTATACAGAGTCGAGGCTGCCATGCCGGGATTCCCCAAAACGGCCTAGTGACCACGTGTGGGCCGGCGGTAGTTTCACCGCTGGGGAATTCCCGGCGTTTCAGCTTCGGATTCAACTTCACCAGCATTCAATTTCGCGTTCGTCGTCACGAATCCTGAGATCCTGGATCAGATGCAAATCAGTCTGATCATGCTCATTTCGTCTCTTGATTCTCGAGCAGAACATGAAATGATCGGCAATGATAACGTTTTTTCAATTATTAATCCGCACATAGGATGACACATAAATGGGTCGGAGTTAACATCACGCCCCGAGCCTATGGCCCACTGTAACATTATGAATCCACTATCAATTCTGCCGAGTCCTGGACCTTTCTGGCGGCTTTTTGTTCGTCGGATACGATCTGTCTCCATTGACTCACCCATGTTTCCCATCTCCCCGCTGGATAAATCGGCACGCTGCTGACACTAGGAAGTCGCCGAGGGCTGCATTTGCCAAAGATGAATGGCCGAAATTGGTCTTTGCTCTTCGCCCCCGACGAATGCACACTCACATATCAGATTTCATATGTACCTTGTCGGTTAACTCGTGCTCTTATCGGTTGGCATCCATGGGTCTTGGGGCTTGAACCCACCGCTGATTTTCAGAACTTGAAGTCTTAGCGGCACGCCTTCCATGGAGCGGTGCAGGGAACAGCCCTTTTCGAGTTTTGTCTCATTCCTTTGCACCTTTTTGGACTATGGAGATGCCCAATTGTGGGACTTCTATGCTTCGGGGATTCTAGCTGGGGCTTTTACTTCGGGTCAACCAGGTTCTAGCATACTGCTTAGCCTTTTTAGCTGCCCCGCATAGTCTGTTGACTGTAAGTGAATGCTTTATATACTTATCCAGACCCTCCCTGCCTTGGCGGTCTTCCTTTCGTTCAAACCCATCGGAAAGTGCCTTCCCGACTTGTTACTTCCTGCATTGCCACTGTGTTGGTCTCTGTTCCCGAACCACACACCAAAGCTTCCAACTCCAAAAAGAAACTGCTTGACATCGTGACCAATCTGGAAATGGGGGCAAATGTCGATGTCGAAGAGAGTGCTGTTGCGAACCCACTTACCAACAACCACAATGATTCCGAGGACACAATTCCCAATGAGCTAGATCGCCCAACTGAAGAGAAACCCTCTGACGAAAGTTACGATACTGGTCTCACTGCATGGCTGCAAGTGCTTGGTTCTTTTTTCCTTTTCTTCAATTCATGGTATGTACATCACCCACCACCTCGAAGCTGGCTCTAACCACGTACATTATTTAGGGGTGTAATCAACACATGGGGTGCATTTCAAACATACTATGAACAAAATCTACTTACAGATGTATCGTCATCGTCTATTGCTTGGATTGGATCGCTACAGTCATTCCTTCTTATGCTTTTGGGAGTCGTGACTGGTCCGCTGTTCGATGCTGGCTATTTCCGTGCGCTCATCTCATTTGGTGCACTCATGCTCCCTTTTGGCCTGATGATGACCAGTCTCTCTTCGACATTCTGGCAATTGATTCTCAGTCAGGGTATTTGTATTGGTCTGGGAAGTGGATGTTTGTTCGTGCCGAGCGTCGCCATTTTGCCCCAATATTTCAAGAAAAGGAGAGCACTGGCGAATGGAATGGCAGCCGCTGGCAGCAGCATTGGGGGGATCATCTATCCGATTACTTTCTCTCGGTTGCAGAAATCCATTGGATTCCCATGGGCGGCTCGTGTTATAGGGTTTCTCGCCTTCGCAACGTGCTGTATTTCTCTGTCTATTATGCGGGTGCGAGTCTTACCACCAGAGAAGCGCAAGCTACTTCAATTATCTGCCTTCAAAGAACCACCCTATGTGCTGTTTTGTATGGGCATGTTCATGGGCTTCCTCGGATTCTACAACTTCTTGGTGTATATTCAACCATACGCCCTTGATTCCAATATCGTTGATGCCAACCTGGGTTTCTACCTGCTTTCAATTCTCAATGCTGCCAGCTCCTTTGGTCGAGTAGGACCGAATGCCCTTGCGGACAAGACTGGACCATTGAACGTGCTCACACCTTTCTCTACCGCCACGGCCATTCTGGCCTTCGCTTGGATAGGTGTTCACAACACACCTGGAATAATCGTCCTAACCGCATTGTACGGGTTCTGGTCTGGTGGCTTTGTGTCTCTTCCACCGGTGGTGATGGCCACTATGACCAAGGATATCCGGGATTTGGGAACTCGCCTGGGGCAGGTTTTTGCCATCACTTCTATCGCATTACTGGTCGGTACTCCAATTGGAGGAGCTATCTTGAGCAGCACCGGCTCATACCTCGGTGTCCAACTTTTCACAGCTTGCTGCCTTATATCATCTGGTATGCTCTTTGCAAGTGTCCGATTCCTGCGCTCAGGGGGCCGGCTCATCGCGCGTGTATGAGGTTGAAATTTGCATTTTTGCATACCGCTTGAACTCAAATGATTCACGAATACAAAAAACAAACAGATGAGAACACTGAACTTTTCATTTTGGCAGTCGTCTTGCAAGAAACAATACAGCAGTGCGTATTATCCGCTAAAGGACTGTATCGGCTACAGTTTTCTCCAATATCCATTTTTTCGCCAATTCAAGCAGCACAGAACAAAAGCATCAGCATTTTCGGGGTTTTTGCGCCATATGATACCATTTCAGCATGCACATACAGTGATGCGGGTTACAAAAGTTTTTATTTTATTTCGGCTGGCGTACTTTATCAATATAGTTTAATCTATCTTCCTACTTATCATAAATATCTAATGAACAGGGGTTGTCAAGTACAAATATGGTGGAAACTAGGAGCAAAAGACACAGATAATAGAATATAAAATGAAATATTGCAACTACTATGAATTTCTTCTATCTAGTGAAGGTAGGTAATGTATAGAAATTATTTTAGGTAGGAAACAAGTTCATTAACTCCAAACCTCCAATGCTAAATCAACACTTTTCGCAGTATATCCACGCATTCTAAATCATTCCAAGATAGCTGGTCATCAAACCACTGATGCTAATACACATCTTCTGGACTAACAGGGAAGTCCTCGCCGTTTTCTCGTATATGTTCCAGATTCTTATCCCGACTGCATGGCTTGCGCATGTCGAACGCATCTTCTCCTGACTCGGAGAATCCCGTGGGATCATCGCTGTAATAATTGACAACACGCCGGAAGACGGAGTACCTGGAGAGCAGAGGGCGTGGTTAGCAAATATAATCCTCTCCAGGGGTATATGGCATTTCGAAGTAGACGAAGAAAGGTCAACGTACCCCATCCCCTTATACATATCCACTGCTATTTTATTCCCCGCTCTCACGTATAAATCGACGAACCAAGAATTATTGATATCTGATCCTATCTCCAACCGTTCCGTGAGTCGACGCGCATGACCCAATCTGCGCCATGCAGGCGCCACTGTCAGGACAGTGATATGGCCGTGCCAGGGGGTGTAGTGTTCAGATTGTCGCATGGAGGGGTGTTGTTCCTCTAGTTTTCCCATAACTATTTGATTGCGGGGTCGAAAATGTTAGTAACTTCCAATCTTGATTTCTGGTTTCGTGGATACATGTTGGTCTGAACCAGCATGGAGGTATGAATGTGTTTTATTTAATGGTCTCGTGTGCAACCGTACTGTAACCGACAATGCCTTCGCTGCGATCTTGGACGACGCTAAAGAGCGACGGCCATCGCATCATGTAATTGAGGTAGAAACCCAAGTCATAGTTTTCCGTCAACGGATCGAGGTTTGTGAGGTTGAGGGAGAAAAGGTCAGTCGGGGTCATTCGTCGTATGAAACTCATTGCGGCGGCTTGATTGTCGATGCGATTTGGGCGAAAATGTCGGCGTTACGTCAATTGCCCGCAATCGGAAGAGGGGGAGGGATGTGGAATGGAGGGGCGGGAAAAGGAGGAGGGGAGAGATATGGATATAGCAAAAAAACTGAAGGGTATCAACAGGAGGAGAGCAAGAGCAAATCAACCGACAAAATCAGCGCAGATGAAGCTATCCAGATTCACTTTATCGGTGTGGGGTTGGCCGGACTTGGGGCTTTGGCGGTCACGGGAAATCCGCCCGTTCCAAATGGTCTCATCCAGCGACAAACATCAACATCAGCAACAGCCAGAAGGCGAAGATATCAGGTTGTCCGCTTTTAGCTCATTGTCCTCGTTATTATCCCTTGTCCGCTTTGGCTTGCGGACTTGTGCATTCGAATTTCGACCTTCTCTGAGCATCCTGGCGATGCAGTGGGCGGTCCATCCTTAATATTTCTCGCCCAATTCTTTTCCCCTCGCCCCCTGTTCGTTCGGTCTATCTTTATTATTTATTTACGGAGTGACGGCCCAGCATCCCATACCTAAACTACCATATTTTTTTTTGTCGCACAATCACAAGGGGGTTATCCATTATTTACAGATCTCTGAAAAATCCCTTGTCCAATCGTTCTCTTTGTACGCTGGTGCCGTTCATCTGACTCTGCATCATCATGCCGTCTATCCCACCATCTCCCCTGAGAATCTCTCACCGCCACACTCAAAGTCAAACTTCCAGCGTCGATTTCGATCCCATGTCCCCCGCTACCTATGGCCTTAATGGTTTCTCTCAATCTCCTCCAAGATCGCTCCGGACACCTCGCTCATCGACCCCTCCATCGCCGGGAGCCCACCAGCAACACAACGCGCAGAGCATGAATGGATACAATAGAATGTCGGGCGACTTTACTGAGGATGCAGGGGCCGGTGGTGGCCTAGGGAACCTTGCAGACGAGCTTGCAGATGCGTGGGAAGAGGAAGAAGGTGGTTACGGATATGCATCTGGACAGGAGGCTGGCCCGGCGGACCCCCAAAACATTGACGATAGCGAAGGAGAAGAAGGCTACGACATGGGCGCGAGAACACCATCGTCAGGGTACTCACCCGAGCGTAATTCTCTTCATCCTCCAAAGCAGAAGAATCGGAATAGTGCTCAACGACACCGGCGACACGAGTCGCAGTACGACGGTTCAGACTACGGAAACGACTCGGATTTCGAGGAAGCTGCAGACATATCGCCTAGTCTTGAGGGTCAGATGGCTGAGATTGAGAGCCTGGCCCGGCGAGGCATGGAGAACAATGGCAGCGAGCAAGACCATGTCATTTCGCGGGCGGTCGAGGCCCTTCGCGATCTTGGTGGGCAAAGTGGAATCGAGAACAATGCAATGAGGTATGTCCTTGAAGGTGCTCGAAGACGCTTGGTGCCATTTTTCGAAGCAGTCTATCGATCCCACGATTGAAAGAATTACCCAATTGCTAACTTGAATTTTAGACTTATTACCGCACACACCTCTGTCACATCACATCTCACTCATCAAACCCGTACACTTCAAACGCTTACCCATCCTCTTCTCTTCTCTCCCTTTCCACTTCTGTCAACAGACGCCATCGACGACCTCATCCCTCTCATCGATGAAGGTCTCTTGCCAAATCTTCCGTTCCCCTTTCCGGGCCAGCCACGTCACTCATCCAGACCCACAACCCCCTCACAATCGCCTTCCCTCAACCCACTGGTCTCTCTTCAAACCCTGGTCGCCCAAACTTCCGACATCACCCATTCTCTACGCGGCCTAAGTGACACACTGTATGAATCACGTCAATTGACATCGACTGCCTCGCGGCGATTACGGTCCGCGCGGGAATTGGTCGCAGACTTGCGCCGCGATGAAGAAGGCCTCGAGGAAGGCACCCGATGGATCGAGAAGGGAGACTGGGATCGTCGACTGAAGGAGCGAGAAGCCGGCAAGGTCTGCGGAGACGTCGTCAGTGGTTTTGAGGCTGTCTGCGGAGAGTGGAGGGAGAAGCTCTTCGGCGCTGCTGGAGCAGAAGTCGCCGCTGCTTGATTTGAGTTACATGAGTTTTGTTATTCATTTCTTTCGATTTTTTCAAGGAAACGTGATTCGTTTCCATTGAAATTTCTCCGATAAATATCTCCATCCATATGACCTTTAGAGGTCCCAACATACCATACCCCAAGTATATAGATTTCCATCCGTTTGCTGATACATGGTTATCATTTCATTTCTTCAGCGCATGAACATGCAACGAAACATACATCTTTTTTTTATCATCTTTCCTTCTTTATTCATATTGTCTGCATGCGACTACCCCCTATTATTACCCCTATGTCTAGTTCATATCACCGCTTCAATTTTCTGTTATTTATCTTTCATTTTCTATCGTGTCTCGCAGAGGTAATTATTTCCGCAGATCGAGTTTCAAAAACCAAACAGTCTTTTATGCCTGTCCATATCATAATTTATCTTATCATGTTTCCGTTTCCGTTTGCTTTCTCTGCAAGGGTTTTTTTAATCCTGCCATTTCCCCACAAAATGATCGATCTGCACATGGGTACATAGAGGCAGGCACTAGATCAAGGAATACATACATGCATACATCGAAGACTGGATTTCGTTTTACAGTAATACACATGAAAGCACAAAGTAAATACTTGACTTTTAAAACCATCATCACTGGGATAAATTCCAGTTCATACTTCGATCGAAACCGTAGATTACATCATATACGAACGAGAGACATTCTCAAGAATACACAAAAGGGAAAGTAAGGTAAGTCAAAATCGCACGGGGTACATTTTGACATTATAAGACGGTAGGAAAGGGAGACTTAGCTTGCTTAACAGTAGAAGCAAGAAAGAGATAGAGAGGGAGAGGGAGATATCACAAAAGGGGTTTTGAAAGACAAGATCATATGAGAAGAGAAGAAAAAAAAAAGAAAAATTAGATAAGAGACACATGGAAATCCATTATCATGATCATGATCCATTTCCAGCAAAAAGACAAAAGCTTTCCGAACATAAGAAGTGACTTCATTTATTGGGACATATGCATTTAAAGGAACATCATGATGCCCAGAAGGCTGGACCGGACCACAGTGGTCTTTTTTTATTCTGAGACTCATAAGACCAGACAAAAAGAAACCCATAGATAAAAGAAAAGCGAGATAAAAAAACCAATGCGAGTTAGGGGAAACAGATAGAAATCACACGCCGTTTAAAGGTCCGCGAAACTTTTCAAAACACCTACTTCCTCTAGCTCTGCTGCTGCTTCCACCGGGGAACCCACTTCTGTGGGGCTCCCTTGGACTCCTCAGGCTTGTCGGAGCTAGGGGTTTGCGTTCGGACGGGGAGATCACGGGTAGGTTCGCGAGGACGGGGGACGTAGCGTTCAGAAGGACCGTTCGAAGGAGCAGCACCGGCGCCGCGCAGATGAGGAGGCACGTATCCACCACCGGTCTTTCGGACGGGCTCTTCCTTGGGGGCCTCAGGGGCAGGGGCAGGGGCAGCCTCGGCACCGCCGGCAGCCTCCTTGGCGGCTTGACGTTCTCTCCAGCTGGCACCACCACCGGTGCGAGGAGCAAGGTTAAGACGGGGAGCAATACGCTCAGTAGGTTCGGCACGAGACGGCTCGGCACGAGATGGTTCGGCACGAGAGAATTCGGGACCACCGGTCTTTCTGGAGGCACGGCGAGCCTCGGCTTCCTGCTCACGCTGTAGCTGTCTTTGGGCGATTTCATCGAGTTTCCTGTAATTCTGATTAGCACACTGAACACAAACATGCGATGAATGGGGGACTGACTTTCTCTCCTCTTCCCGCTTGACCTTCTCCTCGGCCATAATGCGTCTGCGCTCCTCGTCTCTGGCGGCCTTCTCCTCCTCCTCGCGTCGAGCACGCTCCTCCTCTTCCTTCTGGCGCTGCTCTTCAGCCTCGCGCTGAGCCTTCTCAAGGCGTCTGCGCTCCAGAACCTCCTTGACACGCTGCTTCTTCTTGGCTTCGAACTCACGCTCGGCAGCCTTGCGGCGTCTCTCGAACTCTTCGTGACGCTTCTCCGACACATCCTTGCGGAAGTTGCTGAATTGCGGTACCAGGCGGCTGAGACGGTGCTTGAGGGCAACAGCCTCCTTGTGCTTAATCTCGGCCTCTTGGAGAGTCTCGGCCTTGGTGGCCTCGTAGATCTCCATGTCGCGCTTCTTCTGGGCTTCATAATCTCCGGGGATGTGCTTCAACTCCTCACGACGGAAAGCACGCTCCAAGTGGTCGATACGCTTGGCAATGGTGCGGACGCGGTCGCTGAGCTCGTTCTTCTCCTTCTCCAACTGAGCAAGCTTGATGGCACGCAGACGGTTGGCGTCGAGGTCCTCCAGATCAAGTTCGTTAAGGTCAATGCCCTTGACACCGCTCTTAAGCTCCTCAATCTGCTTCTTGAGCTCCTGCTGGCGAATGCGGTCCTGCTCATCCTTGATGCGCTTCTTTTCACGCTCTCTCTGCTCGTCAAGCAGTCTCTGCTTCTCAGCCTCCTGGAGCTGTTGGGTACGGATGCGCTTGCGGGTCTCCTCCTCGCGCTGCTTCTTCTGGATGGCATCGGTAGCAGCCTCCTTCTTCTTCTCAATGGTGACACGGCGAGCCAGGGTGTCCTCGTGCTCCTTGGCAGCACCAGCCAGGGCGCGAGCCTGAGCAGTCTGCTTGCCCTGGAGACGAGCTTCATTGTAAGCAGGATCGACATACATGCATGTCACGTGAAGAGTCTTGGCCAAACGGGTAAGTTGCAGTCTAGCGATCTCAGCAGGGGTGTTCTGCAAGCGCTGCACAGAGCCAACTTCGCTCTCAGCAGATCCAGCGGCGCTTCCGGGGTGGAGGGCCTTGGCGGAAGAGAAAACATCGGTATCGAAGGTAAGGACACCGGAAATGTGGTCGACACGGATAGCGAGGTCGCCCTTCTTGCAACCGTTCATAATGAACTTCTCAATCATGGCAGGAGTGATCTGGAAGGGGTCGGGGAACTGGGCAAGCTCGTAGACGAACTTGAGCTCAACCGATTCGTAAACCTGGGACAGCTGCTGGAAGAGACGGGTGAGAATGACCTGCTGCAAAGGCTGAACATACTTCTCCATCTCGGGATCGGCACCAATCTGCTTCAGGATGGGGGTGATCTTCTTGCAGATGGAGAGAGGGTGGAAGTCAACTTCCAAGATGTTGAAGAGATCGCGGATCTCGGGGCGGGCACGCTTGAGAAGACCCTTGTTCATGGCATCCTTGAAAAGCACGGCACGGGTCGGGGCCTGGGCCATACCCAAAAGGTTGGTGAGACGGGTGTTCTTGTTCTTGCGAACCTCATCGACATCAACCAGGGCACCGCGAGAGCGGGAGGTGCTGATCACGGGGATGGCCAGAGCGGACAGGAGAACGAAGGAAGCGGCCTTGGTCATTTCAGCCTCGGTGACGGCCGGGTTGTCCTTCTTGGTGCCTTGGCCGGAAGCGAGGGAAACCATCGACTGGCGGAGGAGGTTGTAGTAGCGGTTGTAGGCGGCAGCGTGGAAGAGGTAGTTCTCGCTGACCAGGAAGATGCGAGCCAGCTTCTCGTAGTAGTTGGCCATCATGACGTTCTTGGCGGGGCGCTTGCTGAGACTGAGGAGGGTGTGGATGTCCTCGATGCTGCGGAAAGCCTCCTGCCACAACTCCAACTCGACGGCAACGTTAAGCTGCTGGAAACGGGTGTCCAAGTGGCGCTGCAGGGTGTCCGGGTCGCTCAGGTTGATGGCGTGCATCTGAGCAGAGTACTTGGCGGCATTCTGGACGTGGTTCCGGAGGAGCTCACAGAGTCTGCGGAACTCAGTCTTACGGGTGTACTTGAGGCAGAACTGGAAGGCCTGCAGGGCGGTGGTCTGGTACATGACCTCAAGACGGGCGTTGTTCTTGAGGATCTCGAGGACGGTCCGGTAGGTCTCCCAGAGGAACTTGAGCCATGGGGTCACGACAGCACGATCGGTACGATCGCGGGACTGCTCACCGGAGACAGTGGCAAGCAGGATGGTCTCGGGGGTCTCAATAGCTTCCAAATCATCGATGTTGGACGAGGGAGCAGCGGACTCCAAGGAAGACTGAATCTCATCGGCCTTGGCCTGGGCCTCGGTGACCTTCTTCTCGGCGAGTTCGATAAACTTTTTCAGAACGACCTATACTCGGATAACTTGTCAGTCGCCATCCATATTTTCCCATCTTCCTTTCCGTTCACGCTGTGCCTACCTCGATAGTGCCGACGTTGGTGTTCTGGGCAATGTTCTTGTACTGGTACAATCCATCCTTGGCGGCCTTTCCTTTACGCAGATCAACGCAGAGCTCGACGAAAAGCAGCATAACCGGCTCGAGGGAGGCGATAGGACTGCTGCGCGTCCTCTTGGAGGTGACATGTTCGTGAAGGACGTTCAGGGCGGCGGGAGACTGGCCCACGGCGATAAGTTCTTGAGCCCTCTAAACAAAGAAACACAGGCCATGTTAGTCCCTGATCATCACAGAAGTTTTTCCATCATCTGCCAGTGCCCATGACCGCTTACCTTGAGAACATTCTCGGGCTTGATATGAGGTGGAGGCGGCATGATGAGCAACGCACCCCTTGGGATAGCGGATTAAATTGGAGAAAGAAAAAAAATCCGTTGGGCGGGCGGGATCTCGACTTGGGAATGGGCGAGACGGAAAAAAGTCGCGCAACGACAGGCGGGCAGCAAATGTCGAAGGCGAATATCCGTATAAAATCGTAGATGCTGCTGCCACGCGACGGTCGGCCCAGAACTTGAGATGGGAGGGTTATTGGAGGGGGGGCGGCGGTGCGTCGTTGTGCGAGAATCACGAAAAACAGCCCGAGTGTTCCCACTTTCGGATAAGCGATGGGTCACGTGATTCTATACAACATCTACATATTTGTAGTATCTGTAGTATCTTAAATGAATATGGTTATATTGTTGTAGGAAGAATAAAAGTATTAACTAATATACAGTAAAAAAGTTATGAAGAAATCCTCGTGGTGTTGTCAGAGTCGAAATTTACTCCGTAGTCATAATTGCTCCGTATACGAATCGTCATCGTGACAAGCCACACTGGAATTGGACTGATATATTGTTCTGTAGTTGATAATATCTGATATGTCTAGTATAAAAACAAAAATAAATATATCAAAAGACGACCTCAGATACTCAGTACTCCGTGGTAATCGTAACTCGTGCAAAACGGAGTCCTCAAAGTCACGTGCATCACTACATTACGACGAAAGCATCATGGATGAACAGACAGAGTAAGAGATTAAATAGAAATAAAGTAGTAATGAAGCCCAGCTACCGAGCATCCGTCCTGACCAGAATAAAACAATAACAATAGTCGATCCGGTCCCTTGGACTGGGTGTCAATCGCGACAATCCCTCCTCGTCCTTCTCTCAGTCTCAGGGGTTAAGTCGAAACTCTCGCTCTCTACCGAATTAATTCCCCCCGTCTTGTCCACAGACCAAACGACGCCTTCTCCCAAGCTAAACCGATTCATCCCCAAAAAGTAAAACCACCATCCGTTTTAATAATTATCCTCTCCTCTTCTTCTCTTCTCCTCTCTCTCCTCTCTTTCTTCCCCCTCCCTGTCGCTCTCTTCTGACCATAAGGTTACTCTTTATTTCTTCTTCTTTTTTTTCTTTTTTCTTTTCTTTCTGGTCCGCTTCTACTCTTCACATTCGCTCTCTCGATACATCACCTCCTCCCCTCCCTTTAATTGCCGACCCGTCCTCCTAAATCAAATCGCTCGCGACCGTTTCCCCTTCTCCCCGTTCCAACCGCGCGAAGCTCTTCCAACCTCTTTACCCCCTCCTTTTTCCACAACCGACCAACGATATTCGTCGCGTCTAATTCCCGTCGATTATCCCTATCAATAACTAAATCAATCCCGCTTACGGCAATCTAATACAAATACAACCTTTCAAGATGCCTGCTTACGAGCTCCGATCCGGGGGGGATGTTAAGAACAAGAAGCAGAGCGTGGCCGACCTCAAGTACCGACGATTGACAGAGCTCAACGCCCGTCTCAAGGAGGATTTGGATCGTCCTCGGGTGAAGGTGTCGGAAGCTTCCCTGTCGTAAGTGCTGGCCTTATTTTTGCGACTACTTTCCGATGCCACCCCCGCACCTAGCCGGGCCTTGAAGCTACACAGTGCTCACAAAGTCGCTTTTTACAGGTTGATTAACTACTGCAACAACACTCGCGACTTTATGGTTCCTTCTGTATGGGGACAGGTATGCGACATTCAGTTCTGGCTGTGTTAAGGAGAAGGCTAACTCTACCCTAGGTTGACAAGCGCGAGGACCCATACGCTCCTCAACAGCAGGGAGGATGCTGCACCGTCATGTAATGATATGGCCTCATGACGCTCCAATGCTTTTTAAGGTGGATGGGCTGGATCCGGCCTTCCGGTTCATCCATCGCTCTTATATTCCCCTATCGCCATGACCTTTTTTAACCTTCTGTTCACCTAATTTTTTTTTTCTTCTTCTCGAAATGGCGCATCGCTTCCACTTTCTCATCACGACCAATCCATCTACCGACTACGAGATAAGACTGTGACAGCCGCTTCACCAGGTGTTATGAAGCTACGTGTGCGTGTGTAGGCAACCGAAGGAGCGCGCGCTGGTCTTGCATGAACCTCGGAACGCTTGCAAATTGGAAACCTGCATTATTCTCACCCAAAACGACTGTCGATTAGGAACTCTTATCTCATCTCTACCTTTCGATGCACTTGAGGATGCGCATTTCTTTTGACTGTTGTCAACCCTTTTTTATTCCCCTTTTTCTTCTTCTTTTCTTCTTTTTTTTCTCTTATTAAAAATTCCCTTTCTTTGGTTCGACAATTGGTTCTATTGTTTTTTCCACAATTATTTCCTATGTTTTCGCAAGTGATGTGGACTGCTATTCTTCTTTTCTTTTTCTTTCCGTGGGATTTTGAAAACCAGACAAAAATCATACCATAGCATCGACCTAACTGTCTGCGAGGAGGGGTGTTGGATTACGATCCCGGGATTTCTCGATTTTTCTTACTATATTGTGAAGCACCTGGAATTCTTGTAACATAGATTCAGCGCGTTGGAGTTTCGCATACTATGACCGACACCAGCTATATCTAATACAGACACTACGAATTACCGAGTACTGAGCGATGGTAGAGATAAATAGTACCGTAGACTAGAGAGATAAACGTGACTCGAAACAAATTCATCCACAGCCAAGTTCGGAAGAAATCAGCCCACCCGCTGACATCATCCACCTCCCACCTCCACTCAACACACAAAGTACCTCCTACATATAATTAAAGCATATCCATGATCATCATACCTGAACTGACAGAAACATCATAAAAATGACAGAACCAACCCCCCCAATCGAACAAACCACCCCATCCGAAAAACCCGCGGGGCAAACCCAACCACAACCCCAAACAACCACATCAACAGAGCGCAATCTGCCCCGAGTTACAATCCAATACTGCACGCAATGTAAATGGATGCTCAGAGCCGCTTACGTGCGTCCCGTCCCGTCCTGCTTAACTAACCAAACAACTAGTTATAAGTCAAGTTGAAGCTCAGCAAAGCTAACAATGAACAGTTCGCCCAAGAACTCCTCTCCACCTTTAGCACGGATTTAGGGGAGGTGTCGCTCATCCCTGCCACGGGGGGTTTGTTCCGGGTTACTATGTATCATGTCTCGAATGGGATTGTGGATGGGCATGTTGGTGGGAAAGTTCTTTGGGATAGGAAGGAGAATGGGGGGTTCCCTGGTATGTCTCACTTACATTGTCTAATTCGTGTTTTTGGGGGGAGATGCTAACTCCGTGTAGAAGTCAAGGTTCTCAAGTCTCTGGTGAGGAATGTTATCGATCCGTCGAGGGATTTGGGACATACGGATCGGGCGTTGAAGGCGAATGCTCCTCAGGGCCAGTCGGCTCCTGCCGACGAGAAGAAAGCCGAGGGTCAGAAGGAAAAGTGTGATGATTGTAAATAGGTTTGTTGGTATTGGTAGATGTTATTTATTTTATATCCTATCCAGTACATTATCCACATATCTATAACTATACATCAAGATCAAAAATCTAGCCATTTCAACGAGCAATTCGAGTAGTTACCATTCCAACGAATATCGTTTCTATGTCGTATACACCAGTTCAGTCTGGTTATATGATGTAAATACTAACGGGAGAAATGGATATTGGAATCGGCATCGGGTTCCTGGTTTATCCATACTGCGTTGGTGGAGGGTTGAGGATGCCAGACGGGGAGTGCATCATCTTCTATAGTAAACGGGTTAGCACATGGTAGTCGATGAAGGTAAATAACAGATACCTCTCATAGTAACTCGCTGAACCCACTCCACTATCAAAGTCCAGATAGAATGGACCGTCTGAGGAAGAGTCAAGAATATAGCCACAATCTGAAGAATAGCATCTACCGACAAATTTGATATTTAGTAAAATAAAACCAAAATAAAAACCAAGACATACCTAGGTACTCTTTATGATCATACAAGAAGCGGTAGAAACCACCAAATAAGATAAGCCATACAAAACTCCCCGGGAAACACTTCCTCTGATATACGATTTGCTTAATATGAAGTGGCACTTACTACCGTATGAGGTAGGTGACGGGAGTTAACAGATGGATGGTTCTGTGGCCAATTAATGGAGGTGCTATGAAAGGACAACATAGGAGAGAATGTTGATATCCACTGGTTGAAGTGGTAATTGGCTAATGGTGTTTTGGGAGGCTGGATAGCATTGAAATCGATAATTATCTAGGCTGGGCTATTTGGTAGGATAGTAAAGTACTATGCGATGTATTTGGTGGTTTGTGTTCTCATTGCTTCTCGATGATGCTGTTTTGCATAGACCCTGTATTTACAGAGTTCAACGGCATCATCTACCTCGCATATAGATGGGATCCTAATCCCGTGAGACCATTCGAATACTAGCCACTATTTCTGCTGTAGCGTATTGGTGGTGACATCGCGCCAGATAGATACTTTCTGGAGTATTACTATCTAAGGGGCAAATTAACAGAACAACATATCAAGAAGAGACGCTAGCCTCAGCATCACGAATGCGCATTTAAAAAAAATATACAAGAGAATATGTCGTCTTTTCCTGGTTGGACTAGGTATGCAATTCTTCCAATATGTCCAGACCTTCCCATAGTTTGCTTTTCAACGTCTCAGCATACCTCGCAACAAAATTACCTTCTTGGTGAGATATTCGGGCAGCGAATGGAGAAGCCCTTTCTACGTAGCAAGGGGAACGTGTGTAAAGCCTTTTTATGGTAAAATAGATGTCTTCTAAGTCTATGGAAGGCGTCTGGTTTACCCCTCGGTCACGTGAAGGTCATGTGATATATCTCGGTACACGGAAAAAGGACTAGTTTCTGACAATCTGTTTTTTTGTGAGCAACGTCGTATTGAATAAGTGTCTTGAATAGGTCTGCGACCGGCTTGTATCGCGTTGGCGTTGCCTCAGCGAGCAACAAAAATCACATGACTCCTGATGAACTCGCTGAGTAAGCAAAGAGTCATAATTGTATAATTACTGTGCATAGATATCCCTGGCAAACGCGCAGTGAAAAGAATGACCGAGTGGTTCTTCCGGCCGGGCCTCACGAGTTCCTTTTTTTGTAACACCCGTTCTCTGTTTTGATTGGCTACTCAAGGTAATAAGGTTGTCCTCTTTGGGATATTATTGATTCATGAAACCAAACCTAGACATCGAGTCCTGACTATGCTATTATATCACACATTACTATATACCTATCCTGTGCCCAGTGCATTGATCCCAAAAATTATCCGATCTTATATAATACCTCCAATATCCTTAATCATGTCCCATCCCCCATGTCCCATACCATTTTTTATCATATTTACCCAAGTCCAATGCACGCTAATCCAATGCACGCTAATCCAATACACGCTGAATAACCAACTCGACCAAAAGTGTCTGCTGTTGTTTGATCTTTCAGGAGATCGTATTCTCATCATATCCAAGAAGAGAAACAACCCTAGACCCAATACCTAGTGATATCTGGCTGGCCCGTTAAAAGCGGTCCCCGATGGCAGCGTTATCAGTCCAAAGCTTCTTACCACACACTGTAACGAAAGGTTCGATCCGCATCGGCACTGGGTTCCTGGGGGGCTGTCCATGGTGCATTGGACGGTTCGGGACGTGGAGTGGAGGTGGGGAGATCAGTCTCGTCTATAGATAAACAGCATAATAGATTAGCTTTGTGACCGGGGCACTGAAGGGGATGGGGATGGATGAGATGGGATATACCTCTTCTCGTAGCTCGTTGAAACAAATGGGTCATCGGTTCGCGGATGGCTTGAATTGTCTGCGGCAGAGCCAAGAGGATACTGATGAGTTGCAAGATGGACTCGATGGACAGAGCCATTTCGATGCAATGCAAGAATAGTAACCAGGTGATACCAAGAATGAAAGAAAGGGATGGCTCAATGTCTGCCAAACGTAAAAAATGTGAAGTAAAGATTTGAATAGTGCCCCGGGGTGGCTACTTATAATAATCTGATACTCTAACAGATGACCAGCCCTCCATTCACTCACGATAGTCAATGGACAGTACAAAATTGGGGGGGGGGCCTGTAGGCCGGCCCGCCTGCGTGTGGGCAACTTTTTTTTTGGCTTAGTGGTACTGATTCTGTATTTCAGCGCTCATCAACCCCTTGATCTTACAGTGCCCTAATGTTCTTCTTCCTAGCGCCCTCCTGAAGGGGATATGATGATGAGAATAATGAAAATATAGGCACAAACTTAAAAAAAAAAAAAAATAAGGAATAGCTTGTCTAGATAGTATAAACCTCTTTAACCAAATACACCGTACTCGTTCCTGATCAAGAAAACTAGGGAAAAGGGTAATACTAAAAGAAAGTACGTAGATCGCGTGGCGAAGGTTGTGGAAAAAGAAAAGGAAAACATTCTCTGTCCAAAGCGGCAGAAAATGAAAACTAGAAAAAAAAAAAAAAGAAAAGAAAAGAAAAGAAAAGGAAAAGGGAAAAAGGAAAAAAAAAAAAAAAAAAAAAAAACCGTTTGTTGCACAGCGTACGGAGTAAGTCAACAACCTACTCCGTACATCATGGATCATAGCCCAGGTTGGGGGACCCAATGCTACGCATCAGCATTTGAAAACCAACCAGTAGGGCTTGATTTGGACGGTGGAGCCACAGAGGCTGTGACTTGAAGCGGAGAACAGCCCGAAGGACGCTGCCGGGATCAACTGTGGCCACTGCAGTTGAATGGTCCAGCTAGAACCATGCCAACCGTCACACTGGGACACTGAGGATACCATTTCACAATTATTTGGTCATATAACATGATTAGATCTTCTATAGTTAAAAGACTGATTTGGTCATATAATATGATTAGATCTTCTATAGTTAAAAGACTGATGAGACAAAAAAAAATTGATGGTACAGTTCTATTTGATAATAGACCAGTCAAGAACATGAAGCGGAGATAATGTTTCGCTCTCTTTCGCATTCTCATCTCTAAGTTAGCTGACACCTAGGACAGTGGATACCATCAAAAAAAATAAAAAATAAATAATAAAAGTGAAAATACTAAACCCCTTTGAAAAGTAACGGCGCCGGTCAAAAAATCAGGAGCTGAAAGGACGGAACGATGGGATTAACCCTGGTAGAATGATGATAACTATATGTTGTAGGCTTTTTTATTATCTTTTCTTCCTCTTTATTATTACTGCCGGGGGCAGAGCATCTACAGCGTAAGGGGTATATGAGAATCCTGGAGTCAACTTTCTGATGGAATCATGGACAGCCCAGTGTGAAGGGATGACCCGGATGATGATATTTGATAAAATGTGGGTGGAGAGCAGTATCCAACAATAGATCTGGTACAGAACTTCGGCTTGAGATCATCTCGGGGTTCAAAGAATGTCGGAAAACCTAGTATGTGTGTACTATCTACCCTAAACCTTTCACTGAAGGATCGTTACCGGTACCTTACATGACAGGTCTTGTCATTAAATAAGGTATTTAATCAAGGATCAGGTACTGGCCAGATTCATCTCCTACCTTTAGACCCGGGATATCGTATTGAATACCAGGTATCATACAGGGCTGAGAATTCATTGGTGGTGAATGCGCACATCTTATTAGTGGCCTTGTTTGATGATGGCACTCGAAAAATATTTCTGCCTTGTCTGCTGCAGTTTACATTTAGTACATAGTACGTAAATCGATGACCGGTTTCATATTATTACAATTTACATAGTCGTGATTAACTAGGTATGAGCTTACAGGACAGCCCTTGGGTCCTGCCCCGGCCTTTTGCAATAAATTGACTTTTCACTACACCATACACCGCTTAAACTGATCGTTGTCTTTGGAAAAAGCGGGGGGCGATAAGGGATGCGAATTGCGATGAGCTTCTGAGGGAATCCAAGAGTGCGTTAAGAACCACTTGGTTACTTGGAAGGGTCTTAACGGTGTTGCTGATCCACCGGAATAGCAAACATTTCAACGAATTTCATCGTCATGGCTTGGTATTTCCCATTGAAGGGGCGGCCTTTGGCCTTTGGAAAGGGCGAGGTCGTGGTTATCAGGAAGAAGCAGTCATCTGAAATAGGGGTTTTCTCGGATTTATGGAAGGCGTTTTATTTTCTTTTCTTTTGACAGCCAGCGTAACATATCGATGCTACCCGTCTTCTGCGAGTAATAAAAAGTGACCGTGTCCTGTACCCGGACTCGTCTACCCACCTTGTTCAATGAACCACTCAACCACTACTCCATAGAACGAAGGCTTCTGCAGCTGATAAACTCCAGTATTACTCCTAATAAGGATTTGAGGCCGTAAGAGAGAATCAAGATATATACTAGGTCTCGAGCGTGGTAGAGAAATAGTGCAAGGAATCGCTGACATCAGCGGTCGCCGAGTCACCGCAAGATTCGGTACCTGGCATCTCCCAAATACTTTCCGAGTCGTCCGTCCTTCTCGTCTACTGAGAAGCAGTCTGTATAATACTGTAGGATAATATCGACCCAGTAAGGGTTTCATTGTCGATGCCTCGTGCTGTATCGAACCTAGACAGGTAGTACCGATCGATCGATCAGCAATGTCGATGATCTCCCCGAAGCCTGGTAGTTACTATCCGCGATTTGCTCTACCTCAATCGCACTTCCGAAAAACGCTCTGGCCGTCCGGAGAAGCTATTAGATGGGGATAAGAGGCAGATAATTCTGTATATTTGCGACCGTGCTGATTCTAGACATGGAAAGACCCAAAATTGACAGTCGCTTGTTGGTTAGAAGTGTACTGTGCTGATGCTTAAGAGTAAGGTCCTGTTGTTGCGTGAAGAAGGCTAGCATAACCAAATAAACATCCCCAGATTCATACGGATCAGAAGAAATCAGATGATCAGGGCAACAAATTGTCAATAGTACTATTTGGTGAATAATAAAACGCCATGCTATCTTATATCATACATGTAAGTGTAACCTATGTCCAATGCAGGTGTATACTCTTTGCTTTTTCCCAAACACCATGCTTTAAGCCGAATGTATCCAATACCTTAATCATGTCCATGCCCATGTCCAATGCCATCATATATAACCTAAACCATTGCTATCATAAATATCCCAAAGTCCAATGCACGCTGAAAAACCAACTCGATCAAAAGCTTGACTTTTGATAGAAGTGTTCGAGGAATGGACAGGTCTAACCATCACGACGGCGAGATGGAATTATTGGAGCAGCCACCACAGCGACGAAGACCATGTCTATACAAACACAGGTAGACACATTAGTTAGCTGTCCTGTTATCCGACGGAATACGGAGTACTCACAAGAGAAATGAATGTTGGTGGTGCGTTCCGCATTAGGAAGTTGAGGGCGCGAGATAGGCAGTAAATTCTCCTCTATATGTAAAAACAATCAGCACATTATCGATGTTGAACAAAGATAGAAAGAATACCTCTTCTGGTAAGTCGCCGAACCCAGCGCGCCATCAACTCCCATATGGCATGCAATGTTTGGGGCACTGTTAGGAATATACTAATCAGTTGTAGAATGGAATCAATGGATAGAGACATTCCCGATCTTATTTTAAAGAAAGTAATATCAAAATGATAATAAATAATAATGATAAACAACGAAAGAATGTATTGATTTATTTACTACAATATGAATGTTTGTAGTGGTTAAGTACTCTTTATACTTGGGGAGAGGGGCTTTTGTCTTTCTTTGGTCTTTCTTTTTCTCTTTTTTTTTTTTTGGTATATTTTTATTGGTTCAATTTTTCGTGTAACTATTATGTTTAGACCATCCCTGCTGTTAGTGGGACATAGTCACTACATTGCATGAAATAGCCTGTTGTAGGAATAGATACCACTGCGCGTAACTGTGGGCCACATCAGGAGGCTGTGCTAATGAATACCTTCAACGCTGAATGCAGTATACCGCACCTCAGTGATTAGTTCAATATAATCCACCTATACATTCTCCCACGCTCTCTACGTACCTCTAGGATATTACCTAACAGCCAACCTGCCATAGACAGCTTAATCTTATCCACGCGGAAACAGAATATCTAACTGAACTGAATGAGAATTGAAGCTATAGTGTTCGAGAACACACCCTTTATATTACAGAAACTCATCCATCCCTCCCAAGTACGCATGTGAAATGGAACCCTACCTCGACCTTGAGATATCATCCGAACCACTACTGTCTTTACAATTATACATGTTAGCATGTCGAAGCAAATTAGAAATAAAAAATACATAATCCAATCGTTGCCAGCGACACAAGCTACAAGCAGCACTTCATGCTATTTGGATGTGGTGTCAGTATGGATTGGACAGATCGAACAGCAGCATGAACACCGTATCAAACATAATAACCATAATCATAACTAGGACTCAGCATTGTGTCTTGGAGCAAACCAGGTGGACTGCACCTCCAATATCTTGCACAGCGATCCCTTCATTAGATTTTCTTGGGTGGAATCGAGACTGCTGCGCCTCTACTATGGAGGACTGGCTAGTTGGATCCTTCAGTCCAGAGTTTCTCCTTCCTTGCTCTCTCTTTTTATTTATTTTATCAAATATTTCCCTTGTGTGTACAGCTGGGCAGTCGCATCTGACATCATCACATTCCATACGCATAATAGCACGCAAGTAGTGGCAACCCATTTATCAAGTTCGTAATTGAACACAAATATTATTATCCATAGCATATCAACAGCCCGTCCAATTCCAGTCATGAAGTTCGAATCCCCCAACTTATTGTCGGCGGGAAAGACATTTTGGTTGCTCCGTGCAAGTTTGAAGAACCCGGGAGCGATGATCCCTGCCTGAAGCACATCAGAACCTCGTCTTCAGCCTCCTTGTTCGGTATATAAGTTATTCCATTTGGATGCTTATGTTATGATTTACGGAGTCTAGGTAACTATATTTATTCTATTACATCACTTGACTTTTTGTCCTTATGGCAGCCTTAAAATATTATTTGAGGAACATAACCTTTGACATTACTCCAAGCACCCTAACGATGCTATATTCTATAAAGTGGCTTGTAACAGAAACAACTCTACAGAGTTCAAGAAAATAACCCATATACTCATAGACTCATCCAACTCAAGTACGTGTACGAGATGGAACCCTAACTCGACCTCGGGATACCATTCAGACGGCTATTGTTTCTATCAATTATGCACGTTAGCATGGAGAAATAATTATATCCAATAGATGTATACTGGCTAGAAACATCATATTCTATATGAGTATCATATGTAAAGATAACAGGATGTATTTTACTGGTGTTGCCAGGACGCCAAATGGATAATTCTTCTAAAGTATGAGTATCTAAACAGCAGACCAATCGAACGGCTATGGAATTATTGTTATTTGCACCTAGGGTTGAATATTTATCCAAAAGACATTAGGTACTCTATAGTGGTTCGGAATAAAGCTATATAGCATTACAACCAACTGCCTGCTCTAGTTTGATCTTGAATAGGGTTATATTTTCATTTGCCTGCCATCTCACTTCCTAACCACGATGAAGATGAGATGAAATACTCTGGGAAGCCACCCCGAGGACTATTGTTTCTATATAACCCGACAGATTAGGTATGCTCTTGTTACATGGTAGAAATACTGACGGGAAAAATGAATATTGGTGTTGTGTTCTCGCCAGACAGGCAGGACATTCTCTATATAAACCAATCAGCATAGCGCATTACAAAAGAACAAAGTAGAAAGGATAGTAGGTACCTCCTCTAGTAGAGTGTTTAAACCAGTGTATCGCCAATTCTAACATGGCAAGGAGTGTTTGAGGGAGTTCCATGAATGCCTGGAGGACGAGAGACATTTTCAATAGTATTCGATGAACAAATCCAATTGATATCAAAAAGGAGAACAAAAGAACGATGAAACGAAACGATTTAATCTTTGGGAAAAAAGTGAAATGGAGACACTCTTTAAATATTTGGGGGAATCGTTAGTATAACCACCAATACTAGATATAATCCCTAAGTAGAAGGTGGTTTGGACCCATTCGTGGAGTATCACTATTTATTACGCGTGGTTATTTAGGCAATGACTACGTAGATAGGGTTCTCGCTGGAAGATCGAGTTGCCAAATAGAGAGGATTCTACCAAATCACACTAACCTAATTTGATATCAAGTGATTGAGATACATAGAAGAAGATTACTGGATCAATGGCCCATTTAAGTGGGTAAGCCTAGGGCAGGGATGGTGATCCCTGAACAGAAGCACCGAGAGCTGCGGCGGTTAGTTAATACACTGATGGCATTACTACAAGTTAGGTAATGATCGAAATAATTTGGTCAGTAAGAGAACCAGACTTATTTATATAAAGAAATTAAATAGCTATTTACAGAAATTTAAAGGCATAATCGTTACTCATAGACTCATCCATCCCAAGTACGCCTAACTCGCCCTCGAGACACCATTCGGACGGCTATTGTTTCTATCAATCATACACGTTAGTATGATTAAATGATTATAGAAAAACATTAAACAGAGATAAACCCACGAGAGACATCATATTCTGTATAAGTTTCGTATAAAGGACTGGCAGCTGGTTGTACTGCATTGGTGTTGTTGTGGATGGGTAGCTCTGAAGTATGAGTATGAGTATCTATATAGCAGATCAATTAGTATAGTATGTAAGATATAAATAAAATAAGCTAAGTAACCACCAGAATGAAAAAGAAAAAAGAAGATACCTCTGCCAATAACACCACGAACCCAGTATACCACCAATTCCCAAACAGCATGGATAGACTGCGGAACAGCCAGAATAAGACTGACAAGTTGGAGGATATCATCAAGGGATAGCATGTCGAAGTAGAGTAAACAAAATCAACAAAGTTTGAGAAAAGAAAAAAAAAAAAAAAAAGAGAGAGAGAGAGAGAGAGATAAACAATAAAGAATAAAATAAAGTTCCAATCTTGTCTGTATAGATCGGGCTGGTCTTTTCGAGTCGATCACATGCAGATATTCTCTAACGAGTAACAAGTCAACACGACCAGGTATGATTGAAACAAAAGAACAAAATGAAAAGTAAAAATATAATAAGGAAAGAAATACAGGTAAAATTGAAGCGAGAATGTGCAGTATACTTCTTCAATTACTATCAAGAACAAACGAAGTGGCTACGGTATATAGAAGATTCGGGCAGCTATTTATTAATGGATGGAAATGCATGGGAGGAGAAGAGGAGAAGAGGAGGGAAAAGCGGAGCCTGATGGATGAGTATCAGTTGGCAAGGCTGGGAGAAAGAATGGGAGTGAACAAAGGACTTTCCCCACTTTCTGTGGTGTTCAGACAGGGAAAGCCCCCTGAAAGAGAAACGTATTTAAGGGCAGGGAATAAATAGCACTTTCTGTGGTGTTCCGACTAGGGAGTTATCCCGGACCGTCACTGACTGGCCTCTAATGATGGCGCCCGCAGCAGGATTTGTTCTCATTGGTACTCCGTACTTGACCTGCATTTGTATCGACATGAGCCAAGAGTCGGAGCATCGAGAGTCTAGATGTAGAAGATCCGGTAGCAGAGTATTGGTTAAAGCGTAAGGTACAGCAGAGGCTATAGGATGAATATCTTGATATAAATATTGATTTAAAGGCACTACTTCATACTACTTGATACTTATCAGGACAAAACCATTGACATTACTACCAACCACCCTAACAACACTCGGTAGTAACTAACATCAATATCAATTAATAAGAAAGAGGAAAAGAAGAAAATCCAAAGCAAAACGATAGATGGTATTGCAAATGACATCAAACAGTCACAGTCAGATGAGAATAGAAAGAATAGAACCGAATGAGATGAAATGAAGTGATGAAAAATGAAGAAATGAAGAATTATACAGTCAGTTCCAGAGGCTGGATCCTTGAAACGCCTAAACACGCCCCGATTCTAGATGAATGTTTTCCCCTGTCGCCCCCAAAATCCAAAGCCGGACTCGTATCGTTCAAGGTAAAATAAAGTAATGAGTAAGAGGAAGAGGAGAAATGAAAGATAAAGCAAAGGAGATCAACATGAAAATGGTAGATGTAGATGATAGAATAAAATGAGATGATAAAGTGAAAATGATAGAATGATAGACGGAGAAGTGAAAAAAAAAAAGACACAAAGAAGAAAGATGATGAAAGAGGGAAAAGGGGGTTGTGCCTGTCCAGCTGCCGATTCGGTATTATCGACCTTTTCGAGACCCAGCTGACAAGCATTAAACATAGATAGCAAAGCCATATGCAAGCTATCAGTACAACCCAGTCGTGATTCATAACTTCCATCGTGAATTCGAATTCGTCAATAGGTGTACCCTTTTCATGAGCCCATTATCCGATCCATTTTTTGAACCCAGCCTTCAACCCCAACCCAAGAGCCGCAAACACCTTGTAAAAATCAAACCAAAACCGAACCAAAATATAATAAACCCCGGCAAGTCACGTCTCGCCGCTTACCTCCTGGTGTGCGTGGTGGTTTCTGCGCTTCCAGAATGCTAGGCGCAGTCGACTTCGACGCTTCGGCAGCCTGCGAGGCGGCGTGTGCTCACCGGGAGATTCCTCTCCGTGGTGATTCCCGTGGTGATGCCCGTCGTTCTTCACGCTCCCAGCAGTCGTCGTGGATTTGGAAGAACTGCCTCTTCCGTTCCCGAACACGGTGGCCATGACATGGTTCTTATTCCCGTCATCCACATGTTGATCAGATCGATGAGACCTATGCGAGTTATGGGATGTATGGGAAGCACGAGAAACATGGCTCTGGCCAGAAGAGCTGTAGGTGCCCTGGTGTTCTCGATCGACTGGGGTGTATGCGTTTGAAGAACTCGCCCGCGTGCTGGTACTGTCATGGTGTTCGTGTTCCCCAGTACTGTCTCGGGGAACACCCTTGTCGTCGCCACTATCCACTGTGAGAAAGCTGGTGGCGTTGGTAGCCGGAGAGATGGGTGTCATATTGTTGCTGTACGCACTGATGCTTTGTGTGCGGGTGCAGCTGTTTCTCTGAGACGTCGAGGGTGCCGACGTACGCACAGACGAGCCGGTGTTGGCGTGTTGGCGATGCTGGCCCTGAGGGCCATGGCGTGAACTGCTTGGTCGTTCCGAGGCGTTATCAAGTGAATGATCACGGTTCCTTGAGGGGTCTTGAGCTTCGCCCTCGTCCATAGATGCATTGGCAAAGATAACAGCTGCCAGGACCGCTGGGTCCCGTGCGCGGTTGGGGTCAAGCGTTGGCTGTTGGTCACCCTGGGGAGGATGGATTGGCGGCGCATTTCTGTCCGGCCTGCTTGCAAGCGAAACCATCGTAAGATCGGGTACGGCCGTTGATGATTTCCTAGACGGTGTTCCGGGAGGATATGGGCTCCCCGTGATATCCATCGAGGGACCAGGTGTATCCGGCGAAACAACCGGACTTATGGTATTTTCATTTATGGCCCTTTGTTCGACAGAGTCTTGACTGGGCGAATGGGTGCTACCGAAGTAGTCGCTATCGTCGCCAGTCTCAGTAGTCGCGTGTTGGAGGTCGTTAGGTGTTTCCGGGGGTGGTTTAGGAGTTCCCACAGGCGCAGAACGACGCTCCTTCACTTCCCTCGATTCGGAAGGTGGACTTGAAGAACGGGGAGAAACGGTATCCTCTGAGCGTATCTCCGCCTGCAGGATTTGCTTCCTCTTTTCCAAATCCGCAAGGAAATGCCATTTAGCCTGGTTGCTTCGAATCTGCTCAGCCGTAAACTTCAACTGTGGCAGGATATCCGATACACCCTCGAAGAGAGGAAGCGCAAAGATCGACATGAACCCAATCTGGCCAGTGGCCAGTTTGTAGATGTTGCCAAGTTCCGGAGGACCCCCAAACAAAGCAGTCTCCATGCCAACCTCCTTTTCCATCTCGCCTTGGTTGGCAAACTCTTCTTGGAGAATCTTGGTCCATTTCTCTGCAACCTCCCACGGCCGCGCCACATTGCTGATATCGGCACACTTGATCAACAGACCACACAGGAGCGACTTGTACATTTCGATATCTTGAACCTTCCACCCGTCGACGGTCTTGTTGTTCTCGTAAAACCGTTCCTGCAATGACCCTAGCCTTTCCATGAACTTCTGATGAACGCCCATGTCTGTCGCCAGAATCGAGCTAATAAGCAGCTTTCGAAGCTGCTTATCCTTGAAGGCGGCAGGCCAGTGACGGCGTAGAATCTGAGAAAAGGCAGCGCAGTGGAATGCCTCCAAGACAGAGTTGTCGTTGTAGAGCTGCGCCAAGGGTGAATTGAGCTTGACGAGAAAGAAGTTGTTCACTCCAGGGTGGCCAACATCGTGGCCAATAGCAGAGATCAAAAGGGTGAGCGCATCGAACGGGGCGAGAAGAGAGGCAATGGGAGTCGAGGAACCAAGTGCGGGAACGGCAGATGAGTACGGGGGCAAGGCGCCAATATGAAGCAGGAAGCAAAAGACAGACTGCAAAACATCAATGGCATGGCGAAAGTTATGGTACAGCACAAATGAGTTATAGGCAGCGCGACAGGCGAGTAAAAATGTCCGAAGTTCGCCTAGATATTGTCAGCTGACAGTGACGCCCTTCACCGGGCTCCTTCACTTACCTGGAGTCAATCGCCAGTGCTCTAACTCTGGCATCTGGAATGCATGCTGAAGCATTTCGCACGCTCCAAAGACAAGTTCATCCTCCGAGAACTCGTGGGCTTTGAAATTCCAGTTTCCAATTTGTTGCTTGACGAATTTTTCACGTTCAGGGCTTACATCCAGTTCTCTGTTGCTCATAATGAGCTGATGAGTTGGTGATATAGGGTCATATCCTACGTACCGATCCTGAAATTCTTCGATAACTTCTTCTGGATCACAAATACCTTTCATGAGTTTCGAGACCCTGGTGGCGTTAGTCTGGAAGACACAAACCGCTGCATTGGAAAGGCACTTACATGGCTTCTCTCAGATAAGCATATGGCTGCTCATCATGAACACCCACCCAAGAGTGTTTTCGAAGCTTTCTCCTAGCCAGGAACCGTGATTGTTCTTTTTGCGCCGATTTTCGAGTCCGATACGCATGGACCACAAGGCCCTGTACCCTAGATCGGTCCAACGGAGTTGTGAGAACTTCGACGGCCCCAGCATCCAAACACCGAGTGATTTGATGAGGATCTGCTGTGAGAATGTTTCGGCTTGGCTGTTCAACAGGGCTGCTCGTCATTCCTGCAGACACGGTTCGCAAGACTGCAACAGGAACGATTACATTGGGCGATTCTTGAACTTGAATATCGGCGGAGACCCCCGACAGCAACTGCAGGCCATAGGTTTCCTCCGATTGGGAGGAGAAAGTAAAGCCATGTCGCAAAGAGGAAGGCGAAGGAGGACTGGTCTCCGACCATGACGCACGGCTGATCTTACGACGAGCCGGACCGATTTCATCGGTGCCAAGATCGATGTCGAAGAACGCAAAAACCGGTGTGCAGTTATATCCGGCACGGTCGCTAAGTTCTGCTAGTTTTGTCGCAAAGGATGTTCCTGCATGGCACAAATAAACTACAAGGGAAATCCGATCAGCAAACCGATCTCGGATGGGAAATGCCGGGGCAGTGATTGGAGGGAAAGGGACATACTCTGTTTGCACACCTGCAGCAAAAGTTCCACATCCGACCGAAGCGACTCGGGTTCTTCTGCGATCACCGAGACGCTACCCGACGAGGTCGTCGACGCATCGGATAACCTCCTGTGCACCCATCGCTCTGACTTTACACGATCATCAATATAAACGGCGGAACACTCCATGCGATCCATGTTGTCGGAATAATTTGAACCGACCATAGTTTCCACTTCTCCGATCGGACGTCAGGGTCACAAAGCCAGAGAAGCGATAGAGACAAAAGAAGAGATCAACACTATTCGATCCGAACACGGTTTCATATGGTTGAATACCAGGATCAAACTCGGGCTCGTCGCGTAGGTCGAGAGGTGTGTTCTGAGGAGGGTGTGGGGGGGAAACGAGCGGCTGCGGGTGAAGGATACAAAGGAGAAAGGCGACTAGTGTTGTGAAAGAAAGAAGGATAGATCTGTGTTATTCCACCGAGTCCGATCCTCGAGAAGAAGCCGGAGAGTCGAATTCGTAAAGGACGAAGAACAACTGGTCCAAGCGAATAAAAAACCAGTGATCAGCGATTCCAGAACCCAAGCGACTGCGCGAAATCTCCAACAATGGGGTTTGTTCCGCTGCAGCTGTCCAGCCCCGATAAGGGGAAAATGAAATCAAATTTTAAATCAGGGTAATGGGTAGTAGTTTTTCTCTTTGATTGCAGAACCTGCGGGGGGTGCAGCACCTGTCTAAGAGTCCCTTTCTGAGACAGCCCAGTCTTTGTACTGCACCGGAACCACACGCACGTTCGAACGAGGCGGCCGGACGGCTGGCTGCAATCGCCACAAGAAGAACTCGGGAGGATAGATCGGGATCGAGGGAGAGTAGAAAGGCGATCGCGAAATCGAGGAGGATTGATAGCTAGGAAAAGATTATACGGCGAGGGAAAAGGTCGGGTGCGAAGGTCCAATTGGTAAAGGCTCGAACAACCGCGTCGTCGTCGTCGTCGTCGTCGAAGAACCGGGGTCAATGTCGCCGATCGTGAAACCCACCAAAGGAAAGGAACTCAAAGCGTCGCGACGCATGCAGTCGCAGTCTAGAGTGTAGAAAAATAGAAGAAGAGAATCCGTCTGGTGTGTGGAGAGTAGGAGTGAAAAAAAGAAAAAGAAAAAGAAAAAGAAAAAAAAGAAAAAAGAGGTCCTAAGGCGTCATGGTGGGCCGCCGAGAGGGCCGCACGGGGAAGGATGGCACGAGAGATGGAGAGATCGGAAGAAGGGGGATGGAGGGAGGCGATGGAGGCACGGGGATAGAAGTGAGGAGAAAGGAAGAAAGAAGAAAGAAGAGAAGATGAAGATCCCTAGATTGGATGGATGGGGGGAGGGGAAGAATGAAGAGGGAAGAAGAAGAAAAGGAGACGGGAAAGAGAGACGGTAGAGATGTTAGAGAAGAAGAAGAGAGAGTGATAAAAACAGGAAAAGGGAAGAAGAAGTGGAGAGAGAGCGAGAAGAATGGGGATGGAAGGCAGGATAGGAGGATAGATTGCAGAGTTAAGAGCAGTCAATGTATCCAAATCCCCGGGGAGAAGAAGAAAAGAAGAAGAAGAGAAGGCAAAAGAGGGTTTTCTGCCCGCCTTCTGGAAGGTCGGGTGGATATCACCATCCATTTACCATATTATTTATATTTATATCGTGAAATATACCTACAAATAAAATAAAATATAAAATATCTTACAAAATAGAATAAATATCTCTAAAATAAAAAATATTTATTTATGAAATAAATAGATAAAAAGACGAACAACACAAGAACAACACACAGATAAAGTGAGCGGAGAGAGTGGAGCGGAATGACGCTTAGGCAAGCGACCGAATCAATTATTATTAGTTCTGCGACTTTTCTAGAAAAGAAACATGCCGTGTCTTTTTCTTTTCTTTTTTTCATGTACATTACAGTACGGGATCCTAAAATGATAATTTATCCAATTTGACTTTATATTTCTTGTTTCACTTTGTTATCCGGTTTGATCGGCCCATTCAGATGAGGTGGATTCGATTTGGTCGTGGTTGACTCGATACTGCGTACAGTTACACGCACAATATTATTTAAGATTATTATTTCCAGTTCTCTATCATCTACAAATACAGAATAAAATGTAAAAATGTACTGTAAAAGCAATAATATATTCTAGAAGTTCCGTGCATACACACAGTCAGCATCACCACCACAGTGGATCTTCAGTGGCGATGATGCGATTTATGCTTAGGGCACAGACAAACCCTCGCGCTGATTCGCAAACCATGCCTGGCCAGTTGTGGTCCATGATGTGATGGATGATCCTGTGGCGAATCCTCACACTACCTTTTTTTTTTTTTAAACTTCTTTACTGTGACTGATGTCAAGGTTGAAGATAGAATACTGTTAAAATGAATAAATATTATTGTGTCTACTCGATTAGATAGTGATAGTTTATGCATGTAATCCGATGAGGACATGGCTGTGATCCACCAGACAAACTATCCCTCCTCTGTATCTACAGCTTCAGTCTTCTACTTCTACGATGTACATCCTCAAAGTTGGTCTATGTATAACATCACGTTCATCCCTGTTCATCCTGCTCATCGTTACTCCTTCCATCACCTAGCGATTCGACCTCCCCATACCCCGCATACTCCCTCCTACACGCCTACTGCACATCCCACGCAATTCGCTTGTTGTCCTACGCTTTCTACTGTCCTACGCGCCGATCAAGACACATTTATATCTGATTCGATATCTCTAGGTCACAGGTCACAAATGCAAAAAAAAAAAAAAAAAAAAAAAAAAAAAAAAAAAAAAAAAAAATAGACCATTTTAAAGAAGAATAAACTCAAAAAAGTAACACGCTGATAGATGCCCGTCCCAACCCATGCTGTTGCTTCTCCTGCCCGGTCGGTCCGGGTTCTCCGGACCTCGTTAACACATGCAAAAAAAGTCTCTCGCTGATACATAATATGAAGAAGATCAAGACAAAAAGAAAATCGAGGGAAAAAAAAGAGAGAAGCAGGGTGACAAAAATGAATAAATAAAGTGAAAGGAAAAAAAATATAAAATATGCGGACAACTGGCATCGTCCCAATTCCCTATTTTTCGATGCCAGAAAATCAGAAGATCGTACAAAACCCTCCTTCCATCGTTCCCACCAAGATTCATATATAGCCTAGGACAGTAGATTCTTCAATGATGGACTGGCGCTGGCTCCAGATCCACCGCTCGTCCCATTAACACTTGCGTGTCGCCCGCTGCTCATCGGCACCGCTGGGGCGGGAACGGGCGTGTCCTCTAACCGACTCGGAGGTGTCGGACCCCGCGGATCAATCTGTGCTTGCGAGACTGGCGGTGACTGCGCTGGCACGCTGAGAACGCGATCCACTGAATAAACCCGAGGAGGTCCCGCGTTTAACGCGCTCAATGAATGCTGAGGCGAATGTCGCACCATTGTCGCTTGCACACTAGGTGGTGATGTCGACGATGCGAACGGCCGTGGTCCTGGTGTGTGAGAGGGATGCGGGGAAGGAACTGCGACGGGGCCATAAGGACTATGGTGTGTCGGATATGCCTGAGGCGGCGGAGGCGGTGCGCCATTGGTATAATGGGCTGGTGGTGGGGGTGGAGGTGCATGATGAGAAGGCTGCTGATAGCCGTTCATATGGTGAGGCGCATGGTGTGGTGGTGGTGGTGGTGGTGGCGCCGGGCCGCCATGGTAAGTCGGAACTGATATAGTACCATTGCGAAGCGCTTCAGGCGAGCGGGGGTCATACCCGGCATACTGAGGCGGAGGAGGAGCCGGTCCAAGTGGCCTTGGAAGAACCCCTGCAGGGGTCGGGTGTGCGTGTGGCCCGTAAGGATGAGGGTGGTATTCTGGAAGCCGTGGCGCTGGGAGGACCGGTCGCTGGCCTGAATACGGAGAGGGCTTGGGCTCAGGAGAGGGCGGAGCCGCCAAGGTCTTGAGATGACACTTGTGGCATTCATAAGACGTTTGCTGTTCTCCACCAGTAGGGCTGTAATCTCCGTTGGGCCTCGTTAAAGAGGGGCCATGGAATGGAGGACTACCCAACCCAATTCCATTCAGTAATGGTGTCCTGTTGCTAACACCGGTTAATCGGCGTGGTCTGTCGAGAGGCCACCACCTTGGGCTGAATGCTGAAGCGCAGCGTGCGCATTTCCTCTCCGCGTCCGTTCCAGTGACCGGACGAGGAGCAGGACCCTCTGAATCGATGTCCATTTCATCCGGCGCATCCACGGGTGATGTCGTTGAGTTCTTGGGGCCATCTTTGGTGGGCGACAGAGCTGCAACACCATTGACTGCGGATGGTCGTCGGTGTCCAAATACTGGGACATTTTGCGAGGCTCCAACAGTCTGTTGAACGTAGGCTGCCTTACGGATAGTTCCAGTCAAGGTCAAGTCTGCCTGCTTGTAAGTCTGGGCAAAGCGTTGCAAAGCATTGAGACCCTCCTGTTCTGTCGCTTCCCCTATGTCATGAGAATGGGGAGAAGCTGTGTGGTGAGGACACCAAATCGCCGGCGCAGCAGACCCAACTTCGTCGCCAAGTCGCATGCTGTGCACAGTATCCCTGCGAGAGCTCTTGACCGGAGTGATGTCAAATCCAAACTTGTACTGTGCCTGGAAAGCACAGCCAACGTGGAAATGAGCATTGCAGCCACTGTGATGACAAGAAACGCACGCGCCTTTGTTGGTCTTGCAGATCTTGCAAGTCTCGCGATACTTGTCCGCTGGAATGAACCCAAAACCCTCTGCAGGCTCAAGTTCTTTGGCGTTGCCGAATTTGATTTCGGGGGTCCAAACAGCGCACGTAACATGCACCCAGTTGTTTCCGGCGGTTCGCTTCAGGGGCTCTCGGGGGCCAATCGGTTTTCCAACAGCCTCTTGTCTCTGGCGGTACAGCTTGATAGCCTCGTTCACCATCTCCTTCTCCAGCCTTTCCTTTTCGCGATCTCGGTCTGTCTTCTTCTTGTGTGAAACTCTTGGCGCCTCCATCAGTTCGTGTTCGGTCCACGTAACAGGACACAGCACACATTCGTAACAGGTAGAGATCATCGGGTTCCTGTCGTTGGAGCACATGTCACACAGCCATTTGACACAGTTGCGCGACGGGCTGACACCATAGCAAGACCGATGGACGGTCAAGCGACAATCCCGACAGGACACATGCTGATCCCCCATAGGTTCCATGCTGTTGCAGATGGCACAAGGAAGCGTCTTGGCTTTTGGTGGATCCGGGATGATCGGTGCTGGCTCGGGGGCTTTTTCGGGAGCGGTCTTCTTCTTTGGCGCAGGTTCAACTGATGTAGCAGCCGAAGTTGCCGCACTGTCCTTATTATCCGCCCGTCCCTTGTTGTTCCCGTTATTGGTCTTCTTGCCAGATTCTTGCTGGACCTGAGGGTTGGCGTTAACAGGGACGCCAATCGAAGCTGCGGTAGCTGCAGTAGCACTGCTTATGCTAATGGGGATCTCTGTGGCGACAAGAAGTTGGGCCAGCAACTCTTCATCAACGCGCCGACGCCACGACTTATTACCGCTTTGAGCGATCTTCTTCGCGACTTCATCGACATTTTCCCACTGTATCCCGTACTTTCTCCACAGTAGTGCACACCGTAGACATAGGGCAACCTGGAGCTGTGGCCCTTTATCGCGTTTGTTGGACGACGGCTCCGCCGGAACCGTAGAGCCGGGCGCAACTCCAGGCGCGCGCCGCCACTGGCGCGAATTTCGCGTTGTACAAAATTTGCACTGGAACCCACGCTTCTTGTCGGCCGCTTTGTCATTATCAAAGGCAGAATCGTCCTGGTCATCAGCCACATCATCCACGAGTTTGGCGGTGGTGTTATGTCGCTTGGCTTCTTTCTTGCCCCGTTTCCCTTCGAAGTTGCCCCAAACCTGTCTACCCCGTGGCGTTTTCTTCCACATGTAATAGAATCGGACAATCTGGTAATGCGGAACGGTCTTGACATGCTTGGTGATATTTCGCCACTCGGATCCGTACTTGGCGACTCCTTGCTCGAATAATTTAAGCTCCTCGGGGCGCAAATGAGGCTCTTTGAGATCCTTGTACTTGTTGGCTTTCTTCAGCTTCGCGAGGGCGGCATCGGCGTTGAAGCTTTCAGAGTAGAGCAACTCCAGGGCCTTGTCCAGGAAGTTTGTCGAATACTTCTCAACTCCAATGTGGGGCGCCAGTTCCTTTGCGCGATTCATATAGTCATCGATGAATTTTTCCCGCTCAGCAGGGCTAAGTTCCGCGCCAGGCGCATCGTCCTCACCTCGGGAAGGCAGTTGCGAGGCAGTAGGCATTTTGAATTTCAATTCAGCCGTACGAACCTGCTTTCCACCCATCGGGACTGGCTCATCCTCTCCACGTCGGACGTATCCAGTTGGCTCATCCATAACCCATTTAGGGCGGTTTGCCTTTTCTTGCTTCGCTGCTTCAATTGCGGCCAGAGCCTCTTTTCCAAGCTTGGAGTCCTTGCGGCTGCCAGAGCTCTTCATGTACTTTTTCTTGATATCGATGGGTTTGACGTATTCCACAGGGCGTCCTGCCCATGGAAGAATGTTGGCCTGGTGTCGGGGTCCTAGTCGCGAACTCGCTCGGGGATATATTCGGTCATCGTAGTCCAAGGCATCTTCCACCCGACAGTGGATACCCAAATACCGGTACGGCCACATCCTGGCTTGCGCAACCTGTTCCTCCGTGGCTGGTCGAAGCGCTTCTTCCTCAACAAGAGCAGGGGTACTGCCACCGGTGCCGTTGCCGACGCCGTTTGGCTCTTCTTCTTCCTCCTCGATGATCTCTTCCTCTGGTTCGTGGTGGGATTCGCCCATAGTCGGAGTATTTCGAGCTTCGAGTTTCCGTTCCTGAGCACGGCTACAGGCCGCACAAGCCCAGGCAAAGCCTCGGGCTGGTTTCCTGGTCAAAACAGGTCGTACGCAGTACATGTGGTATGTGTGGTGGCAAACGGCACAGTCCACAGAATCAGTGCTGTCATTACTGTTAGAGCAAAAATGTTGATAAGCCAATAAAAAAACCTGAAACATACCTTGCAGCGTACAGACTACACCGCTTGCATGTTTTGACCGCACTTGTAAGCTCCTTTCTTTTTCCTATTTCAACGAGCACATATCTCCAACGCTCATCCAGAACCTTCTTGACGTTGGCGGGGACATTGATCACTTTTTTCGTTGGGATTACATCGTAGTAGCGATGAATGTATCGGTCAAACATCTTATCGTACCAAAAACGATCTCGAGTCTTTCTGTAATCATCGAAATCCTCGATTTCTGATTGATGTCGGATTTCACATTTTCCACGTAATGAGGTAAGCGGGCAAGTATCCGAGTGCATTGACGCGAACACCAATCTAGTGTCGGCAACGCTCCGCTGAATATCACGCGGTCTGTAATACCAGTTGACCCTTAATGCCTCAATCGGTCCAGACGGCCGATCCTTGGAAGGAAGAAATTCCATAATCCGTGCCAAATAATACGGCTCGCCAGGCGGTTCACAAATGAGATACACATGGTCTAAATCCTCATGTTAGTCGAATCTTTCATAAAAAATACGCGTAATTTATTACCATTCACGGCAAAAGTTGTGCCGTCATCGGCTTTCAGTTTGCCATCTTTTAAGCGAGCACCACTATTTTCAAAAGTGACCATATTTGTTTCACTTTGCCCTTGGACAATGCCAGGTGCAGTAGTGAAAATCTTCTTTGCAGCGTTGCCATTTGTCGTATTCGAGTTGTTGGGTGTGCTGGCTGGCTGTTTCCGTTTTCTCGATGAATTTGATGAGGAATTCCCGTCATCCGGTTTAGCGGAGAAAGACGAAGTCCCGGGAATTGATTCCTTGGCGGAGGGCGTCGAAGTGGCCCCATTTACAGCCGTGAGACTTTTTCGTGTATTAGATGAAGTAGTCTTTTCGCCTTCAGGTTTAGAGCCGTTGATGGTGTTATTCGGCGCCACGCCACTGGAGCGTTTAGACGATTTCGACCCCGGGTTGGCAACCTCGAGGTCCATGTCAATGTCGCGATCCTCAGCGTAGTTTGGACGAGGGGCATTTCGACCCCTCGATCGAGTCCCATAAGGAGCTGGAGTGGCGGAGGAGCTGGGAGGCTCTGCGCCCGCTACCTCAGAAGGCGATGCGCTGGTAGTCATGGGCTGAGGGTTAGGTTCATCCACGGTGGTTGGTGGTAGAGGGGTGGAAGAGCCTGCAGACCCCGGCCGGGACGAATGACCAGGGGTGGGCATTCGGCGTTGACTTGGGCTAGATGCCGACGAGTTGGGCCTCACGTGGTTGAGCTGGGACTTTGGAGGCGGTGATGGAACCGGGGACATGACCACCGCAGACAAAAGGGGGGAGCACTTGAATTAGATTGAAGTTGGGAGAGAAAGAGAAGAGACAATGCACTCCGGCGTTGTCACAATGTGGTGGGAACACCAAACTGCCTCAAGACGCGGAGGTGCAGAGCTCAGCAACGGGCCGTGACGGGAAGACGATCCCTCATGAGTCGAGCGAACACACAGGATGAGGGTGCATGCATCGAACGGCGGTGGCCGAGTATCAGACCCCAAGAAAAAATAAGAGAGTGAGTGCGGTGCAATGCAGCAAAAACCCGAAAGGAGGGATCTCGAAGAGAAAATCAGAAAAGTTCTGGTTGGGCCAAGATTTTTGGGTCCTCTCTTTTTTTTTTTTTTTTCTTTTCTTTTTTTTTCCTCCTTCCGGCAAGGGTGGGTGGATAGTGGAATGGAGGATCGATGATATGCCAGCGTGCGGGAACGAAAACGCACTGGGGATTCGGGATATCAAGATCGACCGTCGGAAGGGGACGAGGATAGACTACTAGATTGGGGGAGGAGCCTCTAGCGCCAGTGGCGGTAACAAGAGGACTAGCGGGAAGAAGAAGATCAAAAGAGAGAGAGAAGAGAGAAGAAAGCCGAGATTCGTCCGTAGGGGGGAAAGAGGAAGAATGGGAATGAGACAGACGAATATTTACTGGCGGAGGAAGAGAGGGAGGGAGAAAATGTGAAGGAGGGAAGAGGAGGAAGAAGAAGAAGAAGAAGAAGAAGAAGAAGGATAGTGGCGGTGGAACAGAGAAAGAAAGCAAAACACAATAGGCCAGACGAAACGGGCAGAGGGAAACAGCCGGGATTGTGTCTTTTCAGATACTACTGAATACTGAAGGAAGTAAGGTAGGTGATGCCAGTGTAGGTTAAGTTAAATAACGAAGCGGCCAAGAGCTTAATTAAGGCTCCGGAGGAATCGAGATTGGGATGCGGCCAACGGCGAAGGGGCGAAGAGGGAGAGGGGGGGAGAGGAGGGAAAGGGAAAGGGGAGAGAGGAAGAGGGAAATGAAGATGACGATATGAAGAGAAAGAAGAGAGAAAAGAAGAAGAGAAGAAGAGAATCAGGAAAGACAAGAAAGAAAGAAAGAGACAGGATGCCGACCAGCCCAAATCCACGTCCTCTTTCTGGTGCCCCTAGTCCCGATGTGTTAATATGACGGATCCTCCACCAAAAGGAACCAGACGGACAAGAGGAACTGAAAAAGAAAAAGAAAAAAAAAAATTGGGGGAAAAGAGCCATTCAGACGAGAAAGAAAAGGTATTATTGTCCCTCCATTTTCGATGAGACTGACAGGCAGACAAGCAGCCAGACTCTCTTACCGCGTAGTTATGTGTTTTCCCCTTGCTCTTCAAGGGCGGCTGTCGACCCGTTGGGTGATCTACGGAGGGAATTTAGCGGGATTGATTGCTTGCTTCTATCTAAACGCTGGAAAAAGGGATTGTGTGGGCCGAGCGAACCGATGTGAAGAATCGATCTGTAGGGAGAGTTAAAATACAGAATGTAGAATGTAGAATATATGATGGTGATAGCGATGGGAATGGGATGGATATAGCCTCATCGGAACTGGACACCGCAGGAAAAAAGAAAAAGAACATGAATCGCCATCCTGGGTGGCAGGAATGTTGTCACGTAGGGCAGCGCATGCGCGGTTGGATCTGAGGTTCAACGCCAAGTCCACCAGCAGCAGTCCGCATATATACGGGCATATCTACATATCCCATCTATCAGTAGGCGATCGATGGTCAGTTATTTATTATTGCCCATACACATCAATTCTGCATGTTCTTGATTCACGGGGGAATTATCTACAAATGACTCTTATCCTCCGTGGACGGCTGTTTCAACCTCATGAGGGAGAGGAGAGAGGGGGATGATTTAGCTCCCACTTGCAGAACACACCAGCCCCATCGGACACGATCCCTTTTGCCTCCCTGGGACGAGTAAGAACCGGATTATTAAAAAGTGTTGGTAAGTACGAGTACTAACACTAATATAGCGTATAAAAAGCAAATATCCGATCTTCAATGTCTGTAATCCAAATGAGATATTAAATTGTCCAACAAGTACACACAGTAGATGCCGATGCTGTGGTGACCATTTCCGACCCGCAAATGTGGATTGCTTTTCTTTTTCTTCCTTTCTTGTACGACCCAATAGATATGGACACTAAAATGGACAACCGAGACGGAAAGGGGATGGCCAGCTGTCGATGGTATGTGTTTCATGCCAGCAGTTACCTTAGGATCATAATTACCCAGCAGCCATCTAGGAAAATATAAATACCAGGGATTATTATCTGCATGAGGATTGGTCGCATGATGATGCCCTGGAAGTGGTGATAACACCACCTACAGATGGGCCGACCATGCAGGCAAGAACTCCACATCAGTGTCAGAAGTAGTACAGTCTACAGTAAAGTACTCCTAGGAGAGGTATAACCTAGGTGGGAGATACCTACCGTAATTTGTTTGCAGATGATTTGCCACATTACCTACCCTGCCACCTCAGCAGGAAAACCCCCCCGTCTTTCGGCTATGGACAAGTGATGATGCTGATGGAAAAATCAAAAATGTCCATCAGTCCACGGCTCCAAGCTTTTGGGAACGAGGTGCATGCACTACTGCTCTCAGATAAACTTTATTGTCATTGCGCGGATCACGCATGATATTCTGTATTACCAGATATCAGTCGAATAATAATAATAATAATATCGGATAGTATTTCAGTTCATATGACAGACGCTATTCACGAATCAGACCCGAAAGTTGAGTTGGACAAAATGAGTTAGTTAAGACAGACAGTTGGAGTAAAATGGTGTCTTTTGTTTCAAGGGATATCACCTATGCCCCGCTCCTGGTAATCGTATGTATGTGTAATGGGCCCATCACGCGAGAACATAAGTAGACAGTCGACACGAATACCTACTAAAGAGAGGGAATTACCAGGGCCGCCAGTCCTACTTTAGCTCCTAAGTGTGCTTCCGCAGCAATGGTCACATCGGGTGGATCGCTTTTTTCTTTTTCTTACTGGTCATGCCCAATGTATTCGAATGAGTAATAGTACGAGTACTAGGTACTAAGTGATGACTGAATTCCATCAAACACAGTTACTACAGAGTACTTACCAGTAGTCTAGGTGCCTATATATAACCGTTTATCGAATAGAATATCAGAAGTGAGGGTTAACAAGGGGTCAATATATTTGAAGCCCAACTGCTGTCGTATCAGGTGACCACAGGCAGCATTGACTACGACTGCCTAACCTGTCACAATATCTGATAATATATCTGATAGCTGCCTGCTAGTTAGCTAAACACTGAACTGAATGCTGACTGAATAGCTGAACAGCTGAACATGATTAGTGAATAGTGAATACCCCATAACTGTGCCTCTGTCTGTGCTGGAAACAAAGGCAGGTGGGTCGCTCTTAGTCAGCCCGATCCCAGGCTTCCCGTTGGGCAGGCGAAATCGACGATCCAGGAACGTTTTGCACCGACTTGGCTGTTAGCGCGCCCGCTAGTCGGCACGCTAGCCCGCTTGGGGAAGCCACTGCAGTCGCTGCCTGGATGCGGCTGGTGTCTGTGGCTGCGCTTTCCCGAGACAGGCGCGTTGCACCGCGTCTTGATATCCTCAATGAAGAGGCAACTATTAGCATTATTTATAAGAAAACATAGACTGAAATAGAGAGATCACCTCCTGAGAGGTGTTTATGTTGGACGAACTGTTTCTATCACTTCCGCCCATGATTTCGACAGTACACTAGAAAATCTACCACATAGCATGTCAGCCCAGTCCGGACAGCCATTCCAGACAAATGGCTTTCAGACTTCCATCGACATCGCCCGTGGCCAAGTTTATGATGTACCCTCGCTGGCCGGACACAAGCGTCCCCCAGACCATCCCCCAGCTGACCCTCCCAAAACCACCACTACCATAAATCATCATCCCAGTCATTATCCCATCCGCCCTTCTTCTTCTCATCCCCGAACCGCCAATCAAACCGGTTTATTGCCGGGCTCCCGTTCGGGCGATTTCGCCCGTGCCTCTGTGACCCCTCCGCCGAGTCGTTTGGTCGCTAGTGAGATTCATCCGGTCACGGCCGCCGTCAACGGTTACCACCAGCGCGCAGACCCGCCTGTTGATGTCCCAGGTCCGGATCAGGATCCTCTCCTCTCACTCAGACATCCCAGATATGGTTTGTCTCCGGCCCTGGTGGCTAATTTTGCTGCCCTGGGTGTGAAGAGTATCTACCCGTGGCAGGCGTCATGTTTACTCGCGGAGGGCCTTTTGAAAGGCGAGCGACACCTCGTCTATACGGCTCCGACGGGTGGAGGGAAATCGCTCGTCGCGGATGTTCTCATGTTGAAGCGTATTATTGAGAACCCCTCGCGCAAGGCGATTCTGGTTCTCCCCTACGTCGCGCTGGTGCAGGAGAAGCTCAAGTGGTTGCGCCGTATCGTCGACAACGTGGAAAAGTATATTCCTGATGATGGTGGGGTCGACTCGAAACCGTTCCATCAGCGCTGGAAGAAGATGCAAAAGTCAATTCGCGTGACGGGATTCTTTGGCGGGAGTAGAACTACGGCTTCCTGGGCTGATACCGACATTGCCGTCTGTACGATAGAAAAGGTATGGTACATCCTTGCTACACCGCATTCTAAAATCTGCTCATGTCTTATAATCTACAGGCGAATTCGCTCATAAACACGGCCATTGAAGAGTGCAATATCGGGGATTTGGGCGTCGTCGTTCTGGACGAATTGCATATGTTGGATGATGAGCACCGTGGATACCTCTTAGAACTCATGGTCACGAAACTACTGCTGCTTCAACAAGATATCCAAATTATTGGAATGAGTGCTACGCTATCTGTATGGATATCAAGTCTTTTGTCATACTTTTCTAATCCGGACAGAACACAGAATTACTGGCACAGTGGATGAATGCGAAATTCTTCATCTCAACTTATCGACCAGTTCCTATTGATGAATACCTCGTTTACGAAAATGCAATCTACCCAGCGGTGACGTCCAGGCAGCTATTCCAGACAATTAACAAATTGACGGCAACAACGCCGACATCCCTTGCTGAAACCATGCCCCCGCACCGGAAAATCAACGCCTCGACTGCCCGGCAGCTTTCAAATCCCATGACTAATGCCATGGTAGCACTGGCGATTGAGACAGCTGCCGGAGGATTTGGGGCGTTGGTCTTTTGCGGAAGTCGCCAAGCTTGTCAGATTCATGCCGGGGTAATGAGCGAGGCAATGCCAGTATCGTCTCCCGAAGATCTGAGCAAACGATTGGATCTGCTCGCCGATCTACGAAGTCAGCCCAGCGGTCTTGATCCGGTTTTGGAGACTACTCTGGTCAAGGGAGTGGGCTTTCACCGTTAGTTCCCAGTAGTCACAATTTATAAATGCAAGCTAACCCCATTCAGATGCAGGCATGACAACCGAAGAACGAGAATTGATCGCGCAGGCGTATGATCAAGGTATTTTGAGGATTCTGGTTGCGACATGCAGCCTTGCCGCTGGGGTCAATCTCCCCGCAAGAAGGGTGATCATAAATGGCGCTCGCATGGGTCGGGAATTGGTCGGGCCCGCGATGCTGTATGTGTTTCAATATGCAATGCGTGCATGTTCTTGGCTGATTGACGCAGGCGGCAAATGTGTGGCCGAGCTGGGCGCAAGGGAAAAGACGAGGCTGGAGAGACATACCTTATCTGCGGAAAGGCGGACTTTCAAGCTGTCTGCGACTTGCTTGAGGCCGACATGCCCGCTATTGAGAGTTGTCTAGCACCAGAAAAGAGGGGTCTTAAGCGGTAAGCCATCGACTCGTGTAGGACAGACTGTAGCTAATATGTTCCAGAGCGCTTTTGGAAGCCATCGCAACCGGACTGGCCTCCGGTTCCGAGGCGATCAAGGAATACGTGAAATGCACTCTTCTCTGTCGAACCATAGATAAGAAAATCACATATAGTATCATGGATTCTGCGCTCCAGGAATTAGTCGACGAAGAACTCTTACACTTCAGAGATGATGAGTCGTATGAAGCCACACAGCTTGGACAGGCGGTGGTTGCCTCGGCATTTGCACCCGAAGATGGACTTTACGTCCACGAGGAATTGAAGCAAGCGCTGCAAGCTTTTGTGATGGATGGTGATATGCATATCTTCTACATGTTCACCCCTCTTCAAGTGGCAATGCAAACCCAGATTGACTGGCAAATCTTCCGAGATCAGTTGGATAATCTCGACGAAAGTGGGTTACGGGCTTTGCAATTTGTTGGCGTGCAGCCCGGGTTTGTCAACACCATGTACGTCACTTCCTGGTATTTGTTGTAAAAAACTTCTAACAGTCACGCAGGGTGCAAAGCGGTGCTACGTTGAAAGAAAACACACCAGCTCAGGTAAAGCAAGCCAGAGTATATCGCCGGGCTTACACGGCATTCCAGCTTCGAGACTTGAGTAACGAAGTACCACTATCAACCATTGCCCAGCGCTATCGCATCCCTCGCGGGGCCGTACAGACTCTAGCGCAGCAATGTCACGGGTTTGCGGCGGGTATGGTCAAATTTTGTCAACGTATGGATTGGGGGATGCTCGCAGCGGTCTTGGACCACATGCGGGACCGGTTGGAAGCCGGGGCTCGGGCTGATCTTTTGGAGATGGCCCAGGTCACTTATGTTAAGGGTTGGACTGCGCGACTGCTACGGGACAATGGGTTCCGAAACTTGAGGGCATTGGCTGAAGCTGATCCTAAAGATCTTGTTCCTGTGCTTATGATGGTATGTCTTGCCTTCTTCTCCCGTATTAGCGTAGTAACCTTGTTAGGTGAATCCACGTAAAGCGCAAAGAACTCAACTATACCCCTCGGAAGCTGAGAGGTATTCCACCAAGTTGCTCACCAAATCCGAGGTAATTGTTGCGTCCGCGAATAAGATTTGGGGTATGTCCTTTCTTTTGTTGGGCTGGGTTCTCGATGCTAACTAGTTTATAGAGCGTGAATTACAGGTTGAAATGGACGAGTAATGAACATGGATTGGTATTTGTTGTGTATGAATCTAACGCTCAGTCTTGGAGATATATGATTAGAAAGACACAATAGACATAGAGCCAACTATTCTTGAATCGACTCAACAATGAACCTGAATTAGGCAAAGGACTTGCCGAAACACCATTCAACGCATCCTGCGCCTCCATCACCTCCCCCTTATCCACAAAATCCACAAGCACTACATTCGGCTTTCGTCCATACAGAGACTGGCACGAGTCACTCTGCGCTCCGATACTTCCATCCCCAGTGACAGCATTCGTCCTCGCCGCATGTGCCCGATCCGGAACAAGGACGCCTAGAATATCAACATCTAGAAAGTGATTGACGATATACATACGTCCATCGGGATTAACACCGGGAGGACGATCGATACTGCAATCCGGGATTGAGCCATTCGTCACATCGAAGGGCGTTTCGAAGAAATAGGCGAACTCGTCGAGAATATGCGGCGTTGATGTCGTATTCGCCCCGTAGTCTATTCATCACCTGATATCAATACATCTGCAGTTATCAGATAGAGATTGAGATATATACATACCCAAAAACACAACCAACCTCTTCCCCCTCTCAATCAAACCCCCCAGACTCGGCCACTCGTCTATCTCCAACCCTCCCGCTTTCTCCGGCACAAAAGCATACCCATCCAACCCCACCTTCTCAAACCCCTTCCCAAAACTCTCTACAGGCGCATTATCCCCATTCGTAAGCAGCACCGTAACGACCTCATCCGGATGCCCATCCAACCAACTCTTCACCTCACCCAGGAACTCCTCCAGCGATCCCCCATCCTCCAGAATACAAGACGTATGGCAGACGTGGAGGCTATCCTTGTCGTCGGTTGCGGGTGGGAAGTGGGTTTGGGCTTGGAGGAAGCGGATGCCGAGGTCTAGTTGGTCTGGTATGGCGAGGTTTTGGTTTTGTTGTGGGAGGGGCCCGATGAAGGGGGCGTCGTGGGAGGCGAGGAAGGTGAGGTTCGAGTAGGGGGTGTTGCAGTAGGAGGGGTGGCCGTTGCAGGTGGTAGTTGTTGGTGTTGGTGTTGGTGTTGTTGGGGAGGAGAGGGTGAGGGGGAGGGAGGTTATGAGGGGGAGAAGGTGGGAGAGCATTTTGATATTGGGTATTGATATAGAATGGGTCATTTGTAGATTTCTATATGGGTATATAGGTATATCCATCTATTTTATATTTGTTGCTATATAAATATGTTTAGATCATGGTCATATCAGCAGACTAGTATAGTAGTAGTGCTTGTGACTGAATCCATCATTTGATATACACATCCATCTGTTCTTTAACCATTCTACTAGTATCCTCACGTTGATATATCTGCAAATGAAAGATCCCTACATTGATCACATGTAGTATATCTGAATGACTAGGATGATCCTTGAGTAGCAGACCAGGATATATATCCAGATGACTGTGTCACTTAGACAATAAAGCCAACTAACAAGAATAAGAATTTATGTATACAGGATATATTATTTAATATAACAAGATAGACACTTGGAAATAAGCTCTGGATAGATCAATATTATGTCTATTATTCTGTAAGGTGCTTTGTCCCACTGTGGATCTGACACGAGGATACAAAAGTACTGTATCAACATATCGATACTAGCAGTATTAACGTGTTGAAATATTTGATGTGATTATTATATTAATGCTATATATTTATTGTATCAATTAGATCAATATCAATACTTTTATCATAGCAGTGAAGTGTGAAAGAGGTATGCGTTGTAAGATCGTGGCTGTGGGGTTCTTCCAGCCCCCGACCCAACCAAGGAAACGAACGCCAGGACTGAAGCTCTATCGATCATCTCTCCGAATCAACAACCAACTCTACCCTCTCATCTCAGCTTCTCCTCAACATCGCAGCCTACTCCCTCAGCACTGCTGCTTCTCTCGCCCCCCCAATTTGATGCGCCACACCTCTTCCCGATAACTCTCGTTCGTCGCGACCCCGTCAACCGTTGCCGCAACCTTCCCGCCCCGGATCTTCCCAACGCAGACACAACCCACCAGACCAATTCGGCGCCGATTTCAACTCATACTAGTTGCTTGATACACGGATTGGGAGCGATGGTCATTCGAACACTCTGCTGATGAGCTCCATGATCGAGGGCAGTGATGACTGGGCACGAGAGGATGAGCTCGACCTGGGCCAGGAGGACGAGGCCCACTTCCGTCGGACTCAGAATGGCACCCCCGACCACGACCACGGCAACGGCAGTCCAAGGGAAAGGGCTGGGGAGGAGATAGTTGGTGATGGCTCAATCGCGTATGGGGAGGAGGACACGCCGGTTTTAAATGGGCACAATACTGCTGTTGCCGACGTGGATACAGACGATGATGCTCCGCTTTCGAACCGAAATCGTGGTCCTGGGAGTGTGGATGAGACGGCTTCGACGCCGGATGATACGCCTTCTTTACATGTTTGTGCATGATTTTGAATGTTTTATGATTGATTTGGTTTGCTGATTTGTTATAGGGTTCGATTCTTTCGTCGCGGAGTAGCAGTGCTTTGGCCTTTCGCGGATCTCCTCTCGCCAGCCCGAGTCCCTCCCATCGTCCCTTTGATCTTCGTTTCCAGTCCCGACTTTCGACGTCTTCTCCCAGCGGCCTTCGCTCATCCTCGCCGTTTTTATTTCATGTACACTCGAGACACTCATCCCTAGCGAGCCAGCTCTCCCCGGGTACCGTCGATTCTGGGACCGATACCCCCCAAGGGCCGTGGGATGTTGTACGATGGACCAAGTTACGCAAGATCACTGGACAGGCGTTTTCGGAGGTCGGGAAGCGCAACTTTGGGCATCCTACGTGCATGGCCGTGTCGACGACTATCGTGATCGGAACGTCCAAGGGAATTGTCCTCGTGTTTGATTATCAGCAAAGCTTAAAGGCTATCATTGGGACGGGTACAAAGGGTATGTTCTCCGCTTTCTGGTATGGCTTGTGTTGCTTCTAACGGTTACCAGCTATTGAATGCGGAGCTATCACATCGCTGGCGCTTTCGGCTGATCATTCGACGGTCGCTGGTGGTCACGCTTCGGGCGACATCTTCACATGGGAAATATCGAGACCCGCACGCCATTTCCTTCATATACCACCTATACCTGCGAACCAGGTTGACACTCGAACTTCCGACGGTCATATATCAGGCTTTGCTGTTCTCCACCTGGGCTTCCTGGGAACCCGGCGCACTGCGCTTGTCTCTGCGGACAAGCGGGGAATGGCCTTTTCACACCTGGCTACGAGAGGTATGGGCGCAGTAGGACGGACAGTGAAGACGACCAGAATCCTAGGCCGATATCCTCAACCCATCGCAGAAGACCCCCGCCCGCGGAAACCAAGCGCCGTACTCGCCTTTTGTCCTCTTCCTCTCGGCAACGTCGACCAGCCCACTGACTCTTTGGGTCTGGTTGCGATGCTCACTCCATATCTCCTGGTTATAGTTTCCACTACCCCCGTTGCGCGAACCCAACATAAAGCGCCGCGTCCAAGGGAGGTTACTGCCCATGGTGCAATGACTGGAGCGCTGGCCTGGTTTCCTGCGATCAAACTGAAGGGCAGAGACTCGTCTTCCAGCACGAAGCTTGTATATTGCTGGTCAAACGTGCTGACCATACTTGACGTGTCTGAGATTGAAACCGACGAGCCGCCAAACAAGGACAAGCCCCCTCATCTTGATTTCAAAGCACGGAGTAGATGGAAAGCAGACGAGGCAATCGTTGCGGTGCAGTGGTTGAGTCGCTCTGTGTTGGCTGTCCTTACAATAACGCAACAGTTGATTATCATTGAAGATGGCTCTATGCGCGTGACGGATTCTATTGATCTTCTCAGCAAGCATATCTATCATGCCGATCTTTTCTCGTCGCAGCTTCATTCTCTAGTCGAACAGCTTAATGAGGAAGATACCTCAATGCACGGGGTGGTGGCTGATGCTTTCTACATGAGTTTCCGTGTCTACAAAGGGCGACTGTTCCTACTAGGTTATAATGAAACTTTGATGGGCGGTCTCTCAAATTGGGCAGACCGGCTGCTTGCACTCATGGAGGCAGGCGATTTCATCGGCGCGATTCGACTGGCGACAACGTATTACCAGGGCAATGCGGAGAAGTTGACAATCGGACTTCCCGAAGAGGATATGCTGAGACGGCCCATTGTTCGCGAAAGGTTGCTCGAAATGATTTCTGCATCGCTCAAGTATGCATTCGGTCGCAACACAGAAGCTAGCAATAAACGGTTGGAAAGCCGACAGCTCCAGGAGTTGGCAGAAGTATCCATCACGGCTTGTATGTCCATCGGCGATGAGCAGTTCCTATGGGATGAGGTCTTCAACTGGTATGAGGAGCATGATTCCCCGGGTCTTTTCCTGGATGCCCTCGAATCGTATATTGTCGAAGGAACTGTGCGATCTCTTCCTCCTACCGCTGTCAAGGCTCTCATCGACCACTTTGCGACGAATCACACCGCCAGCGGGTTGGAGGAGATCATCTGTCTTTTGGACACCACCACGATGGACATTGAGCAAGTCACCAAACTGTGTCAGCACTATAATCTATACGATGCCTATATATACGTTTGGAACCGCTGTGTTGGGGATTACGTGGGACCGCTTCAAGAACTCCTGACGCTCACGTCATCCATCCAAGCCCCGTCCCAAGCTAACGGAGATTCACTGGACAATCTGAAACAGTATACGAACGCAATGAAGATGTTCCCTTACCTATCTTATGTCCTCACCGGTCGGGTATACCCGACTGGAGACGATATGGACGACGCCGAATCCGCACGGGCCAAAGCATCCTTGTACGGCCATCTCTTCTCGGGCAATCGGGCTGGTACCGAATCGCAAGATGGATCCTTTGCCGATCTGAAAACGATGCTCAAGTTTGACACGCCCAGTTTTATGAGTATGCTCAATGAAGCGTTTGAGGATGGGTTCTTGAACGAGCAGGATCCCGAAGAGATGTCGTTCCAACAGGGCGTATCGGTCAACCGGCAATACCTCATCACGATCCTACTTCAGGTAATGAACGCCGAGTCATTCTCACCCTTTGATACCATTTACCTTGATATGTTTGTTGCGCGCAATCTTCCGAAATACCCCCAGTACATTCTTCTTTCTGGTACCACATTGCACCAGGTTCTGGAGCGACTGTGTCGTTATCCAAACCAGGAAATGGCCGAGGATTGTGAGCTTAGCGCGGAGTATTTGCTATCACTTTATCACCCGCCGGATGTGCAAAGCATGATTCCCCTTTTCCGGGAAGCACGATTTTTCCGAATCCTGAAATCGACGTATCGCTCTGAGAAGCAGTTTCCGCAATTGATTCTCACTTTCCTCGAGGACCCGAAAGACCAGCAGGATGTCTTTACTTCGCTGCAAGACTGTCTTCGTCCCGGCTCCAAGCTTGGTAAAAAACAGAGGCGCGATGTTGTTGATGTGGTCAAGGACCGAGCCGGGCAGTTGGCTGCGATTGATGTGAGGAGGGCTGCGCAGACCATGCAGGACTTAGCTCCTGAGACGCATGAAACGTTCCTCAAAGTCTTGGAGAAAGATGCCTATATGCAGTATCAGTATCTGGCTGTCTTTGTCGAACCCCAGACGCAATCTGCCGCTGAAGGTAAACGTTCGAAACCGACTGAAAACTGGATGGTAGAACTTTATGTGCAGCTGCTGTGCAAATACAACCCGTCACATGTTGCGGACTTTGTAGATGCTCTGCGAGTCGGTGATGTCCGGCTGGAAGAGTTGCTTCCTTCGATGGAGGATAGTGGGGTGGTGGATGCCGCGGTTATTCTGCTTGCTCGACAAGGTCAAGTGCGGGCTGCCATGGACCGGCTGATTGCGCATCTGGGTACATTAGAGTCCGGCTTGGTGGGTATTCTTCGGAGCGTGCAAGAGAGTCCCGATTCTGCTAGTACGGCTGAGGCGATTGATGATCTTGTCGAGTCGTTGAATAAGTATGCGCGGGTTGGAATCTGGCTGTGCCAGGGCCAGACAAAAACAGCACGAGAATCGCGGGCAATGGCAGGAAAGAATGGCACCCGGGGCACATCGCCGCTAGAACAGCCTCTGTCGTTTGATGAGGGTCTCTGGCTTGATTTGATCGAGGCTGTTGTTCGCATTGCGAGCAATGTATTTACACTGATGCGGCAAGATTCTCCCAGCGACCAGAATAAACTGGTATCGACTGCGTCTTCATTGGGGAAGAATGCGACTCAGTTAATTTCATCATTCCGGACCTTGGTGCAGCAAGTCTTTACCGCACTTCTTTCCAGCACGATCAAGGGACCTTCGACAGCAGAACGAAGCGATGTTGCCTTTTTGCGTATTCTGCGCGCATTTTTAACACAAGCAGCGAGCTGGTCTCCGTCCCTGCTCGAGTTGCGTGCAGTTCTGGCTTCGGTCTTCTCGGCTTATACCTATGAAAAGTCACTTTTATCCCTTGCGAATGGCATGTTGGATCGGGATCTGTTTGTGCATGTAGACGAGGTGTCCCGACTTCGACAGCGGGGATGGCGTCCACGAGGTCAAGCGTGTGAGATATGTCGTCAACGCATATGGGGACCCGGAGTTGGACCAGAGTATTGGCACGAATGGGAAAAGAAGCAGGCGGAAGAGCGACAACGTCGTGTGGCCCGACGACTCGAAAGTCACCTCGATCCAGCGACTGCGCGAGGAAAAGGCAAGGCAGCTGCCATTGTAGAAGCCGGGCAGTCCCTGCATCTCCTGGATGGACATGTAGAGCATGGGCAGTCGACCCATGGGATGGAGGGAGAAGAAGAAGGACAAGGGATAGTACAACCGGAGCCAGAGACGATGCCGGTTGGACCAGTTGTGGTGTTTTCGTGCCGCCATCTGTTCCATCGCCAGTGTCTGCTGGATCTTGGCCAGGCTTACAGACGCGAAGGAAGTAATTTGCATCCTCCAGATGGGTCGAACCATGGATTGATTTGTCCGTCATGTACATAGAAGGATAGAGAGAGCAAGAAGGAAGGGTGAGATGATCTCGCATCATCTGGGTGTTTCTGATGACTTTTTTCTTACTGAGCATGTATGGTTTGATTTGCTTTTCGTCCGACGACCGAGTCATGTAGCAACTGTCTTGTCTGTCTTGTATCTTCATCTTTCATCACGACAAGGTGCAATTAAGGTTGTCAGTGGTGAAGAAAAAAAAAAAAAAAAACGACGACGAAGAACAAACTTTGCCAATTGTTTCAACTTTCATGGCATCCAGAAAAAAAACAAAGCATCCATTGTCGGATTGCCCGATACGAAACACGATCAGTCAGCCTGGGATGATAATCTCGAGGCTGTCAGCTATCACGACAGATGACGCGGGGTTAGATCAGCAGGTATTTCCACCTGCGCTTAATCAGACGAGGCTATATTTATTTCCCTAACACTAACATGACATAGACTGACTGTGCAGAAACCCTCTAATGATGATATGAGGGCTGTCGATGCCTATACTGAAACATGCCTAAATAATGTGAAGCCGATCGCGTGTCAGATCCCCCACTATATCGCTCAATCGTTGGCGCACAGAAATCCCCAATGTCCAACCAGATGAGATTCATGCCCTTATCGGCTTGAATTGGATTGATTATCGCCTCCTGATACAAGACAAAAAAAGTCTGTTGGCTCGTATATCCATGGCTCCACCGAGTCTGGTGTATACCTCACTCTGTCACTGCCGGTGAGGTTCTCCTCTCAGCAATGAGATTGCCCTGACTGTATCCCTGGTTGATGAGTATCTGATGATACTGATTTTCCTTGTTTCTATTTTTTTATTTTCTTTCTGACTTTCTTCCCCTGATGTTCCACATGGTTTGGTCGGGTGGCCACCTGCAGATTCCCATGGCTGCATCTGAAGTTATTTATTAGGGTTGTTTATTCTGTCTGTTTCGTCTTTTTTTCTTCTCTTCCAGTTCATCCAGAGTATATATATAATATATATCTCTAATACTCCTCTTTCTGCTTCTCATTCGCCTTGGGCAATCTGGTTTTTGCATGCGCGCGCTTAACGTTGATGCCGTCATTCCCTTCAGGAGCGAAGATCATTGATTTCTTTATTGTCTTTTTCTTCTTTGCCTTTCTCACCTACATTCCTTTGTTTGTTTGATTTTTCTTTATTTTCTTTCTTCTTGACGAAGATTGATATACCTCACATTCCTTTTACATACTTCAGCTGAGCTGTCTTGTTTGTTTTTTTGCGGCCGGTTTCGCATAAACACTTCCCTTCTCTATACTATACAACATGCGTCTCGCAACTTATCTTTCGATGGCCGCTTTGGCTCAGCTTGGCCTGGCTGGTTACACAGTCAAGGATGATTATTCTAGTGCAAGCCACTTTTTTGATAAATTCGATTTCTTTACTGTATGTCACTCCTTCCCTTGCCCCAACTATGGAAACATACTAATGAAGACAACAGGAGGCCGACCCAACCAACGGTTATGTCAAATACGTTGACCGGAAGACAGCAAATAACCTTGGAATCGTCTCTGGAAACGCAAAGGGTACTAAGATCGGCGTTGACTCGAAGAATAAGGCCTCTGGAAGCGGTCGCCAGAGTGTTCGTCTGACTAGCAAGGCTAGCTATAACCACGGGTTGGTTATTCTGGACTTGAACCATATGCCTGGTGGTGCTTGTGGTAGTTGGCCTGCTTTGTATGTCTCCCTCACCTATCTAACTATCTTTAAGGTCCATTATACTAACAGTATGAAGCTGGATGCTCGGCAGCGGCACCTGGCCCAACAACGGCGAAATCGACATCATCGAAGGCGTCAACGACCAAACCAAGAACCAAATGGCCCTGCACACCACCAGCGGCTGCTCCATCGACAAGTCCGGTTTCAAGGGCAAGCTCGGCACAAGTAACTGCGACGTCAAGGCCTCCGGGCAGTCCGACAACGAGGGCTGCACCATCACCGCCGGCTCGACCAAGTCGTACGGATCAGGCTTCAACAGTGGGAACGGTGGTGTCTATGCGACAGAGTGGACCAGTGATGCGATTAATATCTGGTTCTTCCCGCATAGCAATATCCCCTCTGATATTGCGAATAAGAAGCCCACGCCGAGTTCTTGGGGTCAGCCTACGGCTAAGTATGCTGGTGACTGCAAGATTGATTCGCATTTTAAGAATATGAATATCGTATGTCCCCCATCTATGTTCTTCTATACAGAATATACTAACGTTGATAGGTCTTCGACGTAACCTTCTGCGGCGACTGGGCCGGCAACACCTGGAGCTCCAGCTCCTGCGCCTCCAAGGCAAACACATGCCAGGATTACGTCGCCAACAACCCCTCCGCCTTCAAGGATACATACTGGGGCATCAACTCGCTTCTCGTCTACGAGGATAGCTCCAACTCCAAGAGAGAAGAGTACGACTACACTGGGCTGAACGTTACCAGCCCCCTGCCGAGGACGGGCGAGGCTGCGAGACGGCATGCTATTCGTCACGGTGCTCATGGGCGGCATTTTCATTAGAGGTGGATGTGGATGCATGATGGTGTCTTACGATTTTCTTTTATAGACTTTGTGTTTTGTTTTTCTTTTTTTCTTGCAGGGTTTGGCTGGTCCCTTCTCTCTTTCGTTCTTTTCCTTTTGAATACCCCCCTGTCCCTTGTGTCCATGGGATTTTATAGCAATTTGGTTTCGGAGTATATAGGTCTGCATAGGTCTGCATTCTCATGTTCAGTATGTATAGCTTTAGAATCTACTTGAACTGAGACAAGTCATTCTTTTGGTACATTCCGCTCCAGCAAGATATTTCGCAAGCATAAATAGTACATAGCCCCAAAGCAATTATATGAATACATCATCTATGCCACTCGGATCAACCATCAGACTCATTAAGATAGTGAAATTATACAAGACATCAACCGGCAATATCGAAAATCCATTAAAAAGGATGCGAGGGTATAGCGATCTATGCCAAAAATATGCACACATAACACCGTAGAAGATTTACGTCAATTCAATTGTGAATGCAAGAGAATCGCGACGATCATCTGTCAGTCGGCCCCATTCAAGCAAAAGTCGGAAGAAATAGATCTCCATGTCTTCCTTGCGGAGTGCTTTCTCAGCCCACTTCCGCCCCTCCTCTGCAATCCATGTCCCCTGCACATCATGTGGCTCCATCAAGGGTATCTTGTCCCCAGCTTCTGACACACCCACGGTCACGTCGACCCCAGCAAAGTAGGCAAGGGTGCTCCACACCCCGTGAAGACGAAGGTCAATTGGTACATAATGCAGCCAGGATGTAACTCGTGTGTCAAACCACTGACGGAATAGGCCAGTTTTGAATGGGAGGCTGTGGCTTTGCAGGAAGGGAACGAATCTACCACTGAATCCTGCACCATCTAGATCAAACAGATATCGGTACTTCCAGTGGTTTTGGAAGTCAGTCCATGGCGCAGTGCCGAATTCCTTCTCTTGCTGATCACAATCGCCGCAGCGCACAATCGGGTTTGATAATTGAACACTTGCATTTAGGCCCAGTTCTTTTGAAGGAGCAAAACCGTTCATAATCTGATACTCATATGTCTTTTCCGAGGCCGGCTCATTGATCGGTAGCAAAACAGACACTTCGTTGTAAGTGTTGTTGTTGATCAAGTGAGAGAAACGCTGACGCGGAATACCTTTCCATCCGCCATCAAAACTCACACCTTCTGATGTGCTACCAATCCAAAAAAGTGTATTCTCCTTGTCGGCGTACCTTGGGTCGGGAAATTCGTCTGAAGGCTCATACTTCACTTTGTCGACGTAGTTCCACGGACTGGGGAACAGGATATCGCTGAACCCAGAGACTTTGCTTTGACTGAAAACAGGGGTCAAATCCTGGGCAACCTTGAATGATGCTGGTGAAATGAAGAAACCGTGGAGTTGTGCAAGGTCGGGCTGGTGGCATATATCAGAGGCAGCATTCCAATCCAGCGGGAATTGGCCCAATGAGTGGGGGCGAATACAGCTGAGGCACAGGCCACGTCGATCCCAAAATCGTTGAGAACGGGCCTTGGATGATGGCGGGCATATCTGGCTAACCCAACGATCAAATATATTATGCCAAGAAGTGTCTATAAAAATGGTCTCGGGAGTCTGGTCAGCGGGCTCTATGGGAGCCCATCCCGACTTACGGTCCGGCGACCAACTGTTGACCGTGCTTTCACTAGAAGGAGGGTTTTGGCCTTTTGCCTGATCCTTCAGAGCAGAGGCCCTCTCCCACGGGACTGCGACGCGTGGCTCGTCATTCAAATTGAAAACGAGATCCATATCTGGAAGATGTTGGGAAAATTTTTCAATTATTTGCGCAGCACTCGACACCATCCAGGCATGTGTTGGCTTGATGCCCTCTTGAACTCTGACTGACCCATCGCGAATACTGAGTGCACCAACGTCGTTGAATGGATTAGTCGCTAGCTCATGTGTAAGGGTTCTTAATCGTTCAGGTGTCAGCGCGCGAAATGGGAGAAGATCGTCGTGTATCTGATCGAATTCGTCGATAACAACAGAAGACCTGCTGGTAGCATACTCGTACCACTTGTCAAAGCCTCTGCATCACGGTTAGTATGGTGGCTATTGCGTTCCACAGGTAGTTCCCAACTTACGGTGGCGGATGCTGATTGTATTTTTTTCGGTATTCCATGACAGCCTCTGCAAGACTAGTGCTGCTGCTTGCCTGGGAAAGCCATGCCCCATGATGATTTCTGCTGTCATAAATGAGAAGGTCGATCGGATGTGTATTGACCAAACTGGGCTGGCTAAATGCCAGAATCAAGCCAACCCCAAAAATAAATAAGAAAAACGACCGCATAAAAATGTTGAATGGGTATAGGAATTTTGGTTCTTCTTCAGAGGCTGTTCGCGAATAGAGAAATACCATCACGCCGATGAAGGTGATGGTTAGGGCAATTAAAGCATGGGATGATAATATCAAAGGGAATGGCTCCTGGCCATTGAACAAAGCTGAAGCCCACGAGAAGTAGCCGAGGATGAAACCTGCCAGTATGGAAAGCCCCACGATACCATAATAAGGGACCTAAGGCGTTTAGTAACCAGGTTAAGTGATAGGTGCCGATTCAAACTTACGATTTGCGATGCGGATAATGTCAGCACTGCGACCAGGAAACTTTGACCAAAAGCACTTTGAAGATAACGAGCGTCGAAAGAAAGATTGCCTTCATCTTTACGGGTGATAATAAGTTGAATCACTGTCCAAACCGTAGCGACACCCTGCCCAAACCAGTCGTTAGTAAATCTGGCACATAGGACACCTGCCCACCGTAACACCAAAACAGTTGACTTACGAGAAAAGCATAACCCCACGAACGCAAAGTCTGCTTTCCTGTCCCCTCCTGGGACTTGGTTCCTTCTCGAGATAGTTCACCAGCCGCAATTAAAATGAGCGAATCTAGAAGCACACTCAAAAGTCGAAAAGCTCGTGTACCCGTAGCGAGACCGGATGTGATAGGGCAAATATAGGTCGACTGCCTTCCCTCATAGAACGATGAGACCATCAATCCACCAACCATGAGAAGAGCGGCGGATATAACGTATCTCGAACGGCTTCGACAAAACTGGTAATAGACTCGTTTGTAGAGCGTGACTAGCATGCGTGATCGTGATGAGCCATCAGCAGAATGTTTCTCAACAGGTCGAGATCGCTGATGGCACCAATAATCATATAGTGATACGAAAAAAGGAATCGCATACTAACAAGAGGCTCCTAGTCAGTACCTTATCAATAGAGAAGATCCGTTCGCATACTTACTGTGTATCCAGCTGGTGCGCACTCAATGCGAAGACTTATTTGGCGGTAAAATATCAATCGTATGCAGCCAATCCCCGTTACCAAAGCAATCTTGATCCACCAACTGCGATTCCGATACTGTGTATGAGGGAAGTCGCCGGCATAACTGACTGGCGAGGACAGCCCCCGAGGACTGGGTAGATCATCGAATTCCGTAAGAGGTATAGCGGAGTGTTTATATGAAGAGGAGGTAGGCTTGGGGAAACGGTGTACGAATTTGCCCAGAATCAACAGCGAGAACCCTGTCAGAAAGCATGCAAATACAGCCGAAGTAACTGGGCGATCTGCTCAGAAGAGATTCATTAGCGATAGTCAAAATCGGGTCTGCCTGAATGCTGCCATGGTTCCCTTCTTCGGCCCTTTGATCCGTCTATGATTTCCACGAATTGACAAGACTCACCAAAAGCGAATGTAGTATTGTAGGAGGTTGAGAGAAAGATACAGGATAGAAGAAATACCCTACGCGCACGGTATTAGCTCAATGTGAATTCGTAGGCAGGGAGTGTAGCCATATACCCCACAGAGGCCCTGAGCCCCGTCTCAGCGGAGAATCGACCCATCCCAATTAATGCTGTGTTTGAAAAATCAAGTCATGTCATTAATTCGTGACCCATCTGATCATCTCATATCGTGTAGTTCACCGCCAGCGCACGCGACAGCAGAGAAGGAAAAAGAAATTCCGATCGAGAAAGTCGGGGTAAAGCAAGGAACGAGCGTCGGTCGCACTTGGGGAAAGTCGGTCTTAAGTGGAGAAGGTCAGGGGGAAGGATGCAAAAGGACGGCCACGTTGGAGATAGGAAGAATTTCAAAAAGAAATCAAGTAACGGAGAGGAAAAAAGAGACGATAAAAAGAACGGCAGAAGGATGAGGATGATGATGATAAAACAGGAAAATCATCTCGAGTGTTGCGTCAACCCGCAGCGTGGACCATGGACCAAGCAGCCCAAGGGCGACGACCGTTGGGAAACCGTCTGGAGAGCTTTGGCCGTGCCGTCAGAATTGGCAGAGCACGCAAACGAAGATCGATATCAGAACGACTGAGACGCAAGAATCCTATTGATTGAAATGTGTCGGGTTAAAGATTCTGATGAAAGATCAGCATCAACAACGAGACATTGAATCATAGGCTGGGCAATAGAAACGCTCCAAACCAGGGGCAGATGGAGTGAGATGGACCCCTGTGGGTAGGGGATCGTCTCCAAGTGTCAGGGAAAACAAGGTGGTGATTACTTACAGTAGCGCAGGATTATTCTTGTTGCAACTGCCGATTGGGAAAGACACGTTTTGATGTCGTACAGGGATATATACCATGTATAGGGATCACGACAGACTCAGGGAGCTCTGAACAAGTTGATTGACTTGTCTACTCTCAAGGGAAAAAAATATGAGGATTGATGATATGAGGATATGAGGATCAACATATTCTGGAATCTGGCTGAGTGCAGGTAGGTATTGTAAACGTGTATGGTAACGCTGGTCTTCATACCGATTCCGGGTCTGCTTAACACGCTAGGCCTCATGTGGAAACGAATTTCCACTTCCGGTGGACTCTGTTCCAATACGGTTAGCGTCATACTCATTTCTGGACAAGGCTGATCTTGAAGAGATAGAGTCACGTGTAAATTTACTGCCAAGGGCGGTGTCACTTTAAGCAGGCGGTGGAGACAGGCAGTTTTACCGGCGTGCCGATAACTTTTTTTTGTCCGCGCAGAAAAAAAAAAAGTCGTCTAAGGCAGCCTTCGTTTTTTGTCCAGAAAGCCGGCCATTATTGCGGGTGATTTTTGTCTCCTGTATTGTTTCGAGGCCTGATACCATTTGTGGCCGTCAATTCGTATTGCTGGACCCTTGCGATTGCTCAGTGGTGGTTCAGAGCTTGAAGATAAATTTTCGCTCGTTGCGAGCTTTCTGAGCAGTCACAGCTAATCCCGCCTACAAAGGCAGTGGAGACAATGCCTCGCAAGGCGATCGATTCCCGAATCCCCGCGCTCATTCGCAATGGCGTGCAGGAGAAAAAACGAAGCTTCTTCGTCGTGGTTGGCGACCGCGCCAAGGATGTGATTGTGCATCTGCACTATATCATGTCAAGTGTCGATGTCAAGCAGAACAAGTCGGTTCTTTGGGCATACAAGAAGGATTTGTTGGGTTTCACAAGTCACCGGAAGAAGCGTGAACAAAAGATCAAGAAGGAAGTCAAGAGAGGAATTAGAGAACCGAATCAAGAGGATCCTTTCGAGCTGTTCATCACCCTCAACCAGATTCGCTATGTATACTACAAGGAGACGGAGAAGATTCTCGGAAATACCTATGGAATGTGCATTCTTCAAGATTTCGAGGCCATGACACCAAACCTGCTCGCACGAACGGTTGAGACTGTTGAAGGAGGTGGTATGGTGATCCTGCTCTTGAAGAGCATGAGCAGCTTGAAGCAGTTGTATACCTTGTCAATGGACATCCACTCGAGATACAGAACAGAGGCACACGATGATGTGGTAGCACGCTTCAACGAGCGATTCATCCTGTCTCTTGGTAGCTGCGATTCTTGCTTGGTTGTCGATGACGAACTGAATGTCTTGCCCATCTCCGGAGGAAAGACCGTGAAGCCTCTTCCCCCGCCAGAGGAGATCGATACCACTAATTCAGGAACAAAGAAGGAGCTGAAGGAAATCAAGGATAGTTTGGCAGAGACCCAGCCTGTTGGACCGTTGATTGGATTGTCCCGGACAACTGACCAGGCAAAGGCCCTCCTCACATTTGTCGACGCAATTGCCGAGAAGACTCTTAAGAGCACTGTTGCACTTACTGCTGCTAGAGGACGTGGAAAGTCGGCGGCTCTCGGTGTTGCTATCGCGGCTGCGGTTGCTCACGGCTACAGTAACATTTTCATTACCTCTCCCAGCCCAGAGAACTTGAAGACTCTCTTCGAATTCGTATTCAAGGGCTTTGATGCTCTCGGCTACCTTGACCACGTCGACTACACCATCCTCCAATCTACCAACCCCGACTTTAACAAGGCCATCGTGAGAGTCAACATTCACCGTCAACACCGTCAAACAATCCAATATATCCAGCCGCAGGATGCCCATGTCTTGGGCCAGGCAGAGCTTTTGGTCATTGATGAAGCTGCAGCAATTCCATTGCCTTTGGTCAGGAAGCTGATGGGCCCATACCTCGTCTTCATGGCCTCCACTATCAATGGTTATGAAGGAACGGGTCGGTCTCTCTCTCTTAAGTTGATCCAGCAGCTCCGTGAACAGTCAAGAGGAGGTGCCAAGTCGGGTGGTGAAGAGATTGATGTTGCCGATCGTGCCACTGGAAAGGCGGCGAAGAATTCAGAGAAGGGCCTAGGTGGAAGGACTCTCAGAGAAATCACCCTTGCCGAGCCGATCAGATATGCACCTGGGGACTCTGTAGAAAAGTGGCTAAACAAGGTCCTGTGCCTTGATGCTACACTGCCAAAGTCCAAAATCAATACTCAGGGCTGCCCTCACCCTTCTCAGTGCCAGCTGCTTCAAGTCAACAGAGACACTTTGTTTTCTTTCCACCCTGTTTCCGAGAAGTTTTTGCAGCAGATGATGGCTCTGTATGTTGCCAGCCACTACAAGAATACCCCGAACGACCTTCAGCTTATGAGCGATGCGCCAGCACACCAGCTCTTCGTTCTTGTGCCGCCCATTGATGAGGAGGCCACTAAGCTACCAGAGCCCCTGTGTGTCATCCAGGTTGCGCTGGAAGGTCGTATCAGCCGTCAAAGCGTTCTCAACAGCTTGAGCCGTGGGCAAAGAGCCGGTGGTGATCTGATCCCGTGGCTTGTCAGCCAGCAATTCCAAGACGAGGATTTCGCTGGTCTCTCGGGTGCTCGAATTGTTCGCATTGCGACCAACCCCGAGTACATGAACATGGGCTATGGATCTCGCGCGTTGGAATTGCTGATCGACTTCTTTGAAGGCAAGTTCACCAGTCTGTCGGAAGACATGAGTGACGCACAAGATGAGATGGTCAGAGTCACTGAGGAAGAACTCGCCAACTCCAACCTCTTGGACGACAACATCCAGGTTCGGGACATCCGCACCATGCCCCCGCTTTTCGGCAAGTTGTCTGAACGTCGTCCGGACGCTCTTGACTATCTTGGTGTCAGTTATGGTTTGACTCCATCTCTGCACAAATTCTGGAAGCGCTCTTCCTTTGCCCCGGTGTACCTCCGCCAAACACCCAACGAGTTGACTGGTGAGCATTCTTGCGTGATGCTACGCACCCTTGCCACTGGCTCCAACGAGGTCGGCTGGCTGGGAGCTTTCGCAAGAGACTTCCACAAGCGTTTCAACTCCTTGCTCTCTTATCAATTCCGGGAGTTCCCCTCTGTGCTCTCTCTCAGCATCTGCGAGTCCGCAAATGCAGGCGCCAAATCCGACGCTTCCTTCTCCCCAGCCATCCTGAAAAAGCGTGATATCGACGCCGCTTTCTCCCCCTTCGATCTCAAGCGAATTGACAGCTACGCGAACAACTTGCTCGACTACCACGTCATTCTTGATATGGTCCCTACCATCGCCGAATACTACTTCGCTGGTCGCCTCGGCGGTAAGGTCAACCTCTCTGGCGTGCAGCAGTCCATCCTCCTTGCCATCGGTTTGCAACGCAAGAAGTTGGAGGACATTGAGAAGGAATTGAACCTTCCCTCTTCCCAGCTTCTGGCGATGTTCCTCAAGATCATCCGTAAGATGTCGACCCACTTCCGCTCTCTGGTTGAGGGTGCCGTCGCAGACACCCTCCCCGCCGAACAAATACCAGTGGCTCCAACCACAGCCACTGCACATGACGAGGAGGTCGACGATCGCTTCAAGCCCTTGGAAACAAGCTTGGATGATGAGCTCCAAGAAGGAGGACAGAAGATCGACGATGAGCTTCGCGAAAAGCAAAGGGCTTTGATTGACGCCCTTCCCTTGGACAAGTAAGTCCACTCATTTCCTGACTATGACAATCGCCATGGCCACCATTTCTACATGAATGAACAATAACTGATTTCTAGCCTCCAGCTACGAGATAAATAACGGTAGTGCCGCGTGGGAGGAAGCCGAGAAGCAAGTCCGCAGTGGAAAGGGCTCAACCGTCAGCGTCAAGTCGGCAAAGCCCTCCAAGCGAAAGAAGGGAGAATCCGCCCGCGAGATTTACGACGCAGAGGTGGACTCGAAGAGACAAAAGACCATCAAGAAGGGAACTGAAGGCAAAAAGCGGTCGTGATGACATCGGCTACTACTGAAAAAGAAGTAAAGAAAAACTTGGATTCTGAACACAAGATCAAAATCCCCTTAAGTCCGAGGCCTACTTACCATGCATGAGATTACGGTGTTTTAATTGGCAGTAATGAGTTCGTGTTACTTTTTTTATGGCCAGTGTCTAATGAAGCCTGGTTTTGCTTAAGGGATTTCTTTTTGCAAATTTTTGCTTTGTATATAAACAAGCTGGTACCAATTAGGTATTTAAGACAAAAAGTTTTGAATAGATACTAGATTGTATTTTTTTGTATTATCTGCCTTGATTTTCAATTTGCAGACGGCATTTTTATTAAAGCCTGACTCAATAGGAGACAGGTGTATGTTTTGATGCAGAATACTAACACCTCTTCGGAAGCTAATAATAAATCTTACAACTCATCATGTCCACTCCCTTCCTTCTCTTCTTTGGTGGCGACAACGCCCTCAGGCAACTTGTTCTTGGCCCCTTCGCCCAATCGAATGGCATCAACCCAGGCCTCGACTGCGTCGACTCCGAATTTGCCATCCACGGCTTCATATCTTCTCCACCAGCCTCTGCGACCATTCAGGGCGATAATCTCAATCGACTCACCGTCCTCCGACACACCGAGTTTAGTCCGCAGAGTTTTGGCTCCAGAGTTGGTAGTAGGGACGCTGTAGAAGGGGAAAAGCTTGTGCTGGCGCTGACTGTACTTGTGCACGATGTCGGACATGCTGGTCAGTGCTTCCTTGACGGGTTCAGGCTGCTCTGCGTCCGCTTCCTTAGATTCGGGGAGGAGCGCCAGAACGCATGTGCTTGACTTGGGAGCTAGGCAGGCCGTCTCGAGGGCCTCGATGGTAGAAAGGGTATCGATCGGAGGGGCCTGTGCGCGTTTCGATTCTTTGACATCGTCCTGGGGAGACTCGGTCGACTTCGCTTCCTCTGCATCATCGGCCGCGGGGGCTGTAGATGACGGTTTGGAGGCCTTAGAGGATTTGGAGGATTTGGCCTTGGGCTTTACAGGAGCGGGGTCTGGGTTAGGTGTGGCAACTTGACCGAGGAATTCGATGATCGCATTCTTCTTGAACTCGCCATCATAGACAATGGGCTCCTTCTCGCCTCCGGGAAGAAGAACGAGGGACGGGAATTCCGTGATGCCGAACTTCTCTACTGCTTCGGACTCCTTGTTGCGGATCTGGCCTACCTTGACTGAACCAAGGAAGTCGATGGCGAGAGACCGAAGAAGAGCACTGGTCGTCCCCTTTTCAGTAAAGAGAAGGGCTCTGGGAGTCTCCTTGTCCTGGGAAAGCCACTGGTCCAAGTCCTTATCCGTAACTCTCTTCACATGGTTTGGGATCTTGCCCATTACCCCGTCGACAATAGCTTTGGCACTCCGTGCGCCATGGTAGTCCTCTACTCGGGGGCTACCGGGTTTCTTGGAGGGTACCACAATCTTGAGGGTTGGGAAACCCTGCACACCCATCCGACCACACAAAGGTTTGTTCTCATCCTCGTCGCAATTGACCGCTGCAACCTTGGCCAGTCCATCCAACGAGGTCGCGGCCTTTTCATAAGCGGGTTTCAAGTTCTGGCAATGACCGCACCAGGGGGCGTAAAATCTTCGAGGTAAAGCGAATCAGAAACTGTCGGCCGGGTTAACAAGGGAAAGGGAGCTTACTCTACAATCTATCACGGGAGTCAGCTGGGTCCTGCAGTGCAAATTGCCTGACAAGGAGACTTTCTTACCGACGTATGATTGGAATTGGCGATGAGCTGGTCGTAATTCTTCTGTGTCACCTGCAACACAGGAGATTTCTTAGTATAAATCCCATCAGCATTGACTGGGAGAGCCGCCAGAAGCGACGCGACGAGCAAAAAGGCAGAGCTTGGTTGCATCATCATGAATGAATGCGATATTCAAAGTATGAAAACATAAAGCAGAAGGCGAGATGCTAGATGTACACTGTTACGCTAGAGACCGACCAAAAAAGACCACGTTGGACAGCTTGAAGCAAGGTGTCCTGAAGCTCTTGGCATGTGACTGGGGAAGCTCCAAACAAACGCCGCCAACGCAAAATGATGCAACCCGAGTCTTTCGGAAACCCCCGACTTCTTCTTGCTGGCAGCCATCAGGAACCCCCACGCTGTGTGGGATATTCGGGGATATGGCACTGCTACTATATATTCACTCGGTCTGCTGGATATGCATTCCGGCTCGATTCTGACGGCTCAAGCTGCGATAGAACCAGTCGTGCTCTAGTTGCTTTCCAGCCTTCCGATCAACACGATCGGCTTTCCCCGCACTCGCTATGACAATCGGCATGCCACCAGTCGAGACCCTGGATGTGTCTTTCTTGCCCAGGGATATTTTCTGGATGATCTTGGGCTACCTAGATCCAGCAGATATTGTTCGTTGTCGTCGTGTCTGTCAGTCTTGGAATGAAGCCTTTGGGAACCCAGCCGATCTAATCCCACTGTTGAGGAAATTATATCCTCGAGCAAAGGAAGTCAGGGAACTGTGTGACAATGACTCCTTTGATGGATGGCACATGGAATCAAGAGATAATGACTACTGGCGCAAGATATTCGACCAGGTTGTCTCTAGATACACCCATCTAGCTCGTGGCAAACCTCACTCCATTCAGAGATACAAGCTTTGTGATGATTTTGGCAGCTCTGGCGAGAGGGAATGGTTTCAAGTGCAACCTTGGGAAACCCATGCCAGTCATTTGATGCAACGCGTCGATTGCCCTTTCTCAGAGACTTTTTGGACCTATGAAGATGGGTTGCTCGTCTATCCAAGTGCCGATGATCAATATTTGGTCCTCCTGGATCTGGATAGTGACAGACGTTTCGTGGTACCATTTATAATCACTGGGAAAGTGATACGAAGAATTCGATTGCAAAAGAGGCTTCTTGTTGTCGAGTGGGCAGAGCCCAAAGCCTTTCATTGGCTAAATGACAGTGATGGGGTCCATCGTCACTTTGCATCGTCTTTCGAAGTGACGAAAGGCCCTAGCGGCTGCAGCGTTACCTTTCGAAATGAGTGGAAAATAATGTTCCTTGGTCACCCGTTGAGTGAAAGGGATCGATTCTATTCAACGCACACCGATACGCATTACGCTATTTACGTATGGCAACCGAATCGCAGTTTGTATACTGCCGATGAGGATGCCCCAATCGAGTCGCTTTTTATTTGGGATATCTCGAAACCATCATCCTACAGACCCTCCTTAGATCCAACGGGATGTTTGAAAGATCACCAAGGAGATCAAGGCCCTTCTATCGTCTCGCGGTTTACCTTCAGAGAGCTCGGTTTCTTTTCTGTTCGACAACGGGGCTTCCCTGGCATACAGCGCTTAGAGATTACCGATGATGCGCATGCGATCGAAATCACTGAGAACTTATGCACGGGACCAATAGATCGGCTTGTTGGGCCTGCTGAATGGACGTCCAAGGTGCAGACTACAAGCATTCCGCTGATAGGAGATGGACCATGCTGGAGAAAAAATACCGGGCTTGTGTTCCCCCCATACCGTGGGAATGGCAGTCTACAATCGATTCCTCTTACATTTGCCGTCTGTGATGAGCCCTGGTATACTACCATCTCAGAAGTCTTTGATGAGCAGGCTGGAGTAGGTTTCTGCCTACATCTTTCTCCCACATCCTGGCCGTTTGACCTGGGTGTATTTCTGAGTATACGGACGCCATCTTCACGCATCACATTGAAACAGAAAGATATATTTGAGCTCACCGGCAAAGGTGCTATTTTTGGAAACGAACGATATGTAGTCGGTGAGAGTGGAAATCGTGAACTTGTCGTTTACCGGTTCGATAGGTGAAATTATCGGATCAGTCAACACTACTAGCTTTGATATCACAACAAAATTACAAACCAGCAAGTCATGGAGAATACCTAGAATGCATAACCATAAGCTTGTTTGCGAAACTCGCCAACACTAGACTGGAGACGGATGTTGGCAAAAGTTTTCAGCATATTGCAGTATGATTTGAGCACGTGCTAAATAACAATAGCAGAGCAAATATAGGCACGTTGATGTTAATTTAATTGATAAATTGTAAGAAATACAATACTTTTACCTCGTGGTCCGAAAGTGATAAATTTTCAAGCATACAGCCAACACACAGATGGAAAATCTAGAATACTACGATAAAAATGATAATAGTAAAATGAACACTGAAGATGATATCAAAACTATTTTTCTTTTCTTTTCTTTTTCTTTAATTTTACGAGCATACCATTGAACTGATAGGATAGATTACCCTTAACATCAACTATGCCGCCGTCGCACTTGACACCCCAAGGCTTGATATGATGGCCCAAGCACACACAAAATGCAGAATTAAAGTACTCAAAACAAAAGAACGCACAATCATGAGAAAGTTCCATAAAGGCAAACATCATCCACCCAATAATCATTGACGATAGAAGGTCAAAGGCACGATCGTCGTAGAAGAAAAGAGATGAAAAGGAAAGAAAGGAACAACGGGTCTGTTTAGTTTTCGGACTTTTCATAGTTAAACTTGCATAGCACACAAGCCTTGATGCCGCAGCTCGGACAGGTGAGGGTGTAAATGGGCTTCCAACCGTGACAGACGTCGCATTCAGGACATCCATACGTCTTCACCCAGTACCCGAGATGGGGGCAAGAGTCGGGGTCATTCCCGGTTGTCAAAGGCTTTGCGTTGGGGAATTTGAGACGGACGCTTTCGAGCCAGCCGCAAAAGATTTCCATCATGATGCCCTGTAGCTCGGCTCTGAGGTCGTCGGTTGTGTAGCGTCTGCTGGGGTCGTTGAGCTTCGCCTGGAAGAAAGCGGTGATGGGGTCGGTCTGGCAGACTGGTTCTGATTGAATGTTTTCGGATACGTCGTCGTCTATTTCGTTAGAAGTCGCGTGGCTGTCGTCGATTTCGTTTTCGCTGTCCTCATCATCTATATCGTCAGAAGTCGTGTTGTTGAAGTCGTAGTCTTCGGGGTCTTTGGCATCGCTGTCCTCGTTATCATTGTTGTCGGCGTTGGCGTCGTCGTTGTAATAATTGTGATAGCTGACGACGTTGTCGTCACTGTCGTCACTATCAGCGTTGTCATTGCTCTCATCACTGGATAGTTTGGGTGGTTCAGGTTCGTCGCAATCAAAGAAAATGAGGTCCTCATCGTCTGTACCGGATTCATCTGCAGATTCTTCCACGCTCTGACGAAGTCTCGACATATAGTCACCCTCATCTTCAGAGTCGGAGTAGTCAAAGCTCTCTTGGTCTGCTGTTTCATATTCAGTTGCAGACTGGCCAACAGAAACACCGGTAGAGTAGATGCCATCCTCATCGAGCTCATCTTCAAACATGCTCATGCCATCGTTTTCATCGCCTTGGTACTCCTGATCGTCCTCATATTCCTGGTCTCCCTGATACACCTGGTCTTCCTGATCGTCTTGGTTCTCCTGTCCATCCTGATCATCATCAAAATCAAATAGCCCCTTCTCGTTATACTCGTCTTCGAGGGCAAACAACTCCTCTTCATCAATATCGTCCTCACCATCACCATAACCCGAAGACTCAGACACATACGGCTGCTGATTCTGCAGGTCATCGTCTTCCTGTCGGCTTTCCTTCTTCAGTTCTTCTTCATCACGCATGACACGAGCATGCATGGCCTCCTCTCGAGTCATCTCCCTAGGCCGCTGCTCATAAGCACTAGCACTGACACCGGCACTGTTTCTCTGTCTAATCTCTTCGTTGATTCTGCGTTCATGTTCACAGCGCAAGCGTTCTTCAATAGAATCCTTCGAGTTCGGGTTCATGTGGACACTGTTCGCGTAGCTGTACATGTACCGACTACTCACATCACGCAAATTGAACGAGAAATCGTAGGGTGTCCAGCCGCTATATCCCGACGAGCCGCCGAATGCCGTTGCCGGCGAGAAGAACGAGTGCTGTGACCTGGGTGCTTGCTGCTGCGGGAAAAATCGCTGCTGCGTGTAGATATTTCTGCTTATCTGGAGGTCAAAGTCATGCTGCCTACGACGATGAGGGTCACGGAGAATTTCAACGGCTTCTTGGATCTGGTGCGAGGCATTGTTAGTGAATGGAAAGAGATGGCTATCGATCAGTCTGGTGGATGGAGAGAGTGTAGAACCTTTTGGAATTCGTCGCTGGAGTCACCTTCGCCCTTCGCTTTATCGGGGTGGTGCTTCAGTGCGAGCTTTTTGTACGCACTGTTGATGTCCTTGAGGGTCGCATTTGGGGCGATTCCCAAGGTTTCGTAGCAGTTGATTGCCCTAGGTCTCGACATGAGGAAGAGAGACTCGCTATTGGCGTTTGAGGTTAGCTTTTTTCAGTCACGAGATGTATATCAGTATTAAGTGAGAGACTGATGGGATGAGATCCCATGAGAAGGAAGCCCTCCTAGCTGACAAACTTGCCTTTGGAAGTTCCTTTGAGCCAGTGTGCTCTCTATGCAGTGTGTTTTGAAGGTGAGCTGAATAATCTACTTTCAAAAGATAGTGATGGAGACGGCTGAATATCACAGAGTTCAAGGTGAATCAGGAGAAGAGAAGGGAATAAACCGTAGAAGAGTTTTGAGAAAAATTTCATCTCTAGGACACGCCGAGAAAAATGGTGAATTGATGTATCATGGGTGAGATCGAAAGATGAAAGCTTCATGGGAGAGACGGTGGTCTGGAAAATGAAGCCATTCATAGATACGGATTGATGCCTTGTTTGCAGCTATTCATGGTTTCATCTGAGAAAGCGGAGTCAATAATTCATTGTCTGTCTTATTATCATCTGCAGTAAATATAGGAAAAGTCCTTTGCTCTCAATCATGACCAAAAGATGTGTTGTTGAGGTTGTCGTATATAAACAAATGCATCAAAAGCCTAGGCAACAAAAGACTGAAAACCACAAAAGAAATATAATGGATTGAGACTGATTTTACAGGCTGATAATAGATCTAGGTATTTATGGACAAGTCTACACACAAGACGACTTAGTCCCACAGAAGCATTAGGACAGCTTCTACATGTCGGCACTGGCGGTGGCACCAGTGATAATCTCAACCAGTTCACCGGTAATGGCGGCTTGACGCTGACGGTTGTACAAGATCTGGAACCTGTGGACAATAGGTTAGATATTAAGATACAATACGGTGAAGATAGATACTTACTTGTTGATCATCTCTCCGGCGTTCTTGGAGGCGTTCTGTACAAAAAAAGGTTAGTTTGGTTACCATTTCTATAATATTCAAGAATACTTGCCTCCATAGCGTTACGACGAGCCTGGGATTAGGTTAGCAATGTGCTTCAAAAAGAATTTATCGGCAAAATATTCTTACAGAGATCTCACAAGCGTGGCCTTCGGCCATAGCCCAGTACAAGTTGTTGGCGAGAGAGTATTCACGGAGGTTGGCGAGAGCCTCGTCATCGATCTCGAAAGCGGAGATGTTGGCTGAAGAATTTGGATCAGCAATGGAATCCATCAAACTATAGGTACGACACAAAACTCACCGGACTGGGTGATGGCCTCCTCAGAGAAAGCCTCAATGGTGGTGGGCTCGTAGCTCTGAGCGTTGACGAACGAGTTGTAGAGGACCTTGACGCTGGCGTAGTCGGTGGGCAGCAGAGCGATCTGGTCGGCGATGGCCTGAGCATCAGCGAAGGTGGGGATGTCCTTGCAGACGTTGGCGAAGCTCAGAGTGATGAGCTCGGGGTGGACTCTGGACAGCTGGGCCTTGACCTTCTCTCCGAGAACGACAATGTCGGCGTTGGAGTGAGTCTGCAAAAGACGGCGAGTAGCCTTGCTCAGACCGGAGTGAATACCACCGCAAAGACCCTTGTCAGAGCTGGCAACAACGATCAGAGTCTTCTTGTCGTCGAGGGCCTTGGTCTCGGCGTTCTCGAAAACCTGGTTGGAAGTCTGACCGTAGTTGCGAGATTCGTCCATAGCCTTCTGGGCGCGGGTGAGACGGGTCGAGGCAACAATCTTCATCGTGTTGGTGATCTTTTCGATGTTCTTGATGGACTTGAGACGGCCCTCGATTTCACGCAGAGTCGCGAAGTTGGCGGCATTGGGAGGCGCAGTGCTTCTAGCTATTAGCAATGGCTTTCCTCTTTCCTAAACGATACCATCCCCCTTGTTGTCTCTAGCTCGCGATAGCTATATGCGTGTTGGGGGTAGGGTGGCCCAGGATGGTAGCGGTCGGTTTGTGGACGTCCGGAAGGAACTTACCGGGTGAGAGTAGCACTGCCGGCCCTCACGGCCGGACGGACAGCACGAGAGAACATTGTGAAAGAGGAAGAAGTAAGGACGGGGGGGTGAGGTCCAACGAAAAAGAAGCTGTAGAGGGGAGAGCCACGAGGGACAGTCGGTGGGCAGTGATGAAGAGAGAAGTCGTTCAACTCCTGTTTCTGTTCATCCGACAGCCGGCAAACGGGAAGCAGCCGCACTAGCCCCAAACAGGCAGCTGGTACGGCCGCCCACACCGACCACACCCGCCACCCGATCCAGAGCCCGAAAATTCCGGCACCAAGGCAGCGAGGCAGAAAGGCCACGAGGCATGCAGGCAGCGACGCCAGAGTGAGGCAGGCTTCAGGCATCCCATCGGCGCGCAACACGAGTGGCCGACGGTCCGGAGAAACGTGAGGAGATCGATCGCCTCAGGCCCCCAAAAGAGAGCCTGGCTTTTCCATTCCATTCCTTCTCCTCTTCCTCTCTCTTTCTCTCTTTTCTCTGATTATCCCCGACATTGCTTGCTATTGCATTCTGTTCTCACCCTTATTTTCTTTTTCCCACCTGTTCTTCATGCCTCACCTTCCTCTCTAGCTCCTCACACTCTCTTCTCTACAGCCATTGGTCAGGGCCTCCCTGACCTCATTTTACTATCAAGCGCCAACTCTCTTCTGTAGACTCGGCAGGCGGCCAACATCGAGTTTCCGTCTCCCTCCGCCTCGAGCCTATTTCCATTCTTCTTCAGCAGCGCAACGTGCTCGAGTCTCCTGGCTTGCGATCATGAGTTCCTCCGAGGATGACACCCCGCTCGTCAAGGCAAATGGCCGATCTACTAGTGAGTTGAAAATCTTCGCATCTTTCGCATTGCCCCGAATTCACCTCATCTTACAATTCACTTTCTCTCACTCCCTAATCCATCTCACCTCTCATCTATTGCCACCCTCCATTCCCCTCATATCTAGCTCACTTTCTTACACATTCTTTTTAATGATTTTTTAGACAAGGTAGCGGACGCCAAAATGGACAACGCGACTGAGACGAATGGTCATGTCGACCCCGGCGTGTCAATTCGCTTTGGTCCTGTGAAGACCGAGGATGTTGACATGGAGGATGCGGATGCCGAAGACCGCGGCGCCGGAAAGCGAAAGGCGCGAACAAGCATAGGCCAAAAATCATATGCGGAACCAGAGTCTAGCGAGGAGGAAGATCAGCCCCTGGTACGCCAAACCCTTCAACGCCGATTCCTTCGTTTTCCCCTTCATCGCGACGCTGTTGCTGTCGCTGTTGTTTTCAGCGGCTGACCCTTCGACAGAGTAAACGCCGACGGACCTCGGTCAAACATGAAGACCCAGAGTCAGATGAGGACGTGCCCCTGGCAGCCAATGGAAGAAAACTTCCTAAGGCCTCAGAGACTGCCATTGGGGAGGAATCTGATTCTGATGTCCCTATCGAAAGGAAACTTGCCACCCAAAAGAAAAATATTCAACAAAAGGCAGAGAAAGACACCAAGACTAGTGCCTCGAAATCCGCGAAACCCGCGGCAAAGCCTGCAGCAAACAACAGAAAGAAGCAGACCAACGGCGTTAAGAAAGAACCGGTTGATGATGCGCCAGCACCTAGAAAAGCCGCTGCCACAAGAACCACCAAGGTCAAGGCAGAGCCAAAGTCCGAGCAGTCGACTCCTGTCAAAAAGGGCAAAGGCAAGGCTACGCCGGTCAAAGAGGAAAGTGCGGATGCCGACGACGGCGCAGACGAGGAAGAAGAATACAGGTGGTGGGAAGACCCAACCAAGGGCGATGGAACCATCAAGTGGACTACCCTTGAGCATAATGGTGTCGTTTTCCCACCGCCTTATGAACCCCTTCCCAAGGATGTCAAGATGAAATATGATGGTGTTCCCGTCAATCTTCAGCCTGAAGTCGAGGAGGTAGCTGGATTTTTCGGTAGCATGTTGAACTCAACTCAGCACGTCGAAAACTCCAGGTTCCAACAAAACTTCTTCATGGACTTCAAAGATATTCTCAAGAAAAAGGGAGGGGCAAAGGACCCCAAGGGCAACAAGATCGATATCAAAGAATTCTCCAAGTGCGATTTCAGCCCCATTTTTGCCTACTACGATGCCAAGCGTCAAGAGAAAAAGGCCCTCCCTCCGGCTGAAAAGAAACGCTTGAAGGCTGAGAAAGATGAGGAAGAAGCGCCCTTCCAGTATTGCACATGGGATGGACGGAAGCAGAAAGTTGGCAACTTCCGTGTTGAACCACCGGCTCTTTTCCGTGGTCGTGGTGAGCACCCCAAGACCGGGCGTGTGAAATCCAGAGTCCAACCAGAGCAGATCACCATCAATATTGGAAAGGATGCTCCGGTTCCTCCTCCGCCTGAAGGCCACCGCTGGAAGGAAGTTAAGCATGACCAGGAGGGCACTTGGCTTGCTATGTGGCAGGAGAACATCAACGGAAACTACAAATATGTCATGCTCGCTGCCAACTCTGATGTCAAGGGGCAGAGTGATTACAAGAAGTTCGAAAAGGCCCGTGAGCTGAAACATCACATTGCCCGAATTCGCAAGGATTACCAGAAGAACTTGAAGCATGAGTTGATGGTCGAGCGCCAAAAGGCCACTGCTGTTTACCTTATCGACCAGTTTGCCCTTCGTGCTGGTAATGAGAAAGGTGAAGACGAAGCTGAGACGGTTGGATGTTGCTCCCTGAAATATGAAAACGTCACACTTAAGCCGCCAAACAAGGTCATCTTTGACTTCCTGGGTAAAGATAGTATCCGGTTCTATGACGAAGTCGAGGTCGATACCCAGGTCTTCAAGAATCTCAAGATATTCAAGAAGGCACCTAAGAAGGATGGCGATGAAATTTTTGACCGACTGACGACATCTGCCCTGAACAAGCATCTTTCTGTTTACATGCAAGGCTTGACTGCCAAGGTGTTCCGTACTTATAACGCTTCCCACACCATGGGTGCCCTTCTCAAGGAGATGAATGCCACGGGCACTGTGGCAGAGAAGGTCAAGGCTTACAACGATGCGAACCGCAAGGTCGCCATTCTTTGCAACCACAAACGTACTGTTGGTGCCGCGCACGCTGGGCAGATGGAGAAAATGAGTGAACGGGTAAGTGCATAGATTGTGATTGGTCTTTTTTCGGTTGCTAACGGACATTCTTCTCAAAAGATCAAGGGCTTGCGTTACCAGAAATGGCGACTGAAGCAAATGATGCTTGATCTGGAACCTACCCTCAAGAAGAAGAAGGGCGCCAAGTTTTTTGAATTGGATGAGGACATTGACCAAGAATGGATCAAGGAGCACCAGGCCTTCCTGATGGAAGAGCAGCGTCAGAAGATCAACAAGAAATTTGAGAAGGACAACGAAAAGCTGGCCGCCGAGGGAGAAAAGGAGATGAAGGCCAGTGAGCTTGAGGAGCGTCTGAAGGCTGTCAAGGACATGGAAAAGAAGTTTAACAAGGAGAACAAGACCGGCAAGGTGGAGGCTGAAGGCAAGGGCCCCACGGTCGAGAAGCTCGAGACCTCCATTAGCAAACTCGAGCAGCGCGTTGATACCATGTCTGTTCAAGCACAAGACAAGGAGGACAACAAGGAAGTGGCACTTGGAACATCGAAGATTGTGAGTATCCTTTCTGATGCGTTGAAGGAAGAATATTGCTAATAATGGACAGAACTACATCGATCCTCGTCTCACGGCAGTCTTTACCAAGAAGTTCGACGTGCCCATTGAGAAGTTCTTCTCCAAGTCCTTGCGAGAGAAATTCGAATGGGCCATCAAGTCCGTCGACGAGAATTGGGAGTTTTAGTTATTTTTCTTTTGCAGTCACTTAGCCAGGTTGTGATACCTCCCCTGGCTCGTTTTGTCTCCTTTTTCTCTTTTCTTTTTGCTTATTTCCAACGGTGGGTGGATGGGGTTATCATATAGCATTTGATGCATTTTCAAAATCTTTCCTTTTTTATCTGAACGGCTCTCTATAAAGGCAGACCCCTTGCCATGATACACGCGGCGGATTCTCAAGGGGATCTTCGTCTTCGTGTTGTGCTTTCTGGTCTCCTGTTTTTTGTTTCAAGATGAAGAAAGAAAAAGACACAGTCAAGATAGACTTGGCTTTTATATGAATAAACCAAATATAATGTGACTATACTTATACTTTTATTTTGATATGCAAATTTCAATGCTTGCAAAAGTTCCAGCAATATGAAGTTGACTTGTTCTATCCAGCCTAGCCAAGTGGGATATGTGGGATATCATGTGGGGTGACAGATTCACTATTTCTACAGATTCACCTGTTGCGCGTCTTTGTTTCCTCGCCCCACAACACCATGTCTACAGCCAACTCATCTCTCCCAGAAGTCATCTCTAACGGGTCCATCAAATATGAAGAACTCCGAACCCGATTCTTCAACAGCCGTATACCAGACACCAAACCAGCGGAAATCTACTGTCCCAAAACAACCCCCGAAGTGGCCGCAATCATCCAGCAAGCAAAGAAAAGAAGATTGAAAGTGGGTGTCAGATCAGGAGGTCTTCTCTTCCCTTGCACCTCTTTAATCCCAGACGGAGTTTTGGCCGACACTCTCCACCTCAATGCTGGAATCGAGTATGACTCCCAGACACAACTTGTCTCGTTTCCCCCAGCAGCTCGCTCGAAGGATCTCGCGGACGCGTTGATCCCTCTCGGCCGGTTCTTCCCATTTGGACACTCACCCACAGTCGCGGCTGGTGGGTTCTGTCTTGCCGGTGGCCAGGGGTGGTTCATGCGTGGCTGGGGCTGTACGTCTGACAGCTGAATTGTTGAAATGGAAGTCGTGACGCCAAATGGAGAAGTGATTCGAGCGAGCAAGACAGAGAACCCGGATGTTTTCTGGGCTGCCCGAGGAAGCGGACAGTGTTTCTTTGGAGTTGTGACGAGGTTTTGGGGGAAGACGATTCCTGCGCGCAGGTTGTTTGAGAGGGTGCGTGTGTTTGACTGTACGGATTCTTTTGCAGAAGTTGTCCACTGGGTTTTTGATGTTAATGACCGCACACAGAAGGAGGGTGTTGAGATTGCGGCGGCTACGTTTCGGCCAGATAAAGAGGTGGAAAGGCTTGGTGATGAAGTTGGCGATACGAGGATATTTATGGGGGTGAGTTCATTGGCTTTTACGGATAGTATCGATGAGGCTAGGCGGATTCTGAATGCGAGCGAAGATGTTCCAGAGGGATTACAGAAAAGCCTCGTGGTTACAATTCCCCTCGAGGAGAAAAGCTGGGACCAGCTATTCGAAGCCCAAGACAGGTTCACTCCAGCAGGGAACGGGGAGAGATGGCAATGCGACAGCATCCTGAACAATCCTGATATTCCTCGTAGTCAGGTGAGTGAGCTAAAGGATCTGTTCTTGTTGCATAAAGGCAACGGCTAACAAAACTAGTTAATCGAAGCCATTCAACCCGCCCTCTGCGATCTCCCCTCTCGTCGCTCTGTCGGATGCATCTATATCGGAGACTACACTCCTGATGAAAAGGATCAAGCCATCAGTCTTCCGCATCAGTATTGCATCTCCACCATGACGTGCTGGAAAGATCCTACATGGGATGAACGGATGCGTCGATGGATGTACGAGGTGTATAGCAGGGCAGCACCGGTGTCGTGTGGACAGTATATCGCTGACTTGGATGCGAAGCAGCGGATGACTCCGGTAGGGCGCTCTTTTTCAGTTAAAGAGATGAACTGACAGATGATAGGTCATGAGTGAAAATGCCCTCGACAGATTTTTGAAGATTCGTCAGAAGTGGGATTCGGAGGATATGTTTACGACTAGAATCTGGGCACCATGACAGCGTTCCACCTGTAACTTTGGAGGCGTTTCTCCGCCCACCGTCCACACTGTTTGATGAAGATCAACATGTCAGAGCCGGAAATATAGTTAGCCCGACTAACCGAATCCCAGATATATTAGCCACGAGTAGGTAAAACAAATCAGACACAAAAGCCCGCTGTATTTCATAGTCTTAGCCCTCAAATACATGGATGTACCACCTGTCTATATATTGGCTACCAACATTGATAATTTCGGTGACACTCGGTAACTACCCAAAACCTAGCAGAAACAAACAAACAAATGTCTGGCTAGGGCCACAATAAACATAACATGTTACACTGCCATCAAAAACAAAGATCAAATACAATCCTACCACCGACTTCCAGGCCCTCATCTCGTCCTTCAAGTAGCTGGAAATTTGCTAGCTAAAGATTGGTTGTTTTCTCAACCTATAAAGCTCTGGGTTTGGTCCCCCTTTTGGTATGTTGCGTTCCTCTGGCCTGGACAAGCGAACGGGTATGCCTGTAGAGTCATAAACCACATTCAGATGGGCTGCATGTGTCCACTGGCCGGTTGCAGCATTGCCCATATAAACAGTGATATGTGGATCAGCCGCTTTCGATGGCAAACCTTGGCGTCTGTCACTTGCACTGTGTGTTGTTCTATGGTCGATTTGCCTGTACCAAGCGTGATTATTGGTTAGGAACAAGAAATAAACTGATTAAAAGAATCGTTACGAACCTGACAGCGACCATTGTTGACCCGGTAATCTGACAGGCCTCGCGGCACACCCTATCAATTGCGTCGGCTCGACCCCGGTGTTTGTCGCTCGGGATGGAACAGCTCCAGCCGATCTATCAAGAAACAAGTTTTTAGAAGGCGATTCCACTGGAGAAAATGAAGACAGAGTGACAGGCTTTTAGCCCAGATTTTTGTGATACTCACTGTTGGGTCTTGAACAGTTCCAGTGCCACTTCTGTGGGTCAATTTCGGCATGATGAATTGTAGAATATTTATATATATATCTATAAAAGGGATGCAATAATGGAAAGTATATGAACAATAATGTCAATTGGAATCTGTGGATGATCCAAACATGCTTGGAAAAGACTGCCTATTTGTACTTCTTGAGTGAGCGATATTCACTATAAATTCCTATTATATCGATGCAAAATGGAGCATGGTACGAAGGATTTTGAAACAACCATAGTTTCTTATAGCGATTACTTTGACGGATTGATTGGATACAACGTTTGCACAAGAACCAGGGCCGTTCTTGACGCCGAACAATGCCACTGTTCGAATCGTCCTTATTCCAAAACTGGAAAGTGATGTGCTCTATCGCCGCGTGATAGATTGTCAAGTATATGGGGGAAAAGCTCGGTCACGTAATAGTCAACAATGGGCGCCATGCCATTGACCTGTCACAAGTTATAAGTTGCCTGTGCTTTCAAGATGCTGAGCTGCCGGCGAGACGCCAGGATTCGCTAAGAAATTCTATCGATGTGATATAACTACACAGTACTTAAGTCTATTTTCAACATCCAATCATATCTGCATACAGCTAAGTGGCGACATCCTGGCGGCTATAGTACCCAATCAGGTTGACGGGCCACATTGCCGCCGCTACCTTAGTTCCAGCTGTGACCAAAATAAATCTACCTGCATCCGCTCGCGACCACTTGATCTTCACCACATGCGGATATTGGCTTGTATCCCCTCTCGCTCTCGCCCTCTGTCACTTGCTGTTTGTCGTCAAATTTTCTATTATAATAGACTTAGTATTTGCACAGCCCACCAGCAATCTTTTTGCAACGTGGCCAGAATCATAACAATTACTTCTTCATCAAAACTACCGTCTTTAGCCAAACCGACGAGACCAAGCCTAATCATCAAAGGGCACCGCGAATTGTCAGCTATGTCTGAGAAAAACACTGAAGATTTCCCTGCTGAAAGTCCTGGATTCGATTTACAGCTCCATGACGATCCAGAGGACTTAGAGAAAGTCTGGGACTACGAACCTGGTGGTCACCACCCAGTCCACCTGGGCGATCGACTTGGCGAAGGGAAATACAAAGTGATTCACAAACTCGGCAATGGAGGATTTGGAAACGTCTGGCTATGTCAGATCCTGGATCCAACGCCCAAATATGTGGCACTGAAAATTCTCATGGCTGATTTATCAGGTGATGACTGTAAGGAGCTGAAAGTCAACAAATTAGCTGAGAAGATTGACAATGACTCGATTTGTCTGCCACTCGATCAATTTAAAGTCAAAGGCCCAAATGGAGACCATTGGTGCTTTGTATATCCTCTGGCTGGGCCGATGATTTCTTCTGCGATCCGGACGTTTGAGGGGGACGAGAGGATATTGCGGAGGCTTGCGCTTCGAACTGTTAAGACCTTGGCTGCATTGCATGATATTGGCGTTTGCCATGGAGGTTAGTCCCGCCTATACACTAGACTTTCAATATCTAACAAATTTTAGATTTCACACCGCATAATGTACTCCTCCGTATGACGGGTCTTGATGGCCTGTCAGAGGAAGAAGTTATCAAAATATTGCACAAACCAGTAACAGCCGACGTCACCACCTACTCCGGGAAGCCATTGCCAGAGAGTGCAGCAAGATACCTTGTCTATCCCATCAGTTTTATATCTGTTGACCGTCAGTACTTCACTGATCAGATATACATCATTGACTTCGGCGAATCATTCAATGAATCAGACCCACCGGATAAACTGGGAACTCCAAAAAGCTACTGCTCGCCTGAACTCCTTCTTGGTGAAAAGCCTAGCATTGCAAGTGATTTATGGGCACTTGGCTGCACATTATACGGCATTCGAACTGGAGAAAAACTGTTCAACATGTTTGACGACGAGGCCGATGAATACATCTACTACATGGTTTTGATGTTAGGGGTTTTACCCGAGCCATGGTGGTCAACAACCTGGAAAGACCGGCGGAAGTGGTTTAAAGACGAGCCGGATTCCGAAGGACGTGCAGTTCAAGTCCCTGATTTGAACGATAAAATGGCTATCGAAGACCGACTTGGGGGTGGGGATGTCTTGAGGGAACTACCCGATGGAAGGCTTGTTCAAGCATGGGATCCCGGACTTCCAGAAGAGGAAAAGAAAATCTTTATTGATCTGCTGAGGAAGTTATTTCGGTTTAAACCAGAGGAGCGGTTGTCCACAAAGGAGGTCCAAGAGCATGAATGGTTCAAACTTGGAATATGAATTGCAATCAGAGAGCAAGGTAGCGACCTAAAGACAGTACATTAACAAGTCTCCGTCATCCTCAGAATAATCTTCATCATCAGAGATTTTGGTGGCACCTCGAAGACCAGCAATCCTCCCAAGGTTCCACGGCAACATCATCAAGCCCCATGGAGGGGGACGATGTGTATATTATTATGAATTATCGTAGCAAATAGATGACTAGAGTAAAGAATTCGCCCTGATAGTCCATAACCACCATTTTGCCCAGTCTCTGAGTAAAAAACTCAAGCGGAGGCCGTATGTCAAAATGAAGAGCATCTGCAATTGCATCTAGTGAAATCTCAAGTCGAGAAACCGCTTAATTCATCACAGTGTTCGTCTGTGATGCCGATGGCTTTATGGATATGCTGGCTTGTGACAATAGCCCATGGATTTGCGAGGTGAAATCATGTTTGCCGGAAGATCGGTACGATAGGCCTGACTGTTTATTTACGGATATAAACCATCTCACTATACAGCAACATTGATTTATCAACTCTCGACCATGTCATGTGTTAAATGAGGGGAATCAGTCAAGTGGGGAGAAATCCTCAATCCCCTGCCTTCTCAACCAACGTAGTAAGTATCTGTTACTCTCCAGCAGTAAAACTGACCAACAGGACCAAAACGACTATACGCCTTACGTGGTCGATCATCAGATATGATTACACCTCATCACCATCTACAACACAAAAAATAAATACCAAAAGCCACGCCCACTTCGTCCACTTCGTCCACTGCACCCCCATCGCCCACAAACTCCCCAACGCAACAGGCTTCTTCGGCCCGGCGCAAACCACTTCTGCACCCCAGGCCATCTCCAAGATCCCACATTCAAATGGGACGGAGGATGGGAGATGGGTTCTTTTGGGGTCGGATTGTTGTCGTTCCAGTTGGTGTCTATCTATCTTAAATATCTTATTTTATTATCGAGGTGGTCCTGACAGTTGGAATATAGGGCGCTTCTAGATGGAAACGCAGGATTTGGGCACGTTTGAGCACTGTACGATCAAAGCAAAACAATGCATATCAGTTTAATTGCAAGGATATACACCGTCAGTCCAGCTTAGAGAGCAGCCGCCCGCTTAACCAGCTGTTCCAATTCATACGGACTGCGCCCAACATCCTCACCCGCCTTGACACCATTGTGGAAGATAATAAAAGTCGGCAACGCTTTGATGCCGACTTCCTTGCTGATTTGGTCTTGTTCATCGACGTTGACTTTGTAGAATCCCACATGGCTGTTTTCTGGCTTGTGGGCGAGCTTTTGGAAATCAGGAAAGACCATTCTGCAAGGACCACACCAGCGGGCTCAGAAATCAATCACCACGGGCTTGCCGCTGTTGATGATTTGTTTGAATTCGGCGTGGCTGGAAGATCGACATTAGCAGTGACGAGGGGCATGGATCTGGTATACGTACGAGTTGATAACGGTAACGGTCATCTTGACGGGAGGTTTTTCTTTGATTGAGATGAAATAAAAGAAAGAGAAACAGAATATGAGGAGATCCAGCTCTCGTTAAATGCTGTTGTTCAGCTGCGAATATCCCGCCGCTCTACATGATGCATCGCGGATGATCAAAGGGTCAGATCAGACATTGTTGTCTTTACTGGATGATGAACTAAGGAATGTGGTGGGGGAGAAATGTCTACGGGATGAAGTATTGTAGTAGGTAAACTTGAGATGTCCAAAAATGGTAAATGACTCAATCGCTATAATACATGCCGTCTATAAAATCATTAAAGTAACTCCGTATATATCCCTTTTAAAAGCCACATTTAGCTTGTTGGCGATCCTCCCAGGATCTGTTCAACCCGAGCAACGGCGCGGTCCAAGCCGGCATCCAGGCGAGCAGCCACCGAGACATCCTGGGGCAAAACATCCATGAGCCTGTGGGTAGGCACCATCTCATGCAGGTAGATAGTCTCGGGAGATCAGTTGCTCGACTTGCTGGTAGTCAAGTATGACCGAAGGCCTCTGGAACTGGCGTGAGCCGAGACTGTCTTGCGGAGCACCTTGTCCGCTTCGTGAACCAGAATGCTGGTGTTGCCTGCTGAACCAGGTACTCGGCAGCCAGAGCAGAGGCAATGGCCTTCATGTAAGCAGCCTCCTGACCCTCGCGAACACTGCTGGAAAGGGCAGAGCACCAAGTCGATGGCACAGCGACAACAGAAGCATTATTCTCGGACAAGGCAAGAACACGAGCCTGGGTCCTCTCATCACGACCGATGATAAGGTGCAAGAATCCAATTCCGTCCATTCTCATGGCAGTCAGGGTGAGAGCCAACCTCGATCACCATGTCATAGGATGCGCTTTCCAGGGCTGACAGCAATCCTGTTATCAATCGTCAATCTGGGCGATTTAAAACAAAATTACACCCAAACACATCCATAACAATATAAGATAATATACAGATTGATACCTTTAAGTATTTACACCTTACCGAATGTGTATTAGCGCGTTCACATTGTTGGCCTGAAGGACCCACCAGAGCTGAGAAAACAAAGTGGATTGTTTCTCAATCCAGTCTCGATTAATACGTGTATCCTTGAGCACGGTTCATTACCTCCATACCTAGGATCGATCGACAATACTAATGCAAGCTGGTCACCTCTCAAGGCGGTATTCAAATGTTATGCATGACGGTCCTGCCGCTTAGCTCAAGTACATCTGAATTGCTTTGTTTAGTGGAACCTTTTCCGCCAATCGAGGAATGACTCCATCATCGCGCGGAACATGAAGCAAGGTTGGTTGATGAGACGCAGGCAACGAGGCCGAGAGATCTCACTGCAATGCATCCAGAGTCAGATTCACATGGCTTTTCTATAGTTAGATTAGGGCTGTGAATTGTCCTGGTCCATTATCAGATAGGACTAACAAGATAACTCCTTTAATGGTATAGGGTAGTTTGAGGAGGCTATACTCTATGATTTTGCCAGGTATGTGCTCATCACTAACTTGGATAACTGCTGAGGGATATGCCAGTATTTATAGAGAAAGATAGTCAGGGATAAAGAAAGACTCACAGCCGCCTTTAGCTTTTCCATCCCAGAAATGACTGTCTCCTTCGCGGTGGACAATGTCGCCGGTGCAGTAGAACCCGTCCTCGTCAAAGTCAGGGTACTGCTGGGTCAAGGTAGCTTTTAATCTCAGTTAGCATCTTTCGTCCATAAGAGGGGGTTTGGAATGGATCAACTTACCCAAGCATGAGGGTTCTCGTCTTCACTCACAACATGCCATGGTCTCCCTCGGACAGCTTGACCATCGCACCGGGTAATGACTTGCCAATGTTCGCCTTCATCATACTAGGTTAGAAAGATCAGACAAGATGCCATTGTAGTAGATCACTCACATCCATATAGCTTGAGTCTTCGTCCAAGGCCAGAAACACCACTCCTGACTCGGTGGTTCCATATGCATTCAACAAGTGCCGTTTCCCGTGCAAATCGCGCCAGAATCTCTTCAACACCGGCGATGGCATTCCTCCCTCGCATTAGGGGGTTCGCAGATACTACACGCCACAGATGTATTCTTATACTTAGTAACTGGGAAATCTCATTTTGGATGAGGTAACTAAGAGGAACAGGTAGGTGACATTTTAATTCTGTGTTTAAAGCCAATGATTCAAGTCAATGGTCAAGATATAGAAGGAATGGCAAACAAGTTCCCAAAATTACCAGCATTAAGAGATACGGCGGGCAGTCTTGGCCTGGTTTTTCCCGGAGAAACAGTAATAAAACCTGTATTGGCGATAGACACATCTTGTACTAGTGATATTCAGCTGTACGGGCTCTCAGGTAGGTTACTACTACTAAGGTACTGGAAACTTGACGAAAGCAGAATTGTCAAGGAAACGTTTTCCAAAGCAGTATGATTGGCTACCTAAATCTAAGTATCCACAGCAGAAGGAGACCCGTCGAACCAAAGTTTAACTTTGTCGTGGTATGGTTACACGGTATCCTCTCGGTAGGTATTGTACTAGTATTACCAGACGGGAATTACATACTGTTTTATTGTGTTTCCAGCCGTACACATTGTAAACAAACCTAACCAAGCAGATCCAGCTTCTCCATCACTTCGACTCATGTTCTTCCAGCTGGAGTGATGATCCAGTTCTCTCCCGCTTCTGATTCTCGGTCGACGCCACGGTGGGACGTGGGTTGCGGTGTGTGTTTGTCCGTCTCCAAGTCCAGCCAGCCAGGCCAGGTAGATCAGTAATCCAAACATTTCTATTCCCATCCAGCTCTCCTGACTCGGCTGGAAGTCTGGAAAATCGTGTCACACTGCATTTCAATCACACAGTCGGGAATCCCCTCGCGAGTGCCGCTACGTCATCGTCGGCGAGACCGACTTCGACCATCTCGCATTGAGTCCCGCACGGCCTTGAGCGATGAAGAGAGTATGATAATTCGTCGTGGATAGCTTTGCGTCCAGGATAGCAGCTATTATTATCAGAGAAGGGTATCCCCCAGGGTACTTTAGCGCGCGATCAGTCCTCGGTGTCTCAGTCTCATACTCGCTAACAATAGATTGAGGATGTCATGGTATTGACGCCTGAGACTCAGCTAACCAAAAAGCAGAGTGAACAGGTTCCTCGCATGCCAAAGGCACGACAACAACAATGTGGGGGAGGAGGGGTACTGGCTGGCTGACTTCTTTCTCTGCACTGCGCCGGAGGGAAAGATTGGCGCAGTGGAAAGTGGCGTTTCCGACACCAGCGAGACAGTACATGCCGCGATGGGTACGTCTCACTTTAGGGTTCTATGCAGGGAGGAACAAATTACACTGGGAACCGCTGCTAGAAGAGACCACGATCTCCCGCTGGCATGGTAGCATCTCTGCAATGGCCAGAACATGGTATGGATTGCGGGCATTCGAAACTGCACGTCCGAGACTTCAAGGCCGGTGACAACGAGAGCAAGGAAGGATTGGGGGTTTCATTGAGATGCACTCAACAATTTATCCTAGGGATTTTTCCAGTAGGACCACACGTTTTGCCTTGGGCAACAGTCTTCCTCGCGTGCCCTGCGTTGGACTGGCTTTAAAGGCCCAGCCAGCCCTTCCTTCAAACGAGAACCGGACCCTAACCCCACGAACCATGAGACGATCATAAGATGTTTCCACGAAGAGGATACTTGGAATACTGGTTCGACGGCTCCATCTCTGCTTGTCAAGCGATGCCGATGGTGCGCAACCGCTGGATCGAAGACTGGGAAATATCTTGGAGACACAACGTATAATGCGGGTGCAAGCATAGTGTGGGATGCTCTACAGACTACCGGGTGTCATCTAACGCGAGTAACCTAATATAATTGGGTGACAACTACCGAGTTCGCCGGGCAGCACTGGATGGTGGGATCATTTTGTGTTTGGAACGATTCGCACGCATACGACATGAAAGCCCGTCGCTTCAAACGTATCTCATATCGTGGGACCATGATCTGGATAAATGGAGTACTATAAATGTCATCGAGTATACCCAAGAGAGTATACAGTGCAGCAGTTCGATGGATGTTGTCTATCGGGCCATTGGGGCTGTGCATCTGGAATGGTGACATGGACTCATGAGTATACATCTCGCACAGCTGGATGAATTAAGCATAACACCTTTGTGGTTATATATATCTGATTCCTCAAAGTGATTCATTATTATTATCATTATAATGATAACACTGGCCTGTAATATTCGACGATATTTTGTGATAATCTGAGACATCCAGCAATTGACGGTGCTGCCTTCTGTGACTCAGGCAATCGTCGGATTTTTCCCCTCCGCAGGCTGTGTAGCCTAGACGGCCAAACCATATTAAACCCCTTTTCGACCACTTCTTCGTCTATTTTTTCTTTCTCTGTTCTCTTTTCATCTTTATATCCCATAAATAATATCATTACACTCATCATGTCAGTTATTTGTGGTTGTCGCTATCTTTTCCAATACCGGTGGGAATATCTCCCCCAAGTCGCCCTCAAAGCCCATGCGACAATCTTGTCTTCGACTGCGCGCACCACCCTCACCCAGACTTTTCTCAACCCATCTAGCAGATTATTAGAGGAGGTCTCTTATGCATTCCCCCTCTATGATGGAGTAAGTGTGGTAGGCTTCAAATGCCAGGTGGGTAGTCGAGTCCTGCACAGCCAGGTCAAGACAAAAGAACAGGCCAACGTCGAGTATCAAGACGCCGTGTCTGAGAAGAAATTAGCCAGCATTCTGGATCAGTCAAATAGTGCTTCTGACTGCTTCTCCATCAGACTGGGCAATATTCCAGCTGGAGAGAAAGTCACAGTGGACATCACCTTTGTTGGGGATCTCAAGCAGGACGCCCAGACAGATGGGACTCGTTACACGATACCTAATACCATCGCTCCTCGTTATAGCAATGTCCTTGATGGCATGGATGACTGGGTAGCATCCCGTGGCTCACCTGCACAGTCACAAGGCATTTCTATCACAGCTGATGTGTTGATGGAGAAATCATCCGTCATCCGAGAGCTGCAGTCTCCAAGTCACCCGGTAAAAGTCTCTCTGGGCCGCATCTCTTCGGTGCAAGAGGAAGACTCTGCCTTCGAGCCATCACAAGCATCTGCCAGTTTGAAGATAGCCAAAGGAGATGTCTTGCTGGAACGCGACTTTGTCCTCGTCGTTAGGGCAGATGGACTTGACTCGCCTCGAGCCCTGCTCGAGTCGCATCCCACCATTCCCGGCCAGCGAGCGCTGATGGCGACTCTTGTCCCCAAGTTTAGTCTGCCGCCGATTCAGCCAGAGCTTATCTTTGTTCTTGATCGGAGTGGCAGTATGAAAGACAAGATACAGAGCCTGCAAGCCGCACTCAGGGTCTTTTTGAAATCTCTGCCTGTCGGCGTTTGCTTCAATATTTGCTCATTTGGCAACTACCATTCCTTCTTGTGGGAGAGGAGCAAAGCCTACGATGCATCGAGTCTGAAGGAGGCTCTCGTATTTGTCGACAATGTCTTTGCTAACATGGGTGGCACGGAAATGCAAGGCGCTGTTGAGGCGGCTGTCGAAAGCCGTATGGGCGACAGGGAGCTCGAGGTGCTGATACTCACAGATGGACAGATACGGAAACAAGAAGCATTGTTCAGCTTTGTCCGGGAGAAGTCTGCCGATAACAGTGCGCGATTCTTTTCTCTTGGAATTGGCAATTCGGCATCACACTCCCTCATCGAGGGCATCGCTAGAGCAGGAAATGGATTCTCCCAGTCTGTGATAGCCCATGAGGAGCTTGATAGAAAGGTTGTACGGATGCTCAAGGGAGCCTTGACTCCTCATATCTACGACTACAAGCTGAAGGTTGAGTATGAAGACTCAGACTACGATTTTGAAGTCCTCACGTCCGACACTGAAACACTGTCAATTGAATCCTTGGCCGATGAGAAAGAAAAGGAAGTCCCGGAAATTCCAAAAGAAAACCCCCAAAAAGATACACAAACCCCCATTTCCCTCTTCGTTGACGATTTCAAGGAACCCGACATTGGTCTTGGAGCTATTCAGCCTGAGGAAATCCCCGACGTTCGCCCACCGAAAGCCATCCAAGCACCGCACAAGATCCCGCCTTTGTATCCGTTCATCAGGACCACCGTCTACATTCTCCTGGACCCCCAGTCTTCCGATCGAGTCCCAAAGTCAGTCGCATTCCATGCCACCTCCAAGCAGGGCCCGCTGCTCTTGAATGTCCCCATTTCAGACATCGGCCAGGGCGAAACCATCCATCAGCTCGCCTCCCGCAAGGCCGTCATCGAACTCGAAGAGGAACACGGCTGGCTCGTCGACGCCAAACACAACGGAGTCCCCCTCAAGCACCTACACGCCAACACAAAGCGGCAGATTGCCCGTCGTGAATGCGAACGTCTCGGCATCAAGTTCCAAGTCACCGGGAAACACTGCTCGTTCGTGGCATTGGAAGACGACCCTGAAAACCCATCAGAGACTAACGAAAAGACCGAGTTGCCCGTTTCAATTGAGCAGACCCAGGTGCCGAAATCGGCATCCATCAAAAATGAGGCAAGGAAATCACCTTCCAGTGCAGGCCGAGGGTCTCTTCCACCAGGCGTGGTTTCCGAACAACGGTTTGCAATGTCGCCCCCGGGTAGACGAGCTGCTTTTGCTCCTAGTGAATCGCCATTCGGGCGGCCTGGAGCATCCTTTGCGGATTTAAAGTCTACCGAGTTTGGAAACGCCAGTTTCAGGTCCCGTGGATCTGGAGGTCCTGGCCCATTCAGCTCTGCCGGTGGTGAACAATTCGGGAGTGCAAACCCAACCTCCAATCCGTTTGGAAAGCAAAGCGCTGGTGGTGCAGGGTTCGGACAATCTGTTTTCGACTCATCTTCAGGTAGTTCCGTATTCGATCAACTGGCTGCCCCTGCCTCCAGACAATCTGCTACCCTTCCTGCCCCTGCCTCCAGCACAAGCTCTGGTCCATCATTTGGTCAACCTGCTGGTGGAGCATTATTCGGAAAATCTGCTTTCGGCTCATCCTCAGGTGGTTCCTTATTCGGTCAACCCAGCTATGCACCACCCCCTACTAGCTCATGCTATATGTACAACCCAACTCCCAGCACAAAGACAACCTCTGGAGGTCTCTTTGGAGGCGCAAAGTCAAACACAGCTTCCGGAGGAGGCTTTGGAAACGCAACCTCATCCCCCAATTCAGGAAACCCCTTCGAAAAGCCTCAAGTCTCACTATTCGGTAGCGCAAACCTCAACACCAACACAAACACCACCCCTGGAGGTGGTCTCTTTGGGAGCGCAAACCCAACCCCAGCCCCACCCCCAGCTCCCAGTTCAAACACTTCAAGCAGTCAATTTGAACTGGCAAACTCCACCAGCACAGGCTCATCATTATTCGGTGGCACAAACCCCAGCACCAACACCAACACCACCAATCCAGACACAAACACAAACCCAAATCCATTCTCTGGAGGCCTCTTTGCAGGTCTACGCTCACTCCCCACCCCCACTTCAGGCAGTCTATTCGGGCAACCTGCTCACTCCCCAGCCCCAGTCCCAGAAACACCCACCAGCAAAGTCCGCGCCCTCATCAACCTCCAAACCTTTGAGGGATCCTGGGAATGGACTGATCCCCTCTTCACCATCCTCGAACTGAACCCCGCCGAGACAAAGACAAACCTAGCCAAGCTCTTCCAAGACAACGGCAAGAGTGTCGACGATTCTGCATTCCCCCAAGTTGAGGAGGCTACAGTCTTCGCTACACTGCTTGCAATGGGGTATCTGGGAACCAAGAATGGGGATTTGAAGAATATCTGGGAGCTGGTTTATGAAAAGGCCGAGGGGTGGGTTAGGCAGGCGTTGGAGAAGATGGGAGATGAGGGGGTGGTTTTTGAAAGCTGCAAGAAGGATATTATGGCGATTGTTGTTTGATTTAGGATATCTTGCATGGTGCTGTTTATGTCTGCTATCTAGTATCCTTTTTTGTATGTTTTGTTGAAATACATATGTAGTGTAGATCAAATTATGCAGTTGAGAATGAATTGAGTCTTAACTCGATAATGTCCAGCAATTAAGCATAATATCCAATGTAGACCTTATCTTCTATATGCTCAAGGTATGTAGTTCACAGAACGCCAGCAGGAAATGTAAAAAGTCATTTGTCACGGCCAACGCTTCATGCCGCGAGTGCTGTCATACCTCGCCGCTTATGCGAGAAAAAAAAGAAATGAAATGAAAAATATAAAAAAAGAAAATATGATGATAAGAAAGAGTTATATACTCAAACTCGAAGGTTATATTTGCAATACAAAAAGAAATAAAAGAAAAAAAAAAAAAAAAAGCCATGCAAAGGGATATTCATGCTCATTCTGCAGATGGTTATATTCAAGTCTAAAAGGTGCATGCAGAATCGTGATCAGGAAAATGACATCCAAAAAGAAGGGGAAAGTAAGTAATAAGAAAAAATAAGAAAACAAGGATATAAAGAAGTGAAGAGGACCACAACATGGGCAGGCACAGAGTGTATCAATGCTAAGTGGCGCGGACAGAAGGAACAATTATGGATTACAGAGCGGTTGACCAGGCGTGGAGATTGGTTGACAAACAGGTGTGGTGGAATTGATTGATTGTATGTCTGCCCTGGTCACCTGGACATATAACTGAAGAGGTCGAATCGATCGGATCGTGCTGTGTGGTTGATATATGACGGTTCATGAATGGGTCGTGGTCGGTTGCTACCATGCTCTTTTTTGCTCTTTTTTGTTTTTTCTTTAATATATATGATGGGTCCAGCCAAAAGATGCAATTTTCAGAATAGGCGATGCAAGTACGTTTTATGGCCACCAGCCCATGCGTTTGTAACTTTCCACCATGGCCCGGACACTGTCTGCGTTGAATCCCTCGCGAGAGGGTTTCCAGCCGGTGGTGGTCTCGAAAAGGGTACCGTCGAGGGACATGTCCTGGTCCTTGAGAACGTCTCTCTCGAGGAACGGACCGATGGGTCCCGGCCGCTGGATTTGTTTCTTCTCAACCAGCTCTGCCCAAGTCTGCAAGCTCACCTCGTTCATGTCATCCACAACGTCGTCCATGTTCATCTTGGCAAACTGTGACACCAGGGATCCCAGGAACTCGCATTTCAGTCCAAAGACAGCGTCCAGTGCCTCGGCCACGTGTTCTTGGCGGGTATCGCCGTGGTCAACGACGTTGAACGCAATGGGGATGGAAGCATCGTTGCCCTTGCTAGCCCTCCACTCGGCCGCCTTCCACAAAGCACTGGCGGCATCCTTGACGTAAAGAGTGTTGATCTTCAGATCCTTGGTGTACAGCAGCTCCAGATCTTTCTCCAAGTCCAAGTGCACGCGGGCAAGACAGACAGCCATGGCAAAGTAGCCAGGGTCATATTCACCGTAAACGTGAGGTAGGCGCAGAAGAGTGTAGTTGAGACCGGGAATCTTTTGCAGCTCCTCACCAGCCTTCAACTTCCACTTGGCCAAGCGGTGCCAAGGCTGGAGTTTATCGTCTTCTTTCCGGGGGGTCGATCCACTCTTGTAGACGTGGGCCGTCGAGCATTCAACAAAGGAACTGATACCTCGTCGGGCAGTCTCCCGACCGAGGGCAACGGTAAGATTATAACTGCGGACTTCGTAGACGTCGTCTGGTTGCGAATGCCGGGTTTCACCACCACAGTTGATCACATAGTCGAACTGTTCTCCATTGGCTCGGTCGAATATCCGGGAAAAGTGTTCTGTAGGACCCTAGAGTAAGCATATCGCACACAAAAAAGATGAGCAGGAGTGAAAGACTCACGTTCCCGACTGGCATCAGCCTGAACAAACTTTTCTTTCGAGCAAGCCTCCTCGAATTCGGGGGCCAACCAGGCCAGTTGAGGCAAAACCTTGTCGACCAGTCGGACTTCGGACGCGAGATTATTTTCGTGAATGTACAAAGCGAGATGACGACCGATAAATCCTGCAATCCAACAAAGCAATTAGAAATTTTTTCTTTGTTCTCTGAATACGAGAAAAAAAATATTTTCAGATGGGGTACTCACCCAAACCTCCGACGATCAAAACAGCGGGCTTGTCACCAGCCATGATGAAATGCGATAATGCGAAAAATATATTAAGATGTAGATAGATTCGACCAGATAAATTCGCAAGAGGCGACTAGAAACAGCGTGGTGGTCGACTTTGCACCCCGCACCCAATCCAGTTCAATGAAGAAATGCGGGGAGCAGAGAAAAGGGGGAGGGGGGGATAGGAGAGACGGAATGCGATGGAGATGATAAAGATGAAGAGGATGAACGATGCTGATGCTATAATGCGAGGGATTCTTCTCTTTTGAATTTATAAGATAGGCAAGAAAGGAAGAAGAAGACAGGGGATGAAGATGAAGAGAAGAAAGAGAGAGAGGGAGAGGAAGAAAGAGAGAGATTGGGGAGATTCTTTCGTTCGGACTAAAAGACGCTTTGATGGACGGTGCGTATCAGGCTGCGAAACTAACCGGTTGAAACAGCAGCACTCGGATGTTGTGATTATCTTCTCTTCTGCTTCACTTCTTGAATATATAACTCGTAAATAATTAAGAGAGAGAGATATGATGTGTTGGCTGCCCGCTCTCTGGCTCGACCCAAGCCACTGGGTTTTCTCGACGCTTCCGCCGCTTTTCTTCGATGCTTCTTTTCGGATGACGAACATGGCTGAAATTCTGATTCTGAATGGCTTCATCTCCTCCCTCTACAGCTAGTCTTTCCACCGATCATCACCGAATTACCCATCTTCTCTCCCTCTTCCACCAGCCACATCATCATCGCCTATCTATCTCCATCGCCCATTATTACCATTGCCGACGGTCCAACGGAGGAAATCCCATCGACCCTCTCGCAGAGTTAGCGCCGCTCTAGAAAATTTCGCCCAGTCCACCACAGAAAACCCATTTCTGATCAGCAATTCCCATCATCACCATCGTGATTTATTATTTCCTCATCGTTCGAACCCACACTGCGCTTTTTCCCCTGCCAAGCGCCGCGTTGTGGACCACCAGGAACCCAAGATCGTTTCCTCCAACAATGAAACTCGAGCAATGAGAAGGAGCATCGTGAAGATCGTCCCATAGCACTGCTCCATATCGGGTGGTACTATTGAAGTCTCTGGAAATGGTGATATGGAGACTTAATTAATATTATTCTTTTCATTTTCACTAATCTCGCCTTCTTTTTTTGCCTCTAGTTGCAAGATCGACACTCGCCATGCCCGTCCTCATCAACGCTCCGGTTCGTCCCGCATCGTCTTTACTCTATACAGCAGTAGTCGTGGTTGACCTGTGTCCCGGTAACCGGGATACGAAAGACAGAATAAGAAAATATAGCAAACACCCAGGGCAATTATTGATCGATCACAAACTGCACAACATCGATCTCAAATGGTGCTGTGCTGGCTGGCTAATCGCTTCCTGACGTCAAATCAGCTTCAAGCCTGAAGCCTCGGCTTGCCTTGACTTCCTATCGCCCGTGGATGATTTACATTCTGTCCCATGGATGATCGGCCCATGGTTCATGCGCAAGGGAAAATAGGTTATTATCAGACAAGGCGAATGGATTGTTGGATGCAAGGCTATCCTAGTCGTCAAGCTTATCACTGTACACTATTCGAGATAGTACCTTTGTTCAAATTTCCTCTTCTTTTTTTTCTTTTCTTCTTTTCTTTTTCATCCTTTTTTAACCTCCTCCCTCCCTGTCTAAATGACAAATCCCAGCAATGTCTCCCCTCTGACCTGTGCACTCGGTACTGCTTCACTGTACTGTAAGGGTACTAATGGTCAGTCACACTACATGCAGCATCACACTGATCCGGAAAGCCGCATGGACGTTCTCCGCGCCCGCGTCCTTCTTCCAGGCCTTTTGGAGCTCCCTCATCACAAAGTTCCAGTCCTTATCCATCCCCGTGCGCACGCGGATGTAAAACCCGGACCACTCAAATTTAATCGATGCGGCCTTCACGGGACTGGCCCAAATCCCGGCATTCAGCTGCGCACTAGGATCCCATTCCCGGAGCCCACATTCCTCCACCATACGGTCCAGGAAGGCTGAAGCCGTGTCAAAGCGCTGGAATGGGACCCAGACCGGGGCCATATCCCGCTGTGTGGTGGCGGTTACCAAGAACTTGGTCTTATCGTGACAGTGATGTAGATCGACGGGGATCTTTTCGACGGTCTCGATCTCCTGGATGTCGTCGGTGCTAGAGTCGGACGAATCTGAGAGCTGGCCATTGAGGTTAGGGATGACGGGCTTGTCCAGGATGACCACGTCATCGTTCTCCTCAGTCCGTCTCTTCTTGGCAGGGACCGATCTACCCCGTGTATCGTCAAGTGCGATAGAGCTGAAAGGACGGATGGTCCGATCACCAGGGCCTACAGACTTTCCTCGATCGAGAGAACGAGTTGACGATACCTCCTTTTTGGGGTTGAATCGCTCAAACAGGGTTCCCAGGTCTTCGGATGGCTCCCGGTCTCTCTTTCTGCCTCTTCCATTATCAGAAAGACCCGGAGTGTTGAAAGTAGACGGGTAACGAGGCTGGGCTTTCTTTGGCAGATCAGAAGCGGGCGTCGGTGTTGGAAGGCCACGGAATTTCGAAGGAGATGAAGGAGTATCATTATTCTTCTATAGTCCTACTGTTAGCACATCAAGCTGAAAGAGGACTTGGCTTGACTCGATCACTAACCGTAGCCAACGACTGTCTGTGGTCCTTGACCTTGGCCTTGGCCTTCTTTTCCAACAGGATCACAAGCGTACGAGTCAACCTATTCGACATCACATCAGTAAGACCAGAAAACTTCTCCCAGAACCACCAAAAACTCACTCTTCCTTTCTCTCCGGATACATATAAAGAGCCTCAGGATCAAGCAAAGAATCCGCCATCAAATACTTCCTCCGATTCGCATCCGTGCCCCAATACTTCTTCCCATGCACCCTCAAAAAGCCAAGAGCACACGCTTTCCGCTCAGATTCATGCTCTGCGAGATCCTTCCACGTATACCCCTGCAGCTCAACATGATCCCAAACCGTAGACAAAAATTCATTGTGGTAGTTGTGTTTCAGATCCAAAAAGGTCGTAAAGTTGCGGAAGGTTTTTTTCGTGTTCAGCGTGCCCTCGTCGAGGAATGCCTTTAGTGGGTTTGTTATTGTTCCTTGGAGTGGGGGATTGCTGGGTGGTGCCGCGGTGGCTTCTCGTGCCTGGAAGCGCTGCGAGTTTCTGTTGCTCATTTTTTTGTTGGTGTTTTCTTTTTTCTGGCGTTTTGGACTGGACGCTACAGTGTAGAAGAAGAGGTTTGTGAGTTCAGTGGTACAGATGAGGATGGGTAGGTGTAGAGAGATAGAGGAAGAAGAGGGAAAAAGTCGAGAGGCAAAGTCAAGGGACACTGCTGAGTGTTGTGGGAGGGGAAAGATTGAAGAGTGAATGCTGAGGGGTCTTTAGTTGGGCTGGGGCCACGCCTTTACCTGTGTTGAAAGATTCAACTCCCCTTCACTCCACTTTACAAAGCTTCTGACCTGGAATATGACCTTGCAGTGAATAGAATGGGTGAAGGAACAGATAAAGAAAGATCCTTTGGCCTATTTCCATCGCCCTCGGTAATTGTACAATTGGGTAGGAAGTAGCATTGAACTGATATATCAGGTTTCAGAATCAACCTTTTGAGGAAAGACTGAAGTGTAGTAAATATGAGAGATAGAAGAATAGCCACATAACTGCTTAAGGGAATATATTATCATATCATCATCATTGGCATGTGGGCAATAGAGAGCCTACAGAACAGTAACAGAAACACACTCTTCAATCCAGCAACAAGAACAAAACACAAGCCCCGGCAACTAGAAAGAATATACAAGACCTATTGTTACCTGGTGTGCCCAAAGCAATCAAGGCAAAGGTAGAGTACGGAGCTGTTGAACCATCACTCCGCACCAAGGTGGCGCAATGAATTTTTAAGTTCCTTGATTGCTGTGTTGACATCATCAAATGTCAATGCAGAAACGGCCCAACGGGCGTGCTTCTGGGCCAGAGCAATCGTGTTGTCGTCAAGCGGTTGCGAATTCGACGGTCCGCCATATGCCGGGGCTGGGGCTGGGGGAGCCACAGGTACACGGGCAGGTTGAGGCGTCGGCTGTACAACAGGAGCAGGTTTTGGAGGTTGTGCGAAAGGTACGCTGGCACTAGGCTGATTATAAAAGGAGCTCGGGTCATTTGAGGCAGCTGGTGGGCTGGGAGGCTGCGCTGATGGCGGAGGAAAAGATTGGAAGGATTCATAAGGATTCGAGGAACGAGGCACGCCCAGATTGGCGGGCGTATCAGGAAGATCTGGGATTTGTGTAGAGAGAGATCCAATTGTTTCTGGCGCCGACGGGAGATTCAGCGCCGGGCCCTGCTCGGTGTCGATATCCATATTTTGACCAGGTGAAGGCGCCGTATTGCGCACAGAAGCGGCAGGAGGTTGCGGGGGAATAGAAGATGCTCTTGAAGGATGCAGCGATTCATCAAAAGCCGACTGTTGCGCCAACCGTCGTTGAAGGCTGTCATTTTCATCGGGAACATCCTCCACCGACGGCTGCCGCAAAGCAGCTTCATCAATAATCTGCGCATCCGGATCGAATTCTCCCTTCTCTTCCTCTTGTATGACCGGATTCGAATCGTTGGGGTCTTCTCCAGCCTTGATCGCCTTGGCAATTCTCAACGCATGGTACTTTGCGAACTTGATTTTCGCCGCGACTTCAGGGTCCGGTGGGCCCCAGATATTACAAAGCTCGAGAAACGTAGCTGCTGCTTGGAATGTATCTGCCGTTTGCCTATGCGATTATCAATTGACTGATCTAGAGTGAGCTTCAAGGACGGTAAGAGCAAACCTGGTAACCTTGTTGGCCTTCATGGTTGCCTCCGCGCGATTGAAGACTTCCTGACCAAACTGCTCCACGTAGGCACTCGCAGCAACATTATCCATCACAGTATCATTATCGTTATTTTCGCTTTTGAACTTAAGGTGGTATAAATGTCAGCGACCTAGAAAACTGAACCACAGGTCGGTCGGGTTGTCGCCTAACGTACTTGTTCCAGCTTGTCCACGAGGGTCGTCGTATAGAGTTTGATTTCATCATCGGTAGAATGAAGACCTCGTTCGATAATCTGATTCACAATCCAGAAGTTGCCTGTCACGGTCATAAACCACACATTAGATTCGTCCCACTCAATCACAACTGGCTCGCACGATACTCACACCAATATGCAATGACAGGCTTTGCCCGTTCGATCTGGGCTGCCCGAACGGCAAAACGCCCGATGTCAGCAGACTTTAAACCAGCAGGAATATTGCTTGCCATGAAGTCGGTTTAATGGGAGGCTCTTTTTGGATGAGGGGCTGCAATTGTTTAGGTGGAGGAGGGATGTTCTTTCAAAGCGGGATGACGTTGGAGCTCTGCTTGGGATCGGCGTCTGTGCCGAGCGCCGCGGAGAACAGCGAATGCGTGCCGTTTTTAGGAAGCGAACAAACAGCTTCTTATATTATTTTTAAATCTTATTCTTTCATACATTAAATAAATGGAAGTAGACACTTATATTATTGCATATTCTACTCTAGAACGAAAATTCCTTACTGTGCCTCTCGACACAATCCATCTGTCATTATTTATCATCAGTCATAGACCAGTTCCGTATGAAATCCTCAAAACAATAAGACATATCGTCAAGCATCTTCAACTATCCATTCCCCAATCTCAACTCGTTCCTCTGCCAAAGCTTCGACTTCAAAATGATCCTCGACCTGTCCACCAAGTCCTCCAATCCGTTCAATGACAATCCATACTCCACCGCTGTGTTCAAATCCCGGTTGCAAGTCAAAGTCGTCAACCCGGATTCCAGATATCGCATCACTATGAGCTCCATCTTCAGAAGTTGCCATAATCTCTTTGTATGGGCCTTGGCCTAGTTCTACAGTCATCAACACCGGTGAAGGCCCAACAGGACGACTACCAATTATGGACAGCCTGCTGCGCGCAATAAGCTTGATCCGTGTCAGTCGCGGCACCTGCAAGGGGGCCAGCATTCTGTCCTTCCCTGGAGGTAGAACACCAATGTCCGAAATTACCGCTCGCCGTCCTGCTGACTCTGGCGCAAGTGGTTTTACTTCACACGGGATTTTGGAAGAGACCCAAAGAGTGAATCGGCTAAGTTGATCCGGAGCAAAGGTAGAGCAGACAATAGTATATATGCCCTTATCTAAAGCCTTCGCCTCGACAAGAGCACCGCCACGACGGTAGTCACCACTATCACCGATGATGTCGCGGCTTTGTACTCTCGATATGCGCTTGCCATTTGACCAGAACAGCTTGGCGTGGATGGCTATCTCTGTTTCAGAGCATTCCAGCAGGATAGACAAATCCGTCGGTTCGGATATCTTGAGGCTGAATTGCGGGTTGAAGGAATAACGAGCAGATTCCGCATTACCGCCCGCTGTCGAAAGTGTCCAACTCCCATGCTTCTTGGTCACGCACGTATGTTTGTCTTTCGAATGAGCAAGATGCACAGGGGAAGTGGAAAAGGCAGATAATGTAAAACTTTGGCTCAAGGAGGGCAACGATTGTTCTGAGATCACCGCAGTGTAAGTCGTCTTGGGAGGCATCTCAAGCCTCATGAGGGTATTGGGTGAGTCCACATAAGGTCCACGATGGAGAGCACCATCCGTTAGAGAGACCCTTTTCCCATCTGCCTTGAAGACATATATGCTTATGAATCCCGATTCTCCATTCCCTGGGAACGAATGGCTAGAGATCGGAGATCGAGTTCGCTCAGTCGTTCTAAAATGTTTGCCGAGAAGTAGCCAGACGGTACCTCCCATTTCAGTGGATATTGCGAACTGGGGGTTCTTGACAAAACAGCCCGTGATACCTCTCCCACTGGAGAGATCCCATGTAAAGTGGATATCCTCGCGGTGCTTGAACAGTCCCGGGTTCCAATTGAGGTAGAGATTCTCAAAATTCTGACCGACTCTTTCAAAGTCCATCCAAAAGGTTCCCGGGGCAAGGGACATTAAGTCATGCGCTGACTCTGTCGATTCAGATCTAAAATCGGTGGCTCTCTGCACAGGCTCTTCTCCAGCCCAGGGGTTTTTCACCAGCATTTGGCGACGTCCGTTGGACTCATTCATCTCCAGGATAACATAATCATGCTCGCTAACAAGGCCTAGTCCTTGCTGCTCCCTCTCGGTGAGTTTCCCCGTGCCAATAGTCAACAGAACATCACCATAGTGGAAGGCTTTGAACAATCGCTTCCAGAGTTGTTCATAAGTCACATCCTCATGATGCAGGAATACTTGCTCGGGAATCCAACCTGTTAAGACCCACAAATCGGTGCCAGAATTGCTTCCTGGGAAATCATATCCTCCCCGGAGCTTTAGGTACGCTTTTTCTACAAGGGCAGGCCACAGAAAATTAGGGTTATTTCGGTCAATCACATGAAGTGATCTTGAGGTTTTGGACGAGGGTAGCCGATCATCTATGACAACCTTCCGAAAACACCCGTTGAAATAGAAACAAAAGATGTATTTCCCAGAAGGTGAAAGCATGGAATCTACCTCTTCGTCTTGGCAGGGGTAGATCACTGGGAGAAGATGCTATTTTCATCAGCCACGCAAAGAACCACAATAGCACAGGAGCACCATACCTTGCCCAAGCCACGTTCAGCCCTTGATACTGTGGCACAGAGACTCGCAACAACCGAGCAGTCCGTCAAAACATCTTGTACGAGATCGGTCTTCCCCGAAACGGCCATTACTGGGGTTTTCACGTCCTCGTCTTCCACAATCTCAAACAGCAGGTCTCGGGGTCTTTTCCAGCCCCCAAATATTTTTCTTTGTAGACTAGAAAGGTGAAGATCGGGCTCATCTCTAATTCCAGTCAGAAGATGTCTTCATTACAAACTCACAACAGCAATCGCTATAATTTTTCAGACATACGTAAACAGCCTGTTTCCCCGGTCCTGCTCGAATTCTTCTGGGCTGGGAGAGCTGACCCATGGTGGGAAAATAAAACCATTCAGTTTTGCTCCTTCGAGAAGAATGATTTCCTCACGGGTTGTGAGCTTTCGTGTTGATACCGGTGTCCGTAGCCCGGGCGCATTGTTGTCACCTGCTGTGGACTTCCAGTTCTTGGTCTCCTTGATCCTCTCTGCTCTGGTAAGCAATTCTTTGCATTTTGCGTCTAATTTCTGTTTGTCTTTCGGAGCAGTAGTCAATTTCAAAGCTCTCATATAGTGTTCAGTCGCATTGATAGCAGCCTCCAAAGCCTGTGTCTGAGACGTAGCAGTGGATACATCCCGTTCGGCTTTCTGGCTCCTAGTTAGTCAGAAGAACCCCGCTGATCCGAGATAATTGGGGGGGGGGGGGGGGGGGGGGGGGGGGGGGAGAAGAAGCTAAATACCAAAGCCTGAGCAAGCAAGGACTTTTGCATCGAAATGCCGGGATTCGACATTCTGACCCCGATGACCACGGCAGTTATGAATCGAGGGATGCGCGACTAGGATCGCCACTGTCACACTTTGGGGTCTGTCCCCGCAATGGTCGTACAGACACCAGTTGAGCAACACTAGCTATCAAACAGACATAGTGCTGCTGCTTAGGTTATCCGAGCCCCGTGATTTCTCCGAGCTGGATAATTCCGAGTGTGTTGAAGTAAATTCCGGGGTCAATTCCAGCCAAGTGATGACGATATGGGACAGATACCAATTAGAGTGCAATCAGGACCTTCACTTTGAGTTTCAAATGACCCCAATATCCAGTTAATTAGTCAGGATTGATGATGCAGGTCGGCGGCGAGGGGCGGGAATAGAGACTGTGAATGTCAGTGGAAGGGTCGGCTGGTGCAAATGGCCGACAAGATGCCTCGGTTCCTTTCGTCATCCGGTGATCGGCTGCGCCGAGGTGCTCTGATCTGGGAAATCTACCTGCTACTAGTAATATTGCGAGGACTCTGTTTCCTTCACGCCGTGTGCCGGCTTTCTTTGTGATCTCGTTGGCATATTCTCCATCTTTCTCTCTCCTTTCTTGCTCCTTCATTATCTTTCCAAATTCATCGATTTGCTCCTTTGTCCCTCTCTAAAGCCGTGCGCTTTTAGTTGACACCCTTAGGACCCCGCCCGGCTTTTTTTTTTATTTTTAATCGGCCGGTCTCTTCAGTCCCTACGGGGCTCTTCTTATTTCGCTTCTTCACCTAATTATATATTATCACTAAGGCAAATTGCCTTGTTATAAATAATGACTGGTCAATCAAAGCCGCTTTCGCCATGGGGTAGCGCTGTTGCGGGTGCAACTGGCGCAGTTCTCGCAAATGCTGCGGTGTACCCCCTGGACTTGTATGTGACAAGTCGAGCCCGAGGAATCAGGTGGAATTCGCAGGCTAACTTTTCGTTACGATATGCAGGGTCAAGACGAAACTCCAAGTTCAAGTGAAAGCCGCAAACGACTCGAAAGACGAAGCGAAAGACCCTCACTATGAATCGACCATAGATGCTATCAATAAGATTGTGGAAAGCGAGGGTGTCAGTGGCCTGTACTCTGGTATTGCAGGATCGCTATTAGGAGTTGCATCCACCAACTTTGCGTACTTCTATTGGTACAGCGTCGTCCGGACTATCTACATGGCATCAAACCGAGTACCCAAGCCCCCCGGTACTGCTGTCGAGCTCAGTCTGGGTGCAGTCGCGGGCGCAGTCGCCCAAATTTTCACAATCCCGGTCGCTGTTATTACGACAAGACAACAGACACAACCGAAGGATGATAAGAAGGGTTTGATTGAAACTGGAAAGGAGGTTATCGACAGTGAAGATGGCTGGTCTGGCTTGTGGAGAGGTCTCAAGGCTAGTTTAATCCTCGTTGTCAACCCAGCCATCACATACGGAGCCTATCAACGATTGAAGGACGTCATTTTCCCTGGAAAGAACAACCTAAAGCCCTGGGAGGCTTTCCGTGAGTGGCGCCAATAGCCCCTGTTAATCTGAATATCCCGCTAATCAATATCTTAGTTTTGGGCGCCATGTCCAAGGCTCTAGCCACTATTGCAACTCAGCCTTTGATTGTTGCCAAGGTTGGCCTTCAATCTCGGCCACCTCCGGGCCGCAAGCCATTCAAGAGCTTCGGTGAGGTCATGCGTTATATTGTTGACAATGAAGGCCTGCTTGCCTTGTTCAAGGGCATTGGACCACAGATCGTCAAGGGACTTCTGGTACAGGGATTGCTGATGATGACAAAGGAGAGGTATGTTTATCAATCATTCCAGAAAACAGTAATTGCAAGTATTAACTAACGATAGGATGGAACTTCTATTCATTGCCCTTTTTGCATATCTGCGGAAGATCAAAGAACAAAAACTGAAGAAGGCCGTCGACAGCGCCGCATCGAAGGCCAAAACAAGTCTCCCGGCGACCTTGAAATAAATTTGTCTATGACATAACTATTCATCGGATCCATTCTTTGATTTATATGACTATTTTTCGTTTACTCAGGCGCAAGGGCTGAAACTTATCGAGCTTCATTCTATCTCATGTTTTCTTTGTATATGTCTTCTTCTGGGAGGGAGACGGTCATGATGCTATAATAGAACATACAGTATACTATTCCTCAGGCTTATTACCAGGATAGCCCTGTACACTCTGAACAATGATCCCACGGTTTTAGCAATGATCAGTCACTTTTATTTGAAGACAAGGATAAAGGAACGTTGTGGAGTCTGATCTACATCAATCTCACAGGGTTCTTTCAAGACACAGAGCTTGTTCCACATTCTTTGTCTGACGACTGGTAAAAATAGCTGCTTCAGTTCTTTTAATATCATCAATCAGTGTCTTCTTTTGGATAAAAAGACCCATAATGCGCCGTATATAGCTCCGACTATGTAAACCTAGGCCATCCTCCGCCAAGACAAACACGCTTTTGACCGACAACGCCGAGGTATTACTTTTCCAACTATTGCCATTGCTACAAATCTACCTTACAACCCAACCTCAACCCATTCGGGTTGCCTTTCATCCTTTCAAATCATTCAGCCGTCATGCGATGGCCGCCATGGGCTTCCGAATCGCCGCGCACCGCGAGCTCCGATGAGCACTCCACAAGCTCAATTTTCTCTTCCTCTTCCTCCTCCTCCTCCGCCCCCGCTTCATCAAGCTCGAGAAATTGGAACGACGCACTCAATGGAATTGACTGGGCTGCATTCACAGAGCCGTCGACGATCTTCCCCACATGCATCTTGACTGGTGGAATCCTAGGCGCGGTGTACATCCACCGCCGCTTTCTGCGCCGTATTCCTGACGCCACGAGCATCTCGCCTTCGCACTTCCGTAACAGGAGTCTCTACGGGCAGGTTACGAGTGTCGGTGATGGCGACGGCTTCAGACTATACCATACACCCGGCGGAAGACTTGGTGGATGGGGATGGCTGCCGTGGAAAAAGGTCCCGACAACTAGGAAAGAGCTGAAGGACAAAACCGTGCGTGGAACTTTTTCTCCCCTTCACTTGAGTACAGACAATTGACATATATCAATCTTCTTATAGGTTTCTATTCGTCTGGCTGGTGTAGACGCCCCCGAACGCGCACACTTTGGACGCCCAGAACAGCCATTTGCCCGCGAAGCTCATACCTGGCTAACCTCATACCTCCTCAACCGCAGCGTGCGAGCCTACATCCATCGTCCGGATCAGTACCAGCGTGCGGTAGCCAGCGTATACGTGCGACGGGCGTTTGACTTTCCGATTCCGTTCCGCCGTCGGGACGTGTCGTACGAGATGCTAAAGCGCGGACTGGCGACGGTTTACGAGGCGAAATCGGGGTCGGAATTTGGTGGGGAGAAAAAGGAGCGCAAATACAGGAAGATCGAAGATTGGGCAAAGCGGAAAGGAAAGGGGCTGTGGAAGGATTATCGGCGGAAGGGTGATCAGTGGGAAAGTCCTAGGGCTTATAAGACACGGATGGGAATGGGTGAACCGACAGATGCAGATAAAAAATAAGGGTCGGTGGGCATATATCTGGTTTCCCTGTCTTTTACGGGAATGATTGGTATATTTTCAGGCCTTCGGTGGAGGTTACTTTCCTTGTCGATGATACCACATAGAATGCTTGCATTACAAGAACTACATATCTTCTAGCTTGTTCCTGTATGATGTATATATATTATATTCAATAATCATTATCAGCCCGGTTAAGACCAGGGCAAGGCCTCCATAGTCCAGGCCTGTAAGCTAACGAAATTCCTCTGAGTCTGGGCATATATGGAAATAATACAGGTGGTGAAGTAAGATATGCAAAAGCACAAAATATCCGCCGAGAATCGCGTCTCTAGCAAAATTTGCGCTCGATCTCGGCGTAAATCTGTGGGGTAATTTCATCACTGGTGTTACCCTCAACACGCCAGAGACAGCCCTTGCGCTCATAATGCTCAAGGAGCGCCTTGCTGGTTTCCTCAAACTTGTTGAGTCGCTGCTTCCATGTATCTACCGAATCATCCTGTCTTTGCACCAAAGGCTCGCCGGTGATATCATCCTTGCCGGAAACTTTGGGGGCATTGAAGCTTGTGTTGTATACCCTCCCCGAGGCTTCATGTACCCAGCGCGACCCAATTCGAGATAGAATGACAGATGGTGGCGTAATTAGATAGATAACGAAGTTTACTGGGACGAGCGTATCCAAGCTTGCTGCTTGAGTAGCGGTACGAGGGAAACCGTCGAGGATGAAAGATGCGGAGGAAGATATCGAGGGGGCTTGAGAGGAGGCGGCTTTATTGGACAGTGATGATGGGAACCAGCCCTTTGTTTTGAATTCGGAAGATATAAGATCGAGAATCATCGAATCGGGAACCAGGTTGCCTGACTGCATTGCAGCCTCTGCTTCAATGCCTGTGGGTGAAGAATTCGTTAGCACCGCTTCCGCTGGAGGGTAGTGGTGGTGGTTTGCACGCGCAAATCCGAGTCAACATTGGATGGAACAAAATCGCATACCTAATGGAGTCTTCCTGCGAACATTTTCCCGCAATAAATCCCCCGAGCTTATCGATGCTAATTGTGGAAATCGGGTGAGGAGTCTTTCTTTCTGCGTTCCTTTTCCTACACCAGGGGCACCGATGAGGATGATACGCGCAGCCTTTTGAAGCTGCCTGGTCACGGATGACATAGTTTGCTGCTAATTTTTCTTCTTCTTGCTCTCGTAATTCTTCTCGGTTTCGTGGTTCGTGGTGTATGGCCCAAGCGCAAGAATCTAGCGGTTGCGGTTTGGTGTAGCGTGGTCTTTACGATGGGGGATAAAGGACGGGAAAGGACGACGGAAAGATTATCTGATCTTCATTTTGACTGTTATTTCGAAGGGCTTGCAGGTAAATATCAGGTTTGGATCAAAGACAGAAGCAATGTGGAGAGAGATGATTGCTCAGGTGATGCATCAATATCTGCATTTGATCACCGCGAAAAAAGATTGGGGAAGCAAGATTATTCTGTGGGGTATCAGTCAGGTTCTTTCCGGGCGCCGGTGAGCGGAGTGATGGGGGCTTCTCCGACGGGGATCAACAGCGCCGGGATTACTATGGGCGGGCAGATAAGAGGGCATGTAAGGGCCCCTAGGGTCTTGTGAGCAATGGCTACCGTATGGAGAGAGACAACGAAAACTTTTACAGCTCTATATACTACTCTGCATAATATCACATGCTGTGTTGACACTTTTCTTACTCCGCACTGTCAATAATCATACTTTCGTGGAGTCCCTCGGTTCGCGACCTGGTCACCTGCTAATCACGTGATATTGGCTAATGACGCGCGCGGTGGAGCGCGTCGCGCGTCGGTTCGTGGAAGTGGAAGATGGCTAGAGAGAAACTTTGATATCTTCAAACAGCAGGCAGGCCACGAAGTGATATAGTCATTTGTTTTGCTGCGGGACAACATGATTCGACAGGACTTTCATAGAATTGATCCCAAGAGGAGGACGACTCTTGATCACAAGAAGAAGCAGTTTGCAGCGCCCTCATACAAGCAGCAGGACTACCCGCACCGTTTGAACTTTTATGATGTCCCTCCAGTTGCAGAGATAACACTTGAACAATTTGAACAATGGGCCATTGACAGACTAAAGAGTATGTATCCTCGATCTTGGCTTTGTCTCTATCAACTGATTTATGATGGCAGTTCTGGCTGAAATCGAGGCCTGTTCTTATCGAAACAAGTCGGCTGCTGAGACGGCATCGCATCTTACCCCTCTCATTCAAAAATTCCTTCCTTTGTCCTCCAACACATCATCTTCCTCGGGTGCCGCAGACCAGCGATTGAAAAATGAACGCCAAAAAGATCATTATTCACACTTCATCCTTCGATTGGCGTTCTCGGCCACCGAAGACCTCCGCCGGCGATTCGCACGCGCAGAGACTATGCTCTTCCGATTCCGGTTCCAACAAGACGACTCGAAAGAGAAGCGGGCTTTCATTGAGAGCCTCAACCTAGACTGGGAACCAGTCAGTGACGAGGAGAGGCGGGGAGTTGCTGAACATTTGGTTGCTGCCACACCTGGTTTGCGTCGCGCGGATGAAGAGACTTGGTACAAGGTGGACTGGGAGAGAGTACCTGAGCTGGTCGAACGACGATCCGTTTACATGCACAGAGGAAAGGCTTATGTTCCTGGAAGAGAGCAATTGAGTATGATCATTGCGGAATTCACCGCACGATTGGAACGTGCTCTCGAGGTATGTCGAATTCTGCGTGTTGGTTCCTCCGGGCTTAGAACTAATCATTGCTAGCTCACGAGTCGAGCTCTACCGCGCCTGGACGAAGACGACCGGTTGACTCCAATCTTGAATCATCTATCTAAGAACTTCGGTAGCGCAGAATCTGTGTACACGGAGGGCGAAGGGTTCGTTGATGGGGCACCAATCACTGCAGGTGCCATTGACCATCTTTCTCAGCACTTCCCACTCTGCATGCGCAGCTTGCACATGTCATTGCGCAAGAACAACCATCTGAAGCACTACGGTCGTCTTCAATACACCTTGTTTCTGAAGGGAATTGGTCTGTCCCTAGAGGAGTGTATTCTCTTCTGGCGTCAGTCCTTCAAGGGCTTTACGGATGACGAATTCAACTCTCGATACAAGTACAACGTCCGCCACGCTTATGGTGATGTGGGTGGTGATGTAAATCGCAGAGGCCGAGGATACCCTCCCTACTCATGCCAAAAAATCCTCAATGATTCAAACGCTAGTGTTGGCCAGACCCATGGGTGCCCGTATCGCCATTTCTCTGTCGATAACCTCCTGGGACTTCTTCAGGCGACAGGTGTCAATGATAGAGAAGTGCTACGCGGAGTGCGAGAGGATGTCGAGAAAACCCGGTATCATATCGCTTGCAACAGAGTTTTCGAGTGGGCGCACAAGGGTGACATCAAGAGAGTCAAGGAAGACGGGTCTTGGAGCCAGACGGATCTCGACACAATCGTCCACCCGAACACTTACTTCAAGCGCAGCTACCTGCTGAAGCAGATGGGCAAAGCCCCCAGAGACTCTTAGGCAGCTGTGATGACATAGGTTCCACGAAGCTACGCGTCCTTGCTCTCCTTTTTTGATGATTTTTTGGGAGGTCGATCCAGGCGTTTGGGTTTGGAGCTCTGGTGTTTTAGCGACTCGAACATTGCGAAGGCACTGTCCAAGCTACTAGATAGAAATTGTTTGCATGTATAAATTTAATCATTGGGAAACAGTATTGGATACTGAATCTACGCCATGGTAAAATCTAGTCCAAAGGAATACGCCGAAATAAAAATAAATAAGTAGGAGAAAGAACTGTAACCACTGCTGATTCCCGGATTATCCAAAAGGATCTGAACGACCTTTCAAAGCCAGGTGCCCAGCGACGGGTCAAGTCATTCTTCGCTCGACTCGAAAACAACTTCATCATTGATTGACAGAAGTTGTCGACAGCAATAAAATCACTGATGTTGCCGGCGGCAAAATTTTGAAGAAATTTGAAGAAGAAAAGAAGAGGTTGTGCAGAGAGGAGCCGAAATTTAAAGGCCCGCACTAGTGGCTCGTACGGGAAGCGGCAGCGACCAAAGATGCTGCAACCTGGCCTTATGCCACAGCAGCGGTTCACACAACATACTCCCTGATCGATCTACGTCTAGTCTCTGGACAACAGTCGTTGGGTTTGCCCTTTTTGAAACAAGATTATGCTACGGGCAGACCTCTCGATTATATATTCCGTGGTGCAATAGACAGATTTTCCCTGTTCCGCCTCTTCAACGCATTCGAGCCCCTCTCATATCACGACCCAACGTACCGAACCCCCATCCGACAACAACATGGACTACGAAGCGCTCAAGGACCAATGGAGCGATGTCGAGGATCGCGATGGCATCAGACTCAGTTGGAACACGTTTCCAAGCTCCCGCATGGTTGGTGCTTTTTGTTATCTGGTGTTTATGGACTCTATTTACTAAGTCATACAACAGGAAGCCTCCCGCCTGGTCGTCCCCATTGGTGCCGTCTATACCCCCCTCAAGGAAAAGGTCGATGCTCCATTGCTACAATACGAACCAGTGACTTGTAAACAGCCTTGCCGGGCTGTTCTCAACCCCTATGCGTATGTGATGGCCTCTCTTCGACCGTGTTCCACCCTTGGCTGACAGTACTTAGCAATGTCGACGTCCGAGCCCGGATTTGGATATGCCCCTTTTGTCTTATGCGCAACCCTCTTCCTCCTCACTACAAGGATATTACGGAAAATGCGATACCCCCAGAACTTCACCCCCAGAGCACTACGATCGAGTACCAATTGGCACGTCCCGCTCCCGCACCCCCGATCTTCGTGTACGTCGTTGATACCTGCCAAGAGGAAGATAGCATGAAGGCTTTGAAGGATTCTTTGATCATGAGCTTGTCATTGCTGCCGCCTAATGCGTTGGTTGGATTGATTACATTTGGTACAATGGTAGGGATTGCATAGGAGCTCCGGTGGGGTTGGTTATTGACCTCGGTATACAGGCACAAGTCCACGAGCTCGGATACACCGAGTGCGCCAAGTCGTATGTGTTTAGAGGAAGCAAGGATTACGCTGCTAAGCAAGTTCAAGAGATGCTTGGTCTTCTTGCGCCTGGCTTGCGCCCGAACATGCCCCAGCAGCCCGTCCGCCCGCCTCTTGGTCCTGCGGCACGATTCCTCCTCCCCGTTCAGCAAGCCGAATTCCAGATCACCAACGTCCTCGAACAGCTGCAGCGTGACCCATGGCCAGTTGCGAACGACAAGCGAGCACTCAGATGTACCGGTGTTGCCCTCAGTGTTGCGGTTGGTTTGATGGAGACTTCCTTCCAGAATGCCGGTGGCCGCATTATGGTCTTCACAAGTGGTGCTGCTACCGAGGGTCCGGGCCATGTTGTTGGACCCGAGTTGAAGGAACCGATCCGTTCTCACCACGACATTGATCGGGACAACATCAAGTACTACAAGAAGGCCGTTAAGGTACGTTTTGATGATACCTTACAAGGGCCCGTTTATACTAATTATCTCAGTTCTATGACAACCTGGCCAAGCGCGCTGCGGGTAATGGACATGTCGTCGATATCTTTGCCGGATGTCTTGACCAAGTTGGTCTTCTGGAAATGAAGAACCTCTCCAACTACACTGGTGGTCATATGCTTCTCACAGACAGCTTTACATCCTCCCAATTCAAGCAATCTTTTGTCAGAGTGTTTGACAAGGACGCAAATGACAACCTACTCATGGGCTTCAATGCATCGCTTGAGGTTCTCACTACCAAGGAGCTCAAGGTCACAGGACTCATTGGTCATGCAGTTTCATTGAACAAGAAGTCTAGCTCCGTCGGCGAGACAGAGTGCGGTATCGGCAACACTTGCGCGTGGAAGATGTGCGGAATTGACCCTGCTTCAAGCTACGGTGTTTACTTCGAGATCGCAAACCAGGGCGGGCCTGCAGCCGTACAACCAGGTCCTCAAAGAGGAATGATGCAGTTCCTGACTTACTACCAGCATGCTTCCGGACATTACCATCTCAGAGTCACAACTGTTGCACGGAATCTGAGTGGCCCTGCCGGTGACCCGACACTCGCCCAGTCGTTCGATCAAGAAGCCGCTGCCGTGCTTATGGCGCGTATTGCTGTTTTCAAGGCGGAGGTTGATGACGGTCCTGATGTGTTGAGATGGGTTGACCGCATGCTCATCAGGCTCTGCTCTCGCTTTGCGGACTACCGCAAGGATGATCCGACATCATTCCGCCTCGAGAAGAACTTCACCCTCTACCCTCAGTTCATGTTCCACCTCCGGAGAAGTCAGTTCTTGCAGTTCTTCAACAACTCGCCTGATGAGACAGCTTTCTACAGACATGTTCTCAACCACGAGGATGTTGGTGACTCCCTTATCATGATTCAGCCCACGCTGGATTCGTACTCTTTGGAGCACGAGGGAAGCCAACCGGTTCTTTTGGACTCGGCTTCTATCCAACCCTCCCACATTCTTCTCCTGGACACCTTCTTCCACATTCTTATCTTCCACGGAGAGACAATCGCGGAATGGCGCAAGGCTGGCTACCAGGACCAAGAGGGCTATGAGAACTTGAAGGTGCTTCTCGAATCGCCCAAGGAGGATGCTAGGGTTTGTTCACCCATACCTAATAACAAAGCTGAGCTAATTATTTTTCGCAGGAACTGATTGCCGATCGATTCCCACTGCCCCGTTTCATTGTTTGTGATGCTGGTGGCTCCCAGGCACGTTTCCTTTTGTCCAAGCTCAACCCCTCCACAACACACACATCAGGAGGGTACGGCGGCGGTGTTTCATCTCAGACCATTTTCACCGATGATGTCTCGCTGCAAACCTTTATGGATCATCTGATGAAGTAAGCAAACCCCGCACTCCACCGAATCTCTTAAACGATGCTAATATGTGTCTAGACTTGCGGTTTCCGGAACCAGCTAGATCTGACGAGGTAATGAGAGCAAAGGGCGGTCTGACGTCGGTCCTCCGGTCGTTTGTATCTTTAGCGGTGATTTAGTTCTTTTTTTTTTAAACTCTACACAATATAGGAACTACCTAGATTGAATGAATTGATACCAGTCGAGTAATACAATGTTCCAGATAACGTAAAGAGCGAGCATAAACAATCGATAAGATATCACGTGATGGGGTGGGCTGGGCCCTAACCGCTCGCCCAAAGCGGGAATCTCAGAGGTCTCGCTTAGTGTGCTAGCCCGCGGTGCGGAGCCAGCTAAATATCTTCGAAATTTTGCAGCCGTTTTCTCCTTTCTCCGTGCAACCACCCCGACCAACAATCCAAGACGATTGACCACCTTTCGCACTCGCCATGCGTAAGTATCATCTTCTTGGTTATACCAATGGCGGCTAACATGTATTTCTCTGGGTAGCTCCCAAGTTCGACCCCAATGAGGTGAAGATTGTTCACCTGAGAGTGACTGGTGGTGAGGTCGGAGCTCAGTCTGCTCTGGCCCCCAAGGTCGGTCCTCTTGGTTTGTCTCCCAAGAAGATTGGTGAAGACATTGCCAAGAACACCGGTGACTGGGTAAGATGCATCGCAAATCGATATTATTATGATGGCAGGCGCAGTTGGCTAACGGGTATTGTGTTTATAGAAGGGTCTCCGTGTGACCGTCAAGCTCACCATCCAGAACCGTCAGGCCGCTGTCTCGGTTGTGCCCTCTGCCTCTTCTCTGGTCATCAAGGCCCTCAAGGAGCCCCCTCGTGACCGTAAGAAGGAGAAGAACATCAAGCACAACAAGTCGATTCCCCTCGACGAGATCATTGAGATCGCCCGCAAGATGCGTCACCGCTCTCTCGCCAAGGAGCTCAAGGGTACCGTCCTTGAGATCCTCGGTACCGCCTTCTCCGTCGGATGCCGCGTTGACGGCCGCTCCCCCAAGGACGTCTCCGACGAGATCAAGGAGGGCGAGATTGACAGTAAGTTTTCCGGTACTTGGTGTGATGGGTTTTGTACTAACGGATTGCAGTTCCTGAGGAATAAATTAATGATCGAAATGTACGGCGGTTGTCGGTCTGATTTGAAATGACAATTCAACTGTTCACAGCGCTAGTTACTGAAAATAACGATCATTGCCTTGAAAAAAAAGGAATGTTTTACGAGTCATGACTTTTCTTATTTCCACCAGTTCAAATGGATAAGCTTAATGATACCAGGCATGTTCTGCATTGTCTTTTCCCACTCCCAAACTCCCCCATTCTCTTTTCGTGGTTGGCTTGCTGCCCTTGTGCGAGTTGGACCATGTCAAGAACGAATCACCCCCAAGCAACCGTTGCAACACTCTGGCCCTTACTGTTCCATCTATTGGATCATATCATCACGTGGTATAGGCTTATTTTACGCAACGAAAATAAATTATTCCGGACCCATTACTCACCGCGGTATCCTTGGAGCTTGCTCCGTGGGTACAGTGGTCCATATTTCGGGCCAACATAATGATCAAAATTGACCATGGTGGATCTGTAGATCGCAGATCAGCTAGCTACACAATCAATGAAGATGAATAATGATACTTGCATTCCTTGTACTTGTCTCTATATACACTTGCGTGGACTATTTTGCTGTATGACATGACATTCCACATTAGTTGAGTACCACTTTTTCTTTTTGAGTTTTTTCCATTTCCCTCCACGTGCCGCGCTGGATTCTTGGTCTTTTTTCGAGAAGGTTATAAAAACTTATATAATTCAGGGGCTTGAGAGTATATATTATTAACTGAGTTTATCTGCTCTGCACTTCGACAGTATAATAGCCGGCGATATATATATCTGACAGGGTTGTACCAACACAGCCTCAGGAATATATATTTACCACGTATGAAGCCGCTACTTTATATCAAACAAAAGCAGCAGAGTGCATAAGGCAGTAATATTAATCACATATACGACTGTCATGCGGCACACTGAACATGCGTTTACCATAGTTTTTTTTTTTTTTTTTTTTTTTTTTTTTTTTTTTCTGATAACTGAACACTTACGCGCAGCGCAAGATGAGATCCTAAATGGCTAGAAGTATTGGCATTCAGACTTTGACGAAGAAGTTAGATTGCAGATATAGTAATCGCGAATTTTTTTAATTAAATACTACGACATAGTATAGTAAAATACTATCAATGGTTGATCCCTTATGGTGGATATGTAATGTTGTCGGGATCTGGATCCGCCAAGTTGCATCAGCATCAGCATGAGCCCCCCTTGAATTCTTGATAGTGAGGCATGATAGGAAGAGCAGATGGATTGATCAGATATTCGAGAAAGTATGAGATTTTTGATTGATTCTTTGGTCGGAGAAGTCCGTGGATCGACTAAGTATTCTACTAAATATGCAGGATATTTCTTTTGATATTCAAACTTTTTTTACTATAGCACTACACCGGAGGGAGGATGGAGTAGTACCTGAACACAGTAGGATATCATTTCCTACCTCTGGATTGATAATAAAATCTCAAAGTCTGTTCTATCCACAAATACTATTCTGATGCGCCGGTGGAGGTTGTGTTTGCCGATCCTCATCGTCAGAGGGAAGCGATGCTCGTGACATGGTCGATCGGTGACCAGCGGCCCCATTCCCGCCCTCTCAGACCCCCCTGGTCTGGGCACGATCATTCAATAGTTTTTTATTATTATTATTATTATTATTATTATTTTTTTTTTTATTATTCCATATTTCTTCTCTTTGATCTTTGAGTATATATATTATATGTATCTGAATATTTACTCAATACTGAGTCTGTAATAGGCATCAGCTTCAGCCTCCAGCATCTAATAACGATCCCACTCTGATCGTCCTCCAACCGCAGTCCAAGGCTTGATCACTGCGGGCGCCACTGGGACTGGCTTGCTTGGCTGTGACCCACTGACGTTGAACGACTCGTCCTGCTAGCGCTGCCCATCCTGGCCGTTGAGTGGGACTCGTATATCATCATTATTGATTTTATAATAATATACCTACAGTAGGAGAGAGAATAGAATAGAAGAGAATATAATAATATCTTCTATTCAGTATTGACCACTCTGTTTGCCTTTCTATAATATAAATAATATAATAATAATAATATATATCATCGTAATAGTAATAATAAACTGTGGTCCACTACTCCACTCCGCCCACCCATCCTTAGTCTAGCCTATCCACGGCGTTCGTTGCCCAGCTCCGCTCTCACTGGGCCCTGCCCTGTCATCCCGCTACACTCGATGACTCTGCTTTTCTTTCTTTCGTCCCTCTTCCTTTCTTCTTCTTTTTCTTTTCGTTCTGCTTCTTTTTTTGCTGACTTGGTTCTGTTTGAGGAATCGCCGTTTTCGTCCATGCTGGTCGCCCACTTCTGCGGTACTCCATAGTGATATTCCCCACCACACCTCTAGTCCTCTGGTACTTTCTGCCACGATCGGTTTTTTTGCCCTCCTCTCCGCCTTTCTTCCCTCCCTACGAGGCTACGACACAACGCTTCATCCCTCCATCTCGTCGCGCCTTTTCTCTCCAATTTGCCCAGCATTGGTGCCATGTTTCCTGCTGCACAATACCCCTGTTCCTGATTACACTTGTCGTTCGTCCCTCCAAGTACAGCATTTCTGCCAAGCTTGCTGTCTCCTCGTTGGTTGACTGCGTCTGGCGGACACCTGCGTCAGTGTGGGTTGAAGCGGACCAGGGCTGTGACTCTTCACTCAATCCCTTGCCCTCCCTTGCATCCCATCACGTCGTTTCCCCTAATCAGCAACTAGGACAGTCGGCGTCCAAATTTCGTCTCATCTTGTGGAATCCTTTTCCCCCCCGTCACTCTACGTTTCTTTCCATCAGCCTCTCCGATCTTGACACGGTTCTACCGATCCTCGTACATTCTTTCGTCTGACTCACTGTTTCACTATCTCACATTCTCCTTTTCTTCTATCGAATTAATAGCACGGATATCAGCTTCATGACGATCCCGGGGACAAGTGGTGGGGGGCTTCGCTGAATGTCAAGTGAGCCGGCTCACGTCCATGATGAGGTGTCGGAAACGCTACAAGGAGGATGTTTGTTGTTGAAATTTTTCAGAAAAGACTCAATTTTGATCGCATTCGACTTTTTCGATCCGCTATCGACTTCTGCCCGTGACCGATTCTTCTCCCATCCGTTACCTTGATTCCTTTTTGTATATAATCGATCCGCCAGAGCTCAAAAGCAAAAATGCTGCCTTCGGTGGCACCTTTCCCGCCGGTTCAGCCGCATCAGCACCTTAATCATTATCACGCCGATACCCTCAATCCCTCTTACGACATGAACAGCTCGTCTTTTGCATCATCTTCCTCTCGTCATGACCCGAACAGACATTCCTTTCATTCGATCCCTCGGTCCCGATTTCAATACCCGCAACCTGTCCAGCGTCTCGATCCTCACGATACGACCGGCCTGAGAATTAGCCCCAAAAGTGTTGGGGAGCATGCACTGAGAAGGAAAACACCAAATGGGACGCTTGCCGCTGGTTATGACGGAACTCCCGGGGATACAACGATTCAGCCTCCCGCAAGTAAGCATCTTCTGGTTTCTTCTCTCGAATCGGGACAGCTTCTCCCTCCACATACAGGCCTCCCGTTGGAGAATTGGCAGCAGCAGCAACAGCAGCCTACCCTAGACCAGCCCTCGTCCGCTAAGCACTTTAATTTCCCGCCCGTGTACAAGAATGACCTGAATCGCAACATTGTTCCGGGGGATTTGGTGCAAGATCCGAACGGGACAGGTTGGATCCGTTCGTTGAACTACGGTCCTGGGATAGACTCGGTTCTCAATCAGACTTTACCAATGCAACCAGGGCAGCGATATTATTTGCACAACGGCGCTCATGTTCCTACCGTTCTACCAGCCACACTCCAGCCCTATATGGGCCCTACAGCATCGGCGAGTAGTGGGCCATACGGTCCATATTGGCCCGACGGCGTGTACATCCCTTATCGACCAGCGGCGCTTCGCGATTCACGGTACAACTCGCCGACCACTTTTGCGAAGCAATTGGCCCCGACTGGTATGCCACTTTACGATGTAGGGCAGCCTACCTTCAATCGAGGGCCTGTACCGTCGGCCGGTCACGTTGATCCGAATTTCCAATGGAACCAAGCTAACCAAGCTCCATTGGGCATGCTAAACCCTGACCATTCGCTGAAGAGCAACTTTCCTCCGCGTCATTCCGAACAGAAGCCGCTCGATCCTCATAGCCAGCACGTGCTACCATACCACACGCGTCAAAATAACCATTCCTCTGGCTATCCTTCGCAGCCCACCAACGAAACGTTTGCGCATTGGGCTACTCCTGGTGGGCATGGCTTCCAGAATCCAGCCCCGACTCCCAACTCGCGAACGGCGAATGGTGAATTCAAGGAAAAGGCGCTTTCATGGGCGCACGGTGTTTATGTTGATCTTCTTGCGTCTATTCATCAGGCTCGAAGAAGCAGCATTTCGAACGCTCCTGATGGCCAGAGCCAGCGATTCATGAAGCCCAGCATCTACCCCAAGCCTCCGCGACAACCAGGACTGGATTTCTCTCAAACTAACATGCCGGAAATTACCCGTCATCACAGTTACCCGTCCAGCCAGTATGACCTGCTCCCTCATAAATTGAACCCGAGACAGATGGACACCGTTCGTTCTGCCCCTAATTTCTTGGTAAATCGTCAAGAGCGTCCTTCATTGGCTCACTTTCAACAACACCATGGAGCGACCGAGAAACATATGGCAGATAGATTACGCCATACCGGGCGCTTCACGGCTTCTCGGTTTCCAAGTATGGCGATGAATGAAAACTCGACTGCCGCAAATGCGATATCTGCTTTGGAAATGTTGTCCCACCTGTGCATGGAGAGTAGGTGGGAATGGGTTGATGGAATTCTTCTTGGGGGTTGTCTTGCTTATGGCTTGGGAGACTATCAAAAGGCCTTGAGATGGTATTCTAGGATCATTGCAAGAGATGCAACGTAAGTACGCTACGATGATGGGCTATTCAATACTAACGCTACTAGACACGTGGAAGCGATATCGAACCTTGCGGCCACACTTTTGGCTCTCGACCGCCGAGAAGAGGCTTTGGATCACTGGCTGCGAGCTGTGAAACTGCGCCCGAGCTTCTTTGAGGCGGTGGAGCACCTAATAGGTCTCCTGTGTAGCACACATCGGAGCAAGGAAGCCGTCAACATCATTGACTTCGTTCAAAATTCGTTACGATATCCGAAGAATGGTGATTGCTTCAAGGGCGACGAGCATGCTAGTGAAACCGAGAGCGATGTAGAAAGTCGAGCTTCTAGCGTATCTGACTTGGGCTCGTACGAGAAAGCGTCGTTTGACTACGACGATGATCTTGGACGATCGGTGCCTCCTAATTTTGGTGTAGCTGAGACTACTCCTGCTGGATTTGCTTCTAGTGGATATGCCATACCGGGGTCAGATAATGGTAGGATGCTCGCTCTCGTCCACGCTAAAGGCAATATGCTTTATGCTCTCGGTGACAATGCAGGAGCTGCGGTGGCTTTTGAAGACGCAGTTTTGATTGCCGCTGGCAGACGACGTCATGGAATCCAGAGTCTGATCAAGCAGATTTTTGCTGCCTTTTCGCCTGGGCCCCGTAACGGCTACTCGGGATCAGAGCAGCATGAATCGAGGGAAAGCATTCTCCTCTATCCCGACAAGGCCCTGCAGACCTCGAAATTGGTTTTTTCTCCCTGCGGAACACCGCCGGGAATCAAGTATGTGGCCGAAGGCCTTGCAAGGAAGGCCGCTATATCCACTACCAGTAATTCTTTACTGTCCCTTGCGAAAATCTACCAGGATGGCATGTCTGCCATTTCTACTTCGGGCGGTCCCAGAGCGGCGCCTGGCGTTCGCGACATCTTGGCTCTCTACTACCTTTCACTCTCCCTTCAACAAAGTCCGTCCACTGCAAACAACGTGGGTATTCTACTTGCAGGCATTCAGAACAATGCACCTAAGAATCTCCCACGTCCGACTGGGGAAAGCCAGCACCCTGACATTCCGGGAGTGGTTCCCGGTAGCGGGATTTCTCTCGCTCTGGCTTACTACAACTACGGTTTACATCTTGACTCGCGGCACGCTCATCTATATACCAATCTTGGCAGTCTTCTTAAAGACATTGGTCAGCTTCACGCGGCCATTCGAATGTACGAGCAGGCGGTACAGTGCGACGGCAATTTCGATATTGCTCTGGCGAATCTGGCAAACGCAGTCAAGGACGCCGGTCGCGTCAACGATGCCATTGGTTATTACAAGCGGGCCGTGAAAGTGAATCCTGAATTTGCAGAGGCGGTTTGTGGTCTTGCTAACGCTCTGAATTCTGTCTGCAATTGGATCGGTCGCGGTGGGATTGCCAACGGATACGGTTTCCGCGATCGATGGCACGTCAACGAACAGGGGATGCTCCGTGATGCATACAACATCGACATCGGCTCTGGTTGGATCAAGCGTGTGGTCGATATCGTTGAGCGTCAACTCAGAGAGGGTGAGACTTGGGGCCGTGGCTTGCTGACCCCTAGCACGATCGACCAACTGTGCACGCAGCTTGTTCCGGCCGTGGAATCTCGACGGTTCTCGCCCGGCCAAAGAGGCTCTTTGGCTGCGATCCTCCAGTCATGGGCCGGCCAGAAATGGGAAGGTTCAAGGATTGTGAAACTTGTTGAGCGTGCTACACGATCACTCACCTGGCAGTGGTATCAAGATCGTTATGTCTATGGCAAGGACTATGGTCTGTCCAAGTATGTCCGACCGCAGCTTCCACCTGGAATTACTGCGCCGAACGCACCGACCGTCCTGCCTTTCCACACGTTTACCTGTCCGCTTTCTGCGAAACAAATCCGCCAGATTTCGCAACGGAATGGTCTTCGCATTTCCTGTTCGACGCTTCGCGCTCCGTGGCTTCCGAGTACCGTATACCGACCGCCGCCGCCTCCGAATCCGTACCTCAAAGTTGGATATGTGTCGTCCGACTTTAACAACCATCCTCTGGCTCATCTGATGCAGTCTGTATTTGGGCTGCACAATCCTTCCAAGGTGAAGGCATACTGCTATGCGACCACTGCGAGCGACAAGTCGATCCATCGCCAGCAGATCGAAAAAGAGGCCCCGGCCTTCCATGACGCTAGCGGTTGGCCGGTTGATCGACTTGTCCATCAGATTGTCGAGGATGGAATTCACATTCTGATTAATCTGAATGGCTATACGCGAGGTGCTCGCAATGAAGTCTTTGCCGCAAGACCTGCACCAATCCACATGTCATTCATGGGTTTTGCAGGAACCCTTGGTGCCGAATGGTGTGACTACATCCTTGCAGACAAGCTGTCGATTCCTCCCGAGACGCTCAGCCCTGGGCGACGCAAGGCCCGGATGGAGGAACGACTGTTGGAGGAGGACCATGGCGAAGAACTTGAAGACTGGGTGTATGGCGAGAAGATTGTCTTTACTCGAGACACTTTCTTCTGCTGCGACCACCGACAGAGTGCGCCCGACTCCAAGGAGATGCACGTCACTTGGGATCAGGAGCAGGAACGACGGTGGCGTATGCGCAAAGAGCTGTTTCCGAACCTCAGCGACGACACTATAATACTTGGTAATTTTAACCAACTTTACAAGGTATGTTCGACGTGTAAAATGTACAAAGTGATGCTAATTGTTTCAGATTGAGCCGACGACTTTCCGTACGTGGCTTCGTATACTAGCGGGGATTCCTAATGCGGTCCTTTGGCTGCTTCGCTTCCCGGATCTCGGTGAGCAGAACCTCAAGGAGACGGCCGCTGCTTGGGCTGGACCAGAGACTGCGTCACGGATAATATTTACGGATGTGGCGCCTAAGAATGCGCACATATCGCGGGCCAAGATCCTGGATCTGTTTCTGGATACACCCGAGTGCAACGCACATACGACCGCGACGGACGTGTTGTGGAGTGGAACACCACTGCTCACACTACCTCGATACCAATATAAAATGTGCTCGCGGATGGCGAGCAGCATTCTGAGCAGCGCACTTCCGAATTCGGAGGATGGGCACCAGGCACGGAAAGAATTGATCGCCGTGTCTGATGAGGACTATGAGAACAAGGCGATTCGACTTTGCCGCAGCCTGCAGTATCTGCGAGGCGGGCAAGGGCGGGCACAAGGCAGGCTGTCGGACCTGCGCAAGATGTTGTTCCACGAGCGATGGGGAAGCAAGTTATTTGACACGAACCGATGGGTTCGTGATTTGGAAGACGCATATGAGCAAGTCTGGAAACATTGGGTGAATGGCGAAGAAGGAGATATATGGTTATGATCTGTGCATCGGAATATACCCCTTGAGTATGTGATTTTGTTATGTAAGACGTTGTTTGGGATGGGTTTGAGAGGAATGTTGGATTACTTATCTGTTATATGTGCATGGCGTCAACAAGGTACTTTCACTTAATGAGATATGACTGGGTAGGAGTTGTGATAGATGTAACCGATAGAATTGTCTCTCTGAATGACTTATTACCGCAAATACTCTGTATGTGATCAAGGATACTGATGGTCTGGAATTACTGAACACTGTACTCGATTGTGCTGCAAATATATATCACCAACTCAACCACTCAACAGATGGAACATAACCACCACATACACTAATATTATCATAATATAGCAAAATAATAATAATAAATAATAACAAAGACACGTATACCATCGTACACCTTCGTATACTACTACTTAGTACTCTGTCAATGTAGCAACCTGAAACACCATTTCCATGATCGCCCCCAAAACCCCCATCCCCATCCTAACTAACTTACGCCATCTATCTAGTTAGTCCAGTTTTGCACATGACATTCCCAAATCTTTGCCCACCCTCGCACTCCTTAACCTATTCCAGACAGGTAGACTGGACAGGAAAAAAAAAGTAAAAGATTGGGTTAATGATCATCATGTCAGAACAAAGAAAAAGGTAAAAGGTAAACTTAACTCGTCGCCCAGACCAGAAATGCAAGAACCCGACCAGTTCGACCCAGACCATTGGTAAATAGTCATGTTCAGTAAGTAAGTAGGTAAGGCAGGAGGTATTTACAGTTTACATGAATCATGTCACTCTACATACTATTACTAGTTATGAGTGCGAAATGTGTCATGATCGGCGAATATAGAATAATAGATATTTTTTCTTTTTCTTTTTTCTCCTTGGTATGGGATAGATAAAAATAACCAACCATCCCACGGTGTGAAAAGAGGAAAAGAAAAGACCAAAAATGGGACTTGTTGACGTGGAACTAGTGGGAAAGTGGAGGTCAATAATCAGCCACAGTCTCACTTTTGGTTTCAGCCACTATGGCCTGTGGCGCAGTAGGCATCGCAGCCTCAGCCTCGGTCAGCCACGATCAAACAATAAAAGAAAAAGAAAATTGAAATAAATTAAAAAGAAATATGGGAAAAAGGAAAGAAAGAAGAAAAGTACGATACAGAGACTAATACTAGCGAGATTTGAAATCCCATGATTTCATTCGATTCGATTCGACAAGAACCATGCTAACTGCTAGAACTAGCCAGCCTCACCTTCTCCTCATCCTGGCGTTACACAGATCGAAATCGAGTCAAACAAAAAAAAAAAAAAAAAAAAAAAAAGGATGATCAAACCTCCGTCGTCGCAATTGGCCAGATACGGGCCATGATGACGATTATCGTGATCGTGATTGCAATGATGATCGTGATGGCTGACGATATTCGATAGATTGTCATAACTAGTTAGTCTACTCATCCCCTTTCCTGGAATCCCGGGAATCCTGGACTCTGGATTTACTCGGTCGTCAACATGTGGCAGTGGAGAAAAGACAATCTAGACTCTCTACAGCAGTTATTGTCAGCACAGACAGGTGTAGCGCGACAAGTCGATCTCATCTCATCTCAGTATAGCAGAGGGTCTGCAGAAAGAAACTAGTTCCCTCCCGGCGGCAATGCTAACACCTCACTGACCACGCATCGGCGTTTTGGGCGACGCATTCTCCGTCCGTGTCATTCACGCCGTATCCTGGGTGTTGGGTCAGGAGTTGAGAGACGGTTTCTGAGATTGAGTTTGCCCATCGATACCATCGATTGGGTTTTCTTCGGTGGGAATGTCATTGGGTGGGTTTGAGGATTTTGGTCCACTGGAGCGTTTACGGAGACTGAGAGAGAAAAGGAGATGGCAGATGTTGGATGTTTTATCCGTGGGTGACAGCGGGATAACGGTCAGTTTATCTGATGTTTCTTGCTGTATACACAGTATACATCTATCTATCTGGAGTATACACATAGATACATAGACAATAGACACAGTCAACAATAAAGTAAACAGAAACTAACGAATTCTTCATATAAAATAAAAATAATTAAAAAAAAAAAGAAAAAGAAAAAATAACCCAAAATCGCAACATTCAGCGAGAACGAAGCCATCTCCTTCTTCCACACTAACCCCAATCCAGACAAAACCCCACCCCACGGACATTGGGCGAATCGGGAACCATTTTCTAACCCAAGGTCCCCGAATAATACACAGATTACGGTATTATTACAAGTTTATCTACACCACGTCATCAGGATCGATACCAGATCTCTGTTGAAGTTCATCTCGATCTTTACCTTTACTGTACCATATTTTTATTATGATTATGATTATTTTTGGTATTTTATATATTTGATGTAACGTATTGTATTTGCCCTAACCGATCTATTAATCTCCCACAGCTCAGCTGCATCCATCTCAGCTATCCACGATTAATATAAATTAATATGCGAACAGGATCACCCCGTAATATTACTACACTCGGGCCTCTTCCCTTTCTCCTTGAGCCCGACAGTCAGGAAACAGCGGCGGATGCGAGAGCGCCGTTCGCTCCACTCCCCCATAATCTGTCTTGGCGTTGATCCCTGCTAGGGAGAATTCAGCATTCCAGTTTTACATTACTGTATGGTGTGTTCGGGGGGGCTGCATGAAACGTGATGGTAGGTAGACGGTGGACTGGATTAGATATGGATATATGTGATATGATGAGTGTAGGCAGGAATGAAATATTGTAGAGTGTCATCTGTCACTATCTGTCAGTCATGATGCCATTGCTCAATAGGGCGTTGACGGTCGACAGGGGTACGTTACCCACATTGACCAGGGTGTATCTCAAATACTTACCGTGTTTCTGATTGGCTGCTTTGTACGGACTACCTCCTCCCTCCCCAGTAGTACTATATATTAGGTACACCATCATGTTATGGATACAATTGTTGAACAAAATGATCTATCAATAGTTTCCCATTTACATTTTCTTCCGTATATGTACAGTAGGAATATTTTTTCCTCAGTGGAATGTGATATATCCAGCAAGTGTCCCACGAGGGTGGATCAAAGCAAGCGTTGTGCCGTGTGGCCGGTCCAGTGTGGGATCCATCCACATGGTAGTGACGTTTACAGACACTGACTATTGCTGAAATACCTTGCTGAAATACCATGTTGGGTAAAAGAACAGGCTATTAAATCTAACTGGGTTGAGGCTTGAGCTGAGCTTGCTGAGAGCAATAGGAGAAAGAAAGATGGCGTCAAAGCACGGACTTGGAATTCTAATATGACAGCGCCTTGTTTGGATGATCTCCACTAGGTAGTTGGTTTGACACCGACTGACACCGTCGCCGTTGATCTGAGGTATTTGACAGACTGTAACATTTACCCAACATAGCTGAATACTGTAGTAATACTTGTCTCCACAGACGAGATTAATATCTTCATTTCATTCCCCTCAGTCCTCCTGCGAGTAGAGGAGTAAATCCGCCAATCCCTACCCAGAACGGCAACCCCGCAATTCCAGAATGACAAATACCTTATCTGCCCGCCAACCAGCGTCCAGAACAGCCCCCCCGAGTGTGTGTGTGTGGGAGGTTCGTCATGTCATGCCGTTCAGGGGTTCGTGCTGAGTGTACCCTATTTTAGTTTCGATCCTACTTACACACAGAAGGATTCGTACACTTTCGGTATGTAGGTAGCTTGGCAGGTTAAGAGTTAAGGTACTCAACGGTTATCTGAGTCTGCCGTATAACGTGTCTGGATTCTGGTATTATTGTATTGCTTTTTGCCTTTGTAGGTATCCATAGTCTGTATGCCCTCCGCCCAAGGGCAAGGAGTAATAATAGTATGAAATGGCCTGGCCAGGTCTGGCTGGCAATAGTTCCATCACCATAAAGGAAGGTGAGTATATCCTGGCAGACTGGCTAGACCTAATCCCAGAACGTAAGACAGGGTCTATTGATCACCGAATATGACACGGTCAAAAATAATCCTTCGATAGAAGCTTATCCCAGTTCCTGGATACCCTGCCAGTTTACACTTTTAGTTTTTACTTTTTCTCATACGCGAACAAGAAAGCATCGCATCCATCACATCCAAACTAGTGAAATCGAAGAGGCGGCTGACAGCCAGCTCGATTGGGCCGATCGACCAATGGGATTGTCACGATCTAAATTTGCCGATTCTACCATCGATCGTGGGAAGGAGGTGTCTGTCATTATTGGTTGAGGCTTTTGTGTTTTCTTTTTTCTCCTTCTCGCTTGTTATTTTTTACTTTAGCGATGGGTGGTTGACACATGACAGCGACGGGAGACCCGGCTCAGATGATATACATACTATGTACATGGACAGACTGAGTCTTTAGGTACCAGGTAGTCGTACTACCTAGAGTGCTAGACTAGACAATAGATGATGATACGTGGGCGGAGAAGAGTTCGCATGAATGAGATCTATCACTCTTCTAGAATCACTAAGCGAAGTGATGACCCTGCATAACACACAGTCTCCAGAGATACAGTACTGGAGAATCGATTGCGTATATCCTCTACTGAGTGCCGACGATCTCAACCCAGCCGGGACAAAAACTCTAAAGATTTCAAATCACACCCACGCTAGCCTGCATCGCCCTCTGTCGACCAATCATTTGCCCCCCACAGAACGGTTTGTGCCAACGGTCCCACGGGCTGCCTTTTCCAACCAATCAGCGCACATGGGCCACCAGCATGGCTGGCTGAAGAAGCTCGGGAACACCGCCAACACCGCCTGGATGGGGCCTAAAAGCTGCCTTTCCCACCCTTTCGGAGTCGATGATCAGTGAACAATGCACGGCAGGATCTGCTCCCCCCCCTTTTGTCTCTGGCGGTTACAGCTTGATCTCACTAGATCTGACCGTCGGGCTAGTCTACCAGTAACTGGATTCTTTCCAATTCACCTTTTAGATTTCAGATTTCCTCATGGTCATGGCCTTGCTCGGCTTTTCTCCTTTTATGGGGTCAATATGTCAGATGTTCCCACTTTTTGATTTTTTTTTTTTTTTTTTTTTGGTTCTTGCCCCAATCCTTTGGACCGTTTTCTGTGCCGTCCCCGTTGCCCTTGTCAAGTTCCTGTCAGGGACGTGAACTTTGACACACAAAGCATAGACCATCCCAGAAAAAAATAATCCATCAGGGATTTCCATCATTCTGGTTACTCTGGCCGATGCTGCCTGTCGGTTGAGTGGATCGCATGGGCTGGCTGTGCCTACTGCAGCCTCGCAAGGTGGGCTACTCCTGGGCAGTGTACTCCGTAACTCCCCAACTAGTAGCAGTCCTAGTACCAGGTAAAATTATGACAGTCCCGTTTTCCACTGTATCGTAACAAACCAGAATAGGCGAACGGAAATGCATCTCCTGAGTTTACTTTCTGGCCCATTCCTTGTAATCTATTCCAAATTTTCCATGGTTCAGGCCTTCAGGGTTGTTTTTTTTTTCTCCTTCCAGGGGGTTCATCTGAGACCAACGGTATGATGCTATGCTGGGAACGACTAGATTGGCCTTGTCGCGGGCGATCTGGATGAGCATCACCCTGGTTCTGTTCATATGTTCATATTGAACTTTGTTGATAGATCTGTCAGCATATTGAATGAAGGATAGGAATAACAATAAAGTAAAAAAAAGAAAAGAGGATATCAAATCATGGCAATATTATTGAAGTTATCCTCGTGAATATCTTCTACTACAGAGTACTGTCTGTACAGACTACAGTACTCGTAGGCGTACTGTGTTACCCCTGCGACACCGATCCAGTGGTACGGTGGCAACCCCACGATCTGATGCATAGGAGTAAATAATAATAAAATAATAAAATATCCATGGATAAAAAAAAAAAAAAAAAGAATACTGTGTAAGGTAATATAGTAATATTCAGTGTAAGTAAGATGTCAGCTCCGAGATCTCTCGATCGGATCTTCTCCCATAGCGTGCTCTGGGGTGGAGTCGGTAGTCATTTTTCTCTGACCCGTCTCCCTGGTCGATTGTGTGTGCCAAATATTATTATTCTTTTCTCCTAAATTATAGTCGCAAATTAAAATAAAATATTAAAATCCTCCTTTGTTGGTTCCATTATATCTATGCAGCTTAAATCCTGTCTTGTCTGTCGGTTCTTCATCCTGATCTTCATTCCATCTTCATCCCAGCGACTTGGTTCTTTGGCCTTTGCTCCTCTTTCTTCTCCTTTCGCCTTTATTTCTTTTCCTGCCAAGGCTGTCTCTACTTGATGTAAGTTTGCCTTTAAAATCCCCGCCCCCTCCCTCTACCTTCCACTTTATCTCCCACCACCTCTTTTATTATTCTCTCTAATATTTTCTAGAATGGCTCCCACTCATCGCCGTGGCCCTTGGGTCCCTGAAGAAGACCAGCTTCTCCTCCAGTTGGTGCGCGAACAAGGCCCCAACAATTGGGTGCGCATCTCCCAGCACATGCACTACCGATCGCCCAAACAATGCCGGGAGCGCTTCCACCAGAATCTCAAGCCCTCGCTGAACCGCGAACCCATCTCCGCCGATGAAGGCCTTATGATCGAGCGCATGGTCAACGAGATGGGCAAGCGATGGGCCGAAATCGCCCGCCGTCTGGGAAACCGCAGCGACAACGCCGTCAAGAACTGGTGGAACGGCAGCATGAACCGCAAGAGGAGAGGTGGTGTGCCTTCGACTTCGTCTTCGCGCACTTTCAACGGCCGTATTGAGGCCCCCTACCAGAGAGCGTCGATTGCCATGAGCAGTCCGGCTCGTTCGCGCTTTTCTTCCATCTCCCACGACGCTCAGCCCTGGACGAAATCGCCTGCTTCCATCTACTCGAGCAACTTTTCGCCTGACTCGAGGCGCGAATCGATCGACTGCCCCAGACAGTTGACTCCCATCTTTACTCTGCCGTCTATTAACCGCCCCGTCGAAACCCCGCTCACATCGCCCGCTTTCTCCGAAACCTCCAATGCCCCTTCTCTCGAGCCTCCGTCTATGGTCTCCGACCACAACTCCGTCTCTTCCTCCCCGCGCACCATCGCCTCGCCGCAACTGCTCCCTCTCCCTGTTGATCTGCGCCAGCAGTACGAGCCGCGGAGACAGAGCGCCTCTTCAGTAACTGAAGATGCGTATTATGGCAACTACTCGAGCACAAAGACACTCGAGTCGCTGCCCGATTACGCCTTAAAACCACGCTGGATCCCCGACCCTAGTGCGTCTTGGTCTGCGTGGCCGCGAACAGAGTCGTTGAAGATGGAACCCTCGCGGGATTCCCGCATGGGATTGAATAATCTGCTCAACTAGTTGATTTTCTTTCTGTTCATCTTACGACATCTCCTTTGTGATTGAAATTCCCCGACATGTATGATATGCTCTACATGTGTTTCCGACCATTGTCACTCCTTGTTTCCTTTGTTTAACTCGATACTCTCCTTTGTACCATCTAATGTGTATTATTCTGTGCATCCACTGCCGGTCATGTGGTTATGATTTCTTTTTTCTTACTGTCTGTCTGTCTGTCTGAAAAGCATTTTGCGAGTGTTGAGGAGCGTTTGGCTTAGAAAAAAAGCGATGGAGGAAGGGTGCCTTTACTGTACATGTGTCTGTCTATTTTGGAATGTGGTGCTTGGAATTAATAATACCCCTTGAATGATAATCACTATACTATACTTTTTACATACTACATCGTGTATCCAATACTCCTACCCAAGATAGAAGATGTGGCTGGCTGTCACCCACGGTGTAAACGGAATGTCCGACCCAAGTAACACAGAAAAGTGACTTTTACACGAGGAACGAAGCAAGGGGGGAAGTGAATCTATGCATAACGTGCATAAATTGCCCCTCTCCAGTACAATCCAGACAGTCGAACAGAGTCAGTTGGGCTGTTTCTGTCGTTTTACTGGCTGTCAGTCTAGGTACTACGCAGTTCAAGAGAGGTACAGTGGCAAAAGAAATCCCATTCCAGAGACGTGCATGGAGTATCTGGACTAGAACTACACAGACTGACATAGTCAGTACACACAGACCATATGGGCGATGCATGATTGCACGTCAGTCAACTCAGCTATGTCAAGGGATGTATGTACAGCTGGACTGGACGGGGTTTCAGCCAGCCCGTTTACGCCTCTTTTTCTTTTCTTTTCTTTTTCTGAATGTATTATTTATTATTTATCTTATTTGGTATTGGATATTGTACGCTGACGAGGAAGAGATTTCTTTTTTTTCTTTTTCTTTTCCCGCAAGTGGACAGAAGTGGGGATGAGTACAGCTGGCCCTGGTCTGGTTCGGAATTCAGTGAGTGGAGTTGGGCTGATTAACGGTTCATCTATCTGGACTGTTCAGATTGCGACCGTATCTTCCTACATACACTGTCTATTCGCTATTCTGTCGTACTAGGTAGTCTGTGTAGAGAGATGGGTTTATCTATCACTCCTACATGACAAGGGTTTATTTGGAATACATAGACCTTGTGTGACTAGCTGACTAGCTGACTAGGCTAAAGCCAAGTGACGTAGGCAAGGCAGGGCAGGACGAACGGTTTGTGCCTTGTTGTGGGGATCTCTTGTGTCTTCTGTATTTGTCTAGGTAGACAGGAGGCAGGAGGCAGTCTTGATGTTATTATTATTGTTCTTATAAAGAATAGAGAGAGATGTTCTATCTATAAAATAAATAATATAAAAGAAAGAAAGAAGAAAATGTAACCCTTCCCTACAGGGAATCATGCAGCTACACTGATAATAATATTATCCATATTAACCCTCCATTACCCTCCATTAACCCTCCAGCACCAACTACCGTCTACTCCAACTCTCCACCTCCCTGCCCCCAATCCTCCCCATATTCCCTTCTCAGTCTCACCCTCAAGGTCACCCTAGTCAGGTCACCCAAGTCGCTGGTCGCAAATTGATTACCATTACCAGTGGAGAAAAAAAAAAAAAAAAGCTCCAGCAACTGATCTTCAAGTGGCCCCTGCAGCGAAACTGGAAACTGGCACCGCAGCCGTTTCGATCAGGAGTACATACCTAGTAA